ATCCTTTCTCCCTTGCGTATCGACCAAGATTTCGACTCTAACTTCATTTCCCCCCACGTTTCTATGATTTATGTACCTGCATAGATTGCATTTATCATATGTACACGGCGGTAATATGACCGAAAAACGCATGACAAGGGGGCATATCCTGTCTCTCTCTGGATATCATTGGAGAACTGGACTTGATAATTCCAGTACTCCGTACAGAGTTTCGGATTGTTGCATCAATCTGATCTACCGCCTGCAGGGACTTTTTTTTTGGGCTCAAGGATCCATTAACCTCATTGTGATTTCCTTTGTGCATGATACATTCAAGGACGCAGGACATGTCAACTGGTGACGTTCACCGACATTAGCGGGGAGGCTGATCAACTCCATAGTACCCAATGCTACCCATACATACCGGGTCAACTGGTTTGTTTGACCTGTATGTGATAGATTGCTTCTTCGTTTACCATAGTGTTTCCGAGACCTGCAGCGAAATGGATATTAAAGATACTGAAGAAAAAGACTGGTACGGTATTGCAGCCTTTTTTTTTTCTTCAACATCACAACCATGGAAATCCCTTCGAATTGTACATAATCATGACTCCACAAGTCTCAACAACGGTTTTCTAGCAGGGCCGTGCCGGGCTAGAAACCATGGTCAGGATCGTACAAAGTGGAATTTTAGGGTTTTCCTTCTCCCGTTTGTCGCACTGGATTTTCTCTGAGCATACGTAGCAAGTGATGGTGGCGGAAAAGGTCTTCAAAGTCCTTTTTGCCCCGCTGAATTGGCATCTTTTCCAACTCCACTGGTTTTGACATGAAAAACAAGTGGCGATTGACCGGATGTAGCGGGTACGGTACGGAGTAACACAAACGCTTTTCGGCTTCCCGGGTTTCTACGAACGTTTGGAGTTTTGAAGCGTTGATTGTTCCGAGCTAGATGAGGCTTTTTTTTTTTTTTCTCTTTGCAGTGCTACGGAGAACTTGGGTAGGAAATGCCCTCTGGATGTACAACATTGGAAGAGAATCTACTAACATTGAATGGTACTTTTGATAAAACAGTCGTATAATACCTAAGCTTATCGAACTTTATTTTCCAACCTTGAATTATTTCAATGTTTTCAATGTTTTCAATGTTTTCAATGTTTTCAATGTTTTCAATGTTTTCAATGTTTTCAATGTTTTCAATGTTTTCAATGTTTTCAATGTTTTCAATGTTTTCAATGTTTTCAATGTTTTCAATGTTTTCAATGTTTTCAAACCCCAAAATCATCTCTGGTATAATTCTATACAGTTGCCTTGAAATCTCGGATCAAATTAATTTGTACGTACTTGACTTGACCCGGTGAAAATTTTTCTGTTTCATTGCCCCTCTGCGGAGTTGTTCTGCATTGTGAAGTTTTTTTTCTCTGCGGGACACCCCACCACGTTCAATGTTACCTGTTCGGGGCTTCCTTAAATCAAGAGTGGTTCCGGGGTCGTGGACAAGCTGCGTCAAACTTGCATCATATGTGAGCAGGAGCAATTTTAACACACTTTTGCTTGCGAAATTCGATGATCTACATGGGCTGTACAAATTTACAGATAGTTTTGCCATGGTGTAAATCCATCTCCTACGTACAGGTGTAAGTTTGAGCCGATTCTACAGATCATCTACTTTGGTATACTTTGGTATAACATTCAATCTTTCAAGATGATAATATCTCAGCAAATAATCCATATTCAACGTCAATTGCAAAAATTCTTTGCGTGGACCCCACAACGAATAAGAGTGGTGCTAATTAGCAGGGCGAATCAAATGGTCGAGACAATGTGACCTCTTTCGGTAAGGCCCATGTGTTAAAGTGGATGAAGGTGGAGGCTCAAACCCATGGGTTTAGGGTATTTTTGGCCCTATTCCCCGCCCCTTTTCTTTGCAGATTGGATGAGATCAGATCTACGACTATTGAGGGCAATTGCTTTTGTTTGATATATAGGTCAACTTGACTTGCCTTTGATCATTTCAAAGATACTTCTTTATTTCATTACATCTTCCTCCCTGCTTCCTGACTTGAAAAAAAAGAAAAGATGAAATCGGAGAGGTAATGTAATGTACAAAAGCTCCAGTACGAAGCTAAACCCAAGAAGGATTAGACTCAGAAACCGAGTGGAGATTACCCGCGTACAGTACATAAAGAACAAGTTGAAAGATCCACTTCGGAGCTTTCTGTTATTTTACTTGACATGCGCGTACTCCGGAAGAGGATAGATTGATTTTTAGGTATGAGAGTTGACACGCGAAACACCTCCAAAATCCCTTTGAACTAACTTTTGCTCTCCGAACTATTTATGTTGGAATATGCGAGTGCAAGGATTAAGGCCTCGCTTGCATGGGATCCATAACTAGTAGCTCCGGTATTAGTGGACGACCTCGGCTTGGAATCCATGCCGTCATTACCAGTTCGCGTCCCGGGCTTTTAGTGTTTGCGCGTTCGCCATCGCTAAAATTGCAGATTCAAATCTGCATATTTCCAATAGATCTTGCCAAATATTACGTCTCCCGTGTCCATATCCCACAGATTCCAGTTGCTTATCATCTTTCGGTGGAACAACGCACATGCATCAGCGGCTCGGCCACCGTCCGCATAGGGGCTGACGGACAAAATTTCAATGTTCAGCTTGGCAATGCATCCTTGTCGCCATCTCCGCCTGTTGATTCGGCGATCGCGTCAGACTCTCCTTGTCTTTATATTAATGCCGATCCGGATACTTTTCCCCCTCTTCGCTTCCGATGAACTGGTCCACTCAGCCAACCTTCCGTCTTTTCATTCCAAGGTTCAGGCTAAAAAGCAGGATTACCACGGCAGGTTGACAGACTAGCTATAAGCTATCCCGGATTCTAAACTCGCTAACCTTCGGCCCCCCCGTACTAACTTTTTCCCGATCCAATCTCATCCCCTCAAAGCACGCGATATGATGAGATCTTCCGTGTCCAATTCGATACGCTTTCAATCGACAAGTGGTGGACAATTGCTATCATAACCTGCTTTCCTGAACCCCATTTGGTTTCAGACAAGATCACTGCCTCCAAAGCGGAGAGGGCGAAGTTGGCTCAGATCCAAGATCGTGGCCCAGCCTAGTCCGAAATGTGGATCTAGCAATTTAACTCCGTTCAAGGCAGCATACGAGATATGTCTTTGAATTGAGTTCAACTTCAACTTGCCGCCTCGCCCAGTAGCCTTGGAGCGCCTGACATGGATCGCGTCAATTTGACACTGCATATAACTAAATGTTGAAATGTAGTGCTCATCAATTGACTGGCTTGGTGGCGAGCTCTTGACTCTGGTGCGCCCGAGCCCCGTGCTGACGGGTGGAAGGATCACCCCGCAGCAACGAAGAACAAATGAAAACCCCCCAAGTCCAGCCCAGTCAGGACTCGACCCTATGCCATCAGCATACCTGCAGCAGGAAGCTGGAACTATTTGTGTTCGATTCTTGGTTCGGCGCCCCCTGAGAGAAACAGCGAAAGAGCTTGTGTGGGCACGATAGTCCATCTCTTCCCCTCATGCAGATCTGCCAGCGCGGACCAATCATACGTGGGTGTATATCTCGTCAGATTTTGCCTTGATTATGACAGGGACAATCGGTGGGAGCTGGTCTGCAATACCAAATGTGGCATATCCTATTAGAAGCCCGGGATCCTTGACCAAACCAAGCATATGATACATAATTACTGTATGATTGGGGATAACTTCTTGAGAACCAGCCACAGTCCTGTCAAAGGACGAATGGGGTTACTTCTGACGTGGCACTTATCCAGTGGGCCCTGCATGCAAGCAATCCTTATATGGAATCTTCAAGCCGGTCGCAAGGAACACTACGGGATTGGCTGTGAGCCACACACTCGTGGGGGCGTTGGACATTCAGCTGAACATGTTGCATACAATTTGACATTGATTGACACCATTCGCTGCCAGATTCCCTCAGACATGACAGAGCAATATCCGCTTTCCACCCCCTCCACTCCTACATCCCACAATAATGTTCAACATACAATGTTGCGATGATATACCCCTGTCTACGCCACCAGCGACCGCAATATGGAGTTGATACCCAACTTTGGGGTAGACTGATACGCCAAGATTGCGTCAGGTACCCAATAGCACCACTGAACTACCCACCTAATTTGGACTTTAGCATGAACTACTCCGGACGGCGCTGCGATCAGCAAGGCCTGGCTGTAGATGGCCCCTCTGATAACGGTGTTCGCAGTTTTTTAAGCAATGGAATGATCGGAAATCCTGCTTCTGCTTCTATTCCCTGCAAGCGACGAAAGTTACCAAGGCCTATCATTTCTGCCACATTTTTCAACCATGATCTGTGTTTGAATACACAGTTCAAACGGTCTTGAACCGTCAATACCTGTATGAATTTCCCAGAAAGTTGGTTTGTTCTACTTAGATGTACTTGTCCATCTAATAATCTATGAACATTCGTACTCTTGAAATCATTCCCGATGCCTAGGGCCACAGAGTATTCGAATCTAACTTCGGATGCTTCCAACGCTCAGTAGTGCCATGACCATCTATGTAGCCAGAATCGCTAACAATATTTAAATCAGTAGAATGAGGTCGATATAGCTACATACGGACCTATGTGGTTATTATCGCGGGATAGAAATTATAACGAACTGGTGAATTAACTTTGATCACATCAATGGTCCATGCCTTATCTGCAAGGCACAAACATCCCCATCACATGACCCTAAACTCTCCGCCAAGATATTCCGGCCCGCTAAAAATTATCTACGGGAAAAAAAAGTGATCGCGCATCAGAAGACCAGCTTCGACACTGCACGTTATTCCCTATTTTTGTTCGATATGAGTGCATAAGGGTTTGCATCGCTGCCCGAGCTGAATTGAATTGAATCAATTTCCCCACCCAAACTTCAACCTTCGCTTCTGTTGCCCTCATTCATTTTTTTATATCAATCTTAAAGAGCGCCTCGGCTTCGAAGCCTAAAAGTCTTCACCATGGATATTCACCGTTGTCGATTCGTTACCTACAATCCTCAGGCGATCAACGCCCTTGCCTTCTCCCACCCACCCTCCGCCGATCCCGGACGAGGCCTACCTACCCTTCGACTCGCTATCGGCCGTGCAAACGGCGACATTGAGATCTGGAATCCGTTGCGCGGCGCATGGTTCCAGGAGTCTGTGCTCCGCGGTGGAGCGGATCGCAGTATTGAAGGATTGGCCTGGACCCTGGACCCCCAGGAGGACGGACCTGACGGTTTCAAGCTGCCGGGCCAGCTGCGCCTGTTCAGCATTGGGTCCAACACGGCCGTGACCGAGTGGGATCTCGAGAAGGGTTGCCCGCTGCGTCACTCGAGTGGAAACTATGGAGAAATCTGGTGTCTTGCTGCCCAGCCGCGCTGGAAGCCTACAAGAGCCAAGGATGGAAAATTCCTACCTCCTGCCGAGGGCGAGTTTACGGGCCAGAACCTTGCTGCTGGATGTGCGGATGGCTCTATTGTGATCTTGTCTACCGCAGATAATGACTTGAAGTTCCTCCGCTTGATGCGCCCTTCCACTAAGAGAGCCCGTGTGCTCAGTGTTACCTTCCAGAACCGTCACACCATCGTTGCTGGTTATGCTGACAGCTCTATCCGTCTCTTCGATATTCGCAGTGGCCAACAATTGAGGACAATCTCGCTTGGAAAGGGTCCCACAGGTGGTTCCAAGGAGCTCTTGGTTTGGTCCGTTAAGTGTCTTCCTGATGGTACAATTGTCTCTGGTGACTCTGCTGGTGAAATCCGGTTCTGGGATGCCAAGAACTACTCCCTTGTTCAACGAATTCAGAGTCACTTGGCCGATGTGCTTGATGTGGCTGTCAGCTCAAATGGTGATACAGTTATTAGCGGTGGTGCCGATCAGAGAACAGTCGTCTACCGCAAGAAGGATGCTGAGAAGGGTGATAAGAAGACTCGTTGGGCAGAGCTTATGCACCGACGATACCACTCCCATGATGTCAAGACCTTCGCTGTTTATGAGACAAAAGATATCAGCATTGCCGTGTCTGGAGGTATGTTGATACTGTTCATCTGATCTATCTTGATGCTCGAGTAACTAATTTCTACTTTGCAGGCCCCGATGCGACTCCCGTTGTCTTGCCGCTGCGTGAATTCGGAAAGGAGCACCACCGGAAATTGTCCAGCCTCCCTCAAATCCCTCAACTCACCTCATCTCCCGCCTCTCGTTTGGTCATGAGCTTCTGGGACAGAGAAGTTAGCTTATGGCGTGTATCCCGGGGTCCGGCTTCTGTGAACGAGAATCTTGATGGCCAAAGGCACAAGCTCGTTGGCAAGGTCTATATTCAGGTGAGATTTCAACGTTCTTGTTTGTTCAAAATACTAGAACTGTGTTAATCCTATTTTCAATCTAGGGTGAAGAAAACATTACTTCCGCCGGACTATCTCCAGACGGAAAGTTGCTAGTCATTGCTACAGTCGCTGAAGTGAAGCTGTTTACTGTTCGTCGACGCAAGGGCGATGAGAAGGGAACCTTGCGGATACAGAAAGTTGATGTCCCCAAGGCCATCTCTTCCACAGGCGCACGCCTGGTGGCCATCTCCGCCGATAACCGATGGCTCTCGGTGGTCCGCCCCAATAGCGATGTTTATGTCGCCAGAATTCAGGCTGCCTCTTCAAACACTGAGAAGACTCAGGTATTAACCCAATTTGCGCACCTCAAGCGCGCCACACGTCATGTACGACTTGAGAAGGCCTCTCACGGCACCCTGGGTGAATACGAGAGATCTATTCGGACTGTTGTCTTCTCCGAGGACAGCAAGATCTTGGCTACAGGTGACCTTTCTGGCTGTGTGGATACTTGGGTACTGAGTGATGCGGTCGAACCTACCACAAATGGCAAGTCTAAGAGCAAAGGAGCTACTGACTCCGACGACGAATCCTCCGATGATGAAGATGAAGATGTTGTGATCGAGGGAGAGCGCTGGTCCACAGCTGCTTCTGATTCTCCTATTCCTCGAATGAAGTCAGGAATCGCCCTTTTGTCCTTCCGCCCACAGAGTACTACGACCAAGGCATTGACTAATGGTGCCGACCACACATCCTCCGCAAATGACAAACTTATTGTGCTCACCAGCGAGCACCAAATCATTGAATTTGAAGCTCTTAGTGGCAAGCTTTCGGATTGGTCGCGACGCAACCCCAAGGCTTACCTGCCAGCTGAGTTCCGAGGCGTGAAAGACCGTGCCATGGGCTGCATGTGGGACGTTTATGAGGGCTGCGGAAGACTCTGGCTGTACGGAAACTCCTGGTTGTGGATGTTTGACTTGCAGCAAGATTTCCCTGCCGAGGACACCGATACCGATAACAATACCTCTGGTCAACTTGTCCAGGCTTCGAAGCGCAAGCGTGATCCCCTCGAGGATGGCGAGAACGACCGCAAGAAGCCCAACAGTGGTGCTGGTGATCGCATCCCCCGTTCGCAGATGGACCTTTACCTTGGAACTAAGGTTCGCAAGATCGTCGGCAGCGACGAGTCTCAGGGAGAGTGGGTCACACTTGACCCAGAACTCAAGCGCGCTCTTGGAGAAGATGATGAGGCTTATGAATATGATGAGACCTTCTCAGCTGGTAATGAGACAACTCTCGCTCGTCTCCGACGTGGGGACGGGGTCGTTGAGGCCGTTCAGACCGGTACCCCACAAAAGGGATCCAAGGGTAAGCCGATCACCAATGGTGTCGGCGAGACTCCGAACAAGCAACTGGTTTTGGCCAATGACACTCAGCCTGCACGACGCTGGTGGCACACGTACAAGTATCGTGACATCTTCGGAATCGTCCCCCTTAACACCCTGTCAGGTGACGAGGCGGGTGGCCTAGAAGTTGCGGTGGTCGAGCGTCCCATGTGGGATGTTGAGATGCCCGGTCGTTATGTGAAGGATTATGAGTGAAGTTTTTAAAAAAAGAGTTCCTTTGTCGAGGCTCCTTCTCGACCGTTGTGTAATATGGAAGAGCATGCAGGAGCACATTTGACTGGCGCTTTGTACAGGGGGTTTTATTTTATTTTTGTTGTCATTACCCAAAATAGATATGTGTCTTCTTTCATGCTGGATTGATCATGCAGTGTTCCTCGTATGCGTTTTTACCTAAGATCTGACTGTAGGTTGCCTCAGAACCTTGGAAGTGTAGTGACCCCCCGTGAGGCAGTATACCTCCTATGAAAGTGGGTGGGCTAACAGCTGCCTTGGAGGTACATATTTGGTCCTGTTTGAAATAATATGAGAACTATGCAATGTTGGCTTGACCAACTGGGAATAAAGAGAATTAGGATTTGTAACATCATGTACCCTTCCACCTTACCTTGGACGCGCAAAGAACTGACTTGTTAAAAAAAAAAACAAGATGGTGTCCAATAACCAGGTGATCCAACCTGAATCTAGTGCGGGGTGGTTTTTGCCTTAGGTTGATTACTTTTACTGACTTCGGCCCATATCCAACATCACCTCCAAAATTACTTCCAAGGCTTCTATACCTCCCGAGTCTCTTTCCCACTGGACTCGCATATACCATAAGAATCAATCCATCGTCCCTATATAAGACCACATCTCTGTTCTACACGAGAATCCCTCTTCCGATCTTCGATCTTATCGTGCGGAGACCTTATCGTTACCCGTTAAGCCGACCTGTATCCGAAGTTGATCTACCCCCCTCCAACATCCTCTAGCTCACTGGACTGGGACGGGACAAGATCTCTATACGCTCGAATATTTGAGGTGGAGGAAGAGAAAGAAGGATAGACTAGGGGCGCTCTCGCTGAGACGTGCTGAGGGCCGGGCATTACTGGCCGAGTGTCGCCGGTCGAAGTTGCTCTGGGCACCGCATTAACTCACAGCCCAAAGCTTTGAAACATTGGGCCGATTCTTAAGACGATATAATATCTAGCCTGAGGCCGTCCTCGATACCTCGATACCTCGGGACGCGTTTATAAAGTGGAACTGACCTCAACTTCAACGAACTTCGCTTTCTTCGTTCCACGAACTCCCTTTGACAAACCCCCCCCCCCCCCCCCCCCCACCAACCACCATGGGTCTCACTTACAATATCTACCTGACCTCGAACAAGATCTTTGGTTGCAAGACCTGCAAGACCCACCTTGCAGACTACCATGATATCGTAAGCCGGGTAAGTCACGAGCTGATGGTTCTAGGCAACAGGTGCCGCTGTTGAATATACTTACTGACCCCTTGCTTTCACAGAACTTCCGCGGTCAGCACGGGAAAGCATACCTATTCAATACCGTTGTCAATGTCAACCAGTCTGACGCTGTGGAGCGTAGTATGACGACCGGTCGACACATTGTGCGCGACATCTCCTGCCGCCAGTGTAATGAAACGGTAGGATGGAAGTACGACAAGGCATACGAGGCCAGTGAGAAATATAAGGAGGGGAAATTTATCCTAGAGGAGGAGTTACTTTGCAATGTGAACTGAAGAGGGACACATGCGCGCGCACTTATGAAATACACGTCTTGGTTTTCTGACCAACAATGAACACGACTATCTATTACACGATTCTATTCCCTTACGAGCAGATCAGCGATTGATTTTATTCCCGACACTATTTTCGCCTTTGACGATCGCATTATCTCCCCTGTCAGAATGATGACTGTTGAAGACAGCCGGTCTGATTTTTATCTTCTCTTTTTCTACTTTGCCCAGCTCTGATGTTTCTGGGTTTCTGATGGGGGTTACATGGAGCAAGCTGAATTATTACAGAAGAACCCTGGCTCAAAGGGCTTTGATCAGCACATGTTTTACACCTGGCTATTGCATCCTTCCTTGTTCTTTTTGTATTTCAATTAACAATCAACTCTCCACTCAGAAATACGGAACTACTAGTAGGACCAGCAAGATCGGACGGTTATCCAGTGATCATCTAGGGCTCAAGTTTAGGTGTAAGCAATTACCTCCAAGTTTCATTGTAGATCGACAAGGATATTTCAAACAAAATTCTCCTTGTCTATAATACTACTAGTATGTTGTTCTATCACCACAGCCTCCAGGTCCCGAGATCGGTTCCGAACACTTCGGATTCATATCTATGACGCTGCCAATCTTACCCGCCTCTATACTTGCTATGCTTGCTGCGCAACGCCTCTTGTTTGAATGCTGTTTTGAAAAGGAAGAAAAAAGCCTCCCAGCAAGCTATACATATCTCACTCAAGTTCCCAATTCCATCCCAAACACGTCAATACTCCGACCGATCCGACCCTTTCCTCGCGTGCCACAACCCCATCAACCCAGCCGTCCACCGCAGACCCACCACCACGCACAGAAGGCCGTGAACGGACCCGCAAATAATTCCTCAATTGCAATTTCTTTGACAAAGACCACTCGGAACTACCAGAGCTCCGATATTTCAGCACAAACTCTAGCTTATACAATTTCGTTGAGCTCGGTTGTATCCGAATTTAACCCTCCAGTCCAGCTTTTGTAATACCCTTTTATACCTAAGAACGGTAATTTTTCTTACTTGATTTTGCAAAATGGCTGCTCCTACTTCCGCCCCCGGTATGATGCAGGCGGTGGTTTTCCATGAGCCGTATAAGGTTGCCGTGGAACAATGCCCTATTCCTACCGTGCAGGATCCTGAAGATGTGGTGATTAAGGTGGCTTACACGGCACTTTGTGGAAGGTAAGTTTTGAATCTATGTGATACGGGGATGTAGATGAGGGGTAGGTGTATGTACATGTATGGACTTGCTGACTGGTTTGTATAGTGACTTGCACACCTACCGGGGTGTTGAGCCTGCTGCTCCGGGCTTTATTATGGGCCATGAGTTTGTGGGAGAGATTGTTGAGCTCGGTAGTGCAGTGAAGAGCTTCAAGAAGGGAGATCGCATTGTTAGCGCTTTCACAACTTCTTGGTACGTCAAGCTCAGGATGTCGACTCGGTTTTTGAGTTCTTCATAAAATGATTAAGTTGATGCTGACATTTACATCAGCGGTCACTGCTACTACTGCAAGCAAGGATTTTCTTCCCGCTGCGAGAAGAGCAAGCTTTTCGGATGCGAGACTTTGAACGGTGGCCAAGCTGAATATGTAAGGTCGAAAGCTATCAATATCTTCCACTTGAAAACACAACGGCAGTCAGGACTAACTCTTAACTTCCAGATCCGAGTGCCCAATGCCGAAGGCTCGGCTATGAAGGCTCCCGAGGGCGTTGATGACAAGTATCTCGTGCTGATGGGCGATATCTTCCCCACGGGATACTTTGCCGCCAACAACGCATTCAAGAACTCAACTCCGGAGCAGATTGCTGAGCAGACTGTTGTCGTGATCGGTTGCGGCCCTGTCGGTCTTTGCGCGCTCATTAACGCGCTCGAATTCAAGCCTAAGCATCTTCTGGCTGTTGACTCTGTTCCCTCTAGATTGGAGCTTGCCAAGTCGCTTGGTGCTGAGCCGTGGAACTTCATGACTGATCGTGAAGGTCTGGACAAGCGCGTCATGGAGCTGACGGATGGTAGAGGAGCTGATGCTGTGATTGAGGTTGTGGGATTGAGTCCTGCGCTGCGGACTGCATATGATCTTCTGCGTCCTTGGGGTACTATCAGCAGTGTTGGCGTGCACAATGCAGAGGTACGGATTTAGATGATGCTTCTTGTTGGGTTTTTTTTTTGTTTGGGAAATTTACTAATATGGGGCTATCTTTACAGATTCCTTGGGGTGGCGCAGATGCGTATAACAAGAACTTGACTGTTCAGATGGGCAGATGCCCTGTTCGGTCGGTTGCTCCTCAGGCTCTGGAGGTGCTGAAGAAGAACCAGCATAAGCTTGGGTATGTGATTCTGCTACTTGTAGTATTTGTGGTATTCAAATGTTGTGGGTGGTTTGCTAATTGTCAATAGGTTCATGACTGAGAAGATGATGCCGCTGTCGCAGGCCGTGGAGGCATATGAGCTTTTCAATGCGATGAAGGTTCAGAAGGTGATCTTCTTGCCCGATCAGTAGGGTTGAAGTAGATGCTCTGCAGAGAGAGAAAAAGGCTGTACCTGGGGGAGTATCAAGTGGATGGTGTATAGGTTTAAAGTTTTAGTTCGGATGTCCCAATATTAGAGGTTGATCAATTGTTTCAAAATAGAGAGAAAATCCTGGATCAAGACTACCTCGTCCCACTGGATATCCTTTGATCACTCTTCATGACTTCATTAATCCGATCAACTCTTCAGTAACTGATCACTTACTCTCCAAACCCCGCACAAGCAAGGGGTATTTCCTTGCACCTTTGACATTCCCCACAGGAGCAAAGTCAGGGGAAATTCCGGCAAGCTTCCAACCAATTGATGATGAATGGTGAATATTGATCATGATGACAGGCATAATTTGATGTTCATGCTAAGGCGCGATTGCCTTCGAGACGTTTTCGTAGCCAAAGTGGGTCCGATGATCCAATGACGAGCCCATGTTGCACATCAGAATCTCTTTGTCCCAAATGATCAAGAAGGCTAGAGAATGGCTTAAATAAACCAGGTAAAGAGTAACTAATGGCAAAGATGATGACTTTAGGGCAGTAGTGCTCGGGCTCTTTGCCGTAGTCCGTGGGTTGTCTCGGGTCCACAAGAGCTACAATGCCGCATATCCGTGCAACTCGAAGCTGGTCGTGTGCCTGTTCTCGCACAAGATCAACCACCGATACGTGTGGTGCCATGAGATTTGAATCAAAAGTAGAGGATGGGTTGTTCTTGAAATTCTATTAAGTGGACTCGGTATTGGTCTTTGGACTAGGTAGGAGGAACGAGGCATATGGTCACCGTTCACCTACTTAGTAGGGGTGATTTGAATGAGTTCTTTAAAAGTGGCACATGGTTATTTCCAAAGTACCCATAGTAATGGATAAATGATGGCAATATGCATTGTCCATAGATGTAAATAAAGATTCAAATGGGGTTTGGTGGTTAATAAGTAGGACGGCAAGACAGAGTTAGAGGTGGAAATATGTACGTCCACTGGTGTTCGAATGAAGAAATCAACTGGTCTGGAGGTTCCGCTCCGCTCTAACTCACCACATTCCCGCTTCCAACTCTTTTACATCCCCCTCCATCTCTCCACCTCTCCCTCCCCTACGCGCCTTTCTCTCCACGCCCTCTCCACGCCCTCTCCACGCCCTCTTCTTCTCCTCTTTCCCTCTCCCTTCCGTTCTCCATCCGATCTTGCTCCCCTCCTCGAACCTTCTGCTCTTCCATTCCCCGCCTCGTACTCCACGGACCCTCTTCGGTAGGTCATCTTTCCATCTTTTGATTCTTCCACCAACATCAGTGGCATTTATCATACCCCAACTGTTGCGCTGAGTAACTTCACATGTGCGCTTTTGTATGTTGATAGCGGAAGTGCTAACCATAATGTCAATCAGAGAAGTTCCGTTCCTCTTTCCGCTCCGCGACCGTCACGTATCTCTGTATTCGAAACTGTATACCAAAAAAGGAAATTCATTATGGACGGCATGGATATCGAAACCCCCGACTACCAAGCTGTTGTTGACGAGACCGTGACTGATGCCTTCGACGCTCCCGATGGTGACATTGATGCTACTCCCAAGACCGAAGAGGAGTATGCGCAGTCCATGCTGACTCTTCGTGCCATCGTCTCCTCTAAGGAGGCCGGTGTGATCATTGGCAAGGCCGGAAAGAACGTTGCTGATCTGCGCGATCAGACCGGTGTCAAGGCCGGTGTCAGCAAGGTTGTTCCGGGTGTCCATGACCGTGTTCTCACTGTCACTGGCCCTCTGCAGGGCACTGCTCGTGCGTATGCGATCGTGGCTAAGGGTCTTCTGGAGGGTGCCCCGCAAATGGGCATGGGTGGTGTTGTCTCCAACAATGGGACCCACAGTAAGTACACCTCGATATTTCTCCCCGCCTGGGGCTCAAGGGTCGTCTGTAAAGAGAACAAGAAAGCATTGTTACTCTTCGAGAGATGCCTTTGCAGCTCCCATGTAGAGACCGCGTGGTTGAAACTATATCAAAACATATACTTATTACTTTTTGATTCTAGCCGTGCGCCTTCTGATCTCCCACAACCAGATGGGTACCATCATCGGACGACAGGGCCTGAAGATTAAGCACATCCAGGATGCATCCGGTGTCCGCATGGTTGCCCAAAAGGAGATGCTCCCTCAGTCTACTGAGCGCATTGTGGAGGTGCAGGGCACCCCCGAAGGCGTTGACAAGGCTGTCTGGGAAATCGGCAAGTGCCTGATCGATGACTGGCAGCGTGGAACTGGTACTGTCCTCTATAACCCTGCCGTACGTGCAACAATTGGCTCGCAGCCTCTCACCAACAGCGGCAACGCTGCCCCGGCGGCTGGCAACGGTTACGTTAGCCGTCAGTACAACCGCACCGGCAACGGTGCCGACTTCAGCGACAACAGTGGTGGCTTCAACCGCCGGTCTAACTCGGATGCCGGCACTCGCGGATTCCCCTTGGTCACCGAAGATGGCGAAGAAATTCAAACCCAAAACATCAGCATCCCTGCGGACATGGTTGGCTGCATCATCGGTCGGGCTGGAACCAAGATTACCGAAATTCGCCGGAGCTCTGGAGCTCGCATCTCTATTGCCAAGACTCCCCACGATGACACTGGCGAGCGCATGTTCACCATTATGGGAAGTGCCTCGGCCAACGAAAAGGCCCTGTACCTTCTATATGAGAACCTCGAGGCTGAGAAGACTCGCCGCCACCAGCAGCCCCAGGAGTAAGAAAAACCTCCAATTCCCCTGGCAGTCTTAATGGGAACGCTTGTCACGGTCCCCTTTTTGCGTAGTATCTTTGAACCTTATGACTTCAGAGACTGTCGGTCATGATCAGCGGCGGTCATGTGCAAAGCGCGTCTATTTTTTCCCCCTCTTGATTCCCGTGTTATCCGATTTCTCCTTCCTTCTTCACGCCTCGACTCACGAGGTAAAAATTGCTCTCTGATAATGTCTCCCTCTGGGTTTAAAAATGTCCATTCTTGTTGTTGTTGAACTTGGTTCGACTGCCCCTTTAAGCTCGACAAGCTTGACCTCCACCTTTCCCTCGAGTCTACTCATTGTACTTTCTTTTACCTCGAAGATCCAGCCTTCGTTTCGCCAAAATCCTACGCGATCATCCCAACCTTCCCCTCGTCGCATAACCTTATCACTTTTGGCTTCCTTTACCTCTCGGTCTCTACCTTTTGTACCCTCATATTTTTCTCCCCTTCCACGCTTTTCGTCCGCTTCCTTATTACCTAAACATCAAACCATCTCTCCATGGACTATGATTTATATCTTAGCCTTGATTATTCGTTCGCCCCCTTCTCATGTCCTAATTGCAATGTTCGCCCTCCCTCACCTCCCCTATCTTTCCTTGTCTGCACCTCTCAATCTTCGAAACTCCTCTGAAACTCCGAAAAAAAAACCTTTTCATTCTAATACCATCTTTTCCTCTAATTCTGCTCTTCAATCCGCTCTTCTATTTATCTTAAATTGCTCTCAAATGCTTGTTGTTTCTTCTCCCTCAGTATTTTATGTTCAATGTATGTGACCGGAAATGTCACAGCATATGTATACAGAGCTTCTGGGCACCAAATATGTACTCAAAGGACGATACCTCTGCCACGGCGAGCATTTGACATGGTCAATAATGGTTTCCAGGGTTCTCGTAGACTTGTATTGTTTTATTCAAAGACAAGAGTTCTAACGATATTTATCCATCAATCTCTTAGCAATGACATTGACTGTGGTGGGCAGATGTGCACCGAACTAATGTCAACATTTGAACGAGAGTCCATGAGGCATATGGTACTCAATAACTACCATATAACCCGTGCGTACATATATGGACGTATCATCTCAGTTTCTACTACATCTATATTCAACCTTAAAGCAACTCACTTAAAGCCGCCTCAAGAATAGCATATAGCGTCTCCCCAAACAAGGCCAGTGTCTCCGAACTCAAAGAAGAAACAGTCACGTCCTTCACATGACATCCCTTCTCCGCTTTGACTCCATTCAATCGCTCCGACAGCCAAGTCAAAGCAATACCCGACCCTGCAACCGACTCACTCTCATGATCTCCGACCGAATTCCGATGATACTCAATATTCGCCCCATCAACACAATACTCAGCAACAACCTCATCGGTGTCTGTGACAGGACTGATCTCATCCCCAATAGCCTTGTAAACGAACATCGGCGCAGAAGGTGTCCCATGAATCCCCAATTGGCCATACCAATGAAAAATCGACCTGGGCACCTCCATATCAAACGAAGCCTTCCCGTGCACAAAATATGAATATATATCCTTGTACGCACCGGCAGCACTCGCCTCCGCCAAACAACCATCCGCAATCGAATAGAACGACTCCTTCTTTGCCGGGACCAAATTCTCCTCCAACCACACCTTCATATCCGGGAAAGCTTTCGATATCCCATACAGACCAGAGAACGTTAGCCCCGCAGCGGAAGTGTTATGAATCGTGTGCAACACCGAGCTGACATTCGGGACCGTGCCACCGACTGCCACGCCCGCGAAGTGAAGCTCAGGTGCGTATGAGGGCTGCAGCTCGGCTGCCCAGGTTGAGGCGAGAGAGCCGCCAGAGTAGCCCCATAGTGCGTAATTGGGGTTTCGGGATAGCCCGAGTGAAGGGCCGATGTTCAGGACTGCGCGGGTGGAGTCCAGCACTGCGAAGCCGGATTGGAGACCTGTTGTGTATTCGGCGTTTAGGCCTTCGTAGTCGGTTGTGTAGACCCACCAGCCTAGGTTTAGGGCTGCGGCAATCTGTTGTGACGGGTGGTGTGAGATTCAAATTTTTGGAATAGGAGTGTGTCCACCCCTATACTAGGTGCTAGTAGCTTGCGTGCTTCAAAGTACAGTGGATATAATGGGTGCAGTACTCACGAATGGGGGATCTAGGGATATGCTGGCCACCGAGCCGGTCAAGGTATCATTTTCTGTTTGCAATGTGTAAGATGGACTGCAGTCCACATTTGCACTGTCGTAGTATGTTTGGTATCCCAGTACTTTGCTGGGATTGGAGTTATGGGGTTCGATCAAAGTGACCACAGCTGCTGCTGCTGCACCGAGGTTATCTGTTGTTCGAAACAGATACTGGGATACGGCTTTGACGGAGACGTTGACAGGGAGGGACGTCAGCGATTCTAGCTCGGGGGCCAACGAGCGAGAACGGACGATGTCTCCGGGTTTGTAGGAGCCTATGTTTTTGGGCTGATCATACCAGCAGTCTTGAGATGGGGGCGGGGCGATGGCAGAAGTGAAAGCAGATATGAGGAGAGAATAGAAGGTTAGAAGAGAAGTTGACCTCATTTTGGGTGGCACGATTGATAGCAGAAGGGAGCAGAGATGAGGAGAGAGAAGAGAGATGAGGAGAGAGAAGAGAGATGAGGAGAGAGAAAAAAGATGAGGAGAGAGAAGAAGGAGAATAGAAGAGTGACCAGCCCTCAAGCTAGTAGTGTCGGTACAGCTGAGTATGTAGAAGAGTTGAAGGTCAGTTTTAAATTGGAATGATAACACTTATATAGTCGGTTCCCAGGATTTGCTTGGCTATGTATGCATCTGCATACTCACATGTGCAATGGAACAATCCTGTTGAAAGGTTTAATATTTTATTATCGATCATTTCAGCTGACCGATATATCCGCCATTCAAATGCTATTTCGTCCCGGTCTCCACTTGAGTTCTCTGAGACGCCTGAATCAGAGACATGGATGAGCCTGGGATGGGATATTGGAGGGTGAGATTGAATTGGCAGCCTGATTTGCATTTGCTCAATCCAGGAACGGGCTTGGAATGCATACATGCTCGAAAGGTATCAAGTAGGTATACTCGAATCTCGACTATAACCTTGGAAGTATAATGGAGATCAGCAGGCCCCGTTTATGCAGGTCTCGTATAGAAATTGCGGGGACGGATCTTTATATCCGAAGCCCTCGGGACGCTTACGAATATGCCCCAGAATATTGAGGAGAGTACAAGCCATAGCAAGCCAAAACAGGCCCCAAATGCTCTAGTGTGCATCGTTTGGTGCTTGGCGGTTAAAGATGGTTGGTGCCAGGAAGCCTGGAAGTGGATCCATCTCCAAGCTCGATTAGAATCGCAAGTTATTTCCTCAAATGTACTTGTGTCCGCGAGCTCGGCGGGCTCGGCGAACTCGGCATAAGCACTATGCACCCCAAGGCTGTATCTACTCTTTGGTTGCCCGGAAGTATTCCGCTGATCACCTCAGTTCAGCTGGCCAATGCATCGTAAGCATGTCCAGATTCTTTGTTGACAACGATCAACTTTGAAAGCTCATTACTAGTATGTACACCCGTGGACCCGCGAGCTCCAGGGGTGGTGGGGGGTTTACTTGAGTACTACGAGGTTCGTTCGGGTTTGCAGGTAGGTAAGATTCAGTTGAAAGTTCACATTCATTCGTTCGTAAAAGAAACTCGTTCCATATAAACATGTATCCAGGCTCCACATCAAAACTAAACATGAGAAATAGTACCCCGGTTCAAGGAAGAGAGCCAGGTCAAAAACAAAGTGTGCAAATGCAGAAAACAAAAGAACACAGGAAGAGGACGCCGTTGTGATGGTTGATTTTTTTTTGTACATGGGTCCATCCAGTGCGTTTTGAATGGATTGAAACCTCAAAAGAACAATGGACATGAGAAAATGAAACAATGGCCATCAGAGACCAGGTGTGCTTGACTTCATATCAGACAGAAGAAATTCGTCGATGCATCAGGGTCGGAAAGGATGCTATGTGTTGGGATAATGCAGTAAAGGTCGCCAGACCCGGTTCCGTATGCATGCACTAGTAAAAAAAGCGTCTAAAAAATAGTAAGATGAACGCCGAATTGAAGCCGAAATCGCCGGGTGGAAAACAAGCAGATGCGATGTCGCTGCGTAATAAAATGTATCAAAAGGGCATGGACCGTGGAGATAAGAGTCGGTCGGTCAGAGACGGGCATGCATGATGACGAACAGATGTAGCAAATGAGAAGAAGAAGAAATGAAACAATCAGCCTCAATCGATGCTATCGTCTAAGTTGACACCGTCGTCGGGCATGACTGCGGAACGTCGTCTCAGGGCGAACTTGCGACTCCCCAAACTATTGGTTCGGAGGCGGGGCTGTTGAATGGGAGTATAACTGGTGACCGATTTGCCTGATGGTACGCTAATGCGAGTCTGTAAAGGCTGTATTTGAGAGGTATGAGGGTTTTGCTCGATTCCAGGTGTAAGGCCATATCGACGGGATCCTGCCTGGATGTTGGAGCGCGATATTGCAGGGGAATAGACACCAGGTGTCATGTAGCCACGGCGGAATGGGATGCTAGACTGAGATGAGATGCCAGTTTGAGATAATGTAGAGGGTGTTCGAGGTTGCGATGCCGGGGTATGCGGGGTTGTTGGTGGGTACTGTGGGGAGCGAGGTGTGATCGCAAGGCCCTGGTCTTGCTGAGCACCGGAGGCTGAACGGGTATTGGATTGGCCATAAGAGAATCGCTGACGTGGCGATACACTTTGAGCTGGACTCGGTGTAGCAATCTCAGCCATAGTGATAGCGCGGGAAAGGGAGCGGCTGTGAGGGTTTGGGGTCTCCAAACCTGTGTCCTCGGTAGCAGGTGCCCTGCGACTGCGGAGTGAGGTGGAGATGCGGTGAAGGCGGCTCGGTGGGGTAGGGAGATTGGGCGACTGGGCTGGCTTAGGCTCAACCGTAGTAGACCCTGGGCTTGGATTGGCCACTGATGCTCTGCGTGCCTCGAACCGACTTGATATGCGATTGGTACTTGGGCGCCGTTCAAGACCCTCTGGTTCATGGCTGGTGGCTCGGTACGAGGATGTTGGTCTCAGCGACTCGACTTCGCTACCATTTGCCCGGGGCTGCAAGGTCGAGGTCGAGGTCGGACCTTGACTCGAAGAGGGTCGGCACCTCTTGAGCTCTGCATCAGTCAAAGCCAAGCACAGTTCAGTGAGACTCCGACAAACACTATCCGCCTTGCGACGTGCATGGCGCTCAGAGGACCCATACCCTCCATTGACAACCGAGACGGAGCCCGACGGAGCTGTACTGACGCCCAATATGGTCGAAAGAGCCAAGGCATCGGCGATCGTAACCTCTAGCGTGGCATATACGTCATTGTTCAGAACCATCTTGGCCTTAGCTAATGCCGACTGCAAAATAGGATGCACATGATTTTGCACGGTGTTTTCTGACTCCATGGAAGGGCTGCTGGCTTTGCGATAGTGTTTGGGAGAGGTGGACAAGGCTGTCATCGTGGTAGCGGCAGTTCTTGGTCTATCGCTGGACCCCGAGATGGCTGCTTGGGACGACGGGGGTAGTTTTCCAGTCAATTCCAGTTTGCGAATACGAGATTTCAAATCGTCTAATTGATCCCAGACGGTAGAGGGAGCCGTTGTGGATAGATTAGATTCGGTTTCATCCACTCGCGCTTTCTCGGTGTCGTCTTGAGCGCGTTCAGTGACCTCCGAAGTGGATAATCCCCTACTGCTTCTGACGGAAGACAAGCCGGAATTGCGATGGAAGCGCGACTCATGTAGAGATGCGCGGCGCTCTCGGGGCTCATGGTCCCTATTCACAACTGGGGATCTGGGGGAGGTCTCAGGGCTGATGCGACCGAGTCGGCTTCGGGTTACGCCAATCGTAGATCGTGCACCTGACGTCAAGCCTGAGTAGCGAAAGCGACTTGTGTCCTCCAGTGGATGAGCCGATGCGGCTGGCGAATGAGGAACAGAGCTATATTGGAGGGTAGAGGAGCCATTCTGGGAATGCAAGGGGTTGTCAACATTATTGGGGCGATGGTCTGGGGAAGGGGTGTATTCTTCGTCGCGGGTGGTTGGCGACCGTAAACTTCCACTGGAATAACCCACTCGAGACTATATACGCACACAGATGTCAGCATCGGCCTCCAATTTTTATTTATTTCATTTTTCATATTGTTTCTTTCTCTTTTTTTTTTTTGCTGGAAATGGAAAGGTTCTTCCAAGGTTGAAAAGTGGTGTTGCGCCATGGTCGCTGGCGCGAACGGATAACAATAACAACAACAAGGAACACAGGGAGAAGCGAAGAACTCACCCGTCGAAAGTCCGACCGTCCCAGCGACTCTCTACGGACAGAGTCAGTTCTGGCGATGTTTAGGAAGATATCATCATTTTTAGGTCTGTTGTCATCGATGACGGCCTTGCTCTCAGGCAAGCGAGGGGCGGCGTTCAAGCTGCGGCCATTACCGCTTGACAGCGTTCGTGTTTCGGAATAGGCCATGCTCGATGGCATGACGCTGTTTACATGAGGGCGGAGCGCAGAGGGGAAATCTTGGTTGGGCAGCTCCGCGGCATTGGGATCTGAAGACAAAGTCGCGATCGCACTGAGTGAAGAATGGCGTTCTGGAACTGATTGGTTTTGGAGGCTGGGAGAGAAGCTTGGAACCGATCGTCGGGTCCAGTGCACTCCCCTAGTCGGGGTGGTCAGACTGGTCAGAGTGGCAGGAGCGGGCGTTTCACGACTGGCCGCAGTGGGGCTTGGCTTGGTCCGAATGTGAGAGCTTCCAATGCCCTGATTGTCTAGACTGCCACTCCAACTGATTCTTTCCTTGCGAGTTGGACGAGAGAATTCCACCAAGGTCATGATGCTTTTTTTTCAATATAAGCGGTGTTTTCACACCGCTGCTTTTTTTTTGGACTTTTTCTTCTTCTCGATGGGATCTGATCTCTGGGGAAGCTACCGATCATGCATCGTGCATCACTGCAATGCACACTGACAAACAAAGAACCCTTGCACACGAGGGAAGAACCTTGGAAGCCCTAGTTCGTTAAAATTCGAATGGATTTTTTTCTTCACAGTAATCCGTCATCTCCCCCAAGGATGAAAGTACGGAGTAATAAAATTTAGATATACAAGTGGCTGGGGGAAAAATAGGAAAAAAAAAAAAATTCAATGAACGGAGCCCCATTTACGCCCAACTCCATTAAACGTGGACCCTTCATTAAACCTATACTCCGTAGGGGCAGTGTTGACGGATCACTAAAAGTATTGATTGAATTTATTTCTCTAGAGGAAAATTGCAGTGTTTCAAGGTTATGATCATTTTGAGGCTTGAGATGTAAACATGAAGTACTAGTATACTTATGTACATGACAGGCTAGGGCTAGTCCTACATAGGCAAGTGTCTAAACCACACAAATAATGCAATTCTCCGTGCTAATAGACTGCTCTGACTGCTCTGACTAATGACTTTCTATTTTTCGTCAAACAAATAATGCATCGACCCATGGAACCAGACTGGTCGACCCATGGAAGTTGCTACTGTCTCTGGAATGGGCACCTTTCTGTATCTTTTCTACGGCAAAACTGGAAGGAATTTCCATTTTCCCAACATTTGTGGATTCTGAATGTTCATTTCCACGTGGACTCTGGCCCACGGGGAAATCGTGGTCGATCCAAATAGTGGCCATCTTCGTTATGGATTCATCCACTCACTCACCTGGGCTGACCAATCGATGAGGTAACCACTGTTGACATGTTTACAGGTTTTGTTGGAAGGGCTCCGATCCGGGCTCCATAGTTGATGGAGTATAACACATGAATGACTCTGATTCATTGGCTACCATCGGGGAATCATCGGGATCTGGCAGCTTGCTTAGAATGCAAACAGCCGCCAAACTGTGGCCCGGGTTGGTTTTCAGCTTCCCTCAGCTTTTGAGTGGATGTGTCAGGCTGGTTCCATGCTTTCCCAGGGAGGGGGGCTCTACCAGTCGGTGGCGCCGTCATGAACTAGCCTACCTGGGTTCCATGAAGCGAACAGCCGCCAGCCCTGTGGACGGTGGATCAAAATATCCCTTTGTTGGTCGTCTGGAATCAACGGTTTTGTGAGAAGGGGTAAAAATTGGAATGAAAGGAGAGACGGTGATGGAGCTGAGCGGTACTCCGTTCTCAGGTCATGTGCGCCTCCTGAGTTGTGTGGGAGTCTGTATACAATAGAGGTTGACATAATGGAAACATGTAGTTGCGGGGATGCCCTGATAGCCGAGGGGATCTACTGTATGTGATACTGGATATTTCTCATTGAGATTGATCCTCGCATCGGGGACCATGGTTGACCTGTGAACCAAGATCATTGTATGTATGTACTACATATGTAACTGTAGTATTTGTTTACTCTGTACGGAGTACCTGCATGGTGGTACATGGTCAAAAGAACGCCAGTGGCAAACGAGTATCAAGGACCCGAAACCCACGAAACCCACGAAAACCCGAAACACGCAAATCAAGAGCCAACGTCAGCCACTGTGCCTCAGGGGAAAAGACAGGGGACTTTATTTTTAGAATTTCACTCATCATGAAACAAAGAGGTTCATGGATATCACTCATGTTACAGTCTGAAACGAACCAGGATCCTCCAAAAACGGTTGCTGCGCATTCCAATGATTGATTTGCTGTATATCTAGACAGGGCAATTCACTCCAAATCTTCTACTTGGGAAGTGCAGATCTCAGCCAAAAAGGAAACAATGATTGATAGGATAAGCCCTTGAACAAGTTGTGTGCCTTACGCCGCGCTATCGATTAACTGGGGATAGACTCAATTGTCAACCTTGGAACGCAACATTGGAAGTTTCAGGGCTGGGAGTTCCCACGTGGAAAAGCAGGTCGATCAATGTTTTCTTTTTCTGGGGGTTCTTTTCTTTTCTGTTCTGTTCTTTTCTTCTCCAGGATCCGCTGATATTCCATTGTTCTTACCTTCCCCAAGTTTAGGGCTGTCAAGTGTGCCTTTTGATGTGCAGAGTGATAAGCGTGGAATGACCTCATGGGAAATCCAATTTTTTTGGCTGAAAGGTTCAAGGTGATCATCCTTAGAATGCCAAGTATCGTCAAGTACGTACAGCGATAGGCTGTTGGGGGGGGGGGAAGGAGGGGGGTTCTCTGCCAAGAAGGCACTAGCGTCTGCTAGTGCGGGATTGGTGTGTTTCAGAAATGGGCAACCCAGATCCATTGCAGGTTCGGGGGGTTTCAGATGAATTTGATTGAAAAGAGATGGGGAGAAAGAAGACCTGAATAGAGAAGGTATTTTTTTTTTCGAGGAAGACAGGCAATTGTTGTAAGGTAGAGATTACTACAACTCCTGCTTTTTGCTGTTTTCCCACTGCTGTATACTCTGTTACTCTGTTACATTGTTACTCTGCTCTGTTTCTGTTCCATGGAACAGTCAGCGTTCACCCGTGCGAAGATCCGTGCGCGCGGGTCGGAAAGCACCGAATTTGGAATTCTCTCGAATCAAAGTCACTGCGCCTTGTTCAACACGCAGGAGAATCCACATCTTTCCCGTCTTCTTTGCAAGTCAATTTGCTTCTCTTCCTTGCCACTGGTACATTTCAGTGGATCGAGTTCTTCCTTTTTCCCCCCCACTTCCCATGTAATCACCGGGAAGGAATTTGATCCAACCATCGGAATTCCTCCATACAACATGTGAGAAAGACCACCTTCCCCAAGCCTTCAGCTGTGGGACCATTGTTTTTTGGTATTGTTTTTTTTGGTATTTTTTTCTTTTCTTCTCAAGTGGACCCGGGATAGGTGTTGAGCTGTGTGTTTTTTATGGTCGTTTTTGTATGTTTTTATTGTACTCCATCGCGCACGCCATCAACCCGAGATTAGTGTAGTCCTTTGATTTATTTTACTATATGGATACAGGATGAGCATACGATCAATACCGACGTAATGGGAATTACGTTATTTTCTTATATTTCCTCATATTTTCTCATATTTTGTCATATTTTGTCATATTTTTCTAATATATTTATTGTTTTTTATTGTTTTTTTTTTAACTTGATCTTTCCACTTTCCAAGTTACAGTAGCTTGGTGTGCTTGGAAGGGCAGGGACCTCTTATTTACGTGCATTTGACGCCGACGCAACGACGCCCCCGGCGGCTAAAATTAGAGATGGTATAGTATAATACATGTATAGCTTACTAGGTACTCATCCATACCTCCTCTGGATCTGCTATTGGGGCCCTGAGAGATCCACTTGTAACAGAAGTATCAGAGTACGGAGTAAAGAGAAAATAACAAGTGGGCCTGGGAAATCGGACATCTCTAACATGTATCAGAATTCCCCATCTAAATAAAACCAGTAAGGGTCCAAACTTCACTCAATCTTTTTCTCTTTTGACTCTCCCCTTTACCCCCCCCTTTCAACCTTGTATATTCCCTCGGGGATAACAATCTTCAAGTTCTTCTTTCATTACTTCGTTCCCCGGAGGAATCGAAAATCAACCTTGGCCCCAAATCTCCCCGAATCCCCCGCCCCCATTTTTCAATTCGGATTCCGTCTCCCTGTTTTCTCGTCATTCTTTTCGACCAACTTCGGATTTCTATGTGAATATTCCTTTTCGACATCTTCAATCCTCCAGCCTCTTCGCCTTTCTTCTCTTTATTCACTTTATTCACCCCAACTGCGCCCAACTGCGTCACTTCTCGTCACTTTTCTATATACTCCCCCCGACAATACAAAAAACTAGTGGCAACTGATCTTCCGGGTGGCTTGATCTGGTACGGACTTTCTGTCTTCCCTCTGCTCTCTACACTTCGTTTCATCTGCAATGTGACTCGTGCCTGCGCATTTTGTCTCGCGGTGTGCAGATCATTGGTCTCAGCCCTTGCTTCCACCGGGAGAATAACTTCACTAACACCTATTAAAGATTTTTTTTTTATAAAGAAAGAGCAGAAAACGATTCCTAACTTGCGCAGGTAGCAAAGGGGAAAAAAAAAAGAAAACAAAACAAAAAGAAACGATCCGAATGCCCCTCTAGCCTTCTGTGGATACGTGCGAAGCTGTTGGGTCTTTTTTTGGGATTTTGGAGGGGATTCAACCTTTAAAACACAGCTTGTCCCCGAATCATGCCGGTACAAACCAGTCCGCCGTCCTTCCCGGACTCGTTCCCTTCATTTATGTCTGTCTATGGTGGCTTGCCTCCCCACTACGAGGAAGAAAGCTCCTGTCACCTCCAAGCTTCGGCTCATTTCTCTTCAAGACCTCTTCGTTCTCACCGTGAGAGTGTATCCTCAACCGCCTCCGCCTCGACCGAATCATCACCGACTACCACTGTCTCCCCCTTTGACTCGCCCTTGGGCGGGGATATCTCTCCTAGCTCATCCCCAGAATCTCCTTCTGTCATGTCCTTGTCATACCCCAAATTAGCACCTCCCGCTCGTGCTCTTGACGTTGTTACACGACCGACAATGGCCGACAACTCTAGATTATTGTCAACGCCTCAGGCGCGTCCTGACTCGCCAAACCGTCGAGCCCGCAACCTTAAGAATTTGTCATTGCGGATGCCGCCCCCGACACAGACGCGACCCCCCATTGCCACCGCATCCCTAGTGGAGACATCGTCTAGGCACCTTTCTACCCCACCATCCCCGATTCAGATCCCCTCCAAGAGCTTCCGCCGCCGTCCGGCGAACCTCACCATCCAAACACCCACTTTCAACACTTCCTTCACTGGGCCCGAAATTGTACCCCCAACTCCTTCCTTTGGACTGCATTCCTTACGCCATGCCGAGTCATCGCCTTCACTTGCATCCATCACCTCGCCATCCTTTGCCCCACGGGGTGGCATGAAGCTTCCTCAGCCCATCTCGCATAACAGCACGCATCGTTTATCAAGCATATCTGCAGAAAATGTCTCTTCGCTCGCCGGTATCTCCGACAACGATACTACCACCACCCACCGTGTTCTCCCGGGCTTAGAAGAAGAGGACGACCGTATTGATTCCCGCGAGTCAACACGGAAAAAGGACCGCGGGTACCCGGAGGGCCCCATTAGGATTTACGATTCCGGTGTTTGGCTTTACTTGGAACCGACCGCAGAGGAAGCCGCAAAATTCGATTTGGTGATCAATGTTGCCAAGGAAGTTCGCAACCCATTTAACAAGGACCAGAGTGAGCGAAACGACACCGTGATGAGCACATGGCGCAACGCATCCATGGCCTCCAAGCGATTCTCCATGGAGGATCCCCAGACTGCCATGTCGGAGATCTCTTTCAAGTCTGCCTTTGAATTCCAGCCCTCTGATTCGGAATCTGCGACTCCCACCACATCCACTCCGAAATCCGCTCCCCCGCCAGAGTATATTCATGTCGGTTGGGATCATAACTCTGAGATTTTGGATGACCTGCTTCCATTGTGTGAGCTTATTGATGAGCGAATCGCCCAGGGCAAGAAAGTCCTAGTCCACTGCCAATTGGGAGCTAGTCGGTCGGCATCTTTGCTAATTGCGTATGGTCTATACAAGAATCGCCACATGGACTTTAACTCCATGTATGAAGCGGTCAAGGGACGAAGCCAGTGGGTGGGGCCCAACATGAGCCTCATCTACCAGCTTACCGATTTCCGGGGCCGGCTGACGCGCGGCTCACCTTCCCGCCCTGCTCCCAATGAGTGGTGGTCAAAAGGCGGTAACCGCAGGAGCTCAGAGCCTCAACTCACGAACGAGGAGCGAGCAGCCTTGGCAAACACCCCGGGGACTCCCCAGGCGCCTTACCGTGCCTTGGTCCAGGCGCCCTCTATGGGTTGTTTGTCTCTCCCACCATCGCGTCTGGCTCGTCCCAAGACGAGCGATAATGGGAATCGGTCGCCAAAGCGTAGTCTATCTCCCCGTCCGTTGCCGTTCCGGCAAAAGTTCCAGTCTGTTGAGCCTGTGCATGGAAGACCAAGAGGAATCCCACGCAACGTCAGCAGCTGTGATCCCCTCGTTCAAACCCATGTGTTTTTGCGCGATACACCACATGCTGGCGGCTTGCTCTCGCCCAGTGCAGGCTTGTTCTCCCCGAGAACCTCGGGCTTCTTGGCTCCACCTGCTCCTTTGCCCCCTCGAGGCATTGATATGGTGGCAACCGCCCCCAACGCTATGCAATATGCAAATGACATGGCTGATCCCAGATCCCCTCCCCCTCCTGCAGGTGGTGAGCGCATGATCATGAGGAACATTGACGAGTTCCTGTAATTTTATTACCCTGCTCCGAAAAGGACCAGGATCTGCAACGATTTCCACGAAACCCCTCTCGACATTTTTGCATGTCTTTCATGATCCTCATTTCCGGATCTTTCATTTTACTGGCCTCTTGCTTTTGGCTATGCCTTTTTCCTTTACACCAACCTTCTTTTTTTCTTTCTTGCCAGTCACATACCCCTAGACTGTGTTGATGATTCCATGACCAAAGCAGGCTTTGCTGTCTCTCATCTCCTTCTGCCACATTTCCCTCCTTCCAGGTGACACACTCGCCTGATCTCTATCGCTCCCTTTTCCTCTTTCCTCTTTTTGATCTTGGCTTTCGTTTCTTTTCATATCCATCATCGGGATGAAAATGCGCCTTCAACACCTTGGATGCTCGCAAAGACTTATATCTTCCGGGACCCAATAAATGTAATATTATTGCAGAGGATGGTTAGGCCTTTTCTATACTTGGTTGGCCACCAAGCAACCCCCTTCGCTACCTTTTTTCATTTTGTGAAACTTGTCCACACGACAAGCCTTCGTTTATCTTTTCTTTTTTCTTCTTTGATTTCTTTCCTGTTTCGTGGTCCGTCTATCCATGTACCACTGGATATGGCCGGATTGCACGATCCATAAATACCCCCTGTGCGCAGTCTTAATAGAAATGGACAGCTTCGAGCTTCAATTCAAATCAATTCAAATCAACTCATCCAATCAAATCCTTATACAACCTTAATCCAGGTAGGCTTGTCATGACGTATATTGAACAAAGTTGGTACTGTAGATTGAGGGATTAGATGAGCGGGGGTTGATAGTCGATAAGAAGCATCTCCGCATCTCAAATTTTCTCGCGCTGCGAACACCCTCAATCACAACACAAAATGGCTGAAGACGCACACCCGACTTATCTCTCACCTAGTGAGCTAGGCTCAAAGGACTAGTAAGTGGAATTGAGTCCCCAATCACGCCTGCGGCTATATCCAGTACGATCAAGCTTGCAATCTCCCCCGCGCCTTTTTATCTACCCCTCCATACTACAATCCAACCCACCCATGACCCCAAAGCCATATAACCATTTACATCCGGCTGTCTTATGACCTTGAATACCATAAATATATACACATAATGCCCAAGTCAAATCATCCTCTACAAAATCGTTTACTAACAACCCCTAAAGCTGGGAAACCTACTACGCCCGCACCCTAGCCCACATCTCCAACGCAAACCCCGAAGAAAAAGAAGGTGCCGATGCAGACGAAGCAAACGACTCCGACGCAGACTCAGACGTCAATGATGAAGATGACCCCGGCACATCCTGGTTCTCAGAGCATAATGCCCCCGAAAAAGTCCTCCGCTTCCTAACCCGCCGCTCCTTCCCGCTCGCCCCGAAGAATACATTGCGTCGCGCTGCCAACTCACCGCAGCCTAGTATCCTCGACCTGGGTACCGGAAACGGGAGCATGCTCGCGCTGCTACGGAAACGTGGCGGTTTCGCTGGTAAGATGGTTGGCGTGGATTATTCGCCGTTGAGCGTCGAGTTGGCTAGGGAGTTGCAGAAGTCCAGGGGACATTCTGCTTATCGGACAGATTCCGAGGAGGAGAGCGAGGATGAGGATGAGGAGGAGGGTGTCGAAGGAGGCGAGGAACAAGCAGAGCCAGTACAGCCTCCCACTTCTTCTCCCATCCAATTCGAGGAATGGGACGTCCTGGGCTCGAACGCCGTGCTTTCGCCCGAAGGACTCGCTCTCCAGCCCGCTTCTCCGGAGATTCAGGCAGAGGGCAAGGAGGTGCTATCCTGGTTCCCGTATGCGTCGGGCGGCTTTGATATCGTTCTTGACAAGGGCACTTTCGATGCGATCTCGTTGGCGGACGACGCGAAGGAGACGAAGGTTTGCGAACGGTACCCCGATATTGCGAGGCGGTTGTTGAGGCGCGGTGGGTTCTTGGTCGTGACTAGTTGTAATTGGACGGAGGATGAGCTGGTTAGCTGGTTTACGGCCGGTGCTGGTGCGGATCGGTTGGTTGTTTGGGGGCGTGTGGAATATCCGCGGTTTAGGTTTGGGGGGCAGGAGGGCCAGGGTGTTTGTACGGTGTGTTTCCAGAGGGTTGGAGAGAGTGCTTGAGTAAATGCCCTCTACAGGTTGGGTAATAGATCCCCTGTATACAGTATGTATCAGGAATGGAGTGTACCTAGCTGGAATGGGTATGCCCGTAAATATTGAATGGTATTAGAGTCAGTCTGCGACTTTATTTTATGAATGCTACTACCCAGTAGGTACTTGGAGTCATTATCAACTGATAGTAGGACTTTGAATGGATCAATGTTTCAAATATCGGGTTCAGTGGGACCCGAATCATGAATGGCAAAAAGTAGCTAATGAGAATCTATAGCTTGTTTGACCGAGCGGTTAAGGTGCTGGATTCAAGTTAATTCTTGTCACTCGCAAAACGAGTTGCATCCCAGTGGGGAAACCCGCAAGAGTTCGAATCTCTTAGCAAGCATTTTCTTTTTTTGAAGTTTTTTTTCTTTTGGTTCCTTTTATTTGGTTACGACTCGTAATACTCACTCTCACGGTGGATTCAACACCACTGAGGCTTGATGATCCGTTTTATCTGCAAGAATGGATTAGTTGAAGCCGAGGTCTTTTGAAGCCGCACAACGACGACTTGGCTCGACACATCCAACAAAAGATGTCGGAATTTTGAAAAGTATATGACTCTGAAGAGTTCCTCACTCTAAGCAAATTATCAAGGCATTACTAGTAGGTTCTATGTTCAAAGGAAAGATCAATCGGGTTGAGTTTAAACGCTTCGTGATATGGTTACCTTTCACGATCAGCCTTTCTGTACTTCTTTGGACATCATTATCAAGCCTCTCGCCTACTAGCTTTGGATTAAGTGTCTCGTTTGCCAGGCCTCAAATTCTACCCAAACTTCTATAAAACTATCAGGCACGCAACAATCACCAACTGTCGAGCCCAATGTTTCAAGTAATGGAAGACCGTGTTAAGTATTAAGCATGAGGATCGATTCCGAAGCACTGCGTTACCCTCAAAAGCCAAAAGAAGAAAAGAAGCCACTATATCAGGGTCTTGGGGGCGTGGAATGCAAATTCTGACGGATACTACTAAAACTGACCTTGATCTTGGCTCGCTTATTCCCAGAGCGAGAACCATGCACATGTGATTAAAATCCGAAGTGTTTGTAATACCAATTCCAAGGTTGAGATATGCACATATCGACCAGTTGACATCTGGATGAACACGGGTTCTTTGGAATGAATGACTAAAACAGTCCCCGACTCAAATTATCCATCTACTAGTACCCATAGAGCTGGAATCCGTCCGATCAACCCTTGGAAACTATGCATCAAGATGATGACCATCGAGACCCTTCAAATGTTTCAAAGTTGTGTGTTCTTAACATCCCCACTACTTACATAAGTAGTATCTATCTAGAAGGAAAAGGGTCTAAATCTGTTGGCTATGAAGAAGTATCCTGCAAGTGGGAACATCCATGAATCAATCGATCTATTTCTAAAGTTGACGAATATTCTCGTCTTCCGTTTTAACTGGTCTCTTCTACTAGTAATTCTCTTCGCTTCAAAGTTCTCTTTCTTTCTTTTCAAAACTTGACCAGGTTGGGTTTTCTGCTTTTAGCCTGCATACCTTTTTTTTTGTATACCTACAAATATATACATAACATTGAATCCCATTCAAAAAATCGTTCGACTTGTCCAAGGTTGCCTCCAGATGTCATCTCCCGAGGTCTTTAGAGCCCTGCCCAGTTCAAATGTTGGCACTGAGATATTGCATCTATACTATGGAACAGCATATTCCAACCAAGAAATTTGTGTCAAGTCCCGCTGGAGGTCAGCTTCCAATTACCTCAATAGATAATTTCTAGATTCTTTTACGATAGCTTGTCTTTTCAAGGTTACCTAGCAGGTAGGTACATCAATAGAAAGGGAGTAAGAATTTAGCAGTCAAGGTGGCTATTTTTGTTTGTCTTGATCTATGCACATCTGGACGTTGCACGTTTCAAACTCCAATAAATTTTTGGCCTGTATATATCCAAATATCGGACACGTGATATATCAAGCTTGTTTGACCGAGCGGTTAAGGTGCTGGATTCAAGTGAATACTTGTCACTCGCAAAAACGAGTTGCATCCCAGTGGGGAAACCCGCAAGAGTTCGAATCTCTTAGCAAGCATTTTCTTTTTCTTCCTTTTTTTTTTTTGGAAATTTGGAAAGTCGAAACATTACTAGTACGGTTTCGCCATATGAAATCTGTCTATGATTGGCCAGTTATGGCTAAAAGCCCCATCATTATATAAGCAGATATTGGGACTAAGCTAATTTGGGCACGTTTGTCCGAGCGGTCTAAGGAGCCAGACTCAAGCTCAAGCTGATATCTGGTAGCGAAAGCTGCGCAGGTTCGAATCCTGCAACGTGCATATCTTTTGTTTCAATGTTTAAATCTTCATTGAATCAGTATTTGCTAGGAATTTGATTGCTTTATAAGAAATTGATAACAATTCGCCAATCTGGGAGTTTTCAAGTGTATACAGATGCTCCAAATCTGCTTTGATCTGAACCACCAGGTCAAACTTACAGGGGTAACTAAGACTCCATTTGTCCTGAGCCCACTAGCAAAATGCCCCAAGGTCTAATGCCCTGAATGACCTTCTCCACTTTGACATTCTACATACAAGCCCAATTAAAACCCCACTTTTATTTTTCTATGATAAGAACGATTCTAGGACAGAATTGTGTCCAAAGATATAGACATTTTGAAAAAGACATGAGATAGGAAACTTCCAAAAAGAAAAGAACCAAGGATTAAAGATAATTTGAAAAAACTATGACTATCTATTTACTTGAGTAATATTATCACGACAGAAAGCTGCCCAATTTCCAATTTCCAATTTCCAATTCCCAGTGGGCGGAAACTCCCCCGCTTCTCCCAACCCCCGCAACTAGACGAGGCCCAAGGCCGAGAACCAAAAACATTGAAGCACACAATTTATTTGCCAGAGCTATAGGTTGCTTTGACTGCATATTTTAGTACTCTATTCCCCACCTTTTCTCCGATTCTAGCCATAGCTTCAGTGGGAAATGGAATTCCCAACCGACACTGTTACTGAATACCTACTGGTATTTGGGTATGTATTTGGGTATTCCAGTACCTACTACTAGTATGCACTTTGGGGGACACGAGGGGCACAACGTGGTAAGGACGGCAGCTGAGCTTGGCGCCAGTGAGACTTGTTCTTTATGCCGGTTGATTTCCACTTTAAACCCAGAGCTCCTCCTGATTCATCCGTTCAAAATCATTTGCAGCAACAAACAACCTGCTGAATAACTTTCCTCCTTGCATTAATCTTCAATTGCAGTTTCGGCCGAGGCATCTACACCGGATGTTCGGCGTATGTTCAGACCAGCTTACCAAGATTTGACCAGGGTTATACTTCCGGCCCCAAAGTTCTTCCAATCTCTCTTTCGGTCTTTTGTACACGGTTTCAGTGGTTTCTAATCTGGTACGGACCTCAGTACGTTTCACGATGTTTTTCTTTCTTTCCTTTTTCCTTTGTTCTTTTTATTCTTTGTAATTTAATAATATCTGTAATCATGCTTCATTTTGATAATTCTTTTTTTTTAAACTCTTCTATTCTTTTGTTCTTCGGATCGGCCTAGTTCTTTGCCTTTTGCGCCTTTTCTTTGAGCTGAAAGATCGTCATCAGCCTCCCTTTGTCAGCCGTCAGGAACCCATGTTTCTGTGCGGAATGCCGTACGCCTCCGGAATGTGCCAGACTTGTTTTGTTTCCATGGTAAAGGGTTAGCCCCAAAAAAAAAAAAATATTCCATGAGCTGGATAAGTAGGTACGACAAGCTAAAGCACAGTTATTCCCCGCTAAGTTAGGCCACGCCCGCTCGGAGTAAAGATCCCCTCCGGGAGCGCTAGCGTGACGGGTTGATGCGACCAAAGAGCGATCTGATCGTCCCTGGCTTGAAATGGACAAAAATAGGTCATGGGAATTAAATTGTCAGATTAATTTGGGGGCATTTTTGAGAAAATTATTAATTAATAATTATTTTCCAACTTTTCCCCCCAAGGCGGAAACTATTTAAGCATTGATGGTAATATTTCCTAATCAAGGTATGGGTATAGACGGAGGAATTGGGTACTCCGTGATAAGTACAGTTACAAGGCGTATACAATTGTATACGTAAGTTTTGCAAATATACCTGTTTTTTTTCCCTTTTCTCTACCCAAAGTAGTAATTTGTCTAGATCAGGTGAAAGAGAGTCAAAGAGTCAGGTGATCCCGTGACTTCTCCTATCAGGTGCCCCGTGTCCACTTTCCATCCACATCCAAAATCCACATCCACATCCAACTTTCCCATTGCCCGGTTCTCAACCTTTCAATCCTCGGGGTGACATCATTGGCCCCACCCAGCTCAGGTCCTAGACCGGTCGATATCACTGCAGGTGATCGTGTCCCTTCCACCATTGGTGTTCGGTTCGTATACACTGCCTGTATCTTATTATCCTCATCCATTGGCCACCTCCTAGTGACTTGGTGAGAGGTACCTGAGCGCAAGCGGTTTCTGTTTTGTCAGGAAACCATTTCCCTTTTCCCTATTGTTCTTTCTCCCCCCTTGTGATCCTAGCGGGTGATCGTCAGGCAACTTGAATACTAGAAGGGTTTATCTTTCTTCTACCGAGATGCCATGAATGTGACTTTTGCTAAATTTAAAAACAGGCTTCTCAACATTGTTCGGACTGAATTAGGACCACAAAATCAAGTTCAATGCCTTCACTTTTTTTTTTTCTCGTTGCCTGCTGGAGTCAATGATCCATGGGTGCCTGGGGAGCCCTAGACCGGGAAGATTCTGAACTCTGCCCTGTATGGGAGTAGTGCACCAAGGGGACGGCGAACCATCCCACCCATAGAGCCCCTACAGCCTCCTAGAACTCCTTGATGGAAACTGGGGAAATGGAACCTACATATTAAAGATTGGAGCATTGGAATTATTGATGTCAGTGGTGTTCCCGTAGCCCCTCTTACTGGAGTCTTGTTTAGAATGGTGATCCGGAATCGCAGAAGCGAAGTGGAGCCATGGTTATCGCATCATCCTAAAGGGCCCTGGGTGGGACGCACATAGAAAGATTGAAGAAGAAATTTAAGTGGGAAAAAAAAGGGCATCTTGGACTTATATGGTAAAAGTTTAGAAAGTAGATGAATACGTAAAAGCCATCTAGAACCTACCATTTACCCAATACAACAAAAAAACCACGGTGTTACCGAAGATCGCCCCCCGCATGCTCAAAGGGAAAAGCCCCCGCAAAGCGCAATGAGCGATTTTGGTGGGCCACACCATACCGGATGGCTTGTACCAGTTCTCCTTCCTTTCTCCTCCTTTTTTTTTTTTTTACCCCTACAACTTTTTTTTTGTGTTCCTTACCTTTGACCTCTGACCTTCTTTTCCTCTCCACCTCCATTCTTCTTGCTATCGTTTTCCGAAATTTATATCTCAGCTCCCCTATTCACTTCTCCGTGTCTGCCTTCATAATCGCTCGGCACAGCCTAGATTGACTCACGCCCGAAACCCACTCCGCGTCATTCTACCAATTTCCACTCGGAATTGACTCCGATTCACGACTCTAAAGGCTTTCAAAAAATCCGTCGATTGCCAGAAAGTTCTTTACCATGGCCTCTTTCAAGGTATGTTCCCCTTATATCCTCTGGGAAATCGTGTGAGAGGGCGGTACCTGGGAAATTTCCTAGTTCCGCGGTTGTTTCTATTGTATACTGATTATGTGGCCCCGGTCCGCACAGGAATTGTCCCTCTCGCGTCCGCTCCCCAACACAACCCAGCGCCAACACTCTCACTCCATTTCTTTGGGTGCTGTCAATGCCAACCACCGTGTAACGCGTCGGAAGAGCGTCACCACCGCAGCTGCCAATGCTGCCGCTGCCATTGCGGCCTCCATGAAGGAGGGCGAGTCCGCACTACTTCCAATGGCCGCGCACCGCCGCAGCCTTGGGGGCCGCAAGGGTCTGGAGTCTACTTCGGTTGGAGGCACATCTGGTTTTAGTTCATACCTCTCGCGAAGTGTCAACAGTCCCAGCCAGGAGCCTCAGGTCGCTCGCAAAGCCTCCCCTAGCAACTCCGATGACGGCAAATCTGTAAAGGGCCGGAACCGCCGAGCCAGCGAAGGCGCCCAATCTAAGACTGAGGGAAAGCATGTTCCGGCTGACCTCCGCTGCGATCGCTGCGGGAAAGGATATAAACATGGCAGCTGCTTGTCTAAGCATATGTGTGTATCCCCCACCCCGCCCGGCCGCCTTTCTTCTAGAGCGGGAGTGTGCGCCATGTCGGCTCTGTGCAGGTCGCCCTCATGGTCACTCACCTCCCGTTCGGCATTCACCCCTCATCCTTATTTTATTTATTCGATGACAGTTGGTTGACATGTTTTCTTTTTTTTTGTGGTATAGGTGGGAACATGACCCAGCATGGGCCGTTACCTCGAAACTACTTATCTCCAAGCACCAGCAGGTCCAGCTGCTGGAGGCCGCCACGGTACTTGTCACCATGAACCAGGACGGTCCCGAGCAGTGCCACGAGCATTGCCCCGAAGCGGATTCCGAAGTTTCCTCCGGATCGCCCGACGCCTCTTCGGTCATGCGCGATGGATTCAGCTCCACTGAGACTACGCCTCCTCCGATTGACGAGGAAGAGGAGGATGACTTTGAGATGTCCGGCATGCCGGCCAACTGGACCAAGCGTCCTAGTATCAGCAATGCCTCGGCTTTCTCCCGATCCTACCACTCGATCCCCTCCAGCTCGTACAATGAGAGTGCTCCGCTTCACTCTCCTACCTTTTCCCACTTCCGCCAGTCCAGCATCGATACCCGCCCATCCACCGCTGACACCCGGCTACACGAGGACGACGAGGCTGATCTTGCTGCGGCGATTGGCTTGTGCAACTTTGGTACTCCCCGCACAGGGCCCGTTTCTATGACACCGGATGTGCCCCCTGTCCCCCCACTGCCGGCTCGCTACCTGGATTCAAGTTACCAGAGCCCCCGTCTGTCACAGCCGGGTCCGATGAACGAGGCGTACCGACGAGACTCCAACGCCGATCTTTTCCTCTCGGTTTCTTCGGCCTCGTTTAACCCGTCATTGTCATACAAGGTGTCGGATGAGCGTGGTCCTCGAAATGGACCCAAGGAAACTCAACCCCGTCGTCATAGCCGCAACGCGGACGTTGACTTTAGCAGCCGTACTGTTGCGCCTGTCGATGATGACGACGATGGCGTTTTTGGTCGCATGGAGGAATAATTGGCTTTATTCTTTCTTTTTTTTTCGGGGCATTCTCATTTCCGTTGCCCAGAGCCGATCCCAAGTTGTCGCAGTGTGTTCGTTTCGAGCCATCAGACGACTATTTTTACGACGCAATGTACGCGCTTGAGCGTTTTATTTTGGGAACCCTTTCTTGTTCACATTTTTTTCAAGCATGCTGCATAATGAAGAAACACACTCAACCGGGTTCATTTCAGCACCTCATTTGAAGCAGATCCCGGATGAGATGTGTTTCTCCTCGCCCAGCGTGCTTCAAAGATTTCGGGACCTTGCTGCCCATGTATCATGTTTCCTTGGCCCGCTTGTTCTTTGTTCGCACTTTCTTTTTTCCTCTCCGCTGCTAGTCTGAGCTCTTCTCCTACCCCTGTTCTGGAAACATTATAAATGGCCATACCTAATCGGCCGGCGCATATTCATCACATCCTATACCTTCCCCCTTTCCCTCTCACCCTAACGTCCTTGTCCTGATTTTACTTTCTTTTTCTTTTCTTTTTTTCCCGCCTGCTCGAACATATACCTTGTCCCGTTCTGAAATCTTACATCCCCTGTGTGATCCTCGTCCACGCTATATCTCCCACCCCCCCCTCTCTCTCCTCTTCTTTCTTTAGCCTCCATTTACGCTCTCTCATGCTCTCCGATGTGTACTCAATGACCCCCCTTGGACGGGACACACTACGAATATATACCATGAAATCACAAATACATTTTAACGCAGTAAATTCAGCCTTGCACATTTTCAGATATTATCAATACCTCCATCGTACAACTATGTATCCTAGAATTTACCCCACAAAATTTCAATGTTGAAACAGACCTTCAGACGTTACATATCAACTTGAAATCTGACGAGGTCACGAGATACACAAAGGGTCCAATGGGGATTAGGGTACCATCCACCTGAACCCAACTAGCGATCGCAGCCCTGGAGTCTCTCACCTACTAGTACCATTACTGGTCTTTCACAAATCCCATAGAAGGAGAAGGACCCGGCAAGCTACGAAGGACGAAAATACAGTAGTTGGCAATATGGAGAACGTTAGGAACAAGAAGTGGGAGATGGCGTTCGCAGCGCGAATGAGGCAGATCGTACCTGGTCTCTTTCTTGGGAATGTCGAAGCATCACACAAAAGGGAAATGCTTCAGGAAAATCGTATTAACGCGATTGTCTCTCTCACTGATGCTCGATGGGTGTGGTGGAGCAGCACTACAAGAAAGGCAGGCGTTCTGGCACATCGTCACAAATGGATACAGTGTGCAGATTCGTCGACGCAAGACCTCCTCGCTCATATGAGCTGTATTTGCGACTTTACCGACCAGATGGCATCCCCGGCTCTTTCGTCGCTGTCATCCTTGCCCGTTGTGTACAACCACGATACGAATGATGGGCTGGGTGGAGTGCCTCCGGAGGCCATATTGATCCACTGTGATCTTGGGATATCACGCTCGCCAACCATTATCATTGACTATCTTAAGCGCAAATTGTACATGTGGCAAGCGGAAGTATTTGAATGTGTTCAATCAAAGCAAAGGATTAAGCCAAGTTCGAATCTTACTCGTCAACTCTAGGGTTGGGAGGATGTTGAGTATGAACTATGGGAGAACGAAGAAAAGACTGTCCCGAAAGCGCCAAACAAAGTATATCTGGAGCACCGGGCTGCCCTGCTGAGAAGTAAAGCGCTTACTGGAAATGAGCCGCTAGCGCCTCTGAACCTTTAATGAAGGTATTATGGATGAGCGCATTATTTTTGGTTGCCACATAGCAGAATACATCCATAGATATTCGGCGCAATAGATACCAGCAATATATTCACAAGGTTATCATTACGATATAATACATAGGATCTGATATTTCAAGACATTGCTGGCACTTGCAAGTGCTTGGATACACTTGACTGCTTCATCCACAAACCTTCAATGTTTAGGCAATGACCGCCGCTTTGGTAGGCCTTCGACTTGGCTCGATCTCCGCATGATCTCTCTCAGGGTCCAACACTAATCTGGCTAACGCTATCGTCCAGATGTCTCCGATGTCCAGATAAAAGTGAGCTTTTATGCCGGAGCAACAGAACGAGGTATTGAGGCTCTAAACTCAAAAAGGCAAAACTAGCCAGATCAAGTAATTCACAGGTCCGGGGTATTAGTTCTTACAAAGAGAAAAAAAATCCAAGATACTCAGTAGGGAAGAACATTTGAACCCTCCATGCTGCTAATCTTGAGGATGTACTAGTATGTAAAGCAGATGATATCGATATGTAGTAGCTTTTTAGGGGGGAAAAACACCGTGACAACAACAATGAAAATGCAAGCCCAACTCCGTAAGATCGTATCGTAGCGGTCGAAGCATGACAAAATGGAGACCGAGGAGAACCCAAGAACAGTAGGAAGAAAAAATTAGAAAAGATCCAAAAAAGAGCGCCGGGAGAAAATTTCTTTAATCCAATTGCATCTCCTCCTCGGCACCACCATCCACCAAAAGACGAGTCTTCTTCTTCTGCTTCTGCGAGCGAACGAAGTGATCCTCTCCGTAAACCCGGTCGGCAGTCTTGCTGTTCTCGGCAACCATGGGGACACCCTCCTGGCGCTCGCGCAGCTCCTTGCGGATAAGGTGCTCTCCGGTAGCGACGACCTTGCGGTCTGCCTCGCGTTGACGGTCGCGAGCCAACTTTCCGGCGAGACGACGCTTGGTGAAGACACGCTCGCGGCGCTGGCGAATCTCCTCCACACGCTGCATGGCCTGGACGGTGGCGGCAACGAGGTTGCGGTCGTACTTGACGGGGACGTTGCGCTTCTTGGCGAACTGGGAAAGCACCAGGGACGAGTCGACGATCATCTCCTTGCCGTGCGAGGCACGGTGAGACTTGGTCCACTTCAACTTGCGGGGCTGACGCTTCATCTTGAAGTTCTTGTGGCACTTTGACCGACAGAAGCGGAATTGTCGGGCGTCATTGCGGACGAATGTGATGCCCTTACCCGGGAAGGCGGGGCGAGAACAGAAATGGCAGGTCTCCACACTGGGAAAGAAGAATTTTTGTTAGCCGGGACTTGATTTGGGGGTCTCAGGGAATCGATAGATTAGTTCAGAATAGAGACTTACCGCATGGTTGTGGTGGGTGGGGAGGATGTTGATTGTTCAGGATTGATACCGCAGAACTTTTTTTTCTTTGAGCTTTCGGCGTGGAGGAGACCGCGCTAAGCCTAATCGGGTGTTGCGCGCTGACTTTTAATCCCGCGATCTTCTCCGAATCCGCCTTTCAACCTTCAAGTTGAACTTTTGGCCACCCGCTTCCTTGAAACAATCGACAAAATGGCTTCCACTCTTATGGTTGGTCTTGGTGTGGCTACTGCTGCCTTCTTGGTAAGATCTTGATATACTTTGCATTGAATACGCCTTGTGAGAGGATGGGCTTGTTGACTGTTTTGTCTCCAGGGTCGTGCCGGTCTGGTCGCCTACCGCCGCTCTCAGGGTGGTTTGAATGCTGCCGGAAAGGCATTCTACAAGGGGTTCGTTGAATATTGCTGCTAGATTCTTTCCTATTATGACTTTTGCTAACCACTTAGTACAGAGGATTTGAGCCCCGTATGAACAAGCGCGAAGCCTCCTTGATCCTCGAACTTCCGTACGTTTCGATTGGACCCCTCCATCCCCCGATATGTGTGAAACCCAATTGAAAACCCTTGAGACTAACGGATATGATACAACAGTGAACGTACTATGAACAAGGACAAGGTGCGCAAGAAGCACCGTCAGCTCATGCTGCTGAACCACCCCGATCGTGGCGGCAGTCCCTACTTGGCCACCAAAATCAACGAGGCAAAGGAGTTCCTCGATAAACATACCTGAAATGCGAACTAGCTTGATGAGTTAGTCGGATTTCATCTCGGGACTTATCAGATTGACCATGTCAAAACGGAATCCCAGACTGTATATTGGGGTGCATAGCGTGGAGTTTTTTTTTGAATTCGTCTTTATCAGATCGGGATCTCTTGTCAAGGTTCCCTTTTGATCTGCTTGTATTTTATGCACTATTGTGATATACTCTCACGAGATCGCCACTCTTCCTATTCAAATGTACTATTACTGTTGATCTATGTTCCAAGATTGTCATCAAATTCCATAAACTATTATCTATCAACTATACTATGCATTGGTAGTAGTAACCAGTACGATGGTACGGTACTACAGTACTACACATCTACTATGCATACTTGCTATTGAATTTCGTCTCGCGTGGGAATCGAGAAGTATATCAGGTGGACGAGTACTACCTCAGATGCCCTACATGACTGAGGCCCGCTGATCTCTCTCCAGGTTCAACGACCATGCGGTGCAAAAAAGAATACTGCAAAGTTTAAAAACCCCGGAAAGTTGTATCACCCCACTAATCGGAATTGGTTTACATATCGATTTATCTCTCGACACAGGGGAATTTAGGTGCCATATGAGTCTTTGCACTCGGCCAATTCCATTCCACAATATCCGAGGACGACCAGATGCCCAAGTGATCTGATAAAGGAAAGAACATACTGCAGATCGGGAGTCGGACGAAAAGGACGGACATTGGAATTGACCGCATCGCCCACATGGCCGGGAGTCGGACTTAACGAACTCCGATAGTACTTTGTAGATTCTTTCAAAACCACATCCTTCAAGGCAGCAAAGAACACGTCCTATGTCCTATTTTTGTCTAGTGTGATAAGCTCTCTTACACACGAAGTCCTTGTCAAGTGCGGTTGACTCAGCGGATCCTGACTAAAAAAGAAGAAAAAAGAAAAAGAAAAAAGCCACTGAAACGGGTTACCAAGTCTCTCTTCCCCCCCCCATAAGCTCGTTTCGCGCCTATTTGCGCCAACCGTTTGGTTCCAAGCCTACTTTGGATGCGTCATCAAATTTAACCGTGTCTTCCCCCGATTTGCAACCTCAGGGGAAGCTCCAGATAAGACTCTACCCCAAGTCATATGCGAACCCCGCAGCTTCGACTTGCATTTGACACCGCCCTCTCCTGGACTCCACCCCGCGGAGTCCCCGAATCCCCAAAGAAAAATGGATGGCCTGGGGGATGGCGATGGCATGGGCTTTGACATGCAACCCATGATGATGAACCAACAATCCCAGCTGTTTGGAGGTTATACCCATGATGGCTCGCAAATGTCTATTCCTGGTGGTTCCATGTACCCCGATGATTCTTTATTGGGCGTGGGGGACGATGGCAACGATGGCAACGATGGCAACGATGTCAACGACGCCAAAAGGCGACGTATTGCTAGGGTATGTCAACTCCAACTGACTCAAGGTTACATTCTTGGTACACAGAAGGCTGATCTTGGATCTTTTATTATAGGCATGCGACATGTGCCGAAAAAAGAAGATCAAGTGCGACGGAAAGATGCCCAAGTGCTCGCACTGCATCAACTATAAAACAGACTGTATTTTCACACAAGTAGAAAAGAAACGAAATCCGCCCAAAGGGTAAGTCATCAGTCTCAAAATCACCTATATTGAATTGATTCCCCTCCATTCCCCCTCCTCCGATCTCCGAGCGCTTAGGCTGACATCATTGTGCAGAGCCAAGTACATCGAAGGATTGGAGAATCGTTTGGGTCGCATGGAGTCTTTGCTGCGATTATCTGGTCTTTTGTCCGAAGGTGATAATGGAAAGACAGATCTAGGCACACTTGAGAAACGACTGGCCGATCGAACGAATGCCTTGAGTGCGGCGAGAAATGCAAATCAGTTTACAGCTCCGAGTGCAACCCAGCACGCCGCCGCGACCTCTCACAATACCACCCCCCGCATGGATTCGCAGTCCAGTCCACGAACCACCGCCGCTACATCACCTGAATCTCAAAAGTCTGAGACCGAAGTGGAGGCCCTGTCGGACATGATGTGCTCATTAGTCACCAATAACTGTGGAGAGACTAGATACATTGGTATGTGGGAAGGTTTTTTTTTTTTTTTTTTTTGTCGGAGTTGGCGATGAGGAATATCCACATTAACACTATTTATTCTAGGTTCTTCGTCCGGATTTTCGATCTTCTCTCCAAAGGGTATTCAATGGGTCAACGAAAAGACAGGAGATACTTCATTCCAAGAAATGATCTCATCGGCCTATGTTGACGATAATAAATGGATGTACTGGAAGCCGGAGATCTTCAGCGACATTTTCGCTCGGAGGGTCTTCAAACCCTTGCCCCCGAAGGAGGAGGCTCTTTCTTTATTCAAAGACTTCTTCGAAAACTTCAATTGCATGTTCCCTCTGTTCCACGAGGCGACATTTATGCATTTAGTGGATCGCCAATATTCTCGCGACCCATATGAAGGCTCTGGGTGGTGGGCTAGTATCAATGTTGTGCTGGCTATTTCCCATCGACTCCGAGTGATGAGCAATCTTGTGCCACACGAGGAGGACAAGAAGGCTTGGCTGTACTTGAAGAATGCTATGGGTGTTTTGACTGAGTTGACGATGCGAAACGCTGATCTTTTGAGTGTCCAAGCACTCTTGGGAATGTCTCTGTTCCTACAAGGTACACCCAACCCGCAACCTGCTTTCTTCCTGGTTGCAGCGGCCATTCGCCTGTCACACAGCATTGGCTTGCATAAGCGTGGCTCTGGCTTTGGATTGAACCCAGTGGAGATGGAGCAGCGAAAGAGGGTCTTTTGGATTGCTTATACTCTTGATAAGGACCTCTGTCTACGGTCTGGCCGACCACCTGTGCAGGATGACGACGATATGAACGTTGAGCTTCCAAGCGAAGACCCGCCAGACAACGTTGGTAATGTCCCACTTGCTGACGGAATAGGCAAATTTAACCTCTTCCGGTCCTTGTGCGAGTTTGCCACGATTGAGAGCAAGGTCTACAAGAAGCTTTACTCGGCCAAAGCATCTCGGCAGTCAGATGGTGAATTACTCAGCACCATTGGTGAGCTTGATAAGGAGCTCGAAGACTGGAAAGACAGTATTCCCGTTGATTTCCGCCCAGAACATGATATTCAAGCCACTCATGGTCCTCTCATCCTTCACGTTGTGGTCCTGCACTTTTCATACTACAATTGTCTAACCACTATTCATCGTATGTCCGTACACCATGGTTACTGGACAAGTCGTTTATCCAACTACGCCATTCAGGGCCTGAATGCCCGACCATTGAACCCGAGAGTCTTCCTCTCCGCAGCACTCTGCGTGACTGCGGCTAGGGCGTCAATCAATCTGATCAAGTATATCCCTCAAGGCGATTTTGCCTGTGTATGGTTGATTCTTTACTATCCCGTGTCTGCTCTTGTTACTCTCTTCGCCAATATTCTTCAAAACCCCAGCGATGCCCGTGCTCGGTCAGACGTGAAATTGATGAACGTAGTCGTCAATTTCCTGTCTACCTTGGTTTCTGACGAGTCTAACGGTAGCATCAAGCGGATGCTTTCTCTCTGTGGCGAGTTTGAAAGAATCGCAAAGGTGGTTCTGGACAAAGCCGAGAAAGAGTCTCATGCGCGTAAGAAGCGGAAGAACGCACCTGGCGATTCGACCCAGCCAAAACGGGATGAATATGAAGAAGAACTTAATGCATCCAAACCTCAACCGCCTCCCTCCTCATCGACGCCTTTCACACCAGCAATGTTTACCAACGATCCTACCGTCCCCACCCCTTCACCTAACACAGCCAAGACCTTTGGCCCAGATCCCACCTTGCCTTCAAACACCGGCATCCCCAACCCAATGTCTGCATATAGCCAAGGCTTCTCAGATATGCTGAGCCCCAACCAAATGGATAGTGTTCCGTTCGGTGAACAAGCCCCAATCGGCCAAAGTAGTCCAAACATGGCAGGTTCTTTCCAGCAGCCATTCGTTCCACAAGACCTGTGGCAGATGCCGATGACGATCGAATGGGACTGGGCAGACATGTCCTCCAACTTCCCTATCTTCGAAGCCGGAGAGGGTCCTAGTCAACCGCCTCCGCAGTGATCATGACCGAGACTCCGACTCCTTCAAATTTTGTATCGAACAAGAAACATATGGGTTTGCACATGGGATTTGCTTAGACATCTGGCGTTTATCAAAGCGGGATCATCTTCTGTTTTATTGTTTTTCTCCCTTCTTTTTTTTATGATACAGGTGCCTGATGCTGGATCAGGCACTCTGACCCCCTCCACTATTCATTGAACCTTTACTTACTCTCCCCTTTATGTACACTGAAGAGCACTTATCTTATGACTTCTGCAGCGTGGGCGGTTACTCCACACATGCACGAAAACTCTCCAATCCAAGCTAGATATCCGAACCGGAAATTGAAGAAATATGCATAGTTATTCAAATGTTTATTGAGGGCCCGAGGTCTATCTTATCAATTGATGCACCATATCCATCAAAATTTAATTATTATTGACTCGGAGGTATAATCATAATAGTAGGTACGATGCGCAGTCGCTAATAGCCAAGACTTCATCTGTTAGAATTAGTAAGTATCAGAACTGGGCTATCGCATGTGCCTTGCAAGGTCAACATGCTTGTGTAATAGATCTCCGACTGTTTTGTACACAGTACTCCTTTACTCCCTGGCCGAAACATTGGAAGAGAACCAAAAAAAAACCCATGCATATACTAGTTTCATCTTCACCATCACGCGTCTTGTAATTCAATCCCCAGCCCTCAGTAGAGTGGATATATTGACGGCTCTAATTACGTAGCCAAGGATTTTTCAAGAGGAATCTGGTCGAAGACTGTAGTCTATAGTTAGGATTGGTGTGGGTACCGCCCCGACCAATGACTCAGCCACCGGAACGGCAGAAAAACCGAAGCCGAAAGCCGCAGCTCGTCATGAGCTTCCCACCGCAAACCCTCAATCCCTCAAGGCATTGCATGCCGTTGTCCATCCCACCGGACCTCGATTGATCACCTCTCTCCCCCGCCCTCACAGCCCTCGGGGCTCCCCTTTCCTCGATCATGGCCACCTTCCTTCGAAGGCCTGGCAACCTTGCTCGATTCTCGAGGAGAGCCACAGAATCCATCAGTCGCACACCGGTATCTGCCCGGGTGCCTTCCTCGCCGCTTTCCTCCTTTATTACATCTCACCGTGCTCGAACTTTTGCTACCAGCGGCCCCGGTGGCCCTAACGACAAGTCCCGGAATACCCAGCCAAGTAACAGCGGGCCAGAGAACAATGGCCGCAAAGACGAGGAGCCGAAGAAGCCGGAGTCGGTCCTAAATGAGGAGGACCAGAAGAATCTGGATGCTTTTGTCAAGCACGTAGAGTCGCGTTTACCTCAATCACAACATGCCACCCTTCATGAAATGCGAAGACAATTGATGCGGGATGGATTACCGGCCGACGTGAAGGTTTTCATTGACAGACATCGCGAGGCTTCGTTGATGGACTATCTTCGGATGGTTCGATTTTTACTGAAGTATACCAATGAACAAGCCGGAAAAGAAGCCAATGAAGAAGTTGCTCGCATGATGAACAAATCGCCCGAGGAGTTCAAGAAGGAGCGCGAGGAGCTGGAAAAGAAGCAGTCGGGATCGGAGGCCGAGAAGGGCAAGGAGGAACCCGACCAGGAAAAGAAAAAGGAGAAGGAACAACAGCAGAAGAAGAAAGCTGGACAACCTCCCGCGGGAAAAGTGTTTGAGTTCCGATTCGATCCCGCCGCCTTCGCCGTCACCGCACTTGTCACATACTATATCTACCGCAGCTTCTTCCCCGGTGAGAGCAGTGGTCGTGAAATCACTTGGCAGGAATTCCGCGCCAACTTCCTCGACAAGGGCATTGTTGAGAAGTTGACCGTGCTCAACCACAGCAGAGTTCGCGTTGACCCCAACCGCGATGCCTTGGCTCAGATGAACCCCGATTCGAATGGAAACCCCGGCCCCGTATATTTCAGCATTGGATCTGTCGACAGCTTCGAGATGAAGCTGGAGCAGGCTCAGTATGAACTTGGTATTGCGTCCCACGAACGTATCCCGGTCGCTTATGTGGATGAGGTCTCGTGGGGCAGTGCTCTCATGACCTTCGCTCCTACTTTGCTCTTGTTCGCTGGTATCTACTGGTTCTCTCGGCGCGCCGGCGGTGGTGCTGGTGGCCAGAGTGGAATCTTTGGTATTGGTAAGAGCCGCGCAAAGAAGTTCAACCAGGAGACCGATGTCAAGATTAAGTTCGCCGATGTTGCTGGTATGGACGAGGCCAAGGTTGAGATTATGGAATTCGTCAGCTTCCTCCAGCAGCCTGAGCGCTTCCAGAGACTTGGTGCTAAGATCCCCCGCGGTGCTATTCTGTCTGGTCCCCCCGGTACTGGTAAGACCCTGCTTGCCAAGGCCACTGCTGGTGAATCCGGCGTGCCTTTCTTCAGTGTCAGTGGTTCTGAATTCGTCGAAATGTTCGTTGGTGTCGGTCCCTCCCGTGTCCGTGACTTGTTCGCCAATGCCCGGAAGAACACCCCTTGTATCATCTTCATTGATGAGATCGACGCAATTGGCAAGTCCCGTGCGAAGCAGAACTTTGGTGGCGGTAACGACGAGCGTGAGAGTACTCTGAACCAGATCCTTACTGAGATGGACGGTTTCAACACTTCCGAGCAGGTCGTCGTCCTGGCCGGTACCAATCGACCTGATGTTCTTGACAAGGCTCTTATGCGTCCCGGGCGATTCGACCGACACATTGGAATTGACCGTCCCACTATGGATGGCCGCAAGCAGATCTTCCGTGTTCACTTGAAGAAGATTGTTACCGATGAGAACATGGAGTACCTGGAAGGCAGACTCGCTGCTCTGACCCCTGGCTTTGCCGGTGCTGATATCGCTAACTGCGTGAATGAGGCCGCCCTCGTTGGTAAGTTATTTCCGTCGCACATCTTTTTGGACCTATGCTAATTTAATACTATAGCTGCTCGTGAAAACGCGGATAAGGTTGTTATGAAGCACTTTGAACAGGCTATTGAACGTGTTGTTGGTGGTCTTGAGAAGAAGTCTCTTGTGCTGTCACCTCAGGAGAAGCGCACTGTCGCTTACCACGAGGCCGGCCACGCCGTCTGTGGCTGGTACTTCCAGCACGCTGATCCCCTCCTCAAGGTTTCCATCATCCCCCGTGGCCAAGGTGCTCTTGGTTACGCCCAGTACCTTCCCGCTGGTGGAGATACCTACCTGATGAACACTAACCAAATCATGGACCGCATGGCCATGACTCTCGGTGGTCGTGTCAGTGAGGAGCTTCACTTTGACACCGTGACTAGCGGTGCCAGTGATGACTTCAACAAGGTCACCCGCTTGGCTACCGCTATGGTGACCAAGTTTGGTATGTCGAAGAAGATTGGATACGTCTACTATGAGGAAGAGGGCCAGCAGCAACTCACCAAGCCCTTCTCGGAGGACACTGCCCGCAACATTGACCTCGAAGTGCGTCGCATCGTCGATGATGCCTACAAGCAGTGCAAAGACCTTCTTACCGAAAAGAAGACGGAGGTTGGCATTATCGCTGAAGAGCTCCTGTCCAAGGAGGTCCTTGGCCGTGATGATATGATCCGCCTTCTTGGACCCCGTGAATGGCCCGAATCTGGCGAGTTTGCGAAGTACTTCGATGGTACTAATGGTCAGACCTTTGCACCACCAGAGCCTCCTCAGAACCCAGAGGAGACTGTGGGCAAGGACGGCCGTGACCAAACTCCTCTCCCTTGATTGATGGTTTAGGTAGAATATTTGTCTTTTTTGTACCGATTGGACTGCATTTTGGGAAGGCCTGTTTCGTCAATCTCGCAGGGCGTGTTTTATCACGGTCTCTTTGACCTTCTTTTTTTTTTTTGTATTTATGGACTTGCATCTCTTTTTCCTTTTTTCCTTTTGGTTTGAACCTTTACTACTCCCCCCTCTGTCCACTTTTTCGATCCCTCCTCTATCTCATAAATCTCTTCCATTTACCATGTCGCGAATACATGTACTGTAAAGAAATTGATCTCTTATTGTCTTTCGATCTATGGAGTCTATGTATTATTATTATAATTTGAAAAGTTGGTTGAACTTTAGGCTTCATCTCTTACAAAAAGAAACAAAACAAATAAGCCCGTCTCCTGATGGATTTGCCTAGACACTGTATAATGATTTGAATACTGATGCACTTTAACTGACTACTACTTGCTCGTCCTCAATCTTCTCAACTACACAAGCAGTGCCATAGGCACAAATTTGCGAACAAGCTCCAAAACTCGCAACATCGAATCTAACCGCGATAATAGCATTCCCTCCTCGACTCATACATTCGCCTACCAATCGCTCCATAGCCTCCTCTCGAGAAGTATACATCAAGTTTGTGAAGAACCGAATCTCTCCTCCCACGGCTGAACGGACCACTGCACCTAGATCGGCGCCCCAGTTGCGAGTCCGCACGGTAATCCCGTAGATGGTACCGAGTACGCTTTTGATCTTGTATCCCGGGAGATCGTTCATCGTTGACGTGACTATGCCATGGGTGTCTGTGAAACATGCTGGGATGTCCTTGTTTTGCTTTGAGTTTGGCATGCTTGTGTCTTGAAATGTTGTCTAGATAGTGACACCGTCTTAGCATGCACCATGCATATGTAACAGTTGGTGTATGTATAGATATGGAGCTTACCGTGGCAAGATTGTGGTCGTTAATGCGAATAAATTACCAGGGGAAATGCGAAAGGCATTGAATTGGAAAGGACAACTGCCATTGGTATAAAAAGTCCCACCAAACCTAAACATGTGGTTCCTCGTATTGAACTTCGCTTTGATCCCTTTTACCCCAATTGCCAAACAGTGCCGTCATATCCGCTGCGGGATTTACTATAAACATGAAGATTGTGGAGAAATCAGAATAATAATTGAAATCATTGGAAAAATTTCATGTTGGAAATTGTTGGTAGATAAAAAAAAAGCTAGTAAAAACAAGAAAGCAAACACATGTGCATGTGCAATAGATTAATGAACAAGTCAAAATAATAATAATTTCAAAGCTTGCCATATATTTCAGTTACAAGTCCCCGGTTTATTTGATCTTCTTCTCCTCAGTGTCCTCACCGACGGGCTGCTCATCTTCAACTGGAGCAGTCTTCTTGCCCTTAGACTTGGTCTTCTTGGCTTCGACAGACAGGCGAGGAAGGAAACGGCCCACGCGAGCCTGGTACTCGCTGTACTCGGGGTACTTGCCTGCACTGATAGTCTCGGTAAGACGTGTGCTACCCTGGAAAATAGCAAGGTAGCCAATGACACCAAGTCCAGTCCACTGGAGGTAGTTCTCAGTGCGGTAGGCGGACCAGATGTACATGGTCAACCAAAAGGCCTGCTCGGCGACAAAGTTGGGGTGTCGCGACCATGACCAGAGTCCACTGACAACAAAGCCACGCTCTAGGTCCTCAGGTGCGTATTGATCCTTTAAGGGCTCTGGGATGCGTGCGTTCTTGAGGTACTCCTGCTTAGCAGTCTGGAAGTTCCACTGCTGCTGGTCGGCGAAGTATGCGATGGCGACAAGGAAGATAGCGCCGCGAGAGAAGGCCAGATCGGCCAGAGTGAAGGTGTCGGCTTGGTTGTTGGCTGCAACGACGAAGACGTAGGTCGGGGTGGTGATGAGCAGGAGCAGCAAAGACTGAGCCACGCAGATGAATCCGAAGTTGAAAATGGTGAAAAGAAAAGTGCTGTTCACTTGCGACTGCACAATTTTCCACCGGTAATCCTCCGAGCCAATTGAGTAACCACCTTTACGCCAATAGTTATAGGTCAAACGAACCTAATCAGAGAGAGATTCCGGATTAGCGACAAGTGACATTTTAGTAGGAACGTTTGAGAAATTATGCGCATACACTCCATAGGGTGCTGATGACAGCGATAGTGTCCAAAGTCTCTGTGCGAATGCCGGCCAGACGCGCCCAGACGGCGAAATGAACGTTGTACACGGAGGGCAGGATGCTCCAGAAACGATCCACCTGCGAGTAGTTCCGGTTAATCTCAGCAGCCACGAAGAAAACACCAGCAAGAACTGTTCCCAGGGCAAGCGCAGAGATCAAGGGGTTGGTCGCGAGGTAGATCTCCTTCAAGCTCTCCAGGTCTCGGCCCGCTTCGCGCAAGCTGGCGGGGAGCCATTGGAGCTGCGCGAGGTAGGGGAGCACAGTTAGCTGGAAAGAAGTGCAGTCCACCAAAGACTCCACCTTGGGAAGAGGAAGGGTCGCCATTTTCCAAGAAAGCAAAACAACTACCAACACTAATGTTGAACAAGATTGTTTTCGGGAGGGAAAAGAATAGAAAGGAATCGGGACGTTTATGTTTGGATTACCTCATCGGGAATAGTCATACATGCCTGAGGCACGAATCACCCACGAGCGCGTCGGCCTCAGGCATTAACTCCTCGCGTCCCAAGGCAATTTACATTTCTCCGTCCAAAAGATATGCCACCCCGACTTCCCATGGACAATTTCACATGACAGTGTAGAAGTGCCTCATGGCCCGCAAGATTCTATGTGTGGCGGAGAAGCCGGCCATTGCGCGTGCAGTGGCTACGCACTTGTCCGGAGGGTCTTTTCAGACTGTAAGTGTTCCAGAGTTGGGAATAAACAAAACCATCAGCTAATGACATGATGTAGCATTCAATCCGCGGAAATAATTATGTCAAGAACTATGAGTTCGAGTTCAACTTTGGCGATCCCTGGGGAAACTGCGCTGTCACAATGACAAGTGTGATTGGCCATCTCACGGGCCTCGAATTTGAACGCCAGTACAAGGGCTGGACGTCTTGCCCGCCTAGTGCATTGTTTGAGGCCCCGGTAAATGAGGACGTTGACAAAGTATTAAAATCATTTGAAAATTTCTGGGTAGCAAAATATTAACAGTTCTCTTGTAGGACAAGTTGCCGATTGCAGAAAACATTCGAAATCAAGCCAGGTACAGCAAAGCACTGTTCATCTGGACCGATTGTGATAGAGAAGGAGAGCATATTGGTAGCGAGGTCCGGAACCAAGCTAAAAGTGGAAATGCACGTATCGAGGTTAAGAGAGCCAAATTCAGCAACACCGAGAGAGCGTGAGTGTTCCCGAGGTCTTCGATTGTTATCATGTTCATTCTCTAATTTTATGATAGTCACGTCCTCCGTGCTGCTCGAGAGCCGGTGGAGCTCGATGAGTATCAGGCCAATGCTGTGGCGGCCCGAATCGAGCTTGATCTCCGTATTGGTGCAGCGTTCACCCGGTTGCAAACTCTCCAGCTTCAAGCCGTGGTGGCAGTTTTGAAAGAGAAAGTCATCAGCTACGGTCTGTCTTTTCCTGATGCCTTTGAAGTCCGCTTATCTCATATTTCACAGGTTCGTGTCAGTTTCCTACATTGGGATTTGTAGTAGATCGCTATCTACGGGTAAAGAACTTCAAGCCCGAGACATTTTGGAGCATCAAAGTTATGCTGCAGCGCGAAGGCAAGAAAGTCAATTTCTTATGGAAACGCGTCCATCTATTTGACCGAGCAGTGGTTACGATGATGCTAGAGCGCTGTTTAATTGCAAAGGAGGCCCAGGTTACAAAAGTTGCACAAAAACCCAAACGCAAGTGGCGGCCCTTGCCTTTGACAACTGTGGACCTCCAAATGATGGGCAGTCGATTTCTCCGCATGGACAGTCAAGCGATCATGAAAATAGCAGAAGCCCTTTATACAAAGGGGTTCATCAGCTACCCAAGAACGGAAACGGATCAGTTCGACCCGGCTATTGACCTGAAGAAATTGGTTGAAAAGCAGTTCCCTGACCCTGAATGGGGCCAATATTCCAAAGAGTAGGCTTCTCTCTCCTCTCAAAAGGTTAAGCTCATCGAACATGACTAACAATATTCTACAGTCTAATTGATGGGAAATTCAGAACTCCCCGGTTCGGCCGTAACAACGATAAGGCCCATCCACCCATCCATCCAGTAAGCTGGGTCTCAGCGAGCCAGCTCAATGCCAACGAGAAGAAAGTTTACGAATTCGTGACCCGGCGGTTTCTCGCTTGTTGCTCCGAGGACGCATTAGGCCAGGGCACAGATATCGAAATTCTTTACGGTGATGAATATTTCCATGCCAGTGGTTTGCTTGTGCTGGAGAGGAACTATCTCGATGTTTACGTCTATGATAAATGGGAAAGCAGCCAACAGTTGCCCAAATTCGAACAAGGAGAGAAGTTTGTACCTACCGAGGCCAACATATCGGAGGGTAAGACTACGGCGCCAAACTACTTAACAGAACCGGAACTTATCGGTTTGATGGATGCGAATGGTATCGGTACCGACGCAACCATGGCAGAGCATATTGCTAAAGTTAAAGAACGTGAATACGTTGTTACACACAAGCGAGGGAGTGGCCGTACTTCGGTTGAAGAGCTTATTCCGACTCGGCTTGGCGTCGCTCTTGTTGAGGGATACGATAATGTTGTTGCAGGTCTTCCAAACAGTATCTCACTCAGTAAGCCATTCCTGCGCAAAGAGATGGAGTTGCGGATGCTTGAGGTCTGTGCTGGCACGAAGACCAAGCAGGAAATCGTGCAGCAGAGTCTCGATATGTACCGCGAGGTCTTCATTCATACCCAAAGACGTATTGAGATGTTGAAGGCTGCTTGTCGAAAGTATCTTGTCGATTAAGCTGCTTTCACGGTTGAGCTCCCCCTCATAGCTTTGATTCTGGATACTACATGCTATCATGAAATAGCTACTAGTAGATTTGAGACTAATCAATATACCCCTCAGTTTTCTAAAGCTTCTGAATACGCTCATGTCATTCTCAACCGACTGTCAAAAAAGACCAAAAGAAGGGGGGGGGGGGGGATAAATAGCAACACAAGGGCACAAGTACCGGAATCCGATCTTTCCAACCGGATCCTCCCAAATCGCATGGCAGGGTCTATTGACCTTGACCAATGCTCCATCTCGAATTCCCATATTGCGCCTCGCCATTCTTGCAATTCTTTTGCATCTGAAGCATTTTACATTGCAAGCTCAGAGTCCTGAATGTCTGGTCCGATTGACGGAGAACCTTGTGGGGTACAGTCCAACTGCGCTGCTCCTTCCTGGCCCATCTCCACCTCTTCCAATCGATGGCCCAGCATAATTAAGTCTTCTTGACCATCCGCCTCCGTCCCATCTGTCCTCGGGCCTAATGGCAAGGAGGCAAATCCACCAGCAGTAGCAGCCGCACCCAAATCCCCATTCTTATTCTCAATATTGATATCAATATCGTATTTCTTGATCTCTGCCTTGAAAGCCTTTGTCAGCTCAGTGGCCATCATGCTTGGAATTCTCTGGAACTGGTCATGGAAAGCATCGATGACCACATTCAACATGAATAGATTCGTATTGAGCCCTTCAACTGTGCGTTTGAAATCATCTTTCATCTCCGTCCAGATCTCCCTGCAGAATTTATCTTGATCGGAGCTATCGCCAGTATCAGGGGTGTTATCGCGCGATCGCAACGACATCTTTTCTTGTGCTCGGCTCTGTCTGTATTCTGCTTCAAACTTGTTCATGTCACTGGTGATTTGGTCAAACCCGCTCTGCAGGGATTTTTCTAAACTTCCGCACAGCTCAGAAAATTGGGCCTGGATACGTTCGCGCAAGTCAAAAGACAACTGGGTGAAGTCCTGAGGAAGCTCTTCGAGACTTTGGATGCTTCGGTGTATATTTTGGAGCTCATCTCGGGCGCATTGTTGTACTTCAAACGGGACGGATAGAATGGCGTTCAATATACCGGGGAACGAACTTGCAAGGAAATCACGGAACTCCTGTCGACTCTCCACGATGAGATCTCTTATCTCGAGTTGCAGGTCCTGTTGAGGTCGGGTGATTTCTGCAAGGGCGACTGTTTGCAAGACCACAATGCCAAAGAAGATCAGCGCAAATGCGAAAAAGTCACTTTCTTTTGTTGGGCCAGATGCTCGATCGGGAAAAGACACAGGAGTATCGTCGGGAACTGGAAGATTTGGAGTTGAAGTCTGTTTTGACGAAATATGTCTTAGCCAATGGATGAAAAGGTCAATCTGGTTTCCAGTGGAGGTGCGAGTCCCGTTTACTGGAAGGCGATCGAACCGTACCGTAGGACTTGGGTGAGGCTGTACGATAGACGGTGGGGGTTGCGCGTTGCCTCTGCTTTCTGCTGTCTGGTTCCTCATATGCTCTGTTGTCTGGCCTAGAGTGAAAACGGTGCTGGCCACTTGGAAAGAGCCAATTGTGCGATCTAGGATAGATCGAGATGGCTGGACCGTTGTATAAGGGATCCCTCCGTAGAGGCCCCAGAGATTGGTGGTTAGGAAGACGAGGATCGGGATTGTCCAATTCATGGTTGCAGTTGGGCTGAGCTACTCAAGTAGGGAAGATGAAGTTTCAATGTTGAAGAAGTTGGAAAAGCCAAGTCAGGCTTGGATTGGTAGGAAGCACTCAAATGTTATACTGCTGGAAACAAAGAGCGATGAGACAAGCACTCAACATTCCAAGGTTGAATTAGGCAAACAAGAAGCTTAGATTGTATAAGCTAACATTTGAATGTAGGTATCATACTAGTACTAGTACTATTATGGTAATCTTCTGTAACATTGAATTATCCGTGTTTGTCGGTACAGTCTGCATATAGTAATGAACAAAGCCATGGCCCTTTGTTTCAATGTTTCAGGTACTATCCGGTCTCTGCATCAAAAGTGTGCCGGGAATTCAATTGAATATCTTTGTAATTACTTACTAGAAGGTATTGTACCCCGTCACCAGTTGACATATTGTTGGTACATATACTAGGTAAATTGAAACATTCAATGTAAATTTGTAGATACGAGCACTACATACATACTATATACTACTCTCGGTGCGTTTGAGACATATTTAGAACATCCATGCACATATGGATTTCATCGAGGTGTTTCAAAGCTTCCCTTGAAACCTGCCTAGTAGTAGGTACCTACTCAAGTCGCTTACTCAAAACAACTCCATAATAGATCGTTGCAATAAAAGCGGCCAAGTTAAGCAGACTCGACACACCATGCACGCGACCAAACTTCTTGTTCAGAGCCAGCATTTCCTTAGAATGAGGCGCAGGGTCGTAGCTCTTCTTTCCATCTCGGGTTTCTACACTACCAGTCAGATATAACACAATCATTAACAAAAACATAGAGTACATACCCTGGTGCTTTCGCTCGCGCATGGTCTTGATTGTGAGCGGGCGCAGAACAACATTGTTAACCAAGCCCGCGATGGCAACAGCGGCTAGGGGGAGTGCAGTGTTGTAGCGATTCTCGGGGTCAATAAGGCCTGATAGACCCAGTGCACTTCCACCACGGCTGGCAGTCAAAGCTACCGCGACGGGAAGCGCGGTCTGAAGGGAGAAGTAGATAGGGAAAATGGCGGATTGCAAACTAGCAAACTGTGGGCGCGGCAAGGCACGGAATGCGACTGTTCCGCCGACGAAGGACTACTAGCATGTTAGCAAGAATCCAGGTCTTGTATTCAATTGTTTTTTTTATTTTTCGGGGGGGTTCAAGATGGGCTGACCTGGAAGAACTGAGAACCCAAAAGGGTGCCGTAGCTGGTGGGACCATGTTAGTCTATTTTCAACGGAATATTACATATTATTTGTCATGAAGCAATATTTCTTGCAGATGAGAAGATTACGAACCCGAGGATGTGGTATGGGCGAGGGTCAGTCATTGTGATGTATGTTGTGGAGAACGTATATGTATAGACGAAGCTGTACTACAAGAAAGAGTTTAGAAGATCCCAGCTTGGGACGTGGAGACGCGTGAGGAGTTGAGTAGTGTGATGCATATTTCCACAGAAAGGAGATATATGTAAGTCCTATTTCCACGCGATATTCTGGCGCAATTCATATAAATGCACGCGCATTTCTGTTAAAGCCACGGAATCGGATGATGTCATGTGCTCGCGTTTACGCTATACCAAAAAGGAAATATCACGCGTCTGCCTGTTCTACTTGCTGTACTTCTGCCTCGCAGACTCCCACGCGAGCTTTTGTCCAAAACACCCATCTCCAAAATGGCTGATAAAGAGGCAACTGTTTACATTGTGGATGTCGGGAGGTCCATGGGCGAGCGTAAATATGGGCGCTCAATTACCGACCTTGAATGGGCCATGCAATACGTCTGGGACCGCATCACCACCACAGTACGTGAATTTCATTCCGGGAAAATGCCCAAAGCTGATCATTTTTTTCTAGGTCATGACAGGCCGAAAGACAGCCACCGTGGGGGTGGTAGCACTACGATCTGATGGTAATAAACCAATTGACAACTATCTTGGACGAGTCTAACATGCTGGAATTACAGAGACGTCAAATGATCTTCAAGAAGATGACAGTTTCTCCAACATTTCAGTTTTATTCCAAATTGGACAGTATGTCACTGTGAAGGACAGGTTTCAAGAAATTACTAATACCAACGTTGTAGGGTTCTGATGCCTGATATTCGGAAACTGCAAGATGCAATCAAGCCTAGTCATACCTACAAGGGCGATGGTATGTAAATCCCCCCACTCTCTCTTCGTGATTCCTAATTGATATGCTACAAGCTCTCTCGTCCCTGGTTGTTGCCATTCAGATGATCAGTACCTATTGCAAGAAGCTCAAATACAAGCGGGAGATCGTGCTGGTGACCAATGCCACTGGTTTGATCAACAGCGAAGGCATTGCTCAAATAAAAGAGAAGATCATGGAGGATGACATCAAGTTGTCTATAATGTGGGCTGGATATACAATACGTGGATTTTGATTCTTACTAACACCACCAGGGGGCCTGATTTCGACGATGCGGACTGGGGAGTGAAAGAAGAAGACAAGGATGAGCGGAAGGTAAGATAAGCTCATAATTTTCAGTGGTTTACCATACTTATGTTCAACACAGGCTTCAAATGAAAATCTTCTTCGTGAATTTGCTACGGACATTGGTACTTTCGGAACCCTTGATGAGGCCATTTCTGAATTAGGGATTCCTCGCCTAAAAGAGATAAGAATCATACCATCATTCAAAGGCTTCCTCTCGCTTGGTGATGCAGAGAAATTTGAGACAGCGCTCCGCATCCCCGTTGAACGCTGTCCCAAAACCTATCTTGCTAAGCCCCCAACTGCCAGCTCTTTTGTTCAGCGATCTGGTGGTGAGCCAGGGCAAGGGGATTCAGGACCCAATGCAAGTCAGACGGCAGGTGAAGGTGACACATTGACAACCGTGAGAACTTCCCGAACCTATCAGGTTGATGACGAGTCTCTACCCGGGGGTAAGGCCGATGTGGAGCGCGAAGACCTCGCAAAGGGATATGAGTATGGACGCACAGCTGTGCATATCAGCCCAACAGATGAGAACATTACGAATCTGGAGACTTTCGCAGGACTGGAGCTTGTTGGTTTCGTCACCACTGAAAAAGTATTGAATTTACAACTTGACCCCTCTGGAACAGCTCCATTGTTGTCTCTTTGCTGACCTTATATTGCAGTATGAACGATACCTACACACCTCTAATGTCAATATGATCACGCCACAGAAGGCTCATGACAAAGCCTCTCTTGCCTTATCATCGTTTATCCATGCACTATGGGAGTCGGATAACTACGCCGTCGCTCGACTGGTAACCAAAGAGGCCAAGCCGCCACTGCTTGTACTTCTCGCGCCGTTAATCGAATCTGATTATGAATGCCTCTTGGAAGTTCAGCTGCCTTTCGCAGAGGATGTTCGATCATATCGATTCCCGCCCTTGGATAAGGTCGTTACTGTGTCAGGAAAGATTGTCACCGAGCACCGCAACCTCCCCAGCACTGATCTGCAGCAGGCTATGGACCAGTATGTGGATAGTATGGAGCTAGACTTGAAGGATGATGATGGGTAAGTCGAGTGTTTTCTCTCATCGTATTGTTGAAGGTGTCGAGCTAACCGGGTTACCGACCCAGAGAAATAATTCAAGGGCTCCCAATCGATTATTCTTTCTCTCCACTACTGCATCGCATCACGTCTGCGGTACGATGGCGCGCTGTGCATCCAAATGACCCGGTTCCCGAAGTACCAGAGCGACTTGTCAGATTTGCCCATCCCGATGAGGACCTGGTGACAAGGTCTAAAAAGCAGTTAGAGAAGCTCATCTCTGCTGCAGATGTCAAGAAAGGTTAGTACGAAACCGCTACCTGTGCGGTCAAACATTATAAACAAAAAAGAGCAAATCTCTGACTTTCTGTACCCCATACAGTTCCACCCAAGACCAAGGGCCGCAAGCGCAATCGCGAAACCGAGAAGCCTCTTTCTGGTCTCGACATCGACGCGCTCCTCAACCAGGAACCCAAGCGTGCCAAAATCTCTCCAGAGAACGCCATCCCTGAATTCAAGCAGCTGCTTTCTCGTGCTGATAATGTCGAGGCTATTATCAACGCTGTCAATCAGATGGGCACTATCATTGAGAATCAAATCAAGCACAGCCTGGGTGATGCTAACTACAATCGTGTTGTCGAGGGGCTGGGAACTATTCGTGAGGAGCTAATCGACTACGAAGAACCAGCTGCCTACAATGACCTTTTGAAAAGTCTGAAGAAAAAGATTCTTGGCGAAGGGCTTGGTGGGGATCGGAAGGAACTGTGGTGGTTCCTTAGGAAAAGTAAATTGGGACTTATTGATCAAAATGAGTCGGAGCGATCTGACGTTACAGAGGACGAAGCGAATGAGGTGAGTTGACTGATCTATGATCATTTCCGTTGATATTTATTAAAAGTGCTGACATGTTCTCAGTTCCTATCGGCTGCATAGCTCATATCCATTTCTTGTGGTCCATGTTAGCTTACATTTTACTGTGATCATTGCTACACAAGCGAAATTGATGCATTACACACAGGCGTTCGATGTTCACTGCGATAATTTGTTTTTTAAAAGATAGCCATGAATTGAGCCTGTTTGAAATGATCATACAGTAGTGAACAACGTTAAAAGTGCAAAGTGGTAATAATCGCCCGGGCTGGGAATAGAGAAAAGAAGAGAAAAGCACCAAAGTACTCTGTGCGCCAAATGGATGCCGAAGCGGAGAATAAAGTCCGAAATGCCCAGTATGCGTATATCACATCAGACAGAAAAAAAAAAAAGTACAAGCGATCTTCTTAGGAGATCTTTCCGATCCGTTTCTTGCCGATATCGAGCTTGGATTTCAGACTACAGCGAGTTAGTAAGAATCACAAGAAACCCCAAGCAAAGAAGGAAAAAACAGGCATACCGATCAGTGTCCTCATCTGCCAATTTCAACAGCTCGTTTTGGACGTTCAACTCCTCGTGGATCGCCGTTCCTAGCTCCCTTTGTCGAATAACAATCTTCATCAATTCCTCAACACTAGCATCTTGATTCTGCATCATCTGCTTCTGAAGCTGTAGCACACCCTCATTATCTAGCTCGCGCGTACGCTCGGTTTCTTTGCCAAGAACACGTCCGGATTTCGCAGGTGTTCGTCGCCCACCATTATTACCAGTAGAATCCCCATTCCCAGCACTCAGGAGGGCTTCTTTGTCCTGGATTGAGGCAACGGCATGGTCGAGCTTGCTCTTAGTCGCCATAGCATGCGATAAGTCCTCCAGTCCTTCTTTTTCTTTCCGCGCGTTTATAAGTAAGTCCTTTCGACGACGGAGCTCGCCGTCACCGAGAGTGGAGGTAGTGGAGTTCTTGGATTGCGCTCCGCAGCCGCTAAGGTTCTTGAGACCTTCTTCGAGGGTGGAAATCATAGAACCTGCACGGACTAGACTACCTTTTGCTTGTGCGGAGCTTTCGTGCTGTTTCTGCGGTGTTGTCTCCTGGTCTCGGCGTGAGAGGGCGAGACGGGCATCGTGGAGGTGGGACTTCAGGTCGCGGAAGTAGTCGAGCCAGAGAGTTGGGTCGGTGATTGGAGCATTTAATGCGTTACCAGGGTCTGTGATAGCGGCGTGTAATCTTGTTGAGGAGTTGGCCGCACTGGATGATGTGGACGCGGCTGCTGTTGGCAGGTTAAGGAAGGCCCGCCACGCGGGGGAAGTGCGCCATCGTCCATCTGGGGACTCGTTGATAGCCCGGAGGTAATCTTCTAGGCCGATGCGGCGCTCTTCGCGGAAGCTGTCGTTGGAGGTGGTTTTTGAGAACCAAGATTTCGCTGGTAGTGGGAGTGGGGGTTGGACATTGGTCTGGTTGATAAGGGTCGTGTGGAATGTCGAGAAGTCGGAGTAACGCTTGGAGACGGTGAAGGAGCGTAGTGGAAGACGGAGTGTTATGTGGTAAACGGTATGTGGGGGGGATGTGGGGGATACAGAGGTAGCGGGTATGGCAATCTCTACTGTGGGTGCCATGATGTACATGAACAGGAGGAAGTTCGAAGTTGGAGAAAGCCGAGCTTGAGAGATAAAGAAGCCCAAGGGTCCACATGACGCAACGCCCGCGACTCTACAGAATCAAGGCAACACCAAATCAATTGATATGGTCAAAATTTCAACTGACAGAGAAAAAAGTTCTATGTTGGAGAAATAGGCGATCATTTATTCTATTACTTACTAGTACTAAATATTTCAAGTCGGATACTGGTGTATCCGTCTACTATCAGTAGAATACACATACGTAGTGGAGTCCCACATACAAATTTGGCTTGTTATTTTGGTTTTTTTTTCGAATATTACAACCATCACTTTCTCATCTCTCTTGTCCTTTTAAGCTTATGAACATACATCACATCGGTCATAATGGATACGAATATGTCGCTTATTACAAATCAGCTCTCATCGTCGCCTACAAGATTTCCCGATTGCTGTTTGGCCCTTTCCAGCAGTTTCATTACTTCTATGGGTTCACTTCTTCCCAAGCAACCCGGCTTTACACTCTCAATCGGCAGTGGATCTGGACTACTCGAGTATCTGATTGCTCAAAACAATGAACATCTCTCTGTACAGGGCGTGGAGGTCAACTCAACTGTCAACCGCTACATCTCAGAAGAAGACATGCACGTGGTTGGCGGCGCGTGGGGTCTTTATTCCTTTGCTCAGCAGGCAACAGCATGGATGTTTGTCTACCCACGGGATCCAAAGCTGATCACCAAGTACCTCGACACATATGGCAATGATGCTGTAGAGTTAATCATCTGGCTTGGACCTCGGGTTGATTGGCCGGACTATGAGCAGTGTTATCGCCAGTCTTCATTCTCGGAGCTGGAATTCCCGGAGGTGGGATTAACACCGTACGAGATCGCGGTAGTTGCCAGAAGGTCAAACCCTTGAACGGGGGCAAAAATGTTATTAAATTAGTAGGGGGTATCAATTTCATCTCTCAAGCTATTCAGACAGATGGAGCCCAGACCTCCCGTGAGTTTAGCAGGTCCCGTTGGCCAAAGAACTCGCCAACCACCGTGATGATCATATCAAGCATGGCACGCGTCTGTTTGGCCACGCATACATCTTGATCTGCACTGTTAGGCTCGTCATCTGCAATATTGAGCATCTTAGCCTGCAATCGGGATTTGGCCGCCTCTAGCTCTGAAGCTCCGTCCATTGCATCAGACATATCCGCGTCATTTCCATCCACAGGCCCCGGCTGTGCTTTATCATCCGCTTCGTCTCCATCTCCTTCCTGAGCTGGGATATCTGTCTGAGTATCTTCTCCGGTGTCCGAGTCTAGCGTTTCGTCCTCTGTCCTTGAGCTGTCTTCAGCCTCCCGGACCTTTTGCAAGATCTTCACAGCCCGTTTCCCGATATCACGAATATCCCCCACCTCTTCAGTGGACAATTCTCCAATCTCCCGACACCTTCCCAGCAAGCCCCAGGCCCAGGCACCGAGGCTTCGAATCTTTTCGGCTTCTCCACTTCGCAAAATGTCAGACATCAGTCGGGCCATTATTTGCAATACCCCAAGGACACTTTCTTGGTCCATACAGGCTAGTTGAACCATCTGTGGATTCACAGCCATGACAAGTCTTCTCCATTCTTTGCGCGCGGCGTCGACTTTGCGGGGGAGGCTGATGGGATGCGCGTCATCAAGACCGGCGATCGCGCTAGCCGGAGGTGAACACTTCAAGGTAGATCGAAGAAGTAGAAATCGGTGCCGGAGGAGGTCATAGTAAGAAGTTTGAGCTTCGGAGTATGGATTCGGGGGGCTTGCGGGCCTGGCTTTGGTCTCAACCGGGGCGATATAGGCCTCTTCGCGATCGAAGAATCCACGAGGGAAAGAATTTGAGGGTTTTTTTGTGTCGGGGGTGTTCAAAACTTGGCTGGAATCCGTATCAACTACCTTTGACTTTGATGTCTGCGCGATAAAGAGCGAGGGTAGCGCGCTCGCTTCGGATCTAAAAGCTCACCAGCATTGTTAGTTTATGTTCTGTAAATAATGCGCATGTGGGGGGGGGGGGGGGAGGCGATGATTTTCAGTAGCTGAGAAATGGCTAAGAAGTTGAAAAACGTACCGCACCATACGCAGATATTCTAGTCCATCATCTGCATCGTCGTAGCAGAGCTCGTCACCGGCATCGTCCAATCCCGGGAAAGCGTTCTTCTGGCCATAGAGGGGGTGGTTATAAGGCTTTTCGTAGGACATGCCGGAAGAACGGTCACCACTTTCATCTTCGTATGAAATGCGAGCCTTCTTGGACGAAGGGGGCGCCGTCGAAGCTTTTCGTTTGTCGGGCATTGCGGTGTGTAACAGGAGGAAAAGTCGCGAAGCTCCGATATGCTTATCTGGTGCTTATCTGGTGCTTATCTGGTGCTTATCGGCTTATCGTTGTCTTTATCGACTCCAACTCTAAACTCTAATTTGCACATGACTAACACGGTACTAATGTAACTATTAACTAGTTAGTTATGTACTATTCTTTGATTCTTGTAGACATCTAGAAGCTTCATTTTATACAAAGTTAGTTCGTACATATCACCTATCCATTATCTTTGACAGAGACTGGTTGGCGAGAATTATGAGTTGCCGAATTAAAGCTTCGGTCATGTAAAATGGTGGGAAGCATCCTTTTCTTTGCGGAGTGCGATTATGGCTGGCATAGATTTCCATCGTACCCTCCAATATTCGAAGATCCCCAGAGAATGTCGCCGCAGTGGGGTTCATGATAAGGTATTGAAAGAGGGAGAGGACAGCAGTGAACAGAAATTGTGCATGAAGCCTATTAGTGAGACAGGGTCATGTAAGCACAGCGTCAACGAAGTCTTAGAAGCAATTTGTGTAAACGTACCAGAAATCGACCGGATTGACAAAGTGGCGTACTCGGACAAAATATACCAATGTGGATCTTGCCGCCTGGTAATATAGTTCCAAGCTGGAGGGAAGTGTTGATCTGTTTCCCACGCAAAGTGATTGTTTGGAAGACTCAATATTTGCTCCATGGATTCTTCCAAGGCAGAAATAGTACTGTAAGTGCACATTCACACCCCGCAAACTCAAGTCATGACAGATGTAATTTGGCGTGGTCTCTGTGGCAAACAACTCAGGCTGACAGCCTGGTGGAAAGCTGGACTTAAAATGGCCAAGCTCCAGATCTAGTTCACGAATATATTGAAGTCGTTGTGTTTCAGATTGAGACTGGGCATGTTCGGAGTAAAGGAGTCGGTATATTTTTGATTTGATAAACCCTAGTCGCAGATCGGTGGGGAAGAGGAGCTCATCAGAAGATAGCGGCTTGGAAAAAATCTGACTATCAGATGATTGTTGGACATAGTTGGTTGGTAATTCCAAATCACAGTCTTCGTCCTTGATCATGGGCGGTTGGCATCGTCGGCTGGACATTTCTTTGTCCATGCAATAGCAAAGCCAAAATACATCTCGTAGATGTTGGTCTGCGAATTGATTGCCATTATGCACCTTGTGAGGTTTACATTTTCTGTTCCCTCCAAGGTTGAAGACAATTCGAGTGGCCATGGAAAGAAACAGCCCTGCTTGGGCTGCCTGGCCCCCTGGCGCAATATAAATAGCCTGGTGGCATAAGCAAAGGCCTCGATGCTACTTGAAACTCTGGGATATTTCTAACTCACCAAAAGAAGAAATGTTTCTAGACTTCTGATATCACCATCTTCCATCAAAAGTTCAGGTAGCAGTCCTAGTGCTGCCTGTGCGTAGGCATCGGGATCAGTATCGAGGAACTCGGGCTCGTGTCGGCGAATCCGAGACATGAATGCCGTAAATATGGCCAGAATTGCACGATTGGCTGCATGTTTATTTTTCTCCGGCTGCTCTAGAACATTATCATTAAGCAATTGATGCATCATCTGAACATCAACTATAGGGAAGATGGAGTAAATTCCGTTCGCGGAGTAGTACTCTAGGCATTGCCAGACCAACTTTCGTGGTGGCCAGGTCATAACATCAGCTTTCTTGGCATGTAGAGCATGCTGTGATTTGAAAGCTTCGCCAACTTTTTTGGAGAATTCTTCAAAGTTGAATATGCAGCCGGTTCTCTCATAGACAGTGGAACAAAGGCTCGTTCGTTCGACAGAGCCGGGACTTCCAAGGCCACATTCTGCCAAATGAGACTCAAAAGTTTTGACTGCGGAACAGAGCTTCCATGTGTCAAGTATGTGCGTAGAAGTGGGTGATGGGTTTGAGATATGGTTACGGGCAGGCTTCGGAAGAATGCTTCTGCCTGGAGGAGTTCTGGCAGGAGAATCAAAATAAGACCCCGGAGAGCTCTTCCCTCTTAAAGTGTCTTCTAGAGCTTGCACTCGAGCTCTGGTATCGGCAAGTTGTCTAGCACATGATCAGCCTAGAAACGCAAGATAATCTCCAAGAGAGAGAAAAAAAAAGAGTAAGTTAGACTTACCTTTGGATAGTCTTTCGCTCTTGTCCAGCCGGTAGACTAAAGGTACAAGAGACCTTTGCAAGGAAACATGTCTCACAGGCGGGTTTGACATTATCACAACGAATCTTAGCTAGTAGATTAGCGACGATGCTGACTTGCTGACTTGCTGACTGAAGTGGGATTTAAATCACCTTTTTGTGTCGACAAAGATCACAAGCACTCCGCAGCCTCCCTCCACGCGGGGAATTAGCGCGACGCTCCATGATCAAGTACTTCTATAAGGAGTCCAGTATGCAGTGATGACGGGGGGGGATCTTTTGATGAAACCCAACGCTTATTCATCCGGGTAGTCATCCGAGACCGTATCCCGAGGGCCACGCCAATTGGTGGCGAAGCAAAAAATGATCGGCCTTGGCCCTTGGCAGTCTTGGCAATATTTGACTAGTGAGCCCAATAAATTCCTCTGGATGAGAAGACCAAAAAAAAAAAACGTAGATGATCGTGTCCTCGTCGATGAGTCTGAGGATGGCGGTTTTGATCCTTTCTTGAAACCCTTGAGAAGTTCGCTTGGGTCACCATCACTGGCCTCTGTGAACTGGGCATATGTGACGATAAGTGGAGTAGAAATCTAACATTCGAACCTCTAAACCAATCAAGTAGAGCATGCGAAAGCTTAAATCAAAAGTGCCGAATTTCCAAATAAAGCAGTGGGGCCCATCATTGCTGCTCGAATCACCTACATGTGTATCGCAGAAAATAAGGGGCTAATAAAGAACCACTAACATTGAATACATACTATGTAACTAATACTTGAAGGGTTAGCACACTACTGCTTGTTACTCAAGAGCCAATTAACCGTTCCAATCAATGCATTTCTTTTAATCTCTTCAATGTTATCTACACAAGTCAAAAAGCTATACCCTTACGGGCGCAGACGCTGCGGGTCACGGGGGAACAACGAGGCCAACCGGACATTCGGTAGACCGAGGAAGAACATAACAATACGGTTAAGACCCAAACCACCACCAGCGTGGGGAGGGCAACCCTGGCGGAAAGCATTGAGGTAGTCCTCGAAGCCCTCCTGGGTAGGGTCGAGACCCTTGGAACGCATAGATGCCTCCAGCTCATCAATGTTGTTAATACGCTGAGCACCGGACATGATCTCCTCACCACGCATGAAGAAGTCGTAAGAGTTGGAGAAACGGGCATCGTTGGGGTCGGCCTTGGTGTAGAAGGGACGGACGGCCATGGGGAACTTGTCCAGAACGTAGAAGTCAGTGTCGTACTTGTCGCGAATGATCTGGCCAAGTTGCTTCTCCTGGGCGGTGCTGAAGTCGTTCTCGAAACGCTCCTGCTCCGACATGTCAACACCGGCTGCCTTCAGCAGCTCAACACCGTCCATGTAGTTCAAACGCAGGGCCTTGCCGTTCTTGGGCAACTTGAAGTCACCGGCCTTGGGGTAAGACTTCTGGATAATGGCGATCTGAGCGGCATAACGCTCCTTGAGCTGGCCCAAGATGAAGACCAGCAGGTCCTCGGCGAATTCAAGGACCTCGTGGTAGTGCTTCTCGAAGGTCTTTTCGAAATCGAGACCGGCAAACTGTGACATAGTTAGCGATAAATTCATCCATCTACACATAATGTATGTCGCTATCATACCTCAGTCAAGTGACGGTGGGTGTTGCTGTCCTCGGCACGGAACACAGGGGCAATCTCGAACACGTTCTCCATGTCACCGGCAATACACATCTGCTTGTAAAGCTGCGGGCTCTGAGCTAGGTAACCCATGCGCTTGAAGTACTTGACCTCAAAGACGTTGCTACCACCCTCAGTGGCGGCACCGACCAACTTGGGGGTGAAGATCCACCGGGAGCCGCTCTTGACCATGTACTCGGCAAAGAGCTCCGCGACACCGCTGGAGATCCAGGTGATAGCCTGGCTGGTCTCAGTCTGGAGATCCAGGACTCGGTTATCGAGACGAGTCTTGAGAGTAACAATGGGGGCACCGGACTCATCAACCTCGTTCTCCTTCTCCTCAGTGGGGGGAGGGCGCTCGGCATCCTTGACCTGCATGGGCAGCATCTGGGCAGCCTCCGAGATCATGTAAACCTTGCGAATGTGGATCTCCAGGTTCTGGATGCTAGCGGAAGAGATCGGGGTATCAGGCTTCTTCACAATACCGGTGACCTGGATAATAGAGTTGACGTTCAATCCTCCGGTGTACTTAATCATCTGGCGCGAGATGGGCTCTGCGGCGGCGATGACGGCCTGGACCTTTTGACCCTGCTGGCGCAGCATCAAGAATGCCAACTTGGCACTCTGAACACGCGCATTATCGACACGCGCGACAACCGTAACCTCCTTATCGTAGCAGTCCTCGTTCAACTTGCTGAATCGGGTAGAAGAAATGACGTCCTCGGTCTCGGGGAGCGGGCCGTAGAGGTGTTTGGCTGTGTCGTTGGCCTCCTGGGCGGCGGCCTGAGCCTTCTCTTGGGCAGCTCGTGCAGCTGCCTTCTCAGCCTTAGCCTTGTCCTTCGCAGCCTTCTTAGCGGCGTTCTTGCTGGCATTCTTGGTTTCGCCCTCAGCCGCGGGAGCGGCCGCGGGGGTCTCCTCGGGCTTGGGACGGGTGGGCAACTCAGAGTCCGCCATGATGCTGAGGCAAGAAGTCAGTTGGGCCAAATCGAGATAATTAATGGTAAAACATTAGGGTGGAGAACGTTATTACCTTAATGATGGATTGATATCTAGCTTGTCACGGGCAATCCACTTGAGTCAACACTTTCAGTCACCCCGCGACAGCCGTAGTATGCCCTAAGCCCTAAGAGGGGTGGACGTCACATGACATTGAGTCATGTTTTGCCTGATAAATCAGGAAGAATAGGAATCATGTAACTGAGTAGTAGACTAAAAGAAATGTCAATGGAATAAATGATCACTTACTCACATGTGCAGGTTCTACTAACTAGATAGTACATACATACTACTAGTATACTTGGAAGGTAGATATCTGGATACATAGACAGCCCAAACTTTGATGTGCCCAATGAGTCCACGGGTAAAAACGTTGTGAATGCAGTATATAGTACTATATACTTATAAGTTATATCCATCTAACATCTAATGAAACTCTTGTGTGTACAACATAGAACGCTGCATGTTTAAAATGGTGCCAAATCAGGAAGACCACTTGGAGGTCTTCAGAGCCCACTGTACACCCTTCTGAACATCATCTGCGATGATGGTGGGAGCCCATGCAGGCTTCCCACCAGGATAAACACCGGTACGAACCAAGATAGATTGCCACTTGCTTCCATATCCGCTGCGGTAGGAGTTTGCACCCCGAATATCCGATTCTGGGTTATCGCCAACCATATACACGTGCTGGAGCGGTGGAATATCAGCCGCATCTCCAAAGATTTTGGATCGGTTCCGAAGTAGCTGTCGCTCAGCAAACTCATAAGTTCCTTGGTAAGGCTTTCCAATGACAGTCTTCTTTAATTCAATGCCTTTGCTCGGTCCACCTGTGGTCGCAGCCCAAACACCCTCCAATGCCTCACGAAACCCACCTTGACCAAGACGGGGCAAGGGATAAGCGGCTGCCCAATAAAGGTCCGGGTTGGAGAAGTACAGATGAGGCTGGCCGTCTTGTTGGTATCCGTGATTGGGGAGGTCGATCTGGCCATTCTTCTCCGACAGGGTACCTACATGCCCCTGGCGTGAGAGCAGAATATCCATGATAACCTGTGTATCCAAACCCCAGTCCCGAGGATCATTGAATACAAAGACTGCATCGATTTTCAACCCTTGTTTTGGATTTGTAGGGTCGATTGATTTCGGAAGAGGTCTGGCGAATGTCTTGTAATAGTCCGAGAAATTCTTGGAGAAGGGCCAAATGGATGGATTGGCCATGAAGATATCCCCAGGTGTCACGACATTCTTGAATCCATACCTAGAGTTAATGGTTAGAGAGAAGACAAGGGCTATGGTGTGGGCATGATGTCAACTTACTGTTCCGCAACGCGCCGACAGTTATCCCCGTCACCTCCAGCGACCAATACACATTTGTTTTCCAGCGCACTTGTCCCATCTGTCCCTTTGACTAATTCGGCAAAAGGAGAGTGGCTTTGAACAATGTCGGATGCGTCCAGTGACACGTTCAGTTTCTCGCTAATCTCAGCCACTCGCTCAGTTTCGTGTTTACCGCCGCCATTGGTCAGGAGGATGAAGGGAATGCCTTGCTTTTTCAGGAGAGCTAATGAGTCGGCAGCACCGGGAATAGGTTGGGAAGCGCGCAAAAGGACACCGTCAATACTAAGATAAAAATGTCAGGATTGGCAATTCAGGCTGTAATTGTATGCATACATCATCATCCCTACTCACTCAAAGGCAAAAGCGAAATTGGGGATCCGGGCTGGACTGGCGGTTTGAATTGCACGTCGACCAGCATTGCAAAGCGATGATCGCTGTAGCAGGCTCAATGACCGGCAAATAGGCTGAGGTCTCATTGCGTGGGTGTTGACTTGAAGAGTTGGAGAAGGTTGAAAGGGGAAATGGGGGTAAAGAGTGATATCATCTCCGACTCATGCGCGCGCCCCACTTCTTTCTATCTCTCTCTTTATCTACTACTGACAACTTCCCCCACGCTCTCTGTACCTTCTTTTCACCTTTTCTCTTTTCTGTATCTTGATTCTCCTCAATCATCTCTCCATTTGCTTCTCCAGTAACCGATCATGATATGCAAGCCTGTCTTGCTTCCCCGTTTCTGTGAGAAACAGACAGATCTCACCCTGTGACTTCTCCGCACCACGGGGCAAAAAAAAATACACCTCCAAAAACAAAGCTCATTCGCCGAGCCATAGATCGAGCTTCTACTCATTATGACCTCCACAAAAACCAGCTTTTTGCCAACGGAGATTCTATCAGAAATTGTTGAATATCTCTATGTGCTTGGGATTCACGATGATTTGACGAAAGATAATGTTCCTGACAGAGCTCTACTGCAGAGACAAGCCTCCCTAGCCAACTTTTGTCTTGTGAATCGCCAGTGGTACTCGGCAGGAATTGAGTATTTGTATCGAGAACCTGAGGTCTCGCAGGGCAACCGATTTTTACAGTTCACCGAGACTCTGTGCCCACCACCCAAAACAAGACAAAAAACAATCACAAACCTAAAGTCAATGGTTCGAACTCTGGACCTAGCAAAGCTGGTTCACCAAAGTTCAAACAGTACCACTGCACGACTTATCAGCAAGACGAGTAAGAACTTGACATGGTTTCGAGCGCCCCGGGTCTCTTTTTCGTGAGTGTTCAAGACTACATACACTGCCCAGCCACTTGGGAACAACCTGGATATGTAACTAACCACTGAAAAGTCTCAACGGCCTGGCATCCTTGACCAAGTGCCAAAATTTGAGAAGACTGGATCTAAGCCGAGTAGGGGATTCATCAATCACCTTTCCACAGCTCAAGAAGACCGTCAGCAAACTCGGAAACCTGAATGATCTTTCACTGCCCATCTACATCCCTCTTACCCCAACTTTCCTCCCAAATATCACATGGCCCAATAGCCTCCATGAGCTTACGATTGGTGGGATAATTGACCATGACTTGATGCAAATATTTGACTGGCCAACCAACTTGGGAACTTTGCGCCTGTCAAATTGCAAAAACCTTGACATTTATCTCATCGAAAGCATCTTGGACAACGAATTTATGTCCGAAAATTTGCACAATTTCACCATTAATACGAATTGCATGGAGCACTACATGCACCTTGACGATTCAACAGCTGTGCTGCATAGCCTGGATCTCCTTGAACGCCTCGATATCCCCTCATCCCTGCTCCGACCTTTACTCTTGCTTGATGATGAAATGTCACCCATACATTTGACTATAATGGTGATCGATGATGAACCTGCCATGACCGTGAACGACAGTGAATTTGGTGCGGATTTGATGAAATCCTTGGAATCGGGCCCCTTGGGTAAAATTTGGGCGCTCTATGTCAGCAGAGGGTTTTCCGATTCCTACCAATTGAAGCCGGAAGAAATCGATGACCTTATCCTCCTTCACCTAGACGATGTTGATGATGAAGAGCTCGACGAGTGGGGTACAAGATTGGGATTTTACGAAGACGAATGACCTACTAGGCCAAGCCCGTGACATGGATCGCAATGCAGAATCAGCGCAGCCAATGCATGAAGATACCCACTTATACCCATCACAGATTCTTTCGGCAAAAAGAATGAGCAATGTGGCCACTTTACCTATCTATTGTTATTTAAAACGATTGAAGCATACTAAGTTAGGAAAATAGAAAATAGCTTTTCATACATCCTATGGACCTCAATCTATTTGAGATACTTAAGCAAAGCAGCATAAAACAAATACGGAAGCAGACTGGACAAGCAGACTGGTAAAAGAGAAGACCCTCCAATTTTGTAGTGAGCTTCATGGGACTCGTTAAGACCAACAGAATCGCGCCGTAGAAGCATATGATGAATGGAGGGGGAAAAAAGAAACAAACGTGGGAGAAACAAGAGGATAGCATGGCTTCTTCGCGGGAAAGGAGAAAATGGGAGAGGAAAAGAGAAAAAAATTAACCAAATCCTCATCTCTACTACAATTTGCTATAAAAAGGTTGGGGGGAGAAAGGGGAAATAAGTAGGGACATTAAGTGACAGATGCAAGAACCGCAGCAGCGACACCCTCCTCTTCTGCCCGGACAGTGATCTTGGTTGTGACACCACTCTTGCTCGAGTAGGCCATCTTGATGAGAGAAGCCACTCTGCCGCCAGAGACAGTCTTGCCGAAAAGCTTTAGGGTGTGGGTGCTGTTGTTGAGGGCAACATCGCTGCCTTCCAAGGGTTGGAGGGACAATGCGGAAATGAGTTGCTCGGTGGCATCTGGTAATTGCAATGTTAGTATGATTTGTGAAAAGTTAGCTGAAGGGGGAGGGGGGATATTTAATGCCAAACATACCAGCAATGCCCTTCATGTTGCTTAGTTGTAGAGTCTCACTCTCCTCTTCGCCATTAGCACCCGTCTGTTCCCAAACGTGGTCAAAGCTGCCAGCGAATGCAGGAATGACGTAGTCGCTGCCGGTAAGCTCAAGGTCTTCCACCTGGTACTCGTCGTCGTATCCCTCGTCTTCTGGCTCGCCAGTAGTAGGATCGATCTCCTTACTGGTGAACTTCAAGTGGTTGGTGAAGGATGTTATGGGAACGCTGTTCTCGCCAGCCAGCTTCTTGAAAGCAACATAGACGACACCAGGCTCGTTGGGCATGAGCTTGGGAGCAGGAATAATGAAGTCGTCCTCTAGTACATCGTCCTCTGATGGTGAGGCAACCACGGTCACGTTGCCAAGAACAGTATCGGGTAATGTGTTCTTGATATCGTATTGCACAACGATGTGCTCCTTGAAGATATGTTTAACGGCGGTGACAACGTACTCGGTCTCGCTCTCCGAAAGCTCGACAGGCGCGGAAGACTTGAGTAAAGTACCATACTCCTTGATATCGGGAATCTGCAAGAGCTGCTCGGCATATTTTTGGGCAGCAGCGGCAGTAGCTGCCTCGGCAACTCCGTTCGATTTGCCCTTGGGAGAACCGGTTGATGGAGCTTTGAGGGTAGGGGTAGCCGTTGTGAGCTTCTTAGTCCGCTCCTCGGCCAAGGCCTGCTCGTGGGAGACAACGGGGACGGAAGCAACGTTAAAGGCTGCAGCAAATGTCTGCTTATCGTTCGATGTCACGTACATAACGAGTTGGTGCTCGAAGGTAGAAAGGGAATACATGGAATCTGAAGTTGTCAGTAAAGAAAGCAGTGAGAGAGAACGCCACGGGAATGTTTACCGTTCTTAATAAAAGCACTAGCTGTGGCGTCTTCAGTTCCCATCAACCGAAGGTTGAGGGCAGCACGATCGCGCACCTCGTCATCAATGTCGTCAAGGCAGCGGGTAAGCAGGACATGCACACTAGACTTGACTTCAGGGTCCTTCTGGCCAACACCAAACTTAGCCAACGCAGTGACAGCAGCGGCACGGACGATGGCGTTTTCTAAAACGACACGGTTGTAGATGTAGCGGATGTATTTAGTGGGGTGCGAAGTCTTGGGACCCTCAACACCAAGCAGATGCAGGACACGGACAGACAATTTAGTGAATTCGCAGTCCTCAATAAACTCGCAAAGGTGAGCAAGGGCTAACAGGGTTGAACGTTAGCCTTGAAGAAAAAAGGTCTGGACAAAAGAATCACAAACTTACCATCTTCCTTGCTATCGGGAACAAACTTGATTAAATCGAACATGCTCTCCACAACAGTGCGCTTGAATTCGTAACCACCTTCATCGCGCAGAATACCGCTAAGGAAGACTAGCATGCCGGCCTGTTTGCTGGGGAACTTCAGGCACAATGTGCGGATAGCCTCAACGATAGTAATCTTGAACTCATCGGTAATATCGGCCATGAAGCCAGAGATCTGCTTCATAAGACGGTCAACACTGGCTTCGTTACCAGTCTTGAGCAGGGTTGTAATAGCGAATGTGGCGATAGATCGGTTGGAGTTGGAAATAAGCGATTCGATATCGGGATTGCACACATTGACGACGTGCGGCTTGAAGGAGGCGAAGTTGTGGAGGATACGAATGGCGGCGAACTTCGTGATCGAACGAGGGGAAGACAGGAACAGCTGAAGAACGTGAACGGCTTGCGATGCCTCGGCGTCGGTAACGTCTCGCAACTCGCAAATAGCCTTCGCGGCCTCGAAGTTGACCATCTCGTGCTTGTGACGGAGCCAGCCATCCAGCATTTGCACCATGGGCTTCCGGAGACCAGGGTCCTCCTCCGCCAGCTTGGCGGCCAGACGGACCAGTAGCAGCAGAGCTGCCGGACTCTTCACCACACCAGCTGCACCATACTGCTGTACCATCTTTACTAATGCCATGCGGTCGGGGGAACGCATCTGGTACAACAGACCAATGGCGTGGTACTGGTTCATGAAGTTGGACTGGGAAATAGCATGGGCTTGAGAGCCTGACGAGAAGCCCAAGAAGCCAGTCGATTGCTTCGAAGACGAAGCAGCTTCTTGAGTTTCGCTTTGCCATCTCCGCACAACGTCGCGCGCGATAGGCAGGAGGTGGTACGAGGAGACCAGAGCAGCTGATGAGACCGAAGGCGTTTTGTCGACAATGGCGGTCTTGATCAATCGCTCGATACCCTGCACAGTCGATCCGTCGATGATGCGACAGAGTGCCCGGATAGCGTTGGCTCGGTACAGGACGTCGCTTCCGACCGCGGTATCCTTCATGATGATACTAGTCGACATAATCACATCTTCTGCGGTATTGGCCAGCTCCTTCAGGATGAGATACACCATCTGTCGCAAAGACGGATCCTTGTTCTGGAATAGCTTGGAGATACCGAAGAACAGGGTCGTGGCTTCGTTTGTGGGGAACTGCTCCCCGGTGAAGACGAGGACCGCAATCTTGGTCAATAATGTACGACATGTTCGCGGTGAGATCGGAGAGGAGTTGAAAAGTCGAGCTAGAGAAATTGATCAATTAGTCTGGTGGCCCAACTGGCAAAGGGAGGCGAGAGGAGGTGGTGAGCCGCAATAGCCAGGGGTCATGACCCTTTGCCATTGCTGATTGGCGTACCATCTTGGAATACGGAGGTCCGATCAAGCTTGATCATGACCTGATCAGCATCTTCGTCCTTCTTCATGTAACTCATTTTGCCCAGGTGCTGGTATTGCACCAGCGGATTGTACTTCGCGATCGATCGGTACTCGGAGATTGAACGGGAGGGAGGTCACAACAGTTACGGGGGTGAGAGCGGTGTAGGGAGCTACTGCATTCGCGTAACTTGCACCCCCAATAAGTTTGAAAGGGGTAGAATAGAAAGAAAAAGAGAGATATAGAGGTGGTGATGGAATCGCAACCTCGAGCTCCGCGATCACTTGTTTATGGAGTAAAGTTGAATGGTGGCCTTCCGTGTGTTTGGCTAACCCGGGCAAACACTGCAAACAGGTGGCATCATGGACTCATGATACTCTGCCTGTTCCAACTTCTTTCCTACATTTACTTGCTACAAACGTTTGAAAGCAAATTGTTCGAGTTCTTCATTCTTAATTACTCAATATGGAGGTCGAAGTTAATCCCAACGAGGATACTGAATGGTAAAAGTCCCTCCACCATCACCTGCATCGCGCCCGCATTACCCCCCCCCCGCTCAGTTGGAGCTATGTGTGAACAGGATCTAACTATGGTTGTATTTAATTCAGGAACGACATTCTCCGCCAACATGGAATTATTCCAGAGAAGCCCCAGGACCCAGAACCGTTGATTCAAGAAGCTCTGATTGCGGCCGAGCACAGGGCGCATGAGAATCGTTTGGAGGACAAGGACCTCGATGAGCTTGACGCACTGGAGGAAGAAGAGGACGAGGCTTTCCTCGAGCACTACCGGTATGCTACTATTGCTTCAGGCTTCGTCCCGCTCATCGAGCCACATACCATTTCATCTATAAATCGTGTCAAGGCAGCAAGCTGATTAGCACTGACAGACAACAACGCCTCGCTGAACTCTCCATTCTCCAGAAGACCAGCAACTTTAACCAGGTCTACCCCCTCCAAAAAGTTGACTACGGCCGAGAAGTAACCGATGCCTCTAAAGAAGCATTTGTCCTTGTCAATCTCACCTCCCAGGGTGCCAACGTCGAATCTCGTGTGTTGACTGAGCTTTGGCGACAAATGGCGGTCAAATTTGGTGACATCAAGTTCTGCGAAATTCGTGCCGACATGTGCATCGAGGGTTACCCAGAGCGGAATACCCCAACCATTCTCATTTATAAGGATACTGAGATTCGGAGACAATTGGTCACTCTGCGGGAACTTAAGGGTGTTCGGACTAAGATTGAAGGTGAGCATTTCCCATTGATGTAGTTTCACTTGAGGTGCTTGAGACTTACTTCGGGAATAGACCTAGAGCAGCTGCTCATTGAGATTGGAGCGTTGAAAGAGAGTGACGTTCGCCTCAAGAAGCATGCTGATGAAGATGACTACGCGCCTAAGGACGATGACCTCAATGATGAGGATTATGATGATTGGGACTGATCGCATTCGCGCTGAACTATGCGATCAACCCAAAATGTTATGATTTGATGTGTGTACATTATGAAATGCGCTCAAACAAAGCGACGATCCTTACCAGTGACAACCTTGGGAGGAAATTGAACAAAAGAGAGAAACCCCCGAATAAGTTGGAAGCTTGATGAACCTTTACTTGATATGCATATAAGAATGATGGTTGTGTTCATTATTTCTTGTGCTGTTGATTATCCTTGTATCCATCAGATTGGCAATGAATAGTATGATATATCAAGGTGCATTGTATGCAGTATGTACTGCTAAATTCCCGGAGTCATGAACATTGAACATTTGAAGTAAAAACAACATTTGAAGGCCAGAATTACAGCGCTTAAAGAAAATATCCAACCCCATCAGATAGATATCTCAAACTCCTATAGTTGAGTAAATCCATCAACTCGCTAATCCCAGTAGTTTCGTTTTTTCCAGCACCCAAAGACTCCAAGAGTGATAACCTAACAGACGCCAAATAGAAAAATATTAACAAAGAACCCTATTTAAGAAAAAAGACATATACTCGTCATTTAGACCAGAGACAAAGTGGCCAATATTGTATGAAATCAGATCAACCGATCCTGATCCACCACACTGGCCTCAATGGCCCTTATCACCTCTCCTTCCTGAAAAGCAGGACCCTGCCCATTACACTGGGCCAACCCCTTGAGTCGATCTGCAATTCCCTCAATATCCACTTGCCCCGCCTTGAAAAGCTCATGCTTTTGAATGAAATCCCACGTGGCTCCTGCATCAAGAAGCTTTTCACCCGTGACTTCACAGACCATAACCCGGTGCGAAGCCGGCGGTGCAGTGTCACTACTCCCAGGTGCAGGGCCCCATCCAGACCCCTCAGGCATTAATGTGCTGTAGAAGTCTGTGGGGGAATAATCCATTGGACCTGTGACGGTGTGCTGCTCTTCCATACCAATGGAATTACGAGGGCCGCCACCACCACCACCATTCATTGAGCCTGACGTTACTCGCAAGATCTCGTTTTCAGTGGCGAATTTGGCAAGTTCGCGCTTCAGGCGCTCATTGTCAGCTTGGAGGGTACCGGAGGCTTCTGCCAGGGAGTTGACTTTGTCTTCGAGGTCTTTGACGTGGCGCTCTTTTCGCTCGCGGAAGGCTCGTTGACTATGTAAGTATTCCAATATGTTAGTATAAGTCCTCCAACCCCACAATTCTGTTCCGTGCAAGGCAGAATCGAGAGTCTGTATGCAGTTTATATAGCAGCAATGTCACATACGCTGCACGATTCTGCGCCTTGCGCTTGCTTTGCGCCGGAGTCATGGAGTCCTTCTCCTCGCTACTACTGCGGCCTAGACCAGCATCCCCGAAGTTGTTTTCGTCCCCATCGAGCGAAGACGGGTCCATCTTTGAATTATGACCAAAGTCATTGCTCGAGACCGAGTGCTTGGTGAAAGAATCTGGCGGTGAATGCGGTTGCGGGACAAACGATGAGGGGTCGATGCGCAAGGAGCCTTCCAACCCCGGGAAATATTGATTATAGGTGTTCTGGTGGTGCTGCTTTGATAGAAGGTTAGCCTGATCCCTCACTTGTTTCCGAATATCGAGAATAAAGGGAGATCAGAGCGCATACCAGAGAGTATGGATCGCGCAGAGAGTCGTCAGATTGTTGCTGTGGTGGTTGGTCGGGGGTTGGCAGCCCGTACATAAAGGACTGGGATTGATGACCGGCATAGTTAGAGTAATCCATCTTGCTGCGACAGATGCAGAAGAATCAAAAGTGTTGTGGTTCCAGGTCTTTTGATTCAGAGAGTGAAGGGGGAAGAGCTGAAGAGGATGATGGTCGTACGGGGGAGATTTTAGTTTGGGCGTCTTTCATGGGGGAGGGGATTTTTTGTGAACCCTGGACGTTCTGACCGGTTCTTTCTCTACTATGTACCTTTGGCTCAAGTCTCGGCATGCCACATCTACATCTACTGTTTAAGAAGTCCTATCATATTATGAATGAATCATTTCGATATGTTTCTCTTTTTAGATCTATAGGTTTTGCTGAAAATAGTCTTCAACAAGAAGTTCACCTCAGATCATTAATCATCATGTTATCCGACCGAGTGGAGTCCGGTCCGTGCATGGAGAGCGCCCATGGATCGCCCAGAACCAAGACCAATCGACTCGATGATCTCACCGCAAACTCAAGACACGACAAAGTACTACATCGATTCAATCATGGTCTACGGCATAGAAGAAACTGAGGTGGGGAGTGGAAGCACTTTGATATTAGATGCGGGAAGCCAATCGGGCAGGATCTGTCTGGGTGGGTCCAGTAATTGAATAGACAACACACATCAATCTTAAAATGCAATACAAGTTAGTTTGGGATAGTGCATGCAGTTGGGAATGACAAAATGGAAAAAAGAGACGAAGCTAGAAACATAAAACGATGCAAATCGACGCAAAAACCTCCCCGGAAGCGACCCTAACCATTTTCCGTCGCCATTTACCTAACGAGATGAGACCTTCTCCGAGAACACCCATCAGCCACCTGAAAATATGACTCTTGCACAGGACCAAAGGCAAGAATAATAAATGAAAAGGCAGACGAACAATCCTCGAAGAAAGTCACATCCCGAATAACCACTTCCACCCTCTAGCAGACTGCAGTACAGTCTTCTCCTCGTCCCCATGCGGCGTCGATTTGCAGCAATGAATAATGAAAATAAAAAATAAAAATAAAAAGATGTCAAACGTGAGTGGGTAAGGGTAAGAATCAAAACAAGACAATCTGGGTCAAAGGGGTAATGAGAACACAAATTGATGGGTAGCGCATAAGTATGCGGGTTCCAGGAAGTCCAGTGCAAGCGATCAAAGCAACAGACATAATATTCTGTTTCCAGGGTTGACGCTGTCATTTGCATCTCCTTCAACCTTTGTAGATCCGGCCATTTGCGAAATTGTTGAAAAAGAAATTGGCCGTCGCAAGAAACCGGAAAGAGGGAAGAAGTTGAAATAGCCACCATATCAAAAGCGTTTCGAGACCGATCGGATGTCCCAGGGGAGCGGGTACACGAAATCCGAATTGGGGAAAGCAGTCGTCAGGAACGTCTAGCTACCGAAGCAGCTAGACAAAACACTGAGCGATCGAAACGGCTGAAGTCGAAATATGATCGAGAACGGGGTAGAAGGGCGGTTAGAGAGATTGCAGAATGAATGGAGATCCAAGAAGAAAAGAAAAGAGAAATCCAAGAAGGTCGAGTGCAAGGCGTAACGTCCATGGCGATTTGACAGTGGGAGTCCCGGGTTTCTTCAAAGGTGGTTGTGTGCATGAGAGAACGAGGGAAAGGGGGAGGCAAAGGAAGCAAATCCACATGCCCTCTTCTCTCCGCAAGTGCTCCACGATTAGTACCATTGTGCCCCGGTCCCATCGTCCCGCTTTGAACGGCCGTCAGAAGGTCCATAAGCACCTAAAGCAGCGCCCTTCGAGGCAGAACGCAGCCTAACGCCGAAGACTATGCGATTAGTCAGATTCAGAACTAGAGGATCCTCCACGCCAGGGTCACAGAAAGAAAAAACACCAAACGTAAAGGGAGAAAGAGAAGGGGTTCCCTACTCGGAACCAGGTTTCATAGTACTCACATCCTATCACTACCTCCAACGGCACGGTTAGCGTCCGGAGCGTTATCGAGGGTGCCACGGTCAATGACCTTGCGGCGCTGGCCCGAAATCGCACTGGGCTTAGCAGCAGCGCCACCAGCCATAGGGCCAGCAGCAGGAGCACCCTGGCGGCGAGCAGCTTCTTCATCCTTGTCCTTCTTGGTAGCATCCACGATCATGGCCGCGTTCTTCTGGTACTTGTAGACGGTCCAGTCGAACACGTAGTCGTACTGGAACGACTCACGAACGAAGAGATCACGGAAGATCTTGCGAAGGTAGGAGTAATCAGGCTTGTCATCGAAGCGGAGCGAGCGAGTGTAGTTCAGGTAGATAGCGAACTCATTAGGGAAGCCACGGCACAGAACCTCAGTGGGGGTGGTCATCTTCTTCTCCATGATACGGTCGTATTTCTGCTTCTTGGTGGCAGCCTTCAGGCCCTGCCAGGGTAGGGAGCCACGGCAGAAGTACAGCATCACGTAACCGAGTGACTCCATATCATCACGTCGAGACTGCTCGACACCCAAGTGGGTGTTGATACTAGCATAACGGGCAGTACCAGTGAGGTTCTTGTTCTCACGGTATGGGATGTGGAAGTGGGTCTTGGGGTCGCGGTACTTCTTGGCCAGACCAAAATCGATCACATTGACTTGGTTGCCGCGCTTGCCAATGCCCATAAGGAAGTTGTCGGGCTTGATATCGCGGTGGATGAAAGATTTAGCGTGGATGTACTCGATGCGGGAAATAAGCTGATCGGCGAGCAGGAGGACGGTCTTGAGCGAGAACTTGCGGTTGCAGAAGTTGAAGAGATCTTCCAGACTGGGGCCCAAAAGGTCAATAACCATGGCGTTGTAGTCACACTCGGTACCGAACCAGCGGACGAAGGGAATACCGACACCGCCGGCAAGAGACTTGTAGACACGAGCCTCATATTCGAGCTGGGGGTGCTTGGCCTTGACGCTTTCAAGCTTGATGGCAATCTCTTCACCGGAGATGATGTTTGTGCCTAACAAATTGAAATTAGATGCTGTTATAGAGGAAATCCCATTGAAGTTGGATACAGATACATACCAAGGTAAATGTCACCGAAACTACCGCTTCCGATCTTACGGCCGATACGGTACTTGTTGCCGACACGCAAATCCTGTATATGCTGTCAGCACCTGGAGGTGGTCCGGCGGAGGCGAGATTTTGACGCTATTTTGAGACAAGGGGCGCCCATCTCACGGGTCACGGGTTGGGATATGATTGACACATGGACGTGGGGATGTGACTGGAAAAGGGGTCGTTGGGAGAGGTTGGGCACTCACCATGGTCGTCATCTTGGAGGTAAAGGGCTGGCTAGCCGTGTGGAATTATGGAAAGCTGTCAGGAATGATGGTTAGAAAGGGTCAAATGTAATTCATTCACAGATCGAATAGAGCTGGACAGTTGAAAGTGAAGAGAGTCGATAGCTGAGCGATGGAAGGTGGTACAGGTCAAAAGTAGAGAATAATTGAATTTGGGTTTGGGAGGGGGGACCGTATATCCGAGCCTCAAGCGTAAGGCGTGAATGGGCAGATGTGGCCAACACGAGGATTCTTGTGCCTTCAACGCAGCATGGAAGGGGATAAATGAAGACCGGAAGATAATAGCAGACAAACGAGGAAATAGAAATACCCTAGTACCGGGGGGGGGAAAAGACTTTGAATAACAGAGGGTAATTAATGTGGCCATACATACCTAGAACGCAGATAAGGATCAAAGAGGTTCAATGCCGACCGTACAGAGCCGACCGGATAGAGGTGGAAAGGGACAAGAGGGATTTGGGAGTACACGGACAAATCCGAATCAAGAGAAGAGATTGGAATGGAAATTCAGAGAAGTCCAGGAGTCAAGGACTACACCTGTTTAGCAAGAAGGATGAGGAGGAGAGGGAAAGGAGAAGGGAAGAGGGGGGAAGTCGGTGAACAGCGCGTAAATATTTTATTAGCGAAAGAGGGTGGCTGAACAGTGACCTGCAGAGTACAGGGCGCCGCTAGGGATTTCGTGTGACGCCCGAGGTACCTGCCCCGTCACTTTGCGCGAATTTAAAGTCATGCTAATATCTATCCTCTATTGGAAGGGGTTTCTGATTATTGTTTTGATTCTAATAATTCTACCTATTGCATTTCTCTTTTTCATGTTTTGATCTTTTTTTTTTTTTTTTTTTAAGATGATCTCGCCTTGAAGGAAATGACATTCGGGTTCGGAATTGCCTTGCGTATGTACCGTATACGCGCTCAGCTGACACTGGGATGCAAAACCTGGAAGTTGCCTTTTGTAGATTAGCTGGGGTACCTTAGCTTGCTTAGGTAGGTGACAGGTAACTTGATGCTTGCATGGCTTGATTCCAAGGTTTCTATTAATATCTTCAATCCCGCTGGTCCAGTTATATGCTGGACAACTGGCTCCAGATCTAGACCCTGAATATAGCCCCCATATTTCTTATCCTTGGAGGTTCCCCCCCTCCCCAACTCTAATAGATATGGAGCTGTGGGGGGACTCTGAAGGTAATACCTAGGTATGTCTTATCCTGCCAAAAATCAGTTGGGTGTAGAAGATGCAATGGAAATGTTTGCTTGGCCCCGGTACTGGTACCCTTACGCCTGCATGGGGCCAAATGCGACCTACCGCAGGCTGGGGTATGATTTTTGAACAAATCAAAATTCTGGATTCCATGTGCAATCTACAATCTACATGCGAGGTGTGCTCAGGCTTATTTTGAGGCTTGAAAGGCGACATGGATCTTCATAAGATAATTGACAATTGCTGACTATTAGTAGACGGCGAAATCATGGATGTGCTAGTGGTACAGCCAGAGTCCAATAAACATCGGGAAACCGGGGTATAAAAAGAAAGAGAAAACAAGGGGTAGAGAGGGACAAAGAAGGAACAGGAGGGTGGGAACACGGACACAGGCGCAATAAAGGCGATCCAAAATCGAAACAAACGAAGGGAATCCCGTCCCTTTTGGCCGATCGAAAACAAAAATAAAGCGGGAAAAAAAGAAGAAGATAAAGACGATAATGATAGTGTAGGCCAAGGAACCTTTCATCATGCAAGGATCATGCTTCGCGAAATTAAAAAGAGAAACGGAGGAAGTGGCAGAATACATGTGCAGAGCGCTCAGAGAATTGCAGATGGACATATCTCAGAACACATGGTCGTAGAATGAGTTGGATGAGAGAGGTACTAGTAGTACTTAGATGACGTTGGCCGCGCTCGTGCCCGAGGGCATCGTCTTTGGCTTGTTGGCACCAGTGACAGTTCGCTCTTCTTCATCCAGGCGCCGCCGCCATTCAGCTAGGCTGTCAGTCATCAAGGCTGGCCCGTTGCTGTCCTCTTTAGTGGGGGTGCGTTCCATGTCAAGCTGACTGCTGAGGCGGTAGTTGCGGTTGGTGCTCTCCCAGTGGCTGCGAAGGGTCTCCAGTTCATTGGCAAGGGAGTCGAGAGCCATGGATCCTCGGTTATCGGGGAAGGTAGTAGATTCTTGGGAAACATTGCTGTCTGCTCGCGCTCGCCCACCAGCAGTATTGCTAGAGGCGTTACTGAGACTGCGGGAAATTCCATTAGTGCCCGGAATGAGCTGGGACTGACGGCGATAGTGACCCACGGAGGTCTCAACCTGCTGCAGAAGCATGTTGACTTTCTGCTCTGCGTCGGAGGCCCGGGTCTCCAAGTGAAGGTTTTCCTGTTTGTACTGCTCCAATTCGGCACGAGTACGCTCCGCGGTAGCCATCAGCTCTTGCTTGAGACGATCGTGCTCAGTCAGCGATCTTTCCTTCTCAGTACCCGCAATAACAAGTTGCTCCCTGAGCTGAGTGACCTGGCTTTCTAGATTCTCAATCGACGATGAAGTGTTTCGCTCTAGGTCGGCGATGGATTTCTGGAGCTGGGAGCGCTCGATTTCCCATTCAGCAGAACTCTCGGACTGGTTGCTAGAGTCTTCGACACTCTTGTTTGCAATTTCTAACTCGGACTGCATCTTGGCATTCTGAGCCTTGTAACGACTCAGCTCGTCCTTCATACGCTTTAACATCTTTTCAGTGCCTTTGACGTAGTGGACGGCTGATTGGTAGTCATTTTCAAGCTGCTCAAGCTTCTCGCGGAATGCACGGTCAGCTTCTTGCTCCCGAGACTCGAATGTAGATTTCAAGTCGTCATGAGATTTCATGCTGCTAGACAGCTGTTGCTCCAGCTCGCGCAACCGGGTCTGCTCGGGAGTGCCGAAGCGTGAGCCCGGCGACTCGAGGCGAGGAGACCGGCGAGTATCGGGGTTAACGCCTCGCTCACCTAAAAGGTCCTTCAAAGCTGCGTGCTGAATGTTCAAGGCCCCGGCCTCTCGTTGGTGAGAATCGAGTTGGGCTTTCAAGTCCCTACTATCAGCAGTAGCAGCCTGAGTTTCCTTCATAGCTGTCTGTAGCTGTCGGCGTAGCTGTAGTCCTTCACGACTAGCCTGCTCTTGGTAAGCCTCAAGGCCAGCGATTCGCTCTTCGGCCCGGCGTAACTTCTCAGCTGCTGAATCAGCGGCCGCCTGGTTGGCCTTGGCCAGAGTGCCAGACCTTTCAATCTGAGCTTCCAGCGCGGCGACGCGCTGATCAGCACGAGACCGGATAGAAGCGTCCAGATCAGTTGACGAGGCACGCTCAAGACCGGAAACGAAAGCCAACTTATGGGTTTCAGCTTCCTTGGCATGAGTCTCAGCGAGCTCTTCAGCCTCGCGCAAGCGGCGGGTTGTATTCTCCAACTCCGTTGTTCGCTCCTCGTGTTCAGAGCGGAGTTGCAAGAGTTTCCTTTCAAGGCCCTCCCGACGTTCTCTCTCCTCCTCCAGCCTCTTTTCGATAATAGCGGATTTTGCAGCGGAAGCCCCAACGGCTTCTTTCAGTGTACCAAAGTTATTGTTAAATTCAATAAGGCGGCCTGAATAATCCTCGATTTGATGAAGAAGCTCCGCTTTATCAAGAACAAGTTGTTTCAACGAAGCCTCAGCCTCCGCACGTAAGAGAGCCTCTTCCCTGGAGGAAGCTTCCGCGCGATGTAGCTCGGCACGCAGATTCTCTGCCTCAAGGGCGTTGCTCTGCATCTCAAGCTCTGCCAAACGTTTGCGGGTAGCTTCGTTGGTATCCTCTGCCAACTCTCTGGCCTGTTTCTCCTGCTGGAGGTCCACGATTAAGACATCAAGTCTGCCTTTCAGTTCAGACTGGGATGCCAGAGCCAATGCAAGACGACGACCCATGTCAGTTGGGCGTTCACCGTCTTCACTTTCGCGAGAAATCTCGGGTTGCGGGGTTCCGCGTTGGCTGCCGCCGTGGGCAGCGAGTCTGGCACGAGAATAGGCGGCCTCGCTGACAGCGACATCACGTTGGTGCTCAACTTCAGCAATGCGCTTGGATGCGATGGCTGCTTGTCTGTCTACGGTGGCCTGCATCTTAGACAGTTCAGCTCTCATCGATAGGAATGCTTCAATCAGAGGACGATCTTCATCATTCAGTGAATCGCTAGCACGATCGTCAATGGCGGGACTGCTAGATGAGTTCGGTACGTAACCGCCCTTTCTTGCTAGCGCCAGTTCAGAGGCGTACCAGGCGTTCCGTGCCTTGGCCGCCTCAAGTTCCTTGATCAAGGCCTCTTGGTGTGGGGTCAATCTCGGTGAACGAGGCTCGTCAGCGAGCGTCTTAGAATTTCGGAAGCTTCGAGACTCGATAGATCCATCAATGCTGACTTGACGTCCAAGAACAGATTCTTCTGCGCTGTCCATCGAGCCACGCTGCCGATGCGAGCGAAGAGACCGCTGGCGGCCGGGAGTGGATATCATCGGAGCGGCCTCACCAGCTTCCATTGCCTTGGCAGCAATCTTTTGCTGTTGCTGGGTGGGGGTACGCTGACCACTCGATGCTTGTGAATCGAGCGGTTGTTCTTTGGCCACCGGAGACTCGACACCTCGATCAGCATTCGCGACGCGTATATCAACGGTACCAGTGTACCCACGGTCCATCTTGGTCGGGGTTTTGCTGCGAGGATTTACGACGGGCTGGGGCCCATTGGCACGAGGGCCAGGAGAAGGCGCTTGGCCCGGAGGAGGTGGTCCAGAGGGCGCCTGGGCAATTGAAGCCCTTGGGAGCCGAGACCCCGGTCCCGGTCCGAGGTTGGGGTTCGATCCAAACTCCCCAGGTCTACCGCCTATGGGCTGAGTTAAACTTTCGCGGGACGGTGTCGGACCGCGACGTGACTGGTCAGGAGTGGCACTTTGTGCCTCCCGAGATGTTCGACCAGATGCGGGTCCTTGCTTGTCGACGCTGACTTTCCTGCCCGTTGGAACCGCACTGCGTTCGGTTGTGGCTGAATCATTGGGGTATCGAATTTTTGATGTATCAAGGATATATGCCATGCTCAGCTCATTGGCATCCCGAGGGGCGGAGCTAGGTTCGCCCGCCATAACAATAATCTGTTTTCCAAACGCAGTCATGCTATGACCAGATCGAGGGGATGGTGCCGGGCCCATGTTCTGGAAGGAGTACCAACGCCGAGTCGAGATACGGAAGGCCGAAAGGTCACCGAGGTCTATGCCTTCGTTGGTGCGGCCACCGAATACGTACATCACATCACCAACCAAGGCCGAAGCGTGGCCTTCGCGCGGTGTTGGGATGAAACCGACGCAGTCGATTTCAGACCATCCAGTACCACGAGGATCGTAGCACCAGACATCATTGAACCACCGCACACCGTTCGTTCCTCCAAACAAGTAAAGTTTGTCGTTGTGGCTGACAATAGTGTGGTTGGTTCTGGCCGCAGGAATTTCTCCTTCGGGAGGTCCTCCCTCGTGGCTGTTTTGGACCAAAACATCCCACTTGTTGGCGGGGTTTTGTAGCTGATTCAAATCAAATGCAATTAAATCATTGAAGAAGAATCCTTCAACCTGACCACCAAAAACGTAGAGCTTCGAGCCCAAGATATTCAGGGTATGACCGTACCGTCCAGCGGGGCGAGGTCCGGGAGGAATCGCACGAGACCATTGTCGGGAAGCTAGAGACAGGAAACATTAGTTGATAACAACAAAGAGACAAAGCTGGAGCGACTTACAGGTATTCAGCAGGTAAAGTGTGTCATCCAACGCATCACTCTCGTTGATTTTGGTGTCACCTCCGAACACAATACACGCATTTCCGACGAGTAGACTGGCATGGCCAACTCGAGGCCCTGGACCTTCAGAGACCGTTGCAATTTGGAAGCAGGAAAGGCTCCCACCACTGTGCTCAATCATCCACAAATCTCCCTTGACCGTTGAGCCATCGACCAGTCCACCCATCATATAGATATCTCCCTCTTTAGATGCCACGGCATTGATGGCGGCTCCATATCTTGGAAAAGGTGTCGTTTGCGGCGAAGAAAAGTTCAGACGGCGTTGTGACCATGGGTAAAGAGAATTGCCGGGGCTTTGCGGGCCCCCATTCAGACCTTGTTGTGGTCGTTGGACCTGGGAAGACAATTCATCAGGGACCGGCATTCCACCATTGTCGCCCGGCAAGCTTACCTGAGATTCCGATTCTGCTCTCTGGCGCACTCTGATGGGATCCGGGCTCGTCGGACTCGCAGCCGAATTTAAGGAGTTATTGTAGCTGCTGCTGGGGGTTGGGGTCTGCGACAAGCTTCCCTCGCCCTTGACGCCATTGGTCATGGCAGACGGACCGTTGGACGGGGCACCTTCGGAGGTGTGAACGTTCCTCGTCGCTGGAGGAAGTGGTCCGCCCTGTTGGTGTTTCTTCGATTTAAACAAAAAGGCCATCGTTAATAGTCGTATTCAGTCGTTTCACGGCGCAGTTTGGGAGGTATTCCGGGGCCCAGAGTTTCTGGTGCGCCGGCGCCGGGTATTGATTTGGTCGGAAACCCCCCGGATCTGATTGCTCTCACGGTGGATTCGAAAGGCGGGATGGGTAAATGTGTTTAAAAGTGCGGCGGAAATGAGGAGAGACCAGAGTGTGTTTTCGATAGTGGAGTTCGGAACCAGGAACCACAAGGAACCGTAGAAAGGTGTTTCCATGCACAAGCCGCGAGCCAAGGAAAAAAAAAATTAATGGGCCCAGGGGTTGGGTTGTAGCGGGATCAGACAGAACACCAGCGATTGGCGATCCTGGACATCAAGACCGAGATTCGACTTTTCGAGAACAAGAAAAAAACAAGAAACCAATAAGGTAAGAAAAGGGGGGCCAAACGAAGAGAAAGAGATGAAGAGAGAGAGAGTTCAATTTCCCTGGCGGAGGTCTAATCGAACTAGTCTTAGTGTATGGGGAACACGCTTGCATACTCAGGGGCAGCAACTCCAACGGTCTTTGTGTTCTACATTCCAATGTCTTCCAGCCCCCGGTCGTCATGGAGAAATGGGAATTGTGGCTGTCAAGTTTTGTTGATGTTTTGACTACTTTTTATTTTTATTTTTATTTTCATTATTCATTATTCATTATTCTTTGACTTATACAAAAGAGTTTCATTGAAGCCACCTGAGGTTACCCATCATTCCTTTATGAAAAAAAAAAAAAAAAAAAAAAGGAATGAGATAGTACAGTTGTTGAGGTGTTGAGATGTATGGAAGTTCTCATGAGACTCATCAAAATGCCTTTACATGAATGTATAGAGAGACCTATCATATCAAATCCCATCTCCAATTCAACCTTGAGATCAGAGTAATCATTTCCAAGGTTGTGTATTGGATGAAACTCGACATTTCAATCCTATAATTAAGCCGCGGGGCTGGCTTGCTTTCCCGTGAGAGAAAGCACCAATTGTTATAGCGCACGCCCCCGAAAGCCCACACGGCGATCCACTCCCCACAGGCAACCGAACGTGCAGGGGGAAGATACTGTAAGTAATCCAGAAACAGGGAAACAGGTATAGAAACAAAAGGGTCAAGGTCACATTGTTCCCCCAAAAGTGTACATGACATTGAAAACATTGAACAAGAAAAAAACCTCCAGCAAATATCTGTTAAAGAGTTAAAATAAAGATAAACACAACATTGAAGACTTCAAGTCGGGAATGTCCTGGTTTAGGCTTTTCGGTTATGGCATGCTGACTGTACAAGGATATTCGATGATATGGAAACATCCTACAACGGAACTTCTCGACATTGCATTGCATTGAAATGAATTCATTTACTCTTGTCTCTCCCTTAGTGAACCCTTTTTCAATGTACCGTGTACATCGTGATCTCCCATATGTCTAAGACAGTGTGTTCATGAAGAGAGAGCGATCTCTTGGCAGGGACTCGGACTCAAGAGACCATTCAATCTTAAATCCAGTTGATCTGATATCACATTTCCTCAACAACCATTACTGTAACTAATTAAATGACTTGCATATAGAAAGACTTTCATTCCATCCCATCTATGGATTGTGTTATATAGATAAAAGAGGTTGGCCAGTGCAACTTGGGAAGATATTGTTACTATATGAACTCCGTCCCGTCAAGATCCGACATCAATGAGAACTAGTAGTCTTAAGCTGAAAACATTCCAAGGTATTCAACATGCCAGAAAAGATGTTATATACGATTTTGAAAGATAGAAAGGAAATTAGATATAGAAGAGAAAATACCAACAGAACTAACCCATCTGATTTGATCATATAAAAAAAAAAACTGGTTGTACTTAGTTGGGGTTTGCTGCAGCTAAACATGTCATAGCTGCCGTTAGTCAGCCGGGGCGCGGGGATGCCGATAATCCGGTGAACAGCACCTGGGCACCGAGCCTCGTTGCCGCGTGCGTCTAGATCGTTGGCTTTCCCCCAAGCTTACTGAGAGGTACTTTGAGAAATTCGCATTCACTAAACTGACTGTGTATATTTCTCCTCGGATCCCTGGAATTCCATAAAATTTGGATCGTTCATCCCGCTTTGGGCATCTGGGAGGTCTCAGAGCTGCCTATGCTCTTCACCTCCCCGCCGTCCTACCTTTCATTCTCAAAGTAACACCATGACTGATATCACATCATGAGGGACCCCACAGCAGAAATGGAACCATCTACCCAACCTCCCGCGACGAATGGGTCGACTGAACCCCGTCGCAATAATAAATCCGTTCGAGTTGCCTTCGGTCCAGAGTTGGAGACGACCATTCCCACCCGCGAGCGATCCCCAGCACCGATATCCAGCCACCATCGCTCATTCACAACCGTCGAACAGAAACACTCCTCTATCGCAACCCCCGCTCGACCTACGAGTTCGGCCGGTGAGAACGCCGGCCTGGGACCAGATGAGACGCCGCGACGTCCATCCCCTCGCAGGTCGGAGAGCAGCCGACCGTCAATGTTGAAGCGAGCAAAAAGTGATTATGGTCCCAGTCGGGTCACATTTGACAAGCCTGCTGGAGAGGACGAGGAAGATTTCGCCATGCGACACGGATGGCAAGAAGAATATACCTCAAGCGAATATCTCAAGATTTTGCACTCGGTAAGCACAACCTTGGAAGCTGATCGACACAAAGTTATGTCTTTGTATTCTTGATACCATGAACTAATATCGCGTCTCCAGAATTTTTACATGTACTTTACCGAGAAACGACACGAGACAAACGGCATTCCCCGAGACCCTGTGGGGAGCTGGCCGAGCCAGGACTGGAGAATGAAAGATCGGTTGAAGACCGTATCCGCCGCATTGGCAATTTGCTTGAATATCGGTGTCGACCCTCCCGATGTAGTAAAAACCAATCCAACCTCAAAGCTCGAATGCTGGGTAGATCCCACCTCAACAACCGGTGGCGGACAGAACAAGATCATGGAGCAAATTGGCAAAAAGCTGCAAGAGCAATATGAGACGCTGAGCCTTCGCACAAGATACAAGCAGTATCTGGACCCGTCAGTGGATGAAACCAAGAAGTTCTGTATCTCCCTACGTCGGAATGCCAAGGACGAGCGAGTCCTTCTGCATTACAATGGCCATGGAGTTCCATTACCGACCCAGTCCGGTGAGATATGGGTCTTTAACAAGAACTACACACAGTACATTCCCGTGCCTCTGTATGACCTGCAATCTTGGCTGGCTGGGCCAAGTCTGTTCGTCTTTGATGTATCGCATGCGGGGAACATTGTCCAAAACTTCCATAGCTTTGTGGACAAGCATGAGAAAGAAAACGTTGAAGCGAAAAAACGAGACCCCAACGCCATAGTTCAAAATTATGGCGATTGCATTCTTCTGGCAGCATGCCAGAAAAATGAGTCTCTCCCGACCAACCCAGACCTTCCGGCCGATCTCTTCACATGTTGCTTGACGACCCCGATTGAGATTGCGCTGCGTTTCTTCATCCTACAGAATCCGCTACGCACTGACATTTCGATCGATGACTTCAGAGTTCCAGGTCGCCTCCAAGATCGGCGCAGTCCTCTTGGAGAGTTGAATTGGATTTTCACCGCAATCACGGACACAATCGCCTGGAATACGCTTCCTCGTGCCTTGTTCAAGAAGCTTTTCCGGCAAGATCTCATGGTAGCAGCGCTGTTCCGCAACTTCCTCTTAAGTGAACGGATTATGCGTACGTACAAATGTCATCCAATCTCTTCACCCGAACTCCCCGAGACCCATCATCATCCTTTGTGGAAGAGCTGGGATCTTGCTGTGGAAATGGTGCTCGCACAGCTGCCCGCTTTGATCGATCAAGAAGAGGGTCGCCGTCAGTATGAGTACCAGCACTCTACGTTCTTCGCCGAACAGCTTACCGCATTTGAGGTTTACCTTTCATCTGGACCTACGGAGAAAAATCCTCCGGATCAACTGCCTATCGTCTTGCAGGTTCTTCTTAGTCAAGCACATCGCCTGCGTGCATTAATCCTGCTGAGCAAGTTCTTGGATCTGGGCCCATGGGCGGTCCATCTTGCCCTTAGCATCGGTATTTTCCCTTACGTTGTGAAGTTGCTCCAGTCTGCTGCCCAGGAATTGAAGCCAGTTATGGTTTTCATTTGGGCGAGAATCATGGCCGTTGATCACACCGTTCAGAACGATCTTCTCAAGGATAATGGAATTCACTATTTCATTTCCATCTTGAATCCCGCCTCGCCTATTCCTGTTGGGAATGCCAGTGAACATCGAGCTATGTGTGCGTTCATCGTTTCCATTTTCTGCAAGAACTACCCGCAGGGCCAGAATGTGTGTTTATCTGGTGAACTGTTTGACTCGTGCTTGAGACATCTCGGTGACGTTGAGAACCCTTTGCTGCGACAGTGGTCATGTCTGTGCCTCAGTATGCTTTGGTGTGATTTCCCAGAAGCCAAGTGGATGGGCATTCGATGTGCAGCCCCCGCGCGTCTATGCGAGCTGAACTTTGATCCGGTTCCAGAGGTCCGCGCGGCAATGTTGCATGCGGTCACCACTTTCATTGGCATCCCTGATTTGACAGACCAAGTTTCACAGATCGAGGAGTCACTGGCCTTGGCAGTCTTGCCGATGGCTGCTGACGGGAGTGTCATTGTCAGAAAAGAGTTACTGGTGTTTTTCTCCACATTTGTCAAACGCCACCAGAACAAGTTCTTAGTGGCAGCATTTGAGGAGCTTCAGAATGAGAAGCGGTCTCTGCAGCGTCGTCTCCATGATGCGTCTCCCGCTACTCAAGCAGAATTCCAGAAGACCTCTTCAGAATTCGATTCGAAGACACTCCAGTTATCTCGAAATACTACTTTCGGCACTCTCTGGAAGCAGATTCTGATTATTTCTGTCGACCCGCATCCTGAAATCGCCCAAGGTGCTGGTGTTATTGTGGATTATATTCATCTGATCCTCCTGGAGTCGCCGATGGCGGCCCTCGCTGATAAAGTCAGAATCGAGATTTTGGACCTCACCTACCGCTTGTCACACAAACTTCAGATAACCGAACGTTCAGAGGCCAAGAAGATAGCCCCCCCTTCCACGCCCCCATCCTCCAGCACAGCCCTCTCTAAACAAGAGGGCTATCTTTCACTTGGTTTCAAGCGCACTGCGAGCTACGCTGCCTCGCTTAGGAACCTCGCATTTGGCTCAGGATCCGGAGATCCATTATCTGAAAGCAGTGCTCCTTCCTCTCCCACTAAGAGCCGTATGCCCATGACCCCTCGTGGCCGTGCTCCGCCCGAATGGACACGACCTCCCGAAGTGAACGATCACATCGCTCCCGCTACCGCCTACCAACTGGCTCCCACGCCAACATCGCGAGGTTTTCAACCAATGGATTCAGAGGGCGTTCCTCTCATTCCCCTCAAGAGCAGATTCCTAGACTGGTCAACCGAGGTAATATCAAACTCCCTTCGAAAAAAAAATACACAAAAATTATGCTGCAGAATTATTATGAATCCATACTGACTGTTAAAAAGTATTTCCGAGAACCTCAGATGAAACCCAACGAGCCTGACGAGCCTGGAAGCTCTGACTACAATGAGCGCCTCTGGAGACGCGGTCGCAACGAAAAAATCATCGCAGAAACTCAACCTCTCAAGGGAAAGGCAGGTACAAGTCGATGGGATAATTCCGTTGCATTGTTATCAAATAGCAGCCAGCCTTGGAGGATGTGTTTCCATCAATTTGAGGATCACATTGCAGTGGCAGACGACCGAGATACGATTGCGTAAGTTTCCCTCTCTCTTTCTCTGTTTCTGTTTCTGCTATGTATTAACCATCCATTGCTTTTAGTATTTGGGATTGGCAGAGTCACAGGCGCCTCAACCAGTTTTCAAATGGAAACCCGGTCGGTTCCAAAATCAACGAAGTTCGATACATCAATGAAGATGATCAAGCCCTTCTGTTGACAGGTTCCTCGGACGGTGTGCTCAAACTGTTCCGCAACTACGAATCTGCCCAGGGTATCGAGGTTGTCACAGCATTCCGGGCGCTGCCTGACCTTATACCAAGCAATCGCAATGCAGGTCTCGTGCTTGACTGGCAACAAGGCCAAGGAAAGGCTTTGGTGGCCGGTGATGTGAAGGTGATTCGAGTATGGAATGCAGCTACTGAAGTCTGCACTAACGTAAGATTTGAAATTCTTCATTCTTGGATATTCTGGCTTATGTTCTAACTTCTTTTTTATAGGATATTCCCGCACGGTCCGGTTCATGCATCACGTCCCTGACCTCGGATCAAGTGGCCGGCAATATCTTTGTCGCTGGCTTTGGTGATGGTGCCGTTCGCGTCTTTGACCAGCGCTTAAAGCCTACCACATCCATGGTCAAAGTCTGGCGCGAGCACAAGCAGTGGATCACCAACGTTCACATGCAACGTGGTGGTTTCCGAGAGCTCATCTCCGGCAGTCGCAATGGTGAGATTCGCCTCTGGGATCTCCGTATGAATGATGCGCTGTCTACTATTTATGCGACCAAAGATACTCTCCGCACCTTGAGCGTTCATGAACACGCTCCTGTCTTCAGCATGTAAGTTTTTTTTTTTTTTTGTCTTGTTATTCATTTTTCTCCCCTCGTGGTGAAGCCAACGGCTAACATTTCACGCGCAGGGGTACAAACCGTCACGAGGTCAAGACGTTCAATGTCGATGGGACATATCTTTCCACTTTCGAACCGTATTCCAGTTTCCTCCATCACAACCGCGCGTCGCCCATTGCCACAACTGCATTCCACCCCCATCGCACGATGCTCGCATGTGCAGCGCTCAATGATAATCACATCAATCTTGTCTCCTGTTAGAAAATTCCGGACTCTGGATTTTCTGAAAGGTAGCGAATTGTGTTTCTTCACACATACCCCAAGATCAATTCTGATGCCATCATTCATGGTGGTTTATTGTAATAAGGCTCTTGATTACCGCAAGGTTTACTGCACTGGTTCAATGACTCGAACGAGACATAGATGCCACTTATTTTCTCTTCTACCTGCGTCATGGGCTGTTCGCTCGGAATCCCTCCGATTTTGAGTGACCTTGTTCATTTCCTTCATGATACGAAACATATTTCCCTTGATGCTTCTTTGCTTTTTTTTTATGGTCTTGTCCTGCTATTCCCTTTGAACGTTGAATATCCCGCTTTGGTTATGTAGATCGGCACGAAGTCTGAAGATGAGGTATCATGGGCGCATGCGACTAATTGCTTCGGCTGACCATCGCAGTCTGTTTCCCCCCCCCCTCGGTGACGGTCTTTAATTTCTTCCCTGTTTATCATTCTGCGGTAACGCAATAATGTGTTCATACAATGCATACTACTTTTACTTTTGACTGGATCTTTTTTCTTGATTTACTTCAAATGCTATAGATCATATCTATGGCGGGGATGTCTTATGTGGGGCGTCGGCTACGATAAGTAATCTCGAATCGGGATTCCGAGGCTCCCAACTGCCTTAACCGAGACGGACTTTGGAACTTTTCCCCTTGAGGTTAAGTTGCCGGGTTTGCCGTTGTATCAAGTGGAGGCTTGGAAAACATGGCAGTAAGTGGGGGGCTCTTTTTTTCGTTTTTTTCTTTTCGAGTATAAATCGTCCATCCTGCAAAAATCGCACATATTCAAAGATGATCTTTTAATGTTGCTGATCTTTAAAGAACATTATACATTTAAAAAGAAAAAAATTTTACTTGAAAGGTGGAGATGGAGAATTCCACGGATCCACTCACTTTGCCCGCCAAAGCAGATATCGAGGCACAGCCAGTGCAACTCGTGATCAACGAAAAACCTCAGGATCCTGATGTGGTGGATTGGGATGGCCCTGATGATCCTCAAAATCCCTTTAATTGGTCTTCCTTTGTGAAATGGCGACAATTGATCTTTATGGCCATTAATACATTTTTAACGTATGTCCATTTCCCCGCTCGTGATGTATGCTGTCCAGTATACGAATCCATACTATACTAGTACTTCCTATACACTGTTTTTTTCTTTGGATCATTTGAACATGTACACCAACTTTCCGGTGCCTTGTCATATACCCATTGATTGCATACATTCATGGCCTCAACATGTCAACATAGTATACTGGTGAAACCTTGGATTGCAGCTTACTCATATGATCACTTCACAGACCTCTCGCTTCCTCAATGTTTACACCAGGTGTTGCAGATATTCTGAAAGAATTCGGCTCTGATAGCACAATGATGGCTTCCTTCCTGGTCTCAATCTATGTCCTAGGTTATGTCGTTGGTCCATTCTTGATCGCCCCGCTGTCGGAACTATACGGGCGCGTTCCTCTTTACCACTCCTGCAATATCCTCCTGTTGATCTTCACCATCGCCTGTGCTGTCTCGCAGAGCTTACCTCAACTCCTAGTCTTCCGGCTGCTAGCAGGTATCGCCGGTGTCTGCCCACTAACCATAGGATCTGGTACTGTGGCTGATATGGTGTACAAGGAGAAGCGGGCTGGTGTCATGGCAATCTGGGCCATGGGTCCTTATATGGGGCCGGTCGTTGGGCCTGTTGCCGGCGGCTTCTTGGTAGAGGCTGAAGGGTGGAGATGGGTGTTTTGGGTTCTTGCTATTACGGTTTGCTTCCCCCCTCCGGGTTTTATACTCTCAGCCTACGTGAAACTTACAATATCTAATACGAAACCTACTAGATTGGTGTTATCTTTATTGGCACTTTATTCTGCTACCAGGAGTCATATGCGCCAATCTTACTACGACGTAAAGCGGCTCGCCTGCGTAAAGAGACTGGAAATCCCAATCTCCGCTCCGTCTTCGATGACGGGGCTAAACCACCTCGTCAGCTCTTCCTCGCTGCACTTTCTCGTCCAATCAAACTTCTGTTTACCTCACCCATCGTTTTCATGATGGCCCTATTTGCCGCTATAACCTATGGATACCTCTACTTGATGTTCACTACCATGACGTCGATCTTCGAAGACAATTACGGCTTCAGTCAAGGTTTGGCCGGGCTAGCTTACCTGGGCTTTGGAATAGGTTGTGCCATTGGTCTACTTATCGTCGGACGAACAGTCAACAGAATCGCTGCAAAACACTCCGCGGAGGGCCGGTTCTCGCCAGAGTCTCGTCTCCCTCCAATGGTATACGGGTGCTGGGCCATTCCCGTTGGATTATTCTGGTACGGGTGGTCCGCACAAGAGAAGGTTCATTGGATCATGCCAATTATTGGAACTGGCATTTTCGGATTCGGTCTGGTGGCTGTCTTTGCCTCTGTGAGCGCCTACCTAGTCGATTCATATCTTCGGTACGCGGCATCGGTGACCGCGGCGAATGTTTTCTTGCGTTCAATTTTCGGTGCTGTCTTGCCGTTGGCCGGGTCATCAATGTATGATGCTCTTGGATTGGGTTGGGGAAACTCGTTGTTGGCGTTCATTGCATTGGTTATGTGCTTTGTGCCGATCCTGTTCACCAAGTATGGTGCGAGGATTCGGACGCATCCGCGATTCCAGTTGAATCTCGAGTGATTGACGCATGTGTTGGTATAACGATTGAGATTTCATATGATACCCCATAAACTAGATGTTTATTGTCTGAAATAGATTTGCATATATGTTACAACTGATCTCACTCCTGTGTTATGTAGAGCTAAAAAATGACTTCATCGAATCCTTGCACATGTGGAATGCTTTTGGCTGGTCAAGCACAAGGACGGTAGACTACCTGCTCAGCCAACAGACGAGGAGTATCGACATCATGACTCGGCAATATGACCACCTCCGATTCTCTCGCAAATTGCTTGATTACCTGCAGGGTCTTCAAGGCACGCATAGGGTCATCGTTGATACCATCCGGCTGCTCCTTCTCTAGGAACTCGATGCTGTATGTCGCATCACCAGGAAGGAAATATGTCACGCGTTTCTTCTGATCACTGCCTTTATTACTGTAGATAACCACACTAATATGTCCTGGAACGTGCCCAGAAGTGTCAACGACGGATATTCTTTCATCCTCTGTCAAGGGATAAGACTGCTTCCACGGCCCAAGCGGCTTGTCTAGCAGATCAATAATCTTTGGTGAAAAGTTCTTCGGCCAATGATTGGGAGTCGCCCCTTCCAAGCTCGCAAAGAAAGGATGCTCGCCAAAGGCCTTCCAGTGCTCGCGACTGATATATATAGGCAAGACGGGGGCTTTTGCGATAAGATCCTCTAGTCCACCCGCGTGATCAGTGTGTAGATGGCTTAGGATAACGCCCTTCAAGTCGGTAGGCTTTATTCCCATCCTGTGCAGCTGCTCCACAATTCCGTCCTTAGGTTCGATGGTGAATTGACTGAGTAAACCGTTGAAAAGAGCGATGCGCGGAAGGTAGCCTGAGTCGTTGCAGCAAGGCGATTGTCCGGTGTCAAAGAGGAAAAGCCCTTCTGGGTGACGAATCAGAAATACACCAACCGGTAGAGGCTTGGTCCATGATCGATCACATAATGATCGTATGCGGCGAAATAGCGGCCAATTGCTCGCGGGTTGAGAGGACATGGAGGGTCTGATGCGGACAGTTCCTGTTGTGAGGAAGGTCAGTTGAACTGTGCCATTTGAATCGGCCATTGTAAAAAGTAGAATAGAGAGATAAGAATGATCCGAGGTAAATGAGAAAGAAAGAAAAAAAAAAAAAAAAAAAAGAGGTACAGTAGCTTAAAAGATGTTTACCAAGATGAGCAGTGTATACTAATCATGGCAGCAATTGCCGAGCTCTTGGTCAAGGTACAAGCCGAGTGCCGAATATTTATGCAGGGGTTACATAATGACCTTCGGCAAAGCCAGCATCGTTTCCCGAACACTTCATCCGAAGGCAAACAGGAGCAAAAAAGGGATTTCGCTGCATTGAATATGCCGAGAAGACGCAATGTGGATGCAGCAAGCCGAGCGCGGGCAGTTTGTGTGCGATGCCACAGTCGCAAGGTCGGTTCACCCCCTTTCAGCGAGTGAAGCCATACAGTCATACTGACGGTCACCCAGGTCCGCTGCGATCTCGAGGCTCGACCAAATGGAATTTGCAGTCGGTGTGAGCATGAAGGGCGTGATTGCCAGTACATTCTACCCCAAGTTTCTTCTCATATTCGAGGCTAACGACCTAGTCTCCACATTGGATTCCGCAAACAAAAAGCACTTCGGACTTCACTGGCCGCGCCCAACACTGGCGCCTCGCCAACTCGAACAGACTCTACCACATCTCAGCAGTTGACACCCTCGTCGTTGAATGTACTAGGGAACAAGTTACCTAGTTGTACCGTTACAGTCCGCGAAAATCCCCAAAATCTTCCGTTGTTGACCAACAAAGCGAATGAGGTGGATCTGATCATACAGACAACCCAAGCTTCTCTCTGCCCACCTACCGTTATCTGTCAAGCATTGGCCGACTTTTATTTCTGCGAGTTATTCCATTGGGTTCCTGTTCTTGATCGAGGACAAGAGGATTTGGAAAAATCGCTTCTGCTTCGACAATCACTATACTTCGCTGGCAGTGGCATGCGTCGATCCACCGAGGGTCCCACTGAATGGTCCACGCTAGCGATCTTTAAACGGATCAAGATATTGATCTCCATCAACCATGAGCTGGCGCCACTGAATATCCTAAGTGCGCTATGTATATTGGCCAGCTATCCCATACATACAAATCATGAAGTCGCTTTGGATAACCCATGGCAGTGGGGTGGAACGGCAATCCGGCTGGCCCTCCAAATGCACATGCATGAGGAAAATGCATATTTACATTTTGACCATCCTAAAAGAGCTAGAAGGATTTGGTGGTATTTGTTTATGAATGATACCATGCAAATGGGTTGCTCAGGACTCCCGGGTATGTTCCCACTTGGCGATTCCAATGTACGGCTGCCAACGATCGATGATTTCAATACACCAAGCGCCGAGGCGCATGTTTTTTGTGCGATGGCTTTGCTGTGTCAAAGGCTTAGGGAGGTTCTGCAAATTGGAAAGTCTGACGATGCCTCGCAAATGCAGGTTTTTTCAAGGCTCGACTTACTGAGGGTCTGGCAGGATAACCTATCTCACGAATTACATCTTTTCGATGAGAAGATCGAGATCAGACGGTCATATAATCGAGCAGTTGCTGAGCTTTACATCTTTTACATGGTCACCATCATTCTGACATGCTTTCTCGGTCGTCGAGAAAATTGTCCGTTGTTGAAATGCGCCTCTATTGTTGCATCGTCCTGTATTTCACGGTTATACGAGGAGATTCTCTATCACGAAGGCACCACATTTCTCCTACCAATCCATGCCTGGGCAAACTTGGTGGCTTCGATACCACGAACGTTCAGCACGGATGAGCAGATACCAAACCAGGCCAATGAGAAACGCATTAGCCGCATGGTCCTGGAGAAGATGAGTGAGAAACATCCCTCGGTGATGATGGTACAGCAGCGAATCGACGAAATGAGCCATGCAGGAGCGAGCGTGTTTGGTACACCTGACACTCCTCCGGATGCCCCAAATTTGAACGCTCCTCTCACTACAGAGACATCACAGCAGATTCTTTCCCTTTTCCCCTTTCCGTCGAGCTTTTGTCCAACTCTGGATCTGTTTAGTGCTGACTTGAACGAGAGTGAACAACCCGATATATTCGCGGATCTTCTGATCGATGTCAATAACTGGGATTGGCCTGTTGACTGGTCTTCATTTTTGTTCTAGGGCCCAGAATCTCTGCTGGCCTCTCTGGGTACATCCTAATATTACACCTAATCAACGCCTAAATGGAAACATCATCACATACAGAAGTTGTCATGCCCGTGTCGGCTATCTAACTAAACTTTATACCAAGTTGGTTAGAAATGATCTGCACGGGCTGTGCCTTGAATAGATCACTAGTAGGTACCATACCTAAGTATTACTTTCTGCTAAGGCGTTTTAGAACATTTGCATGATTATGTACACTAGTATAGATGGGGATTTATACGACGAGAAGAAGAAGAAGAACATTAACAGAGAGAAATTTGATCGCTTGGGTATTAGATAAAAAACACAAGGTCACGAACATTTGACGAACATTTAAACTCAACACTCACTAACATCAGAACCTTGAAATGAGAGATCTGTAAATGGCTGCCAGTTGGTTCCGGGCAAAATTTCACAGATCTTCCGGGATAAACATAACCTCCGAGTCCTCATCTCCCTCCTAGATATCGAAAAATTTGTAGATCGCAGACACAAACATAATTCCCACTTTCGAAATCAAACTAGCTTCACCACAAACTTCATCAGCTACTCAATAAACCGCGTATCAATATTGACATCCGATCAAACTAATCCCTGACGCTCCTCTGCAGTCTCGGACGAGACGATCACCACTTCTGGAAGGCTTGGATGTATCGACCGCCATTTGCTTCCTCGTTCTGTGACACGAGGGGGTTGATGGATGAAGCTGGCAGGCTATTGGGCTGGTTGGCAAGCTCAATTTGCGACTCTCGATCTTCCCGGCTATCATGCATACAAATCACCCGTTCTTCTTTGGGGTGGGGAACGTTTGGAAGCCATTGATCGACTACTTTCCTTCCAGCTTCCGCCGGATTCAGACGAATCTGGGGTTTATTGACAATGGGAAGAGTCTGAATATCGAAGGGTACCGGACCTGGAGAGTAGGGGTCAGATTCGTCCGAGTCATCCATCATGGGAGTAGTAGATTGTTCGTCGGGGCGCGAATGATTTGAAAACCATACGTCCACGAGTCTTCTTCCCGCTTTCTTGGAATTGGACTGATTCTTCGAGGTGTAAGGGTTCTGAGGGTCTGAAAGTGAAAGACCAACTTTGTCGGCAATAGCGGGGTCTTGCAACGCGCGGAGAAAGTTGGGCTTGGTGTTCTGAGGGGCAGGCTTGGGCTTCTGGGGAGTAGGCTTGGGCTCCCGGATAGGAGGCAATACGGTTTCAGGTCCAAGCATTTGAGCGTAGATCTGGGCTCGAGCACTGTTTGGGTATTTCCGGTTGTATTCAGCTACTGTCCTTAGGCTCTCTTCCACGCTCGCGTTCGGGTCTGGCTTGAGTGAAATGACGAATGTGGGTTCGGGAGAGACAACGGGCACAACCTTCTTGGCAAAGACAGGCGCGTACTTTTTGGTGCTGGCGGCGGGAAGGCTGGAGGAAGACTTTGACTTCAAGTTTTCTTGATTCTGAGCTTGTTTCTCGTTCTTTTGAGCGGAAAGAGGAACAAATTCAGGTGCTGTTGCGACCAAAGGAGCTGATTTTCTCGTTGTGGGTGTCTGGAGGGGATTCTTGACGCAACCCTCGACCATTGAGTCAGTCTCGTCTAGTCGTTCCCCTATACAGAAGTCTTTGTCAGTTAAGTGGGATGAAAATTCAGAGTCTGAGATGAATGGTTTCATCCCTCGACATAGACATGATCCTTGTTATCAATCAAACGAGTAAAGGGTGGAAGTCTCACACTCATATGGAACTGGCGCGTTTCGGTACATGTCTTGTTGTGGGTAGTAAGAAGCCGATAAAAGAGGATTCGGCTCCCCCCAAACGTAGGCGGGATAGTGAGGTGGCGCGGGTGGATTCACTCCCATACAAGAACTTCCCTGCTGCTCGATTTGCAAGCGTGGCAACGCAAGAGGACCCAGTCCTGAATAATCATTCGCCCGCTTTGTGGTTGGAAAACGTGAAAACGGAGGCGGGTGAAGTGTCTGAGACTGGGGGATCACCTCAAAGTGGTAGGGGGCAAGTAGGGGAGGAGGTGGATGAAATTCGTGAGGTTCCCAAGCACGATTCTCAGTACTCTGGTAGAGAGGCCTGGGTGGCTGGGAATAGAAATTAGGCGGAGGGACTTGATGAGTTTGACAGAAGGCACCAGAGGGTTCCCAGCCAGGAAGCCCGGGCGAGGCAAAATACATAGGAGGCCCCCACTGGTAAAAAATAGGCCCATGCAGATGCAGGCTCTGATGGTTCACCACCACTGGCTGTGGCCCCCTACGGGCTCGAAAGGGGGGTCTGTATTGCTTTCTCGCAGAGTCAGCCATGGTTCAAGGGCAGTGATAATGTGTACCTGTACTATGCGCGCAGGGGGAAAAGAGAGAATAGGATTGAAATAAACTATCAAGTATGAAAATATTACTTTAGCTTTAACCGCCTGTCTGCTTATTCCAAGAAGCTTTTACAGACCGCCGGGGCGGTGCAATGAGTCGCCGTGCGAGGGTCAACATGATGTGCATTTTCTCGAGGGCACACTCCCGGGTGACGAGTTGCAACGGTTTTAACCTACAATTTTTATTTTTAGCTATTAGGAGTACATCCTTCAATATTTTGACTGTTAAAGTGTAATATTATATATTTATTGATATCAGAATGGATGTGAAGAGTGTGTTGACGAAACCTTTGAATGCTGTTAGGTATAAGGCTTTCAAAAGTCGCACGCTACTACATAGAACTAATCTGGTTAAGCGTGCCGCTCGGGCCGTACCTTATTTTTTTCATCAATTTCTTTACGGCAGGCGGTGTAGTACTATGTATGCACGCTGAGAATCTGCACTATTTATTAAAGGCGGTGTAAATATGTTACCCCAATTTATCAGCGGACTTAAAAACACGGTAAAGTCCTGAATCCGAGGATCAATGTCTGCCAATGAGCACCATTAACAAACCCCATGCTTAAAAATCAATTGATGGCTAATCTACCACATACTAGTACTCTCCAATCTTCTCCAACTTTCATTCGGCCTTAAATATTTCAAAGTCCTGAATCCGAGCACTGAGACAAAACTACAACATTCAAGGTTGAAAGAAAAAAAATTCCCTGAGTTTAAATAATCCCTAAACCCCCCAGGATATCTGAGTATTTCCAATCAGAGTGAGCTTCTTTACTTACAAAAATTCAAATCTCTCATGACTAACCAGTACGCCATGACCTACGGCAAGCCAACTCCTCTGACCTGGTTGATTACTGGGTGCTCCTCAGGCCTAGGCCTCGAGCTCACTCGCATAGTTCAAGCTCATGGGGACTACATGATTGCCACATCACGCAATCCCTCTCGAACACCTGACCTTGTGGAAGAAGTCAAGAGTCACGGCGGGCAATGGCACGCACTGGATGTGGACGATCCAACTGCACCTATGTCACTACTGGGAACCCTTGAAGCCACCGGACACCATGTCGATGTTTTGGTCAATAATGCCGGTGTAATCACCTTCGGTGTGTTGGAGCAACTCGTCGACCAGGACTTGCGCGGTCAAATGGAAACGCTGTACTTTGGCCCCCAACGGCTTATCCGTTCTGTGCTTCCGAGCATGCGACAACGTCGATTTGGAGTTATTGTGAATATCAGCTCGGGGGCTTCATTGGACGGGAATGCTAGCATGGGCGCCTATGCTGCAGCAAAGGCTGCACTGGATGGTAAGTATGGCTTGAGAACCTGTGGTTTTGTGCGGCGTTTGTGTCTAATCTTGAGAGTATTTCTCATCGCAGCCTCGACACGAGTTTTGGCCAAAGAGGTTTCTTCTTTCAATATCCGTCCTTTGACTGTATGGCTAGGTACCTTCAACACGAACATAGGGAATGTCTCGAAGGTTGTGCAGAGCCCTCTACCTGGGGATTATCGGGGCTCAGCTGCCGACCAATTGATGGAGGGTATTATGAGTGGGAAGTTCATTGGGAATGGCGACAAGGAGAAGGCAGCAAAGGCAATCTACGAGATTGTTGTAGGGCAGGGTGCCGGTAATGGGCATGAGGCTGAGCAGTTCCTACCCTTGGGCCGTGATATGATCCCGCGGGTTGGACTGGTTCGTGATCAGTACTCGCATGCCTTGGAGGTGTTTGGGGATGTCAGCGGTAGTGTTCACTTGGATTCTAAATAGACTTCCAAGGTTGCGAGGACAAGACTCGACCTCGGCGATTTTTGAAATACAGATGATGACATTGCTTAAATATGGCAAATCCAAGAGAAACTCACAAGCTCACTGGTTGAGCAATTGATAAGACCGTACTGATGATAGAAATGTAACAGCAAAAGCCTCGAGTTAATGGTATCTGGTAGGATTTTCATCCATTGAAGAAAAAGATATGGAAACGATCGACCTGCGGTATATCTCATCCGCTTCAATGATGCTCGCAGATGCTTTGCAACACCTCCCAGCACTCCGAGGTGTATCGTTTAAACGCCCCGCAAATTCAAAGTCATAAAGAGAATCAAACAATCGCTAATACAGCATGCGTCAAATAACCAAACCAAGATCCCACTAATGGGTGGAGGTTATGACAGAAGAGAATAAACACAAAAAAGCAAAAATATTTAATTAGCGATTCCGGTCAGCACGAGCCTGGTGCCAGATGGTATCACCACTAAGAGCGGATAGACTCAAGGAAGCTAGATTTCTCCAGCTTGCTTGTGGTGCAGAAGCTGAGTGACCTCCAAGAAGACCTTGGTTCTCTTCAACGTCTGAGGCGTCGTCACTGATACCCGTAATCAGAACAGGCGCAGATGATGCATCACCTGAAGAAGCTATTTCTTGGTCATCAAGACCGGCGGACTGCTCACTATCAAAGCGGGCATAGTCATCACTCGAATGGGCCATCGAACGTACAACATCACCCTTGCAGATAGGGCAAGTTCTTCGACGGGTGGTAAGCCAAGGGGTACTATGATTGTCAGTCGATGTTTTGCAGTTCAAGGTTCGGTTAGATAATGGCACTTACATGCATTCAACGTGGAATTCATGGCCACAAGGTAGGCTCATTACCCGGCTTTGTCCGTCGATATATTCCTCAAGACAAACAACACACTCCACTTGTCTACCAGTATACTTGCGTCGCCATAAAACCGAGCCTGACTGGAAACTAGTTGATTTTTCTTCCCTTGTATTTCCAGCATCCATTGTTACCCCCGTGATAGTCTGGGATCGCGTTCGGGTTGGTCGTGGTGGACTCGATCGGCAATCGTTATTGAGGAGAGGAGAAGTCGGCGAGGCGGCGCCAGGGCTGCATGGACGCGGCGAGCTTGAGGATGAGGAGCTATTAGAGATGGTATGGTAGGTTCGAACTGGAAGTCGCTCAACAACAGACTTCGGTGCACGCCAGCGGCGCCGTCGCATGCGTGATCGGAGAAGGAGCAGTGCATACACCACTGTGAGTGTTAACAGAGGACTGATGACGAGGACCAGAAGGGTATCGAAAAATGGACTCGTCGACATGCTTGTTGGTGTCAAGGTTACCCAGAGACCTTCGTGCTCAGAGAACATGGTAGCTGGGGTACTCGAGGAATGTGCCGCATTCTGAATCTTCTGGTTGGGGACGACATTTTGTACAGAAGGCGAAGCAGACGGCTGGACATCCTGCTTGGGATCATCGCCCCAGCCAAAATGACTGGCGAACCAGCCCTTGTCAGAAAAGTTTGGTTCTTCTTTAGTCGCATGTACATCTTTCCCAGAGTTTTTAGTTGTTGCGTCTCGAGATTTCCCGGTGGATTTGTCGATGCTTTGGTACTCTCCACTTCCAGGGGTGATACTACCACCACGCAAGGTATTGGAGGATGCCGCCTCTGATTCTGAAGTAGATGTCTTGGAGGCATCCCTTCCGGTTGCAGACGTACTTGGTATCGGGAGAGCGCTGCCTCTTGGGGGCATCAAGTCAGGGTCTCTCCAGTCTTGAACGCCAATAACAAAATCATCGGCCTCAAAGGAGTCAGCGACCAACCCAACCTTGTTGCTATCCAATTTATCATCGGCCTTATCTTCGTTTTGGCCGTTGTATGTCAAGGAATTCTTAGCACGGTCAACTCGGGCTTCAGTGACGTCCCATGTCATCCAGTCAATGTTACCACTGGTTGGCGGACGTCGGCTACCTTCAACACCCTTGGAGCCGCTGTATTTATTACAGAGTCCAAAAAAGGACCCAAGAGTACGAAAGAATCCACCACCTTGTTTTGTAGCAGAAGTAGGCCGTTCCTTCGTTGAGGTTTTGGTTGATGTGGGTGTGGAACTTGCAAGCGCAGTCGTCGTGGTCGCGGATTTTTGAGAGTCCGCATTGACTTGGCCGGCAAGATTAGTCTGGAGGGACTTCAACGCTTCGCCCAGGCCAGAATTGACCCCAGAGTGCGCCGGTATCAATGATGAAAGAAGGTGGGCAGTCGTATGAGATGTGAAGAGGGCAGGAATCGTCACATTAGATGTGTCGCCCCGAGCATACATGGTAACCAAGCTTCCACCGCGGGTATCATCTCCTACAATTAACGCGATACCTCCTCGGCGCTGGGCCCATTTGACCTTCTCAAGGAATCCACAACCGCCGCGGCTGAGCAAGACAACTTTGCCTTGGATCTCGGCGGTTTCTTGTAGGGACTGGATATCCGCGTGGGTGGACTTCTTGGCTTGCACGTAGTCTCCGTATTTTTGGGTTACCCCGTTCTCCGACCCGCTGGATTCGGGCAAAGGGTGGTGAAGGTGATCGTCGGTGCCGTCACTCGATGAGGGGGTAACGGAGGCATCATCTTTGGCATTCTGCCAAACCTCAGGCTGTGATGGCGACCGTGAAATTTGTGGAACTGTCCCCTCTTTCGCTGTACCACCTCCGGGCTTGCCGGATTTCTGCTCTGCGCCCCTGGGGGAGGTGTCCGGCTGGTTATGGCCATTTCCCTCGCCCCAGCCAGGGATATCGGAGCAACCTAATTCCCCCTCGACGCCAGCAGCCAACCCTCCTTCCCCAAAGCCACTGCCCACCCACAGTTGCCCGCTTAGGCTTTTGCTGGGTAATAGCGGACCAAATGCCGCCGGGCGGGCTAGGAAGAAGGTTGAGTTGTCATCGGTCAGGCTGATGATAGCAGATGGAGGGAAAAGTGAGGTCGGGATGTTGAATGAAAAGAGGGCATGTAGTCTGGATTGCCGACCAGCAAGTGTAGTGGGAGTCGCTACGTTAGATGAGGAGAGCGCTGAGAACAAAGTAACAAAGATAGGGAAGAAGATTAGGCAAAAAAGAGCCACGAGAAGGCGTGGTGGTCGCATCTCGGGCAGACAAGTAAAACACGAGGATTCTAAAATTGAAAGGAGAGTTGGACTGAAAAAAGTAGGTGTTCGAGGGAAGCTAAGGGACGATGCGAGGAGTGCTGTTGTATGACAAAGGCTGACGGGTCGGAGTCTCTACCAATCCAACGGTTGGCGACAAACAAGCAGGTGGCCACTCATCGGGAGCAATGAGCAGCACCGCAGGTCAAGCAGGAACCAACGGTCACAGCCTATACTCCCAAGGTAAAAGACAGGGAAGTGTGATGGGGGGATAGGAGGAAGCAGAATGCGAAGGTTAGGCAGGTGGAGTAGGAGACGGGGCAGTGAACTGATGGATTACATAAACGCAGTGACGGCATAGCTCGTTAACAAGTGATTGTCGTGTTGCTTCCTGAGGCCATAAGGCTGCATGATCACCTGACAGTGGCACCCGACTTACCCCGCGCGTGACTGATATTATTTTCTCAATCTCGATGATTACCATTCAGGAATTGACAGGATATTTAGTTATCTACAACGATATGATTCCATGCGAATGCCATTAGATGGAAGTTTTGGGAGTCTTTAAATCTCAGCACTGTATAAGTTATCCCCATCATGCCCCACATGGGGGTTTCTCCATCGGGATTCATGTTATGCCGATCATGTCATTGCGGCGCCAAGGCAACCGAGTCACCCACCGCTCTTTATTTAACCTTTTTTTTTTTTGCGCATTATCTGCAGGTTGGAATTGACCACGTGATGATTGCACGGGGTTGAAAAGAAATATGTCACCTCCGGGGGGATCCGATTCTGAGTTCATTGACAAAGTGGAAAAGTTCCAAGGTTTTGGCTGTTGATAAATGTACTAGTACTGAACCCTTTGTATACATGATGAATCTTATGATAGTGTAATTACTAATTAGGCATGTACGGACTCTAACTAACTATACTAAGTTCTAACTAACTAGTTAGTACTTAACTACGGAGTAACGTTAGTCACGTTACTGCCGCATTACTAATCCTATTTAGGCTATGATTGCGCCCGATCAAGATTAGCGCTTTCTGGCCCTCGTCAAAACTAGTACTAGTAGTTAGTAGTAGTAACTAGTAAGCACCGGAACTTCAGTGTTGGAAGTATACATTCAATGTTTTATTTGGCGGCGGCATAGTTTCTTTACACATAACAGTCCTTCTTTTCAAAATTATCGTGTCTTTCCCAATTGCTATAGTCTATACTGATAGCGAGGATCAACAGAGTAAGAGTATGCACGTGAGTCGGTGGAAGGAACGGTTAAGTCCACTGGTCAATGTTTGCACCTGATTGATCTGAGGATGGAACATTTGGTTTTGAATGATTATCCGAATATTATCATCCTGAATCCACCTCTGATACGTACAAGATTGAAAGTTCTTCAAGTATTTTTCTTATTGGAATGTGGGGATCAATGGATTACTTCCATAGATGATGACTGTTCCCCACTTCACATGACTTATGCGGATATACACTTTCGAACCCTTGTCCGGTGGCGTATTAGTAGGCAATTCTATAATATCATGACGACCGATGACATTGTTGGTGATTCTTCGTTGTTTGGTACATTCAATATCCCCGCATCTCTCCTACCCAAGGACACGTCATGGCCAGTGGAGAAAACATCAGTAAAGTGGTTGTTTTTGTCCATCTCGTGTTGTGTCGTCATTGAGTACTGCGACCAGCCAAGCAAGCAAGCAATTAGTGAAAAGACTGAATAATAAGAATTTAAACCCCCCTCGTTTTTCCTAGGCCTCTCTTTGCATCCAAGGAAAAACACTTTATCAATTTCAAATCTTTCAAAATCTAACAAATCAATCTCGAATCCTTTCATCAATATCTAAACTCACCTCTCATACAAGTACCATTCATTCATCATGTCGAACTTGATGCACAAAGTCAAAGATGTCCTTACCGGCCACCATGACTCGGACAATAAAGAGTCCTCTCGTGACTCGAATGTGACGAAGAAGATGGATGGTAGGATCATTTTGCTTCTACGTTGAAGTACATAGTAATAGCTGCTTACTCTCGTAGATACTCGCGATGCCTATGGCACTGGGAACAACTGGAGCTCCAATGCAAATACCCAAGATCCTACTAGCACCGGGGACTACGGTTCAAACACCATGGGCTCTGACAACTACGGTGCCAGCGGCTATACCGGTACTCAACCCAATACCAAGCTACCTGGTGTGATGGAAGGTCAGAGCAACCCCTTCGAATAATTAGTTCTTTACAAACTTCTGACCATTTGTTCTATAGATACTAGCAACACCTATGGATCCACTAATACAGGTAGTGGCAACTACGGATCCAGTGGCTTGGGCAGTGGTACTCAGGATTCTATGACCAACAGAATGGGAGGTCAGTTGCCCATTTAGGTTTTTCAACGGATATCAGTACTGACAATGCTCAGATACCACTAACGCTTACGGTGGATCCAACATCGGCAGTGATACATATGACTCCGCCAACAAAGCCAAAGACTACGGTACCGGCTACAACCAAACCAAGCCGATCGGCTCCGAAACATACGATGATCCTCCAACCGGAAACACTGGTTCGGGGTTGAACACCGACTCCTACGGATCTGATACGAAGGACTATGGTACTAATGCCTTGAACACCGGAACTGGCGAGTCGCAAATGTCCAACAAAATGGGCAGTGAACTGGGTACAAAGAATAACCTCCGCCCCTTTACCCACACTTTTTCTCAATTTTGCAACCAGTTGACTAACCCGTTCTGTTCTAAACAGATAACCGTGCAACCTACGGCACTGGTACTGGCACCGGCCAGACAGGTGGGTTGTACACCTCCAACTACGGCGACGACGTCGGCAGCGGGAACAAGTACAACACTCGCTCAAAGGCGAGCTCTGATATGCCCAGTCAATTGGGAACGCAGGCCGATTCTGGTATGGACAACCAGGGCTTCGGTGGGGCTGCTGCAGGTGGTAGCAGCTACAATGCACCCGAGGCTGGTAAGAGACGTTCTTCCGGACCGCACAGCTCGAATCTTCTCAACAAACTTGATCCACGCGTGCGCAGTTCCGATTATGAGGGCAATGCTATGGGCAACCAGCGCGGAAACTAGGAAAACTTGATGTGATTGGCAGTAGCCAATGGTGGATATTTGTCTAGTTACCTTCTTCTTTATTTTTTGTACTTAAATTGGGCTTCCATTTTGCAAATGATTCAAATTCTGTTTCTCAGCAAAGGTTTAGAAATGAGCCAGGGCTATTCCTGAGCTGAAAATGGTGATAGAAGAGGTAGTTCCCAGTAAGAAAACATTGAATCATTCGATTGGCTTTTATAATCATTCAAATGTTAGCAATGACGTCAGGCAATTCTTGCATTTTGAAAAAGCATCGGTGATTTTTTGGCATAAAGTGACGCTTGCACGAAAAGTTTTTAGTAGATTGAAAGGTTTACAAGGGCTGGGGCCAGTCATGAAGATATCCCTAATAATTCCATCATATACAGATAAAAGGACATATTTGCCAGGGTCCTAAAACCAAGGCTCGTAATTAACAAGACAAAAATGAGAGAGGCAAAAGACTGTATGGGCTAGGCTGATGAGACATGGAGTGAAAACACAGGATGAGCATAACAAGATAGGAAAGAGAAAGAAAACGTCAAACAAGGTTGAAGGATCTGGACATCCGTCGTCAAAGGTCATAATTGACACGAACTAAAATAAGGCTAAGTACCATGAGACAAAAAGACAAGAGAGAAAGTCAGGGTATGCAACGTATGCAAGATGACGACTGTAGAACCAACGCCGAGCCCCAGAAAGGAATCAAATAACCAGGCGCTGCACGGCAGCAGACTAGGCCCAGAAATACAGGGGAATCAAGTCGTCAGGAGAAATATTTCATGCCAAGGTGCTCCAGAGCGCCGACTTTTCAGGGGGTGGGGGAGAAGAACAATCGTAAATGTGTCAAAAAGTGCAGACGAAATAACCAAAGCGTATTATTTATTTGTCCAGCTTTTGCCACCCATTAAGATAGGCCATGATGCCAACTCCCAGAAGGACGACACCAAACATGGACGCATAGGGACTTGCATCATGCAAAAGTTGTTGCCGGCGCCACTCTGTTGCCATAGCAGTGGCTGCAACGTCCCTCTCTTTGCTGCTTGCAGGAGCTGGATCGACAGACTGCACAGAAGGGCTACCCTTTTTATCAGGCCCAACTGCACCATTCACAATCGGGTGCGCCTGGCCAGCAGTGGTCTTTGGTTCTTCATGATTTTGAGGCTCTGACTTAGAACCAGTGGTCGTAGCAAGAGCCTTCTGAACATTCTCGGCACGTTCCCGGCGGAGAGTTTCAATCATCTCTGCTAAAGATACGCGGGACTCGACATTCTCCTCTTCAGCCCTCTCTGCACGGTCCTTGAAAGAGGCCATCTGCTTCCTCATCTCTTCCATTTCTTGCATCATCGTTTCCAGCCGATGCTCAAGCTGTGTGGTGTCCACCGTAGCAGAAGGCTCTGGCAAATCAGCATCAGAAATAGCAAGAGCCTCAGATTGCAAGACTGATCCATTGGTTTTTTGAGCACCTTCAGAATCATCGTGTACATCATTGATCTCTGGTTCCACAGTAATATCCTCAGATAATACAACTCCGTTGGTCTGCGGTGTGATGTGCATCTCCAAGTTCTTGACCTTTTCTTCCGCTGACTCACGTGCAGCTCTTTCTTGGAGAACAAGAGTTTCGAGTTCCTTGACACGGGCACCTTGGGTATCAATTTCTCGCTTAGCAGATGAGAGTGCCTCAATGAGGTTCAAAATCTGGCTAGAGTCCCGCGAGACAGGGGAGCTTGTAATAGGTTTCGATTTTTCTGTATCGCTGCGCTTCAAAGGCGAGAAGGCATCTGACGCGCTCCGCGGTTGGGCGTCCGGTTTCTCGGGGAGTGGCTGTTGGGGGGGAGGAGCGGGAGGGTCTGAGAATCGGGAGAAAGAGTCGACACGAGGCATTTTGGGACGGCCGTTTAATTGGCGAGGCCCATTGCTTTCAAAGGAAGATGGCTTGCTGGCCTTTTCCTTCTCGACATAGCCTGGCTTCATTATAGCTGTCAGAAACTCATCAGTCTGACGAAGGTCCATGGACTGTTGTTTGGCTTGTTTCAATTCGCCCTGTGAAAAAAAAATTAGCCTAGAACAGTAAAGAAAACAGAGAGTACCATACAGTAAGTCTTTTGACAACCTGTTCAACCGAGATAGGCGAGTTCCAGTAATTCATCTGCCTTTGCTGATGCATAGCATTCATCTGGGTGCTAGCAGCACTCTGAGCACTGCGACTGCTCGCATTACTGCCGGATCTTCCTCGCAGGTGTGAGAGTGGTTGGCTTAATGGGGATGGTAGAAGGCCACCACCCGAAGCAGGGTCCAAGTCTCCAAAGTTAAGGTCCAGAATATTAGGTGCGGATCCATATAAACCAGCGTGCTCGACTTTAGCCGAGACCTTGTGGTGAACAATGCTGTTCTGGTCCTCGCTCACAATATCAATTCCCAACTCCAACGTATCATTCTCACGCAGCTCGTGCGGCTCTGATTCCCGGTTCTCCTGAGACAACCGGTGACCATTCACAAAAGTACCGTTGGATGACTTCACATCCCGAATCCAGATCTTTCCCGTTTTATCTGCCCAGATCTCCGCGTGTTGCCGAGAAAGAACCTTGGAGTCGAAGAATCCATTGACTGGGGTCGGTACAGTCTTGGCATTGGTCTGACGGCCAATTCGAAGAACATCGGGGTAAAAGGGGACATTGATTTGCTTCTTTTCGAATGTGCCATTCATTGGAGCCAATCCCAGAATAGCTGGTGGCTCCGCGGATTGCCCGTTGGGCTGCTGTCGGATACCATTCTGTTGTGAGGACTGGATCATGTGCTGAGAAGGGACAATAGATTGTGGTTGGTGAATGGCCGACATTGTAGATGATGCAGATGGCCCCGGTAGAAATGCAGGGACTGCCTGAGATCGTGTGTTGGTTACACCTGCCACCGGTTCTGACTTGGAGCTGGGCCAAGGATTCCTGGCGGTTTTCTTTTTCGATGACCAAGTACCGTCGTTGGTGGAACCTTGCCCAGCATTAGGTTCTTGAATTGTCGTCACTGTGGTTGTAGAGGTTGTTGACCCCAGGGAGGATGAGGAATTTGAGCGCTGAACCGGCTTCCGTTGCATAAACATCCGGGATACTTCGTCGTCCACTGAAGACAGAGCTCCTTGTCCTCCGTTACCAGTGCTATACCATCCCAAGCGAGAGCCCGATTGCACACTAGGAGGAGATACCACGGCAGTCATGGAGAATGACACCAGGGAGTGGTTCAACACAGTAAGATGTGTAGGAAGAAAGTGACGATCGCAAGTGTAGAATTCCCGTCACAGTGAAAGAGTTTCGATAATAATGAATTGATAATGTTTCTATTGGTGAATTCGATTGCGCGTTTAGGTTGTTGTTGCTGGACTGGCCGGCTAGTTCAGAACGGTCGCGTTAGCGCCTCGATTCAATTTATCGGGTACCCCCAAGAACTTTTGAGACTTGAAGCCACCCACTACCTTTATCGGGTGAAGTGACGGAAAAACCAAGCATACCTGTTTAAGATGTTTCAAGGAAGTTAGATCAGAGTTGGGGGGGGGTAAAAAAGTCAGTGCTCCAGACCAGGGAGGCGTGTGAGGTCTTGCCGAAAAGTGAGCAGCGACCGAGTGTCTCAGAGTCCCAGGACAATGGAGGAAACACAGGACGGGACTTCCGCCTTGCCACGGGCTTAAAGGCTGCCCTAACAGCGGTTTAAAAAAGAGGAAATCAAACAGGATGGTAGGCCATAGGTAATAACTCCACGGGGAAGGAGGGTCATGGTCTTCTGCTCCTTCGACCACTGACGCCCCCCCGGGGATGTGGTCACGTGTTATGCACGTGTGGCACCCGTTTGGCTCACGTGACTAAAGCGGAGACCAAGTGAAAGTGATGCGATTCGTTTGAAAAAGCTCCCGAATCCCTTGCGAGATACATTTGCACTTGAAGCGCATTATTGTAATAATACCGGCTTTGTTCAGCTTGAGCTGCCTCTGCCCTTTTGCTTCAATTTGAGTTTCACAATCCTTCGACTACACCTTCCAAAATGCCTGTTGTTGCTGGTCCTCCCGCAGCCGGTCCCTCGACCTTCGACAAGAGTATGCCAAACACCAGCTACATTTACCCCAGTTGGAATGAATCCAAATTGCAACTGAGTGTAAGCTAACCTTTTACAAAGTGAAAATGGGTGCCCTCATGGGTTCCAGTATGTGACCATCTCATCATGCTTAGCTGTCAACCGAGAAGCTTCAACTAATGCGATACTTAGCTGTCGGTGGCATCATGGGCTTTATTGGTGGTAAGTGGGATGCTCCCTGCATGGAGTCTCATCATACATTTCACAAGCTAACATAGCTCAGGAGCTGTGACTATCATGCAGTACGGTGCTGGCCCCAACGGTGTTATGCGCACTCTGGGCAAGTACATGCTTGGTTCCGGTGCCACTTTTGGGTATGTCTTGATTATGCTTCTTCCATAATGATATGACTACTAGTTCATTTGCTTGAATCTAGTGCCCTCAAAACTATAGAGTACAGGTATATTATGCTGATACCATTCTTCCTCTAGCCTTTTCATGTCCATTGGTAGTGTCATCCGTTCTGATGGACCCCACAACGATCTCTGGCTCCGTGCTCAAGGGCCCCCGATGATGCTTCCTCGCCAAACCCCCCTACGCTCGACGCGCCAATAAAGTCTCTCCTATCCTGTCTGGGGTTTCAAGAGGACCATGCGACATGATGAAATCAAAGGGGATGCATTTGTACGATATAAGCAGTTTATCTGAGTGATTCCGATAAGCTGGACAGAGCAAGCTTGGTCAATGGAACGACGCGCTCTTGCGGAGGACTTGAGCCGCGTTGGATATAAGAACCATCGAGCTCACCATGTAAATACTAAGTACGGGTCGCGTCTGGGTTATACTACCCTATTCTGCTGATCACAAACCTAGGCTTCGTCACAATGGCATCTTTAATGTCTGCTGTTTCTAGCCTGACTTTCTCAGATCTTGTCCTGTGGATACTACTTATCACTTCATGTGGGCATGGCCTATCGAAGATCCAAGGGGCTTTAAATGCTTACCTCGACGATCAGTGTCGCTCCCCTCCAGGGCTGCCCAGGTGTGTACCAGTGTTGGTCTCTAGTATACATGGATTGATTTCCACCTGGCAGTCATTACCTATCAAACCCCGCGAGCTTGGGTAGTAGACTAGTACATACCTACAAGTATCGTCCCCACATGCAGGTATGTGCATGTTTTAGGGTCTGTACAGCCCTGATGGGTGCCAACCTTAGCTGGATACCTAGGTACCTACTAGGTGTGTCTCAGGTTTCATTCCGTCTCCCCAGGCAGTAGATATTGACAAATTCCGCTGTGCGTTCCAGAAACATTACTTCCGGGCCACTCCTAATGACAGCACTTACTTGAGGGCTGCTAGGTACTGGGTTAAGTATTAATCGAGCCCTGGATATCGAACATTTAAAATATTCACATGGACACCAGTCCTGGAGTCTAACCTCGAAACATACATGTACATGTAGTAGTATCAATTGGATTTGATTCAAATCAGTCCATGCATGTGTGTGTCGGGGTATTTGGACTTATGTATGTAGACTCAGTCCACGACTTCAACTCAAGTGCTGTCATCCATTCAATATATCTACCAGTTGACTACCACTACGTGTATGTACATCTAACACATACTAATAGGTTAATGTGCACATGTGCATGGATCAATCATGTGTCATTTAAAACCTTGAAAATGTTATCTTTGAATGTTGGAATGTGTGATTGTTTTCTTCCAATAAATCAAATTCCAACTTTGCAACACTTGAAGCTTGATTTCGGCGACTTTCAATACTAGTTACCTGGTATGTACTTGGTCTTTGAACTGGCACCTGGGTCAATCAATACATATGTAGGCACTGCCCAGGTGGACCCGTGGACCTTGATCCCAAAATGTCAACTTTAGAATATCCAAGGCTCACCTTAAGAAGGCGATTCCAGCTGCCTGTAGGTAGTGCATAGAGCGGTCACCGCAAAACATTGGAACTCAGTCTTCAGTCTTCAATGTTCAAATGTTGGAATACTACTCAAGTGCTATCAACTAGGTGGACACCCAACCATCTGCACATGTGGGCAACCTTGGATTATGCATGCATGATTATCTATAGGTACTCGAAATGAACCTTTGGGCGATGCCTAGGTGCCATTCGCTCGCACATGTGGGCAAATTTAGAATCGATAAGATATATGTATACATGCATAAATACATCAATAGTATGTAGTAGATGAGCACATGGGTATGGGAAACATATACTCAAGATGCTACTATGTACCTATGTATATTTACTCAATGTCACATGTGTGGAAATATTACCCACAGCATGGATTCCCGAATATTCGATACAACCTTCCAGGGTTCGAATGGGAAGGAACTCCCGGTGTGACTGTATGTACTAGCACTTGAGTGTCTACATACTACTAAGTAGTACTGAGCACATGGTGTGTGTATACTAGTATCCATATCAATTGATCACCTGGGCAAGCCCTGGGGATAACCTTTATTGAATGGATCGACCCAATAATTCGGAATTATGTACGTTAGACAATGCGTATTAATTTACATACTAATAGGTCAGCTCTGGAACCATTTCCCACTCATTGGGCATCTTAATCTCAGCAATCGTGGGGTTTTTTGGTGGTTCGGTGCTGGCCGGGGAAAAAGCGGTCAACTGGCGTCCACACAACAGATACCGCCGATCGCCAGTTTTGTTCGCAGACACATTCGGAACGTTCGCCCTTTCCTACTACGTCATTCGAGCCTCTGCATATACGAGTGATGACTGCACACACGTGGAATCATAAAAGCAGAACACATCCAATCCAACCGCGTTATGCCACATCAACAAAGGTGAGGTGTGCCTGTGGACGGAATACCCGGTACATATGCCCAAGCAGTTGAGAACATGTGTTCCCCCGATGAACATATGAACGTCTTTCGGCAAGGAGATCACGGACTGGAAAACCAAATAGGGCCAAGGGCGAACTTTGAACAGGATGATCGGTCAAGTTCTCGAACTCCCCAGACTCTCTTCGTTTGTGTATTCAAATCATTAATTCGCTGTGATAGGAAGGTCTAAAGGTTGATCGTCAATGGTGGATTTACAGATTGAAAAAGGTTCCATGGATCCCGCCAGGAACAGGCATATGAGTCGTTCCGAGAGCCCCAATACCCAACACCTAATTTCCCGCTCGTTTAGTGGATTTTCGCCAAGCCCAACTTTCACAAAAGCCCATATTCTATTCCGTGTGTCTCGTGGAGGACTTCGGGTCACGCCCGATGGCGACAAAAAAGAAAAAAAAAAAAGAAAAAAAAACCCCCCCAAAAAACAACACCAAAAATCAACAGCCAATCTCGGCTAAACCCGTGGCCAGCCAATCCACATCGAGATGCAGGTGATGAGAGACAACACCAGAGCGACGAATCAGAAGCGCCCAGTCCGGAGAGGATCCGTGTTATCCGTTCCTGCGTCCATGACGCCAGGGGTAACACAGGTAATTTACGTGAAAACACGAGCTGCCTCAAATGCACGAGAGAAAATCCTCATTTTAAGGAACAGCGCTTACGGAAACATGTCCCAAACCCTGGAACATTTGATTTGATTTATTTTTTTATTTGGTTTTACTCCGTCACTCCGTGACTTTGGGACAATTGTTGTTGGCCCGGAAATGAATCATTGACTGCTTACTGATTTGGTCTTAGGGCTGGAACACCACCTATAGCATCCTTGAGGGGCCGGAAATCTCTCGGGTATCTCTCCTCTAACAAGAGCTGGTAATAAACTGCCCCCCCAAAAAAAACCTTTGTTCCTTGAACCCTTGGTTATCGGGCCCGCCTTGTGCCCACATGCTATTCCACGTCTACAAATCTGTACGGATGTACACAAACATCATTAGCACTGGGGGAAAATGACATTGCATACTTAGTCCCTATGACACGACGCAGTTGAAATTCCATCCCTCAAACCAAATCAAACCCATGAATCCCTCGCATGTTGGGAGTCCGTGCGATTGAAGCCGATCCAGACCCCTGACGCTAGCCCTTGGCGCGGACGTTAGTTAGGGTTTTTTGATTGCTTGCTCCATAGTTCGATTTTGGACCGCCCTATTTCGGATAGTCCCAGAATCGCGTGCCTGGTCGATCCAATAGGATCGTCAGTCCATCCAGAACAAATCAATAGAAAAAATCTTACTTGGCGCCACAGTGCTCCAGAGTGCCCAAATGGCCCCTTCCCCAGGTTGACGCTCGTATTTAGACTGGCATACCGCTCCCTGTCATACTTCTCTCCTTCCCTTTTTTTTCCCTTCTTAGGCACCTTGCACACTTGCTCATTCACCCCAGTCATTCTTTAGACAAGTCACTCGTTTTTGCTATCTGGTCCCATTTGAGCCGCGCTCTCTTCAATCCTTACCATCTATATCCTTTTGAGTCCCACTCCTTTGCACTCAAAAAAAGTCAATTCCTCACTACCCGATACCACCGCACGTCTTTGGATTCGCACTTGTCTCGCACAGTAACTTCGTTGCTTACATTTTGCAATCCACTTTCAATCCACACCTTGCTGTGCACGACTTCAATTCTCAGAAGAAATTACTTTTCTTGTCTATATCAATCCCAACTCCGACAAAATGCAGATCAAGGCTTTTGTCACTTCGTTCCTCTGCCTGGCTGCAGCCCAGTTCGCTGCCGCAGATGCGACTACTACCTCCACTTCAACATTGACCATCACCAAGACGCTGGTCCGCGTCCACTCGGTCACTGCCACCCCTAGCGTCAGTGCTAGCGTGACCCCAAGCTCTAGCAGCATGGTCACCGTCACCTCGACTCCTCTTGTCCAATCCGCTACCAGGACCGCTGCCGCTACCTCCGCCACAAAGACTGGCGGTGCTGTCAATGTGGCCGCTGGTATGCCGGCTGCTTTGGTTGCTGGATCCTTTGCGCTGATTATGGGCGCGGCCCTGTAATCGCCAATACGCACCATCCAAGAGCATCGGGAGTGATCTCAGCATCCCTTGAGAGTTATGAAGGTCCCCGACAACTCATTTGGCCAAGCTGTGCCACTCCTCTGTGACTCTATTCTTCGCCGTTCTCTCCAGCAGAACCCGGGTTACCTTATATTTGGACTTATCCATATTTTCAATTCTTTCAACACTTTTTTTTATTTTATTTATTTACGGCTCATGGTTCACTGGAGAACCTCGTTCGGAGAGGAAACGGTTTTATGCACTTCAAATACCCCCTTTTAACGATTTTTCTGGACACGATTTGATGTCTTCTTCTATTACCCCCATTGTTCAATTCTTCTGTTCATATTTGTGCCCGAAGAACTGTATTCTGAGAAATCATCCGCAAGGACGTGTTTCAACCGGAGTTAACCATACTCCGGCACTCCAGCAACACGATCACTGGCTGAAACTTGAATTGGTTTTCCTCAAAGCACCAAATGAAACCCTTTTTTCGTATATACCATATACCATTTCAAAATAAATATTCACCGGCTTATTGGCTACGTGCCTCCAGCTACATGTCTTCATACATTCAAACAGTCTGATATCCATGGATAGTACCTCCCTTGAGGGCTAGTAGGCACCTATGATTTCGCCTCCTAAGGTCCAAGTCTCCAGATTCACGCCATGTGTCGTCTATGCCCGCCTTAACTTTTCCGTAGAGGCAGCGTTAATAATATGGCGTGTGAGAACAATCGCCTTGATTTGTATACCAAATGAAATAAACTTGACGTGACGAAGATCATGCCGATCTAACATTCCGATCTGACTGCCGTGACCTCCGAGGTCGACTGATTAACGCAATGGCCATGCGCCCACGCGTGGTTTCCATTTTGGGAAACTCGTTAGATAAGATCTTATCTTGGGCAAATCCTCCGTTTGATTTTCATCTTTTTTCTTTCTTTAGAGAAATCTCCTCTTAGGTCTTTTTATCGAGGATCTGAAAATTTCCATCTATATTGATTGATTCAGGGTTCTGCTAATCTTTCATACACATCACAAATCGCGCGTTGTTGACACCCGCATCCACTTCGCGGGCTCCACAACGCGTCGCCGCTCCCCCAAAGTTCTAGCGCATTGTCCACCTCCCCTCCGAATGACCTGAGAGGGAACCGAGGCGCGTCTCGTTTGCCCCGAGACAATCACGCTCACAATGGACAACGAGATCCCTCTTCCACCACCGCGGCGCATCCGGCACCGATCGCCCGCGCGTGCAAATGCAAGCGGCTCCCCCTCCACCTCGCTTGCATCGTCATTTCGCAAAGCAGGTCGGCTTTCTCGCTTTGACGACCGCTCCAGCCAGCCATCCAGTGACCCCGCACTATTCTCAAGTGACGATATTCCTGCATCGGGATTGGAGAACTATAATGCACCGGCGATGGGCGCGGGGCGGAAGAGGCGTTACCGGGGGACATGGTGGGGGGAACAGATGATTGATCCGAAGAGAAAAAGGGCAGATTTTAAGGAGAAGCGGAATTTTGATAGTGGTGTTTGGATGGGCAGTGATGAATCGGGTGTGGAATCACTTTTACCGTCTGAAGATGGTCCTTGGGGAGAAGACCTCCTAAAGACGGTGCTTGACCCGAAGGCCTCTGGAAAATCTGCTCAGGGTCCCCTGCTGTTGCTTCCAAGTGAAAAGGCTACGTCGTCAATTCTTCCCTTGCCTATCTTGAAGGGCCCGAATGAGTCCCAGGAACACCGGTTTGCAAGGTCTGTGGTTAACGATTGTCTGGAGAAGGGAGAGGATGTTGTTGATCTTGGGTATGATTCTTCCTGTCAACCGAATTCCCAAAAGAAATCGCCTTTTCTCTGGTTAAATATTGACAAGGTGTCTAGAAATATCAACTTAATGAGTATCCCATCAGGTCTGCTTCGACCTCTACACCATCTGACGAAGCTGCCCTCCGTGGAAGTGGCTCCTCTATCTGAGAATATCTATTCTTCTTTGCAGCCTTTCCTCAGTATCTACCTCCCGGGAAACTCCCTGAGTCAGCTCCATCATGAGTTGTTTGAGTTGAGTGGCTTAAAAGTCCTTAGCGTCAGGAACAACGAACTTGTCGAAATCCCCTACGCAATCCAGAAATTGAAAGCATTGGAGGTTCTGAACGTGTCTGTCAACAGACTCACTTATCTGCCATGGGAGCTTCTACATATAATCAAACTTGGTGAACTGAAACACTTGACCGTGTATCCGAATCCGTTCCCTTCAATCGAAGAAGCCACCGTCGCCAAATGGCATCGCGAGCCTGAAGAGAAGACCCAAGATCAGCCTTATGACGAATACGAATCAGAAGAAGATGAAACCGCACCAATCCTTGAAACCCCTCGGTTTGATAAATACGAAGGATCCCCTGCACCTAGTGCCTGGACCGTCATTCATGTAGCTACAGGACCAACGACACGACTCGACACGGAAGGTCGACCCATGGCGACCCCAGCCTCGAGAATGATCATACCATCATCAGAGCGAATTTCCGCCACCCCCTCTTTACGTGAAGTTGCACTCCGAGCCGTATGCAAACTTCCAGATCTTGAGCACGTCACCGATGAAGAACTGGCAGAATTTCCTACCATGGTAATCCCATTGATGCAGCGGGCCAAGAAGATCCGTGCGGCAGGTGGTCAGCAATGCTCTGTATGCCACAAAGAGTACATAATTCCTCGAACAGAATGGCTTGAGTGGTGGGATTGTACTCCACATGAGAACGGCCTGAAGCGAGCGCGGGCTTCAGGTGAAAAACTTCGTCCGTTACCTTTCAAACGATATGGCTGCAGTTGGTTCTGTGTTCCATGATTCGAGTTGTATATTATTATTACTTCTTTGTTGATTTTTACATTTTTTTTATCTTCAACTTCATGTATTTGCTAGATTTTGGTGTCTATATCACTTATATCCTGTGGTTATGGGAATATTTTATGGAATTTTGTGCTGTTGGTGTTTTCATACCAGCCTCGGCAGTTAACTAGTAGGCGATTAGGTACTTTCATCCATCAATGTACTACGTGATCAATACACGATTATGAAAGTTAAATTGAATCGGGCCATGTATTCAAATAACCCTTCAGGGCTGATTGATTTTAATTACCAAAATGTATTTCGGTCTCATTTGAAGTGGAAAGTGATATTTCCTAACCGCATAGAAGGGCATCTTGCCCATAAAACGACGTAAAGGCCCAGGACTTTATAACATCGAAGTCTGGTTGTAATACCCACACCAGGGCCGCATGTCTTGTATTCTGATCGGTATCACAATTATGAGGTGGAACCGGTAGTGATGTCAACTCTTAAGTCGCTGTTTGGGGTATCTCGGCGGCGGTGTGAGGAACCCAAGGCCATATGTTTGAAAATCATCTTTGGTCTTGCTTGCAGGCCTTGACCTGAAGCACCGTTGTATGAAAATCAAGGCTGAATAGATTCTGACGAGTTGCTTGTACCAATAAATGTCGCATGGACGGTATGAGTTGATTTGGAGATAGAGGCGCGGACACGGTGATATTAACGTCCGCTGATCGTGTCTCATCACTTGAGACTCACGGCAACTTCAACCATTTTGATCCATCGTGTGCGCGTCTCAGGAAGTTCAGCATCATCGGGCACATCGGGGGTCTGACGCTTTCGTTTCTTCACAGCGGCCTTAGATGTTTCCTGATCCTGCTTTTCGGGACCTGACTCGGCTTTGGACGAGCGCTGCTGTTTCTGCATCTCCAACTCCTTCTTTTCTTCGTCCTCAACAACATCATCCACCACAAGCACGCTGCCGGTAGTTAATCGGACAGCATACTCAGTGTCCTTCTCCTCGAACCATTTGCCCAACTTGAGCACCTTCTCGATTGCCCGCCCTGTAGCCTTCACAAAGACTTCTTCTCGCTTGTCTGAAATTTTGGCCAGCTCTGCAAGCTTCTGCTGTTCTGTTTTGCGCGTGTCTTCAAGGTCGATGTTGGCTGTCGCACGCTTCTCGGCGTGTCGGAGGAGTTTCTGGACGCGCTTCACGGCGCTCATGAAAGGTGTGCCTGTTGAGACATAGACAAACTTTGGTACTGATGTACCTGCGTAGGGAGAGGCGACAGGAGCATGAGGGATAGGGCGCTTTTCAACTTTGGCATCTGTAAGCCCAGTGGTTAGTCTTCAAGCTAGATTGAGGGTCAGGGTCAGTGGTGATATGTTCACGAACATTTTGGTAGCTTGACAAGATCCGTGTTCTTCTTCTCAAACTGGAGCTTCCGCTCCAATGGACCTTTACCCATCTTGAGGCCGATAGATGTCTTGAGAATGTTGTGGGTGTTAGACTAGAGATCTTATCACTTATTTTCTGCCGGGCGGCGTAGTGCAGAGAGGGCTCCAGTTCCCGAGTGGGTCCAATGATCACCTTAAATGAGAATGAACATCACCAGAATCAATAGATTATCCGTCAACTGGTAGATTGATTATTGTAGTTTGGTGGAAAAAGTGAGATAGGTACTTGATCACTACACACAGGGAGATGATGACCAATGACATGTATGCGAAGTTGCAATCCAAATCTCAGTGGTAGTCTACTGCTTACTTTGCATTTCGATATGGAGAGAAAACAGGATTCCAGAGGGTTTTGCAAACATTGAAACATATATCAGTGTTCATTTTCCAATAGACTCTTCGAAATCCGTCCTTTAGCTGACGGGAGTTCAAGTTTCGGGATATACCAGTTGACATAGTTTGTTCAATGTTCGGATAAAGTGCTGAAAATAGCCGAGGGTCTGGAGTCTGGACATCTGGAATCCACACTATGGGGTAACCTTGACTCTTGAGCAATGATCTTGGATTCTCAAACCTTGGCTTATAATTGATATCAAATCGACTAAGACTGGATTTGATCTTGACCCATAATAAATGTTATATCAATTTCTCTGATAAATCTCTCTCAACCGATGAAAGTCTCCAAGTCCTGCCGACAATGCCGAATTGGCAAGCGCAGATGTACGGCAGAGCAAGCGGGGAAGCCCTGTCAACAGTGCCTGAGGCAGAGTAAACCATGCTCTCTCACAGAACAAAAACAGAAACCACAGAGGCATCTCCTACCTAGCACTGAACATTGCAGTGAGGGCAGTTCTCTGGAAGTTCCAGGTTTGACACATGACGTTCGCGATCGACTGGTGGATCTTTACTTGAATTGCATTCATGACAAGCCACACACTTTGTTTCATCCAGCTCTCCTGAAAGAACGAGTGAGCGATGAATCGCTTCCACCGGCAGTGCTCTATGGGATTATGGCACTTGCAGCCCGGTAAGCCGCTTAGAGATAAAGGATCTAACAATTCTCAAAACTCGTGCTGACTGGGATAATGTTTGGAAGTTTATCTGATGAGGAAGCGGTTCGTCAGAGCGCTGGTATATTATTCTTAAAAGCCAAATACCTTCTGAAGATGAACATCGATGTTCCATGCCTGGATAACATCCACGCGAGTATTTTGGTTGCTAATCTGTGCGGTGCAGAAGCTCAATCTGCAACGGAGGGTATTTTCTTTGGTGGGTTGGCTGGTCATATTTGCAGGTCAGAGACTAATTGCATATCGGAATATTAGGTATTGCCTTTCGAATGGCGCATATCCTCCACTTGCCCGAGTCAAATGCAACAGAAGACAGCATCATCCAGGAGATCAAAATAAGAACATGGTGGTCCTTGTATATGATTGATCAGTGGTCATCGGCAGGACTTGACTTACCAAGACAGTTTAATGATGATCAACATCGCCTGCCCATGGCAGAAATCGAATTCTGGTCTTTGAAACCAGGACAAAGGGTCACAAGTGTTTCTCGTTCTGGACCTGGTCTCTGGGGGCATATGGTGGTTCTTGCTCGAATCTTTGGCCATATTCAAAATCTTCATCAGAAATTAGCAAGTGGACTATTGGAAGAAGCACAGGCGGAAATGATAACTCAAGACCTAGCGCAAAGGTTCGAGCGGTTCGTTCACGAACTGCCACAGAGTCTAAAATTCACTCCGGATAACTTGAGGCAACATGCCGATATGGGCCTCGGGCGAGCGTTCGTAGCCCTTCATTTGGGATACCACCATTATGCAACTCTACTATATTTCCCATACTTTGACCAAACTTCCGCCCAGACTGTCAACCGAACAATGTTTGTCGCCCGTTGCAAATATCATGCGACATCCTTCAGTGATCTACTGAGAGCTTCTCAAGAGACCCCAGACTGTGAAGCAGTCTACCTAATTGTTGCACACATGACAGTCGTGTCATCATCTGCATTGCTCCATACGCTCTTGTTTGGAAACCAGTCTGAAGTAATTGATGCAAAAGAGAGACTTTTCTCCAATTTTCAGACACTTCTCAAATTGAAACAATATTGGCCTGGTGTTGATTTAATGGTGAGAAGCCGCAGATTTGAAATTAGTTTGAATTCAATGGCTAACGAAAGAACAGATGGAACGCTTGTTTACATTTCAGAAAGTCTGTATGCAATCTATGGATACGACATACACAGTAGACAGATGGATCGTCAAGTTCCTCTTGCAGCATGCTTTACCCATGGGTGATGAGGTTGAACAACCAGTCACATTCGATCTGGAAGAGCGCGGAAAGTTCGCTAGTGATGCTCTGTCAATGCTTCGGCCGTAACACGAGAATATTCCTCTTTGATCTCAAGCTTTCCATGAATCCACGGCTTTTGCTTCCGGTCGCAGCGCCAACCCATTTCCAGCCACATTGGCATCCTCCCCATCAAACAGTTCTGCAATTTCCTCCAAAGTCGGGCCTTTTGTCTCCACGAATAAGAACCAAATGCATAAACACTCTATCACTAATATGGCAATATACACAAAATAAAACCGCCACTGCAACGACTCCAGACCTATTGGGTTGACATATTGGTTGAACACCGATGATGCTGCTGTAACAGCCATAGTGACTGTGAGACCTTTGGCTCGAATATTGAATGGGAGGATCTCGGCTGTATAAGCGATCGTCAGACCAGGCCAGGCAAACCCGGCCGCCCCATAAAAGAGGAAGATCATCGCGATGACCGTGCTTCCAGCACTCTTATTACCGGTCTTCTCGTATACAGCCGAGCATCTGTATTTGATTTAGCCTTAGTTCATCTCCACCATCCAGTAGGAAGATATCATACCCAGTCCATATACTGAAGCTTATCAACATTCCAAGTCCAGCGATCATGAACAACATTCGTCTGCCGAGAACATCCACGAGGAAAGCAGATGTGCCGATTGCGACTAGAAAACACCATATTGTGAGAGCGCCATTGATCATTGACTGATTATAGGAGGACTCGATCCCAACAGACTCTAGAATATCGTGAATATAGTACGACACCAATCCATTACCCGAACACTGCGAGAAAAATGCAGTGAGTACAATGAGTAGTAGCCGTTTGCGATTACCAGGTGTTTGAACTAGGACCATCCATCCGTCGTTTGAATTTTCCTTTTCTCTGCGGATGGTCTCCTGGATCTCCTGGAACTCAAATGCGCAGAATGGGTCCTGTCTGTCTCCACTTGCGTGATACTGTTACAGAGTCGTCAAAGGCTGGTTCACGCTCGCCAATGTCTAGGAACTTACTTTGACTAAGACATCAAATGCCTCATCAGGGCGATCCTTTGCACAGAGCCAACGGGGACTTTCGGGAACAAACCATATACCACAGAACTGAATGACCGGCATGGCTGCCTGCATGGCCACGGGGATCCGCCATGCTGCCTCCGATGTATACTTGATCGTACCAAAGACAGTCCAGGCCGCAACAATCGCTCCCACATACCATAGTGTATTGTACATTGTTGTTAACTTTCCGCGGTGTTGAGGGTGTGCTAGTTCGGTGATGAGTAGCGGCGCAGATGTCTGACTTATGTTGGATCTGAAAAGGTCAATGATTGATCTGTTCTACACATGCGAGAAAGGAACAGTTTTACCCAAGGCCAACAAGGAACCTCCCTGCAAGAAACATGCTGGAGTTGACAGATGGAACGACTTGAATCAAGGTTCCGACGAAGAGAATCACCAGTCCGATGGCCACTCCTCTTTTCCGTCCAAATATATCAGCCATGTATGAAGCTGCGTTTTAGATCTCAGCAGGGAGCATAGTCAGAAGTTGGAGGACCAAGTATTTGACCAAGTATTTACCGAAGAATAACGAGCAGAATCCGCCGATATTTTGGATTGCGGTGAAGAGACCTAATTCCGAGCCACTGGGGTTGTTGAAATCTAAAGGTTCAGTCAGGCTTAAAGTACCCCATGGTTCATTGTTGGATATCCTTACAGTCTTCCCACGGTGTCATGGTCTGCAATCCATTTAATAGAGAGCCATCATATCCGTTCGTCGAGGATCCTGGATATGTCTGAGAATTAGTCGCCCCAGGCTCTCATCTGATATAGGATACCACGGATCACACACCCAAGAACAAAAGCGGCATCATGATGTACAATTTACGTAGCCCAGGGTGCTTCCACCAAGTCACCTCAGGGAATATCACAGAAACATTGTTCGTGCTTGGTTCAGTAAATTCTGAATGAGCAACCACCCCTTGACCTTCCTTGAAGTCTTCTTTGTCGTCCATTTCAATGTTTGACAGGTCAAAGTAATTGTGTTGTACTATTCCTCCAGATGTCCACCGTCCAGTAATGAAGAATGAATTGACCGAAAGATATATCATTTCGGCCAGCAAGCCTCTATTTAAGCCATCAACAAGGCATACGTCTCCCCATCATCTCCCCATCTTGCAATCATTCAATGGTCCAGGTATGTAAGGTTTCCTGTACCCCGGGTTTCTTCCAAATTTGGCAACGCGTCTGCGGAAAAGGTGCCTCATGGTTTTGATGCGGGATATAAGCCAATGGAAAGGGTTCATTCCCGCAACCCTGGGAAATCATCTTTTCCGGCGGGTTTTCGGAGCGGGATATCAACCAATCAAGCAACATTAGGCCCGATTCATGATGCATCTTGGTTACTTGGTATGCATTCCATTTTTGCCATGCTCATACTTTCTTCCGGGTGGTTCCATTGATGATTTATCGCAATGGTGGGGGTTGCGATGAGGGGTACATAGAGGGGGACGAGCAGGTATAAAAAGAGGGATATTGTCTGCAGCAAAAACAGATCCATTCAGACCTTTGGAAACATATTTTATTTTTCCAAAGTTGAAGGGAGAATCATTCATTGCTGCAATCATGACATTGTCTCCCTCCATTCCTCATCTCCGGCAGACAGGGTCTGCCACCCAGCTTATCGTTCATGGCAAGCCGTTTCTCGCCCTTGCTGGTGAGCTGCAGAACTCTTCTATGACCTCGGCTGAGTTTATGGAACCTGCTTGGCAGAAGCTTGTCGATACAAATGTCAATACCGTGCTCGGGTGTGTCACCTGGGAAGATCTGGAGCCTGTTGAGGATCAGTTTAATTTTGCTGAAGTGGACAAGGTAATTCTGGGCGCAAGGAAGCATGGCTTGCACCTAGTATTATTGTGGTTTGGATCATTCAAGAACGGTATCTCCACCTATGTCCCGTCATGGGTCAAGACCAACACCAGAAGATTCCCGCGAGCAAAGCTGCGACAAGCCGGCGGCGTGCTAAAGACTGGTGACCTCCTGTCGATCTTCCACGAAGAAGGCGTCAGAGCAGATGCAAAGGCCTTTGCACGTCTTCTAAGCCACCTGAAAGAGGTAGATGGCGCACACTCTACTGTACTCATGGTGCAGGTCGAGAATGAGACAGGTCTTCTAGGCGATTCTCGAGACGGGTCTGCCGCAGCAGAGAAGCGCTTTATCGAACCAGTGCCGACAGATCTCCTGCAATTCCTTGTCCAAGATTGGGACCACCTTCACCCGGACCTAAAAGCAAACTTGACCCATCTCAAGTCACAAACAACTCGATCCGGAACATGGACACAAGTCTTCGGTGAAGGCCCACACACAGACGAGCTGTTTATGGCATATCACTATGCGAAATACGTCAACCAGGTCGCCTCAGCCGGTAAAAATGAGTATCCTCTCCCACTCTATACAAATGTCTGGCAAAACTACGTCGACAAGGACGGTGACAACGACTTCCCCGTCGTAGTCGGCGGAGGCGGCAATCCAGGCGATTACCCGTCGGGGGGAGGCACCAGCAATGTCCTCGATATTTGGCAGCAGTTTGCGCCGTCACTGGATTTCATCGCGCCAGATGTCTACCTAAATGACTACAGCAGTTCCTGTCACAAATACCGCCACCGAAACCAACCGCTGTTCATTCCCGAGCAACGACGTGATGAGTACGGTGCGAGACGGATCTGGGTGGCTTATGGATCGTATCAAGCTATTGGGGTCTCCCCCTTTGGTATTGATACGCAGGTGCCCGCTACAAATCCATTCACCAAACATTACGGCCTGTTGCAGTCTGTGGCTCCGCTGGTGCTCGAGGCGCAAACTCGTCCCGATGCCTCCGTTGGGTTTTACTTTGATGAGTTGTCAGGAGATGGGGGTAACGTTGATACCTCCAAGCCGGTGGTCAAGTCATGGGGTGGCTATGAGATCACCATCGAGCGATGCTTTGTCTTTGGAAAGCCAGGATCTGGTGCTGGCATGGTTATCCATCTGGGTGGGCCTCGATTCCTCTTAATCGGGTGGGGATTCCAAGTGCGGGCGAAGGCACTGTCGCCAACATCGAGTTTCACTGGTTTCCTGACTTTCCGGGAGAAGAAGGTGGTGAACAAAGAGACGGGGGAGCTACGCACGCTGCGAGTGTTGAATGGGGATGAGACGCGGAGTGGGATCTTCGCTATGATGCCGAATGAGGATCCGGACTACGGCGGGTTCCCGATCTGTGTGACCGTGCCTGCCCATACTATGATTGCCGAGTTGGAAGTATACTCGATCGAGAAGGTGGACGATGTGTAAAATTGTACATAGTTCTTCGCAGGGCTAAGCTGATATGTCATTGGATCTCCCTAATGTTATGCAATGTGGCTTTTAACTTTCTTTATTTCTATTTGTCCCACATCTGCACCGGAGAAAGAACTAAAAGAATCACCTTTTGCCGTGAGAGTTCGAATTAGTGGAAAAACCGTGCCAAGGTGAGCAGGCAGTGCCCCTCCAAAATAAAATAAAATAAACAAGGATGACGCCTATGCAGGTATCCGGTAGCCTAGGAATGCCGATAAGGCTACTTGACCGCGATCTCCGTGATTTCAGCCCCGCAGACTGGAAAGTTAGGAACAGAGATGCCGAAAGGGGGAGGCAAGTCCTGTCACAAAAGTAAACAAAAAGTAGAAAAAGATAAAACATAATAATGATAGCGCACGGAGCAAGGCAAAGAAAAGACTTGGATAAGTTGGAATTTTGTGCCGGAATACCGGGACGTGCACAATTGACCCGCGCCCAAAAATCAATACAAACTTCAATAACAAATGGGACAGGTCTAATTCCCAATTTGAAGGGTGATCTTTCTCTCCACCTGGGTAAATTTCTGCACTGGTGACGGTTTCACAAGGTGCCTCGGGAGAAGGAAGCGTCGAATCTCCGATGTCCGACAGGAAGAAACAAGGCAAAAGCAAAAAAAAAAAAAAAAAAAAGAGGCAAAGGCAAAATAGAATCAGAAAGATTGGAAATAAGGAAATAAGGAAAAAAGGAAAAAAGAATCCCAAACATCAAAGTGCCACGGGCCTCTTAGTACAACATCATTTCCCCTCGAACTCGAACTGGTCATCGGCATTAAGGAGATGGGACAGATGGAAGGTGAATCGGATCGCGGTCTTTACCCGAGAACCTCGCACTTGGGAATTAAAGGTTCCCGAGGGTTCAGGGGCCTTTGATGCCATGATGCCATGATCGCCGTCTAAGAGGATTTAGATTAGCTTGAATCCAACGTGATCTTTGACCCGATGGAAAGGGTGGGATCCACTAAGATTGGGACGAAGATACTCCGTAATAAGATAGAAGCTAAAAAATGACGCTTTTTCTCCAAGATGAAGGGGGAATGAATGCCGGATGATCAGATCTGGACTCTTTCACGGGTGGATCTGGGCTCCACTGCTGGATTTGGAAGGTCCTGTTCCAATTGACCCACGAGGTCAGCTCGTGCATGCTATTGAGGGGGTTTCTTCCATGCTTCTTGTTTGGAATATTTGAAAGAAAGGATTGCTTGATTTGCTTGATATTGAAGTTGTATTGAGGTTGTATTGATATAGGGATGTCCATGTGTACTAGTAGTATCGACAAATGTGAAAGTTGACAAGTTGACTAGTTGTGAAACGATCCACCATGACCCCGAGGCTCTTTTATTGGAGCGGGGAATGTGGCAGTTTGATTCCATGGTTCAGGCTGCTGCTTGTGGTTGTTTATTGTGGAAGAAAGAAAAAGAGAAAGAGAAAGTGAAAGTGACCTATGTGATCTCAAGTCCCTTGGAAAACGTACTTTTTTTTTTCTTCTCTTTTTTTTTTTTTTTTCTTTTACCTGTCAGAGGTTTGACTTTTGACTCCTCCAACGTCTTTGTTCAGTAAGAGTGGCAGTGGCCGAAGTGGCGCTGCAAGGCTCGGATATTGCGTGTCCACCCCACAAGAAAATCAACACGGAGAGACCGTGTTTTTGCCTCAACTGACGAATCCTCCAAACTTTGATCTATATTTGCATATAAATCTGTACATGTGGACAGAGTACATACAGTGCTGTAGATCATGCGTAACTGTGTTCAGGTAGCCACGATTACCACCATGATGGACAGGTAAAGGTTAAAAGTTATGCCGGGACGCGTGAGGCGTGTGAGGCGTGTGCCGCGTTTCGAACTGCTTCTCTTTTCCCCTCTTTGACGGAGCCTCCCCGGACAGGGATGTTCAAAGGGGACCGGGGTTGAGATGGGATAGAGTAAGATTAGAGGAATATGCACACGAGTCCGAGTTTCCGAGTCTATGATTTCATCCGTAGAATGTGTCCAAAAAAAAAATTTAAAAAAAGAAAATAAAAAAAATTAAAAATTAAAAAAGACCTTCGGATGCATCTCAGACTAGAGCTCCGGAGGACAAGCGAGCTGGAAAAGCGGTTTAGCGGCAGGCGCAGAGTGGGGGAATGTGGATATCAAGTGGAGATTCCAAGTGGACGGAAAGACGGAAAGCCAACGGTTGATTGCAGACGTCGAAAGGAGCGGAAATAATAAAAAAAAATAGTTAGAAAATAAATAAAAAATAATAATAAAAGATAATAACACAATTCAACTTGAAATGTCCAAAAAGTCCAGACTCTCTGGCCAAAACGTCCCCGGTGGAGCTTCTCTCTACACACAAGTGACAAGAGATCACCATCACCTTAATTAACTTGCTTCCCCTCCACATTTCCCTCTTCCCTTCTCTCCTCCCCCCATATCCCTTCTTTTCTTGTCTGTTTCAATCATCTTCGTCATTAAGACAACCATTCTTTTTCTCCTACTTTCTCTTCTATTGTCTTACCTTGTCTGTGATCCTACTTTTGCCGCGGCTGATTGACATCGAATCATTCGCCTGCATCTGAGAATCATATCTGCAAGGGTATCTTCAAAAAAAACCAATTTCCTCCTTAAAAACCATCCCATCTGAGACACGTCAGCCACTCTGTTTGCCACTTCCCCGGCGGATTATGCACAGTGCGACCTTTCGACTCTAATCTGGTATTCGGTACTTTTTTTCTGTTCCATTACAATTGCTGCATACCTTGCGCGGCCTCACTCCATCACTCAACACCGCACTTACCCCGTGATTCGCGAGAGAAAAGTGGTTGGAATTTCCCCCCAGCAGCCCGCTTGGAAATCAACACTGGTCAACTGCGTTGTACTTATGTGTCTGGTTCCGCTTCCTGAACTTCATCCATAATCCCCCAACTTTCCTGTCATCAACGCGATTCTTTTCTTTTTTCTCAATCATGTCGGACTCGTCTTTGGATAGTCCTAATGGTCGCGGCCTGGCCTGGATCTTTGATCATTGTCATCGTTACCCAAACTCCTACGAAATCCCCCTCCGCACCATGTACACCATCAATTGCAATCCCGCCAAGAACCCCAACGCCAACCGTAACCCGGAGACCGCCTTCTCCCCGCGCAGCTCTACCTCCACCAAGTCTTCTCAGTCCGATGACTCCGTCGATGCTGGTGCCGACTTTCGTTCCCAGCTCATTTACCAAATCTCTCGCCTGCCATCGCAGCCCTGCACCCTCCCCCCCGCCTTCTTGGTCTCTTTCTTGCGCCGTGTTTGGGTCGCCGACCTCGATCTGGTGGATTTCCCCCAAGCCTTGACTGCTCTGGATTACTTGAAGGACCTGCAATGTCGCTGGACAAAAGAGCTCCTCAATGTCACCCAGCGCCTCAATATCACTCGTGCTGATGTCGAAGACCCTCTTCAGTCCGGCCTGGCCTTGAACTACCCAGGTGTCATTTCTTGGCTGGAGGCCATGAAGAGCAAAGGCCGCCACATGGAGGCTTTGTACACCCAGATTTACGTCGGCTTGCGTCGTTGGGTATGTTTTGGTCTATAATTTCACCCCCCTCCTCATTCGTCTCAGCCGAGAACTAACATTTTCTTCTTGTTTTCGTCCAGACCTTGATTAACGAAATGATGCTTGACCCCACCAACAAAGTCGCTCACATTGCCCTGCTCAATACCCTCTTCCCGCCTGTCTCGGATTCGACCCCTACACCGACCGCCCAATTGACCCACCACATCCTCAAGGTGCAGCGCACCGGGTTTTTCACTTGGATCCACGCCGTCGGAGACAAGGGCTGTGAAATCTTGACTCCGGTCCTCCGCCAGGGTGCTCCTGCGGGCGAAGAGACCAGCTGGCCTATTGTCCGCGAATCTGTCGAGAACTACCTGACAATGGCACAGGAGATGATCGACGAATGTGTCTTGATCCTTGAGCCGACTTCCCTCGAGGTTCAATCCCCTCAATCCACCCATCGCCCCAAGGGTCGCAAAGTCGACTCCGGCATCAGCTTTACTTCGTCCACTGGCAATTTCAGCATCTCGGAGAGCTCCCAGGAGAAGCCTCTTCCCCATTTTCCTATCCCTAACAACACCACCCCTGCCAAGTCCACTGGTTCGGCTATGGAGCGCTTGGCCACTGAAATTCGCCGATTGGGTCTCGGCAGCAAGACCAAAAACTTGAAGAAAATGAAATCTACCACTGCCCTTGGCATGCGGCCTAATAGCCGGGATAGTTACGAAAGTTCTTACTTTGAAATCGATGAGCAGAAGCGCCGCCGTTTGATTGGTGAAGCTACGAGTCGCAAAACCTCGCAGACACACGATTCCACCCCCCATGCCCTGTGAGGCAATGACACACCTTCCTTTCTGACTCGACTTGACATTTAATGCCTGGATCCTGGACTGACCATCTACTCCACCATATGTTGCGTTTTCTCTTTTCTCGTGTTGTTCTCTCTGGACATTATTTGTCTTGTTTCTTCACATTGACGAAAGACCGGGTTGCATACTCTGGGGATGCGTGTTTGTTGACTTTTTTTCTTTCCCTTTTGATTTTATCTTTTTTTTTATTCGGAGTTATTCGGCGCAAGCAAGGCTATTGCATGGCATCGGAGCCAAAAGTCGGGCGCGTGGAACGTTCTATCACGAAATAATGTCGTTATGGATTTACAAAAAAAAGACCCTCCCAGCAGCTGGGCACAGATTGAACTGGATTCAATTATCATTATACAAAAAATCAGACAAAAAACCAAATAAAAATCTTAAAATTATTTTTGAAAAACACTCTTCTCTATCCTTGTCCCTACTATGTGTACATTATAAAATCATTAAATGGATTCTAGTAACCACTACTAGTTCTATATACTAGTAGTAAACAATAAGGCATCTTTATCGGACTGCACATGTTGCCGCACTGAGTACCGTAGGAGCTGCGATAAGAGATAAGATAGTAACCAAGTGTCCAGATCCACAGGGCTCTTTACTGTGTTTTGAGCGGCTCTGTCGCCTGTAAGGCTGGTTATTTGTTCTTCAATCTCAATTTCCACAGACTTGGGCTCAATTCACCCCTGAGAGATCCATTCTACCTTGATTTCTCACGGGGCCTAGTCCCTATACCCCATAACACTTTGTTGCTGTCCCCGCGGCAGCATGCGGACCTCCAAATCCCTCCAGTCATGGCGTTGGTACGCCGCCATCGCCGCCATACTTCCAGGCTGGTTAGCCAATGCTAGCCCATCTGTGAACGTCGCTCTTCAAGCATCTTTTGATGCATCCCCATATCTCGTGGAACTACTGTAGGCCCAATACCCTCCAGAGCTTCGATGATGCCAACAGGCCCAAGGACAAACAGTATTAACATATATCATACGAATAGTGAGTCCGCTGCAGAGGAAAACGCCACATCCTACTTCCCATTACTTGATCGCGTCGCCGATGGAGCCTTTGAAGATGCCGCTACGGAAAAGGCACTCTACGACCGCTTCTTGCAGGTCGTCCATGAAGATGGCCATCTCCGCACCGCCGAAGCCCTTTCCTCCTTTAAATTGTCCCTTGCGGTTCGATCATCTGCGCCACGAATTCAGGCGCATTATCAGTATTATAACACCTCTGTTCAGCACTCGTTGATGGTGGCCCAAGATGCAGTCTGTCCAGTTTGGGTTCATTCCGATGGGAAGCAGTATTGTTCTTCCGCTATGGAGCGAGCGCAGCAAGATGTCCAAGGCGAATTGTAAGCACAAGATGGAGAGGCATTGTAATGTCGAATTTGGACTGACTTGCGATGTTATGGCAACAGAGATCCTAGAGAACTTGCCTTTGATCGAGTCTTGGGCGATGCATCATTACCTCCTACTGTGTTATATGCAGATATATCCGACCCTATGTTCAAGGAATTTCATGAGACCTTGACCGATATGGCCAAAGAAGGACAAATTTCATACCGTGTACGTTACCGTCCGCCTCAGCACCTGGATCCTCGTCCGCTGTTTGTCCCAGGATACGGCGTGGAACTAGCTTTGAAGCGAACGGACTATATTGTCATTGATGATCGAGATGCGGAGCTGCGAGGAAACAATGAAGATATCCTGGAAGGCTCTCTGGAAGAATTGAAGGAGGACTCCCCAGATGACCTGCGGCCTCTCTCGGCCTCGGAGGTTTCGAGATTGGGCTGGAACACCGCAGCCTATGTTCGGGACAGCGAGAATCCACTTGATACTTTGATCAAACTTTCTCAAAACTTCCCCAAGTATTCATCGGCGGTGGCTGCTCACAACGCTTCTGTGCCGCTGAAGAGAGAAATCCGTGCAAACCGGGCACGGATGATCCCTGCCGGTGCTAACATGATGTGGATTAATGGTGTCCAGATTGACCAGCGTCAGATTGACGCTTTCTCCCTTCTTGACCATCTTCGTCGCGAGCGCAAGTTGATTGAGAAGTTCCAGGAACTGGGCTTCTCTGCCCAGGATGCTGTGAAGCTCCTATCACACCCTTTGCTGGCGGAAGCGAATGCAGATGAGTTTGCGCAAAGATACGACTATCGCGATGCATTGGATGGCGGCGAGGTGATCATTTGGTTGAACAATCTTGAGAAGGACTCTAGATACCAGGAGTGGCCTAGTGACCTGCAAGCATATGTCCAGAATGCCTACCCCGGCCAGTTGCCGCCAGTGGGCCGTGACTTGCAAAATGTTGTTGTTCCAGTCGATTTGTCAAAACAGGAGGATATGCTCTTGGTTCTCCAACAGATTTTGACTTTCATTAAGCGCGGAATTCCTGTCAGATTTGGTCTAGTACCTATGGCGTCGTCACCAGAGTCTTTTGCGCAGCTCAAAGTAGCACACTATCTTCAGGACACCTTTGGACTCTCCGCCTTTATTCAATATTTGGAGGAGGTGAGACTTGCCCTTTCGCTCACTGTTCATCTCTTTTTGATTGTATGCTAATCTCTATTGTCCCAGTCGGCTGCCAAGACGAAGGCATGGAGCCCAGATAAAGCCGTTTTCGCCTCTGTGACCAAGGAGCGGACGCCAAAGTCAAACAAGGAAGCAATGTCCCTGGACGATGTTCTAAAGAGTGAGCACTATACCGCCATAGCAGACCGTGCATGCAAGTACCAGGCTCGTTTGAGCCTTAATACTGATGACCCTCATTTCCTGGTCAATGGAATTCCAATCTCCCGTGAGGGCAACTGGATGCAGGAAATGAGCATGCAAATCAGCAAGGATTTGAAATTGGTCGTGCAGGGTATCGCTGAGGGAGTCTTCGAAGAGACCGCTTGGCTACCAGCGTTCTTCTTAGCGGCGGCATTTGAGAGACGCAACACTTTCTTGATGCCCGAAGACCCCAAGAGTGTGTTGATGAGGGATCTTGGCGGTGTCTTTGGATCGGATCCAGAAGTTCTGGCCGGCATTCCTCGTATTCCATCTAACAAGGACGTACTGGAGACCGTGCACACTATTGTCGTGGCAAACTTCGAGTCGGCAGATGGACTGAAGATATTGACTGATGCCCTGAGTCTCCGAAAGGCCCATGAAGAAGTGGAGCTTCTGTTGCTACACAGCGGTGCTGTCGATGCTGGAAGTGATTCTAATTTTGAAAAGATTGAAAAGGCGCTCGCTGAGGGTGAAAGCATCGACGAACTTCTCGCTACCCTCAGCTCACTGGATGATTCGTCCAAGGGCCCATTATTGGACAACACAAGTCACCTTGCCAGCCACCGGAACCTCATCGAGAATCTTGGCCTTAAATTGTCTTCCATCGCTCTTATCGTCAACGGCAGAGTCGTGGGACTATCACCAGGGCACGATATTAGTGTAGAGGAGATGGCTCAGCTCATCGCATATGAGCATGGCAAGCGCATTGATCCCGTCGCAAAGATCGTGAAGGACCTCAAGTTGGAATCAAAGGTCTCTACACCCCTTGAACTTGCTAAGCTTACATCACTGGTTGCTCAATCGACAACTTCAGATATTCCAGAAGGAATGTTTGAAAACACACCCGATTATAGAATGGATGTTTCTGGTAACTGGAGAACGGATCACTCTGTCATCACTGTTTCCAACTCTGAAGATCCTTCGATCAATGTTGCTGTTGTCCTTGACCCTGCATCTGAGGTGGCTCAGAGATGGCTTCCTATCCTCAAAGTTCTGTCTGAACTAGCTGGTGTCCAGCTGAAGATCTTCTTAAATCCTAAAGAGGAGATCAAAGAGCTACCCGTCAAGCGATTCTACCGCTATGTCCTTGATTCGGAGCCCACTTTTACCAGCGATGGAGCTCTATCGCGTCCTCAGGCTTCTTTCTCTGGATTGCCTGTTGAGGCCTTGCTCACTCTGGGCATGGATGTGCCCAGCTCATGGCTTGTCGCACCCCAGGACTCCATACATGATCTGGACAACATCAAGCTCAGCTCACTTAAAGCCGAGGCTAACGTGGATGCCATTTATGCCCTGGAGCACATTCTGATTGAGGGCCACTCCCGCGACCTTACTACTAAGACCGCACCACGCGGCGTCCAGCTCATCCTGGGCACTGAGCAAAACCCTCACTTTGCCGATACCCTCATCATGGCCAACTTGGGCTACTTCCAATTCAAGGCACAGCCAGGTCTTTGGCAGATCAATCTCAAGCCTGGTCGCAGTGAGAAGATTTTCGACCTTGAAAGCGTTGGTGGCTCAGAGGACCACCCACGAGCCGGTGAGAACAGCAAAGAAGTCACCCTGCTCTCATTCCAAGGCCGCACTCTCTTTCCCCGTCTCTCCCGCAAGGCAGGCTATGAGACAGAAGACGTCCTAGAAACAGGCCAGCAGTCCGGCTCGGCAATGGGCCTCGTATCAAAGGGCCTAAGCTTCGCTTCCGGCGTCCTATCTAGCGTTGGTGTCGGTTCCAAATCTTCAGAGAAGCACGCCGACATCAACATCTTCTCTGTAGCCAGCGGCCACCTCTATGAACGCATGCTTAACATCATGATGGTCTCCGTCATGCGCAACACAAAGCACACCGTCAAGTTCTGGTTCATCGAGCAATTCCTCTCCCCCTCCTTCCGCGATTTCCTCCCCCACCTCGCAGCCGAATATGGCTTTGCCTACGAAATGGTCACATACAAATGGCCCCACTGGCTTCGCGCCCAGACCGAGAAACAGCGCGAAATCTGGGGCTACAAGATGCTTTTCCTGGACGTCCTTTTCCCGCTGTCCCTTGAAAAAGTTATCTTCGTGGACGCGGACCAGATCGTCCGAACCGACATGTACGATCTTGTCAGCCATGATCTCCAAGGCGCACCGTACGGCTTCACACCTATGGGCGACTCGCGCACTGAGATGGAAGGCTTCCGTTTCTGGAAACAGGGATACTGGAATACCTATCTGCGGGGCCGGCCGTATCATATTTCTGCGCTTTATGTGGTTGATCTGAACCGCTTCAGGGAACTGGCAGCTGGTGATCGGTTGCGTGGACAGTACCAGATGCTTTCGGCTGATCCTAATAGTTTGAGTAACCTTGATCAAGACCTGCCGAATCATATGCAGCATCATATCCCTATCCATAGTTTGCCGCAAGAGTGGCTGTGGTGTGAGACTTGGTGTGCTGATGAGGATTTGGCATCGGCAAGAACTATTGACCTCTGTAATAATCCTTTGACGAAGGAACCTAAGTTGGAGCGGGCTAGGAGACAAGTTCCTGAGTGGACTGTTTATGATGATGAGATTGCTGCATTGGCGAAAAGGCTTTCGGCTGAGAAGGAGGTTGAGTTTATGGGGCAGAATGATGATGGTGAAGAACGGAAGGATGAGCTATAGATGGATAAACATTTGAAGTTCTTGTTTCTAAGCGATGTCTATTGTATGTAGCATAATGACTCAATTGGTGCTTAAAACCTCTTTGCTACTGTCTGGGGTTTTGCATATGGCCCAACTGGAGCCCAAGACTTTGGAAGCATTCCAATTTCTTACAAATAAGTTGCCCCATAGGACAATTGATCAGCCAGAATAGATATTCCCATTTTACATCGTGAGATACACATACAAAGTGCTAGTAATATTCGCGTCCGCATTCGATCAGGTCTTGATCTCGTTCACAGCCTGGAGAACCAGCCCCGTTACTCTGCCACCCCGTGAGTAGATTTCCTCTTTTTCTTCTTTTGAGAGTCGGTCGGGGCGTGCGTTTCGGTATCAGCACCATTCATATCCATAGACTTGTGCTTCCTCTTCTTCTTGGAAGAAGTGGGAGTGGACTCCGCCGCTTCAACTTCAGCTTCAGTTCCAGCTGCAGCGAGAAGTGATTTTCTTTTCTTCTTGTCCTTCTTCTCCTTCTCCTTCTTCTTTTCTTTCTTGGGGCTATCGTCGATCGCGGCGGCAGTCTCTTGAGTCTCATCTACAATATTTTCGGCTTCATCGCGTTCTCGTCGCTCTTTCTTCTTCTTCTCCTTCTCGGCCTTTTTGAGCGCCTTTCGCTCGGCTCTTCGTTCAGCCTTTGCGATGGCATCAGGTGAAAGTTGAGTTTCGGGTTCAGAGTCCTTTTCAAGTTCGGGGAGAGGTTCGGGTTCGGGTCCGGGTTCGGCAGTCTCCTCCACTTGGGAGTTTTTGTGTTTCTTTGAACTGACCTTTTTGGCGCTCTTCGGCTTCGAGGTGGCTGGGGAGTGCACTTCAACCTGCTCGTCTTCGGCCTGAACGGCCTGCTCGGAGTTCTGTTGTGAGGAAGCTGGTACCTTTGGCAATGGCTTCGTCTCTGGAGCGGGCAGAGAGGGAATGTTTGGAAAGATTCCAAGGCCATTGATGGGGCCAGATGTTTCCTTATCACCCTTGGTGTCTGCATCATTCTCATCTTCGTCGTCGTCGTCGTCGTCATTAACAAAGAATGAGCTCTTGGGGGTAACTGATGTCGAGCCCCATCGAGTACGCTTGTTTGCTGCCTCGACGGGGTCAAAAACGGCATCATGTTCGCCAGAAGCCCGCCTGATATCCACGGATCTTCTCATTTTTCGCCATTTGTCGGCGCATTGCTGGCGCGATCGCACATTTCCCAAGGCGTCGCTCACGACACCCCATCGGAGATGTTTTTCTGCCAACTCATACATGTCCTTTCCAGCGGCATCACCTTCCATGTCGTAGACAGTGTTCCAAACCTTCTGAATTTCGTCTAGTAGGGACCGCAGTTCTTCTTCGCTCCATTTGCCTCGGTTCATCTTCTCTCGATGTTCAAGCTGATTCTTCCAGCGCTGCGTGACATCGTCATCGCTGCGACCAACAAGCTTGGCAACGTACGCCCATTTGCCAGGGTGTTGGGTCATGAGTGAAACAAGCTCTTTATCTTGTTCTTCCGTCCATTCGTGCGGCTTCTGTGTTGAGTCCTGGAAGTGTCGTCGCATGAACCGATACAGGGATCGGCGGTCTCGATCGGGGACAAGCTCGTAAATTTGACTCCAAAACTCGGTCTTGGAGCATGCGTCCGCAGGACACGGCCAGTCGCCGCCTTCACGCTCGGAGTGCTGAATCATTTCGTCGAATTTCTTGTGATCGGTGAAGCCGTGAATGTTGCAGAAATTGACCTTGAACGACTCCAGTATCTCAACTTCCTCCTTGACGAAGAAGCCAACCTTCATGTTGTTCTTTCCACCAAGCCGAGACCCGCGTATCTTTTTGGGTTTCCCAGTGCTCGGGCGTTTGATTGCATCGGCCTCTTGGGTGGAGGTCTCTATGCTATTTGCGACAAGCTGTGAGGGTTCCTTTGCTGGCGCAGCAGGTTCATCGGGCTGAGCTTGAGCTTGTTCATGCTCTGCAGGATAGAGCGAGGGATCGCCATTTCCCACCACATTCTCAGTTGAACGGTGCTTGTGCTTCTTTTGCTTATTGTCGCCCGATTCTAAATTCCGCTTTCGCTTCTTCTCTCGAGCCGACTGGTCATGTTTAAGCGCAGAGGAAGCCAGATCAGTTGGTTCTGGTGCGGAAGAAGTGGGTTCCGTGTTATGGGACTTGCCCGACTTCTTTTTTTTGTTCGCGCCGTCCACGGTGGACTTGATTTTAGGCGACTGGTCAACTAGAGCGGATGAATGTAAGTAGGGGGAACAGTCGAAATTTCAATAATTTTTTTTTACGATACACACCCTCCATATTGACTTGGTCCGTCTCTTGAGACGAAGTTAATTTCGCGTTGTGTCTGGTTAAAGGGTTGGGTTGAATCCTAACTCCAGAGATCCAAAAATTAGGCTGGACCTCGAGGCAGAACTTGCACACCGCCCTGTTTCGGGGGGCCACCGCCAATTTAAAGTATAGTACGTGAGATAGTGAATGCAGGGACGGTTACATGCATGCTTCAAGGGTTTTCAATAATTTCAAGTATATATGAAACCCATGGATGTCCATATACATGATGCAAATGGTGTATCTTAACGTGGAAAAAAGGACATTTGAAGGGAGTGCATAAATCAAGAAGAAGAAAAACGCCAGCGCTCCACCTGATAGGTACTATTCATCAATGTTCAGGAATCAGCATGCACTCATTCGGCCTGGCAGTCCAGACTCCAGGCTCTTTCACATGTCCAGATTGGCCATTGCCCCCATAATGCCTGGAAGTAGGCATCATCTTCATTCAATGTTGGGCACCTGCGTCACCAACTGGCAAGGATGGCTTAACTGACTTGCATTGATCGTTCGAGTTGCTTATTCAATGGGTGGAATCGAAAAGTTGACAGGTCATATCAACCCATTCGCTGCTTACGTCTCACCCAGACTTCTTTATCATCCTCAGAGGTTTCATCGGCTGGTGGGGGATCTCGCAGCTCTATCTCCCAGATTTTGAGGTTGTAATTTCCTCGGTCTCCCTTGCCAGTGAAAAGATCGAACGACCAGCCATGCTTGGGACATGTAAGTCCGGTACTGAGTTTGATCCCGAAGTCTTCAATGTCAAACAGCTTTCCCTGTGATAGAGGGAATGATGAATGTGGACATTGCTGTTTCGACTGGTCAGTTTGCTTCGTACTTTGTATATAGTATCTTCCTAACACTTACGTGATCAACGGCATGGACTTTCCCTTTGTATTTGAATACAAGCACCTGTTCCTTCAGGTCGAATGAGAAATCTAGGTCCGCTTCTTCTGGAGCCAGAGGGTCTGTTGTTCCATCCTTCGGAATGCTGAAAGCTTTGCATTTCGGGGCCATCCGGTAGCCGTCGTCATTCTCGAGTTCCGGTAATGAAGAGACAAGGCCAATGCGGTGCCAGGCCTTGGCGGCCCGCTGCTGGATAAATGGATTCATGTCCTCGGGGTCATTTGTTTTGATCTTTGGTGCATTTGAAGGTCGATATTTTTTTCCTTCCCGGGTACCTGAATCCGAGCCTCGATTGCCGATGCCGATGCGAGCTTCGTTTGGATTACGTAAGTACACGACACTTTTTTTCTATACATTGGATCTCCTACGAACTGGTACGTACCAACTCCTGGCCTATCGCATACATGTAGTGTAATACTAGGTCATGGAAAACTTCGGTTTTGAAACCGATAAAACCTTGGGAGAGGTCTTGAATGGAACGGAATGCTTGTGTGATGCAGAAATTACTGTACATGTTGCTCGTGGTATACCATGAAGAAAATAAACCTTTCCAAATCCCAACTCCCCAAATGAAAGAACAGACTCATCTTATCAAGCTAACTTCATAGCGCGAAGGACTTTTGTGACCAGCTTCTTTTGATCCGCCGGGTTCAGGTTGCGCTCATCTGTTCCTTCCAAGCACCGTCCGATAGCAACCGTAGCCCGGACCTCGCTCTCCCCGGCATTTGAGCAGTTCACCCAAACTTTTCCGTTGCGCCCGACAGCCATTTCGAATCCTCCAATGCTCTCAAGCTTCCTTCCAAGCTCAGAAAGAACAACGAGGCCATCCACACCCTCACTGTCATCGGCAGAGGAAGAGCTAGCCCGAAGCAACCGGGTAGCCATACCCGTTGAGATATCGAAAACTGAACCACCGTTCAAAGGACCTAGACCACCCGGTTCTGACTTTCCAGTTGCCGGGTTAACACAGGCGATCTCGACGTCAGCGCCAGCGCCAATGCCCACGGACAAAACTCGTGCGTAGACCACATCGCCTTGCTTCAGCATTGGCCTTGTCTTTTTTGTAGCACCCTCGAACGACAATTGTCCCAGTAGAGCCTGTGCAGTGTGTGGTGAAACAATACAATGGAAGAAGTCGATGCTGGAGTGGTGAACTTGCGCGATGACCAGGTCGTTAACTGCGGGGATGTAGCGGCGATTGGAGAAAGAGAGAAGCGACACGGTATTACGCTTGGCATCAGTTGTCAAGATTCCGGCTTGCGTGGCCGTGAGAGAATGACTTGGTGATGTGGGCTTCGCTGAAGGTTGTGAAAGCAGGCGCAAGCCGGGTCCTACTTTGAGAGGGTTGGACTTGGATTTTGGAAGTTGATCTTTGGGCACTTCATCGCCAGGAAGTAATATGAGGGGGGTTGACATGATGGCAGTCAGGAACTTGAGAAAATTCACAGATTTATCAGTTAACGAAGAAGAGGGAAGGGAAATTCAATTGAAGTCTTTCAGCATCAAAACCACATTGGAGGGGAAAGCTATATGGACTTTGTCACTTTTGGATTTTGCAGAAAACTGCTTATCAGCCTATCACCACGTGACTGCTCTGACGATGCCAAATTAATCAGGCAATGGCACAATGGAATTTGAGGGTAGAGAATGAATTTCTGATGAAACTGCAGAGATAGAATCAGTGGATGAGATTCTCAATATATGTAATTCAATTCATCCAATAAAAAAAAAACCCCCTCATTTTTGCATAGTATGTCTGGAATATAAATGCTGGATACTGTACTCTAAACGTTCTATAGATCAAAGATTTACTTGTACCGCCACAATCGATATCGATAAGCACAAGCCACTTTCCCGCCGAAAATCTTCAAATTTTTCGGTTTGGTTCTCCCCCTCCATCGAGACATTTCCCTTCATCGGTCATTTTACCTGAACTCTCCTCGTCCATCGCGTCGCGGATTTCTTTCCTATATTCCAAATTTAGGGTTTTTTTCACATACATTCTTCAAAATGGGTGACTCAAACGGTGTCGCTGCTGAGGCAGAGCGTTTCGCTATCGGTATCTCTTTCGGTAACACATCCAGCTCAATTGCCCGTATCTCGCCTGTACGTTGAAATCTTGTTTGAGAAAACGAATTCGCAAATAATTAACAAACATCTATAGGAGGGCAAGGCTGAGGTTATCGCCAACGAGGAGGGAGGTATGTTTCTTGGGACCCTTACCCAACTTTCCAAGAGCCTAACTGACTGTCCATTTTTTTAGACCGTCAAATCCCCAGCATTCTTTCTTATATCGATGGTGAGGAGTACCACGGTACCCAGGCTAAGGCCCAGCTCATCCGTAACTCTTCCAACACCGTCGCATACTTCCGTGATTACTTGGGCAAGGAGTTCAAGTCCATCGACCCTACCCCAGCCCACGCCTCCGCCCACCCCCAGCAGAAGGAGTCCACTGTGGCTTTCACCATCCGTGACACCGCCAGCCAAAAGCCCAACACTGTCACCGTCTCTGAGATCACTACCCGCCATCTCCGCCGTCTGAAGCAGTCCGCCTCCGACTTCCTCGGCAAGCAGGTCAACGCTGCTGTCATCACCGTCCCCACCGACTTCACTGATGCTCAGCGCGAGGCCCTCACCGCTGCCGCCAAGGAGGCCGGCCTTGAGGTTCTCCAGCTCATTCACGAGCCCGTTGCTGCTGTCATGGCCTACGATGCTCGTCCCGAGGCCACCGTTACCGACAAGTTGGTCGTTGTTGCTGACCTTGGTGGCACTCGCTCCGATGTGGCCGTTGTTGCCTGCCGCGGAGGCATGTACACCATTCTCGCCACTGCTCACGACTACGAGCTCGGTGGTGCTTCCTTGGATCAGATCATCATTGACCACTTCGCCAAGGAGTTCATCAAGAAGCACAAGTCTGATCCCCGCGAGGACGTCCGTGGCCTGGCCAAGCTTAAGCTGGAGGGTGAGGGCACTCGTAAGGCTCTCAGCCTGAGCGCCAACGCTCAGCTGAGCGTTGAGTCCCTGACTGCTGGTATCGACTACGGTTCCACCGTCAACCGCACTCGATTTGAGCTTCTCTCCAACAAGGTCTTTGCTCAGTTCACCGGCCTGATCGAGCAGGTTGTCAAGAAGGCCGAGCTTGATGTCCTTGATATTGATGAGGTCATCTTCTCCGGTGGTGCCTCGCACACCCCCAAGATCGCCCAGCTGGCTCAGAACATCTTCCCCGAGACTACTACCATCTTGGCTCCCTCCACCAGCCTTTCCGCTATCAACCCCTCTGAGTTGGCCGCTCGCGGTGCCGCTTTCCAGGCCTCTCTGGTCCAGGAGTTCGACCACGAGGATGTTGAGCAGTCCATTCACCCCATGGTGACTGTCACCCCCCACCTCACCAAGGCTATCGGTGTTGAGTTCACCTCCGGTGGTGAGACTTCCTTCCAGCCTCTTATTGCCTCCCAAACCGCTCTCCCCGCCCGCCGCATCGCCCAGTACTCCGTCCCCAAGGAGGGCGGTGACGTTTTGGTCCGTGTCTGCGAGGGCTCCCGTGATATCAAGGTCACTAAGCCCGAGCCCAAGGCCAAGGAGGACAAGCCCGCTGACGATGAGGACTCCGACTTCTCCGATGAGGAGGATGAGGAGGAGGATGTCCGCGAGATTGTGTGGAAGACCGAGAGCCCTGTCGCTGAGCTTGCCGTGAAGGCCGTCAAGGCCGGTGGCAAGGTCGAAGTCATGATCCACGTCAACCCCGATCTGGGTCTCCAGATTGCTGTCCGTGAGGTCGGTGGCCAGACCGCCGTCCGTGGCGCTATCAACGGCTCTGCTTAGATCAATTTTTCCCCGTTTCATCACAAAATAAAATTCGATCTCATTATGGTCTGATGCATTCATGATTGATAGAGGCTTTTTGATGTTCCCGTCATTATCTCGTTGGAGTCACACGCTACCTTTGTTATCTCGCTTTATTTCCCCGTTCCATTTTCTTCTATATAGACTCTCAATTGGAATTGGCCAATGAACATGACTTATTTGAAAAAAAAAAAAAAGCATTCATTCATTTCGTAGTTCGCACAATGTCCGGAGTTAAGAAGAATTTCCAGCCTTCCTTCAATATTGGAGGTATACATTAGTACCCAGCAGGCGGGGACCTGGCTTTAATTCCCAAATGTACAAGTTTAGCCCTACCATATCAGACTATACTTCTGGAGTAGGTACCTCAATCTACTATGCATTTACTATAATTGATACATGTAGATACAAGCACTTGAGATAAACGATACATAATTCAAAGACTTCCAAGGGTTGGAGCCCTAGAGGCAATGGTCTTTAGGTAGATACCAGATGACTACTGTATGATTTGGAAGTTTCAATACACATTATATTACAACTGGTTGAGGTAGAGGCATATAAAATAGACATCAGATCAAAACAAACTCCAGCACGAGGAATCGTTGAAACAAGAAACTTGTCAACGATTCATTGGGAACGGAAATGACAAAATGTGAAACATAGATTGGAATAGATTAGGGTTTACATGTAACGATCGTGAGTATAGGTGTAGTTCGTGCCGCATCGAGAGAGTGGATCAAGGGGTGAATCAGAGGGAAAGAGAGAAAGTCATGTGAAACATAAAACCAAAGAGGCTAAAGCAGGTTGTGAGAGATACACAGACCAACGCGATGTATATCTCGGGGAGTATCAACGCAGAATGGAGAAAATATCATCGTGTACGGGTTGAAAAAGCATGTTTCGGAGTTCACGTTGAGAGTTTTGAGTAGCCAACGTGAGTGTTGTTGGTCGGTGTTAGACCAGAGATGGTTTGCGGAGAATGAATGCTCCTGGTAAGTAGCTTGTATTCCAGCAAATACGCATTTACGCGTAGTTAGGATCGGCAGCTGCGGCGGCCTCCTCTCTCTTCTCGCTATGAACACTGTTGGAGCGGGCAGAAGAGAAGAAACCACGACGACGCTCCTTGCGTCCGCTGTAACCGCTGCCATCTTTGCGGCCAACTGCACCACCGAGACAGTAGCATAGACACGAGATGAACAGCGTTGCACTGGCAGTCCACATGAAGGCGAAAGCCTTGACACCCAACTTTGCGCTCTGGCCATTGCTTTGGAAAGCATTGCGGCCCTGGACGAAGACAGCACTAGTTTGAAGATTAGTATAGGCCCGGGATTATACCAGGGATTGAGTAAGTAGAGAGAACGTACGTCATCAGACAGGTCGTGATCACCTGGAAAGTCAGAGCAAGCCACGCGAGGAAACCCGAGACGTAGCTGCCAATGCGAGTACACATAGCTAGCAGTCCGGTGAAGAGCGAAACAACAGCGAAGAAGAGTCCAATGATGATGAATGGGAACATGAATCGAGAGGTCAAGTAGTAGTGCTTAGTTCTAAGAATCATCATCATCAGTAACCGAACTACAAAGTTAAACTCGCTGTTTGAATCATGAAAGCCAGTCCAAGCTAGCACATACCCGATGAATTGATGGGGCACGCCAACGGTAGTGTTGAAATTGTCAGAGCGTGTCGGGTCGAATGGGAAATCCGGGTGTGAGCTACCACAGACATTCTTGCCGTTGGACACACTGCAAATATTCCAGAACGTCCAGCGTGAGACCGACGGAGCGCCTGTGATGGCGCTCGTGTTCGCTTGAAGGAAGTAGATTTCATTAAGCGGGGTTGAGTTACGAGCACCACCCAGCAGTGTGAGGAAGATGAGCAAGATGGAACTGGCCATGAAAAAGAGGCCCAAGAAGCCCAACGAAGCTCCTGTAAGCTAATTAGCATCGAATTGCCTGCATATACCTCAGTATATGTTGAGCACTCACTGCTGAAACCCATTGTGCGTAGTAGGTTCCTGTATCTCGGATTATTCAGTTATAGTTGAAGATTGAAAAGATTTTTTTCTTTTCCCGTTGCTCTGGGAATTGAGGGAGTATCGGAACTTAGGTTTGCTGCCCGATATTGTATATACTAGGGAAGGCGCGCAAGTCGAGCCCTGGAGGTAGAGGTCGAGGAAATGAGAAAACCTTTCTTTTTGCTTTGTGAAGTGGAAAACGACGAGATGAAAAAGAGTCACGGAAAAAGGAACAGTGATCTAAGAGCCGGGCCCATCCGGATTTTCATCTTGAACGGTGTGAGCATCATCGCACTCATAGATTGAACGAGGATCATAACGTCATGCTTGCACCTGATTTGCTGGGCTGTTTTGGGTTTAGCGTCCACTCTAAGTCGAGCTAGTCCTGATAAGGTAATCCTCTAGTCCATTTCAGGCCTAGCGTGGGCGGTCCATGACGAAGTGACGGACAGCAGCAACAGACTTAAACCAGCAAGCAACGTTGCAGCTCCCTGCGTTGTTCCCCTCAGTGACGTGGATCAACTCAAAATCCTTTCTGCCTACTCCTCCTTACCGAAAGTTTATACTGGCCCAATTTTTGTGGCGCTTCACATCATGGCAACTTGGGCATACCCCCCACTGCCCCCCGATCAAGTCAATCGGGAGGCCGATAGTGCGCTGGTACGTCAACTCCCAATCCTCATGGAGTGATGCAATTCGGTGGACCTGTCCCCTAGTGGATGCGGGATGCGGATGCGCAAAAATAGGGACCACCCTCATGGATCATATCGGTGTGGATCTGATGCCAACACATGTCTCTTTTTTTGTCCTAGGCCCGTGAACTCGAATGGCTCTTGCAATCACTTCAAGAATCCCTTGTTTCCCTTAAAGAAGGTCTTCAGGAGTGCGCGGCTCTAATCGCACCCCAAGAACCAGGTTCCACTCTGGTTTTATCATCGCTACGGTCAGAATATGTCAAGGGCTTCGTGACTCGCCTCGGCACGCAGGTGGTCAAAGGGGTATGTACCGACCATACCTGTTTTTGTAAAAACTCGAACCCTCACTTACCCTCGGCTGCTAGGATATCCAGCTTCGTCTTCCCTCTTTACCTCCTCCACGTGGCAGTCCTAGTACCCGGTTAACCCTGTCGCAATCCCCCGAAGCTCCTAGCTTGGTTCTGCAGCAGCTAGTGTCAGTGCGAAACCTAGTCAATCAGAGCTTGGACATTGTGGATGTGAGCACATATACGGGGAATCCGCTCGATGCAACATTTATCTTTAGCCAGCTGCATCTTCTACATGAGACAATCAGCGAGGCACGACAAATGCTGAAGGGGGATGGGGACGTGCGAGGCAATTGGTGGGATACCAGTGCTAGTGACAACGTGGGTTTCTTAACTTCTCCAATTCAAAAGATTTTTTATTAATCAATTCCAATTCCTAGATGTTCGATCCTCCGCCGCCGCCCTATGTTTCATTCCACCTTTCTATTGCAGATTCCGCGCTTGTTCTTCTCCTGCGCACATTGGAGAGCACCACAGTAACGCAAACTCCGTCAGCTTTTGCCACAGATATTTCCTTGACGGGATTCTCCTTGCGAGATCGGATATTTGGGAGCCATAAACGTGCGCATGATGAGGCTGGGGACGTGTTCATGTGGCACGGAGAAGAAGTGCGTGTCCGGGAAAAGGTTCGGGTGGAAAGCCAGGACCCTAGCTTGATGGCAGTTATGGCCAAACTGACAGCCTTGGAGCACGAAGTGATGCGGTGGGTGACCGCGTTGCGAGTTCTCATGGGTAACGAAGATACGGACTCTGGAGAGTGAAACATAGATTACTTATATAGATACCCTTCTACATGACTTCAGACCAGCCTACTACTACCTACTAGGTAGCTCCTACTATACGTGGATTATTTTCTGACCCGACTGAGGCTTTCCTATCTTACTACCTACTACTAGGTAGTTGCCGCCGCCCTTGTGCGTACAGAGTCAAGCTCACTTTCAAGGTAGATCTTTTGACCTCTAGTGGTGTCCCTAACATTCAAAATTTGGCTGTGAAGATAGGTTCCTAATGACGGACGGAAAGTAAGGAGAGGTCATATGAAAATGGTTAATTTTTTTTTTTTGGAATATTGAGTAAAAGACTGCTTATTGCCTTGTTGTCTCATGAATGGATACCTCAAGACTATTGAGCCTCTGGATCCTCGGGATCCTCTGTATGGAGTAAAGTGGATCAATTCATGTACAGCTCCACTGATAGATCAGCCAATCATCGACTCACAGTTTGTGATGGCTTGGCATCAATTTTCTGGAGCTGCGTGCCCGTTTCTCAACTTTTCTTACATCTTGTTATCAACCCGAGTGCTTCTCTGTCTTGGAAGCATGCTGTCTAGACCACCAACTCAAAGTGCAAGCGGCTCTCATGCCAGGCATTTATTCCGTCTGCGGGCTTCTCGCCCTGCTGGATCGCGACAATCCCGCCGAGCTGCGGGCTCGATTGCGCCCCTACAGCAACCAAACCTTCAACATTCACGGTCCGCCTCGGTCGCTACTTCGAATTTACGATCATGTAGGACGCAACTACCGACAACCACGGCGCTGAAATTGCCCTCTACACAACGACACTCTTCCACTGCAGCCTCCGCAGAACCACCGACACCCGAGTCTTCAGAACCCAACACGATTGACCAAATCAATGCCCTTATTGAGCGCATCGGCGAAACCGAAGAACTTATGGTGCAAACAATGGATGAGTTGGATTTATTGGCAGAGGAATCGGAAGGTGCTGAAGATCTCCTGGCTGAATTCATGAGCCACCGGGATGTTCACACGCCAGAGTCCTGGGTGAATTTGGTTCGCCAGCAATTCGGGGACACAGTCCCCGAGGGAGTCTTGAGCACAGATGAGATCAAGCTTTATACCAGTCTTTACGGAGAACCGATTGTTCAGGATTTTCTTGAGGAAACCATTGCCGAGGAGGACGAGGAGAACTCTGATCAATTATTCCGAGAGGATGGAGAAGGCAACTGGGAGGAGATCGAATACAAGGAGAGTAACGATACTGAGGCCGATTTAGATGTGGTATACGATATGGAAGTTGGAGTGGAGGAGAGAGAGACAATTGCCATGCAGCGAACCAGAGAGGTGGCTGAGCAGCTGGGCGGCGAGATCATGCTCGAGCAGTTTGAGAATGAAGCCGTCCCAGACTCTGCCCCAAGGACTCATCCTTTGACCCAGCTAGGCAAATCGCAAACCGATCCCAGCACGATCCACCCGCCGAAAGACTCGCTCACTGGCCCCATCTCTGTCATCTTGTCAGAGGTTTCAAACAGGCATGTCGCCGAGACTGCTCATCGTTTGTTCGGCGGGCCAGGCTTGCCTCACTCCACCACAACTCCGCCTCCACGCGCCCAGCTACCCCAACTTCCAATCCCGCTTCATGCATCGCAGCATCACATGGCAAACATGGAGGCCAATGCCTACCTCGCGGTTCTTTACCCAGGAATTTACGCTTCTGCGCTAAGTGTTTTGGTTGAAATACGGAAACGCCTTGGAACAGACTGGATCCGCAACCTCATCAGTCAAGAAGGCGGTCCAAATATTCTTGATGCTAGTGGTGGCGGTGCAGGCATAATAGCCTGGAGAGATGTTCTCCGTGCGGAGTATGAGACCATGGTTCCCGACCACCCCAAGGAAGCGCCGATTCCCTACGGGCGATCGACGGTTTTGACAGGCTCTGATGCGCTCCGTCTCCGCGCAAGTGCCATTCTTGAGAACACAACTTTCCTTCCTCGGCTACCTAACTACCTCCATGTACGTGAGAAGCCCACTCTAGAGGACTCGCGTGATGCTCCTAAGCGTAAGCAATTCGACGTCATCATTGCACCTCATTCTCTCCTCGGGTTTGAAGAAGAATACGAGCGTAAGGAGTACGTGGAAAACCTATGGGCTCTCTTGAACCCCAATGGAGGTGTTCTCATTCTTCTGGAGAAGGGACGCCAAAAGGGTTTCGAGGCCATTGCCGGCGCCCGTGAGATGCTTCTCAAACGCCATATTGCTAGCCCCGGTTCAACAGAGTATACCAACTCCCTCGAGGCCCCCGATGAAAATGAACCTGTGGTCAAGGGAGCCGGTATGATCATCGCTCCTTGCACCAACCACTCAACCTGCCCCATGCACAATCCTGCAGGCCCATCAAAGGGCCGCAAGGATTATTGCCACTTTGAGCAGCGTTACATCCGACCCCCATTCCTGCAGCGTATTATGGGAGCCAAGGACCGTAATCACGAGGACATCAAATACAGCTACCTTGCCGTGCAACGCGGTGTTGATATGCGACAGGAGTTAGGCATTAAGCAGAATGCTGAAGCCACGGACGCCGCTTTTGAAGGGTTTGAGGACACTGAGGACCTGTCTAAGATCCATCCTCTTTCACTTCCGCGTGCTATCTATGCCCCTCTCAAACGCCGTGGTCATGTCATTTTCGACCTTTGCACCCCGGCTGGTAACATTGAACGCTGGACTGTTCCGCGCTCTTACAGTCGTCAAGCCTACCGTGACGCTCGGAAGTCAACGTGGGGCGACCTCTGGGCACTAGGAGCTAAGACCCGGATCCCACGCAAGCTGAATCTAGGCGACAAGCATGGCGAAGGCAAAAAAGAGCGTCTCGCTCGCCGGGCTGCAAACAAGGCAGCTCGCGAAGAGGAAGCAATGGATGAGAATGAGCGTGACGAGGAAGAAGATGAAGACGATGAGCTTGATGAAGGACGAAGCCGCGCAGATCTTCCGGAGCCAACTCCACGGAAAAAAGGCCAGAATATCCCGAGCTGGAAGAAGCACAACGACAAGAAGAAGATGAGACAAGCATTGAAGAGACAGGTCGACGCTGATAATACTCTCTAAAGTGAATTCATTGGCGATCTGAATCGATCTAGCCTAGCATTGGTTTAATGGCGCATTTGATATAACTGGGTGATTTTGGACTACTTTGTACTACTACCAGATTATGGGGATTGGGATTTGATTTTGTATTATAGATATCATCTTCACAACTATGTAAAACTGTAAATACAGTCTCTTCACTCTTGAATTCGAATATGAATCCAACATCAATTGGATATTCATTTCCAAGGTTTCAATGAATGTTGGCTTCGAGGTGCCAGCACTAATACCGCCCTTACGCCAGGGCTACATACCTTCTTTGCATGTATAGAGTTGCTTTAATGAACTGGTAGCACTGAAAATTATACAAGCTTTTTTTTTTTGCTGCTTCCAACTGTTTGCCCTGAGAAGAAATTTCATTCGGAAGATTATAAGATTGGGTAAGGATTTTGATCGAAATACATTTGGAGGTCTGTAGATGGGCTTTACATAGTACTATGTATTACAGACAATCTCTGTATGATCATATGTTGTATGGCCATTCTGTATGGCAATCAAAACAAAAGCATCATTCCAACCAGAGCAACAAAAATCGCCTTCCGTGAGCTAAGTCCAGGAGTAAATATAGCCAGAAAGGATCAAAGACTCGAATTTCTCTCTGAAGGTTCACACACGCAATGCTTGTCCCCGAGAACAAGTGATGAATGCATCCTCCCAGCAGCCCCAGAATAGAAGCAATCCCTTAATCAACTAACACTCCTGCCTGGCATTTCACACGAAACAAACTGAGGACTTGAAGGTCTCGCTATTCATTTCGAACGTTTGGAATGTGCGCTGCATCGGGGCGTGGAGTGCTAGACTTGGGATAGTTTAGTTAGATTATAGGCGAAGTCATTCTCACTGGAATTAGATCTTCACTGTCATGCCAACTGAGCACGAGTGGGTGGATAGGTTGGGGAACGATCGTCAAAGCCCAGTGAGGCATATCACCGTCTGCAATACAATCTGAGTTTGAGTAGGTAGCTTATTGAATGTTGCCCTCCCAGTGGATTGGCTGTGGAATACTGGCCAGTCGATACTATGATCAAGTATCGAAGCCTACAATTCGGTAGTCGTCGGTAAAGCAAGAACTCAGGTTCGAGTTCACTGCGCAGCCATACTCTTCCTCAACTGTCTCTCTCGTTGGGTACTCTGCAACTCCAACCGATCGACAACATACTTGAGTCGCTCCTTTTTCTGGACCAGCCGTCGCAGCTCCGCCGCCTTGGATGCCGCGTTTCCAGCCGACCCTGTCAGACGACCCCGCATTGCCGCGCTGCTTTGGGATTGGGATCGGTTTGCTGACGGTCGGTTTTCCGAGTTCGAGGATAGACGCCCTTCTTGAAGATCACATTTTGCTTTCAAGCCTTGTTCGCGACGGGCTAGCTTCTCAACGTGGTTCGAGGCAAGGGAGAGGAGGTGGGCGATGCTGGGTGTGATTTCATCTAGGAGGGATTGCTGCGCTTCGCGTAGAGTTGGTTCTGGAAGGAGCTCAAAGTGCTATAAGAAAAAAAAAACTTGATTAGATTTGAGTTCTCATGAAGGCGGCGTTGAGTACCTACTCGCGTGGTTTGGAGAACTTTGCATAAGCGGGGAAAATCGTTCACACCTTCATCGAGGGTGGTGATGGAGTTATCCAGGAGCTGCAGCGACGATTGGAGGGAAGACACAGAGGAGGCCAGAGAGGAGGCCATTGTGAGCGGTAATGGGAGTTTGCAGGTAAAATTGTGTAGTTACTAAGTCTAGTTCAACAAAGGCGATACAGCTCAGTCAAGTCGAGTAAACAAGGTCGGGACCGATCGGGTAAAGCGGCCATGACGCCAAGCCTAAAGCGGCAAGGCGTCTCGGACCGGGCAAACTCCAACTTCACATCTCCTCTTCCTTCTGCATCACCACCCCCGCGAACTCCGATTCCACATCTTCGCACCATTTTCACCATGTCTCTCCTCGGAAAGAAGTTCCCCGGCGCTCTCGGTAAGCCATCCTCGAATACGATGACCCGAAGACGAGTCCACACATCTAGCGCTCAAGACTAACACATTGCTTCACAGCCAAGCCTATGACCCCCTTCTTCGCTGCCGGTACGCTCCATGAACTCCATTGAATCCACCTCGATTACCTGAATCCGAATTGATTTCAAATCCTACGTTTCAATCGCGGCTCCCGATCGAGCTTCTCACCCACGAAGTCATGTTCTAATAAGGTCTCCTTTCCAGGTATCATTGTGCTGTACGGTGTCAACTCTCTGCAGAACGCTCTGTCCAACAGTGAGTTCCCCAGCGCATCATGAAACTCAGCCCAGTTCGACTTGTCCGGTTATGGCACCGTGGTGGATTCTGTGTGCAGCGCGCCAACCGATAACCTGTTCAAATACAACATGTTCGAAACACCCAACTAACCTTGGTTACCTTTTCTCTTAGCTGCCGAGTTCAAGAACGACCCCCGCAACCCCAACGCCAAGTCCGGCAAGGCCGACCACTAAATTAGCTCTGGACGACGGGCTGTGATGCCACCGGGTGTGGTGTGAAGCAGGAGCGAGTCGTGCAGTTGGCCGCGGAGGTGTGAACGGAAACGCTGTTGGTCTTCGGTTCCGACTCGCAACTTTGTGTTTATGTTCGCGGGCAGTTTGCCCTCTGTCCAAGCATATAGAATATACCCTACAGGGTGACTTGGATCAATTCACAAACTGTACCACTACTGATTACTGTTCTTGGATTCTGATGCTGCCACATATGACAGGTCAATCTTTTCCGCATACGAACCTTGGAAAGCTTGGTTTATCTAGAACTGTAGTCGCTGTTAAATGGGTCTTTTTGAGTATTTGGATGATGACCTCGAGACTATGGTAGCCGTAGGGTCCGGACTCCACGGTGCCAGGTGCACTTGTACCCTCAAAACAAAACACTGATCACTCAACATTGGTTCTTCCAACAGTGGGATAATATTTGAGATGAAATTCAAAATACATCAAGAGTATACAGCAATTAAAGTGTAAACTTGACATTGTTTCTTAGTTTCTATAGTTGCTTCCATATAAGTTTCACCATTTGGTGGGAATCTCGCGGGTAAACGCTAAACCCGATTGGGAGTTTTCGCCAACTCCGCCTGGAAAGAACATCGCGACTTTCGTTCTTCCCCAGCTCCTCTATCTTTTGCTCAGAACCCACGTCACAATGTCCAAGGCTGCTTCCCTGTTCCACCCCAAGAGGCTCAACCTCTCTGGGTTTGTCAACACCCGCCTGATTCGGGACAACAACAAGCGCATGGCCTTTGAGGAGACCGAGCCCGAACGGTAAGATTTCCTGCACCTGGGCTTGTACCTGCATTCCACTGGAAAAGCTCCTTCTTGAGAACCCAATTGATGAGAAATTGATCTAACCTTTCCTGGGACTGTAGCCAAGCCCTCCGTTATATGATCCGCAACACCTCCCTCCCCGGCCGTATCCGTGCCCAAGCCCAACTCCAGTTGTCGCAGATGCATGCCTATACTCGCCCAACACAGATTAAGAACCGCTGTGTGGCATCAGGTACTGCTCGCAGTGTGTTCCGGGACTTCAGAATCAACCGGGTAAGTGAAACTTGTGGATATTATATTGAGAGAGATGGAGAGAGAGCTATACTGACTGATTTCTGCAGTACCAATTCCGTCTGCAAGCTCTCTCTGGTGAGCTTCCTGGTGTGAAGAAGGCCAGTTGGTAATTTTGGAGACTACGATTACTGGGGTTAGCATGAAAGTTCTGGGTTGGCCGGCGTTTTGTGTGCTTCACTTGAAGCTTGTATAGTATGCACATACAATATCATTTTGCAATATCTCTATCCACCTTCACTCTTACTCTCAACAGTATTCACTGGTACTAGATTCAAGGCTTCTACCACCTATTGCCGTTTTGCAGCCTGCAGTTCGCAGTTTGTCTTAGTCAAGACAAGTAGTGCCTTGCCTCTCTCACTTGTCTGTTTTCTTCTTTCTTTCACTTTGCTTATCTTCTCTCCTCTGCACCGCTGCACCTCTGCACCTCTACTCTCAACCCTTCCCTCCACTACCCATCACATAGTATTCTTGTCACAAAGCTTTAGTCTGTCAAGATGTACGTGTGGCGGAATAAGGATTTGCCTCCTGACCCTGAATTCCCTGCAAATCTGAAGGAACTGGGGTATGTCAATTTCGTGTTTCTACGTGGCTCAAATCACGACTCACCAAATATCACAGGTACTTTGTCAACGATGATGACCAGATTCGCCAAATTGCCCACCCGGAAGAGGGATACAGATACAAAATCAATCGCAATGACCGCGTCAATGTCAAGTTCCGCGAAGCCCTCAATGGTGAATATCCAACCTTTCCAAATTTGATCAAGGACTAATTAGATACTAGAGTGTATTCGGGCCATTATCCTCGATCGTCTGAAGGATGCTGGCTTGCAAACCCTACGTCTGCCTTTTGGAAGACAGCGAGGCGAGAGCCATGTGCCAATCCTCGCAACGCCGAATCTTGACGAGAAGTCCCGCATCATCGTTGTCTTTGGTGATATTGTCCAAGATCTCGGGGTCTGGGCTCACCGGTCCATCCACAATGGTATTAACATTGGATCGGCAGTCAACTTCACCAAGGCTGTGCTCGGTGATGGAAAGAATAGGGATATCGGTCTCGTGATTGCCAACACCGGACAACTGATCTGGCACTGTGCATTGGAGTGTGCTGTCAGCCAGCAGAGCTGGGATGCAGCCCCTCGTCCGTATGCAAACTGGGGCCAAGCTACAATGAGTTGGCGGAACAAGATCCCCAACAACGAACACTGGGGAGATCATATTGACTGCGTATTTGAGAATGTCTTGTGGCCACATGTGGGGAAGCACACTAAGATCGACATCATCGGCGTGGCGCAAGGTGGAATGGGTGTCATTAAGCATCTCCAGAGCCACTGTAAGTTCTTCATTCCTAGCGAGATAAAGTTTCAATCAACTGATATTTGTTCACAGGGAACGTCTGGAAGCCTTATATCTCTGGCATCTGTTTCGCTGACCCACTGCAATCCACCCTTTCTGACATCGATATGGGTGGCCTTACAGACCCTTCGTCGTTTACTTCGTTCCTCGCATCACGTTCACGCGCCTACCTTCTATCTTCAACTCCTCTCGGCGAACCTATGGCTGGATACCGACTGCATGGCTGTAACTGTTATTCCTCGGGCGAAGCTCTCAATTCCGAGTGCATCATTACTGCGTCTTGGGAGGATATGCTTAAGTGGCTTGACAAGCTTGCCAAAGATCCGGAATACTCGGAGCATGTCATGCTGCGGGCCGAAGATATGGATGATGAGATGTGCCGTATGTTGGACCAACAGGTGCAGAATGCAAAGGAAGACAAGGAAGATGAAAAGAAAGGCGACAATGAAGATGACGAAAAGGTCGCAGATGTTCAGTCCCGCCAGTCATTAAATGAAAATGTTGAGGGTACGCTGGATGATAAGGTTGCCAGTGCTCGGGTACAGCAGGAAGTGCCATTATCGGAGATGGCCAAGACTGAGATCAAGTCGGGAAGTGATGTGGAAGAAAGTGAGAAGCCGGCGGTGGAGACGGCTCAGCCCGTGAAGGAGATCATCGAAGCTACGGCTCAGGTGTGATGCCTGGGGTCTATGGTGCTGTTGCCTCCAGCACGAGGTTGACCGTGTGGAGTTAACCTTTATGGGATTTCGAATATCTTCTGGGTTTTTTATGTTTTATGTTTTATGTTTTATGTTTTATTCATTATTTGTTTTTTGCGGGGTTGTTCGGGCCAAAGAAGCGCTTCATACGCATAGCGACATTACATATGGAATATAGGGATAAAGACAATATCGATATTCTAAAATACCTGGATCTCAAAGTTGGTTCTCCTGGAGATTCATGTACATCTAGTGCATAGAATTCTGGAGTGCCGGGTGTATTCCCACATGTAAGACCAGAACTTGCAAAATGTTGGGTTAGTTGAATCCATCGCCAAAACACGACAAGATCATGCCATGCATACTACATGTATGCCATGTCAGTAAGTGAAGGTTTGCGGTTGCATTAAGCATTGCTGAATATATGTTGATCAATTTTGCAGTTGTACTAGGCAACAGTTGGTGGGAGATGGCGCAATGAGCATCTGATCCTTGATTCGGTGACACAGAAGCAGGACAACTTAACCCCGCAACTTCTCCTCACCATTATTCTGCTTCTTACCTTTTCATCATATGTATTCCAGAGAGAGAAAAATGACGAAGATCAGCTTCATTCCGACGAGTTCGAATGAATTCTCCGACACAATTTGAAATCAGGCGTGGTGGGTTTTTACTCGATGGAAACTTGAATGCATGGCCCCTCATTTATCGGAATCCGCCGCAGCAAAGACTCAAGTTCCAGGAGGACCGAGAGCACAAGTCACCAAAAAGTGAGCAAGATTCATAGGCTCAGCAAGTGCCTCGGAAGGAAAATGATCCAGACCGTTCAAAAAGGAGGTTTTGATCGAGTAAAAGAAACTCGGCGGAAGAAGGTGGAGAGTTTTGATCGAGTAAAATTTGCTGATAAAAAGCCAGAGAGATAAGGCGGTTGCCCGAGGCCCCAACGTTCATCGGAGGTGCCCGATGTGTTTCCTCTTTACCGTCTTTACCGTCTTTACCGTCTTTCTCTCGTTACCGGGATATTTTCCATGTACCGTCTTGTTCGCCTCTCCGAAATTTCTCGTTGCGGTGAACCGTGGTTCAATCTGCAATCCACTCCAACATGGCGATAAAGAGCATATGGGGCAGGGGTAATTGTGTCGTATTCAAGAAACGCGATAGGGACAAAAAGTGAAGGTATTCATGAAGATCTGGAACTTTTGCAGGGGTTTAAAACAAGAATGCCGCTGACTGGTCCGTGTCGCAGTGCGATTAGCCACTCATTTGCCAATTATCGAGTAATGGCAACAACCCTCATACTTCCCGGGAACTCTCTCAGTGGGTATCGTGAAAGTGTCCCATTTCTTTACCCGCTTGAATTTTCTCTCGGTGGGTCAGTTTTCCCCCCGTATGGGGGTGGTCCTTGTTATTTATATCTCCCTCCAGTGCCCTTATCTCGGGACTTTTTGTTCTTCTTTTTCTTACTATAGATAAGAATCACTTTGACACCTGCTTATTCCCGGCTCGAGGTCCGATTTCCCTTGCATCTCTTCAATCTTATCTTCCTATCGCTCCCTCTCGATTGGTCCTCTTATCTTACACTTTCATCCTTTATATACTTTCCCCCACCCTCGCTCCACCTTAGTCTACTTCTTATTGCCGCTATCGACTTTTAGTCTGGCATATTTTGTGGACTTGGAAAGCACTTGAGAAGAAAGAAAAAGAAAAAGAAAAATAGCTCCGAGCTAATCATGGCCACTGCTAACATCCCCTCCATTGCCGTGGTGGCTTCATCGCGTGCCGTTATCTCCGGTCGTCTGACCTCTGCTACTGTGGTCATCTCTCAAACCACTGGGAAGATTACCGCCGTCTTTGATTCCGTCATCCCGGCATCGGAATTCCCCGAAGGCACACCTTATACCGATTACTCGCCTTATGTGCTTTTGCCTGGACTGGTCGACGCTCACGTTCACCTGAATGAGCCTGGCCGTACCGAATGGGAGGGCTTCTACACCGGTACCCAGGCTGCGGCCTTTGGTGGTGTGACCACTGTTATTGATATGCCGTTGAATGCTATCCCTCCCACTACTACCGTGTCTGGCTTGAAGGAGAAGCTCAAGGCTGCTCAGGGCAAGTGCTGGGTGGACGTTGGTTTCTATGGTGGTATCATTCCCGGCAATGCTGGTGAACTCCAGGGTCTTGTGAATGAGGGTGTTCGTGGCTTTAAGGGTTTCCTGATTGACAGCGGTGTAAGTAATACCAGCCACTTCTGCTTTTCCTCTGGATTTCCTTTCTGTTTCCTTATATCTAATCATCTCTCATAGGTTGATGAGTTCCCCGCTGTTACTCAAGAGGATATCAAAAAGGCTATGGTTGAGCTGGCAGATGCGCCCACCACGCTCATGTTCCACGCCGAAATGGTCCCGCCTATCACCAAGTCTGTGGGCGATGAGGTCCAAAGCTCCGATCCTCCGGCAGCCCCGGCTGGCCCACTGGAAGCCTACTCGACTTTCTTGGCCTCTCGGCCTTCAGAGTTCGAGACTTGTGCCATCGAGAGTATTATCTCTATGGCTCACCTTGCCCCCAACCTTCAGTTGCACATTGTCCACCTTTCTGCAATGGAGGCTATTCCAATTCTGCGGGAAGCCCGTGCTCGGGGTGTGAAGATCACTGCTGAGACCTGTTTCCACTACTTGTCACTGGCCGCTGAGCAAGTACGGGACGGTGACACTCGTCACAAGTGCTGCCCGCCTATCCGCTCCCAGTTGAACCAGGATGGTCTATGGGAAGAGTTGGAGAAGCACACTGGTGACGGTGTCATCAAGACCGTCGTCTCTGACCACTCCCCCTGCACTCCTGAGCTGAAGCAGCTTCCCTCTCACGTACCTGGTGCCATTAAGGGTGCCAAGGAAGAAAAGGGTGACTTCTTCTCTGCCTGGGGTGGTATCTCCTCCGTTGGTCTGGGTCTGCCCATTCTCTGGACCGAGCTCAGTCGTCGCAAGGGTCTGACTCCCTCCCCCGAGGACGTGAACACCAGGAACGCCTTGCAAGATGTCGTCCGTCTTTGCTGCGCCAACACCGCCGCCCAGGTCGGTCTGGAGACCCAGAAGGGTGACTTGCGCCCTGGTTTCGACGCTGATATCTGTGTCTTCGACGACTCTGCTGAATGGACCGTCGAGCCTAGCACCATGCTCTTCCGTAACAAGTGCTCCCCCTACCAGGGCCGCACCTTGCGCGGTATGGTCCGTGAGACTTGGCTTCGTGGCGAGCGCATCTTCAGCCGTGAGGACAACTTTGGCGAGAAGGCCCCGGCTGGAAAGTTGCTCCTTGAGAAGCGCGTTTGATACCCTTCTTCGTCCTTTTATCTTTTTTTCTTAAACCCCATTTGTTCATATTTCCTGCATTCTCCTTTGTCTCCATTGAGACAAGTTGACTTTTTGGCAGCCTCGGCCTTTTTCCCTCCTCTTTGACATCCTTGCATCTCGCTCTCGGTCTTGCGCTGTGACGAGCACTAATGACTGGACAGCATTCATACCCGTTAGAGTAATGACAGCGCGTTGTAACTTTTGAGATAATGAAATAAAAAATTATTCAGATCATGATTGAATTCAACTGTAATGGGTATAATACACATATAGTACGTCAACTGGATATCTACTATACAAAATGGAATCTCATCAAAATAATTAGTTTTCCGTCTGATCTTGCTCTTTCTCCCATTTCTCCCTTATCCTCCTCCTTACGCCACCATTGACTCCCTTCCCCCAAATCTTCTCTTTCTCGCCAGCAGCACCCATCATTACTTCATCGCCATCATCGCCATCATCGCCATCATCGCCATCGTCATCTCCCTTCACGAGCCCAATAACGATTTTCTTCTCCTTCAGCCTCCTCTCCTTGGTCCTAGCCTCAACAACCTTTCCAAGATAAACAGCATACAGAACCGACTCCGCAATGGCAACAGCCAATGCCGCAAAGAAAGATAAAAGTACCCGCACAGCCTCCGACGCGCCAACAGCATCCCGAGGCTCCATCCCATCCACAGTCGGACCCGTTAATGATGAGAATATCGACGCCAGAATACCTGGCATGCCGAAGCTGGTTAGAGCCCAGTAAACAGCGAATCCGGTGATGAGGGTTGAGAGGAAGATATTCAGCACTAGGGAAGGGGTGAGTGTGTCTTCGCTGTATGGGCTTCCATCGGACTTCGTTGCGTGTGGGTCGGCATGGTCGGCGTTCGGTGTGTAGGTTGGGTTTAAAAGGCGTTGATAGGCTTGTTTATCGGCCAGTGCTTGAAGACGAGCTTTTGAGGCGAGATACTCGGCGGTCTGCTTTATTAGTATAATGTGTTTTGGCTTTGGGTGTGGACTCCGGCCCGGAGACTGTGATTGTAGATGGTAGGAAGTGCTATCGTGTCGCTTGGAAGAAACATACAGGTTCAGGTTTTCTAGGTGGAGGTGGTACATATACTTTTGTACCGCGCAGAAGAGCGCTAAGAATTGTAGGGCTATTCATTGATATCCCGCCATCCGTGGCATTGTATTCGGCATCATTCTGGAGGTGTTTAGAGAGGCGAAGGAGCTGGCTGTGTGCAATTGGCCCCTGGAGATCCAGCGTGGTAGGGAGGTCGAGATCTTTTCGGTGGGAAATTGGAACGGCTTCCAAAGCCGCCAGAATGCGATCCGTTGCAACCAAGAGAACCATTGGAATTATGTGCTTGTCATCGTAGAGAAGTTTGGTATTCATGCAATGACGGAGCTGCAGCGGAGAAACGAGCGGAAAGAGAAGTCGCGGGCAGAATACAGAGACTCAAGCTCTCCCCACTCTTGGGATTCTTTGCAACTCGCACCACCTCCAGCCATGGCAGACTCCAAATCCAAGGGGTGAGTATATTGATTTCCTATTGAATCTTTCCATTGAATTTGGATACCCTGATTCAACCCCCCAATGCTTTTGCCCAGAGCCCGCTTCCGTCATAAAAAGTTCCCAAACTAACCCCTCCATCGCAGCTCGGTAACAACACAAACCAACGCGCGGGGAATCCCCGTTGCTCCCTTCGTTGACGATGTGGCCGATTATGTCTCCTCACGCGAAGAGGTTGAGCCGACCCTTCGCCGGTTCCAGGAGATGATCTCCAAGTACCAGTTCATGGAAGTGAACAGTCAGCGCCGCGGGCAGGGACTGCGCGATAAGATCCCGGATATCAAGAAGACATTGGAGATGGTGCAGTTCTTGAAGCTGCGTAAGGAGGTCAGTTCTTATCTCTTGGTATTCATGTTGATATTAGCACTTGGCTTAATCTTGTTTTCTCCAGGCAAACCCCGACTCCGACCTCGAGACCAACTTCGAACTCAATGATACCCTCTACGCCCGGGCTTCTATCTCCCCCGCTGACACAGAGGAGGTTTACCTCTGGCTTGGCGCTAATGTCATGTTGGCTTACCCGCTGGAGGAGGCCGAGGCTATGTTGCGGGAGAAGCTTTCGGCGGCGGAGTCGAGTCTGTCTAATTGTGATGAGGACCTGGAGTTCTTGCGCGAGCAGATTACGGTATGTTTATCCTGTGAACGAAAGGTAAATCAGAAGCGAAGAAAAAACTAATTGTTCTATAGACATTGGAGGTCGCCACGGCACGTGTGTACAACTGGGATGTGGTTCAACGGCGGAAAGAGAAGACCGATGGGAAAGGAGATGAATCAGAGAAGTCCCGGCCTGGTTGATCATTGATGATTCTGATCGATTATATCTATGGAATAAAATGACAAAATCAAGACATCCGAACAATTCACGGAAAGTTGACCTTCCGTAATCATAAATGCATCCGTTGAAATCATGGTTGGTTCAAAGCAGTACAGTGCTTGCATGTGCGGATGCCATTCGCTTCATTGGTGCTCAAACCCTTTCTGTGCCAGTTGAGAAGACCTTCGGATTTGGTCGTGACCAAATTGTTGAGGCGATCAGGTATTTAGCTAGCGGCCAGCACACATTCAAATTCAAAAGGCAAGGTTTCAAATGTTGCATCGAGTCACAAGTGTAACAGTCAACTGGTGGATACATACTACGCTTCAATGTTGTGATTCTACCACATGTGCGGTTGATAACATACTAGTCAATTGCCTGCAGTGAACCTCCAGGGCTAAATACATAGTTCTAATCCTAAGCAAAGGCTCAAAATACCTAGGATGAAATCACCAAACAGGATACCAGACAGGAACATTGAATACACATGTGGTGCAGATATACCACCTGTGTACAATATTAGGGATCGTTGATCTGTAATCTTTGGACTTCAACCTTCCAAGGTTTATTTCAAATACATATTTATGATATTCCTCATGAAAACATTTGAAGGCCAAGTTCGATCTCAGAAGCTGAGCACATTATATAGATATGACTGGCTTTCGGTAGTTAGAGTAAACTGCACATCAAAGTTTCGGTGTCCCTTCCAAGTTATTCGGACTAACTTGAGCTGAGCATCTCATCCTGCGGAGTAAGTTGGGACTCCAAATTATCGGGAGCGAAGTCCAAGAACTGCCAAAAATCGCACTCCAGATCATTGGATAGTATGGGAAGAACATCCAAGTCACCAAATCCACCATCCAAAGTGTTAGAAAGAGACATTATTGTGTTCTCAGAGGTGATAAAGTCCGAGTCATGCGCCGGGGACATGCTGGTTTTGCTTCCCTGCAAAAAAGTAGGCAGAAGATCAATCACCTTGCTTTTGAGAGATTTGCTGGTATCCCAAGTTCTCCTCTCATCATGAGTGGACTCTTGGGCTAGTTTCATCAAGGCGTCCAAGACAATAATACTTCGTTGTGTAGATGATATTTGTCCCTGAGACGGAGTTTCCACAAATGGTTGGGCCATTCGAGAATCAGCTCGTGCTCTGAGCAACTCAATGGCTTCTTGAATCTTGTCTTTGGCGATTACTCGACTAAGGTCACCTTCTGATCCAGCTGAACTATCAGATGTGGATTTGGAGAGAAGATCAATAAGCAGCACGGCAGCAGCATTGAAGAGTTGAACATCACTGATCGATAAGGTACCGCAGACAGTGCATCGTGTTTGAACTTGAGCACTGCTACTAATGATATTTTGTGCGAGAATCTTGCAGGTAGAGCGACTTGTAAGAGACATGTTTCCTCGATAAAGTCGTAGGAATAGGCCCCAGAGTTGTTGTTGTAGCATCCATTGTTGCACCGGTGCCGCTGCCAAGGGACCTGTTGATGTGAGACCAACTATACTCCCAGGTCGGAAGTGCGAGGGTAGTTCAATCAGAAGCTTCTCGTATTTCTTGTTGAGTTCATTCTTCCAAGCTAAAGCTTCGGCTTTCTGGTGTGGTGTTTCAGATACGGAGTTGCGAAAATCAACAGAATCTCGTACTAAAGCAACAATCTGGAGGGCGTGGACCGTATAGGAGAGCATCGTGAATTCAGATCGAGGTCGTTCTGTTATAAAGTGATCATTGTGAAATTTATCCATGTCATCGTCATTAATATGCAGCGGCATGCGAGTATTGAACTGAGAGGGACGAATGGTATAGTATCCAAGGGCATGTCCTCGGGACCAATCTCTTAATAGAAGGGCCCACCTAATGAGTGACTGTTTAGTAATTATTCAATCCCTTAGGGGTATGGTGATATTTACCAAATGCGAATGCCAACTTCTGTCCGTATATGTGAGGGCATATCAGCATGACCAGAAGAGTACGACAAGATAATTAGTTTCACATCCCCCAGTCGATGCAAATTTAGCTTTTGAGCCCCTGATATTGCAGTGACCAAAAGAGAATCAAGCTCGAGATAATCTTGTTGTCCATCCAGTAATAGCATGAGGGAAGCTTGTAAGCTGGCTATCGAAGCACAGAATATCCCCATACGCCCTCGAAGACAACGCAAAGCAAGCGATCTCCACATTGACGAATAAAAATTTGATGAACGAAGAGCCTCAACGCGTTCATTCATATCTGTGGGGATCCAGCCAAGAATATTTGGTGCTGGATGAAATGCCAGACCAAGTACAAGCTGTGAAAAAATAAGTATTGATGAATCATATCACGGGGGAGTACCACAAACCGCCATTAAGAAGCAAGCTAAGGTCTCCATGGAGAACGAGCTTGATATAGCGAGTACTTGCGAATCTCTTGTATCAAATTTTAGGCATTCCTGAATCATGGCCGCATGATTCATGAACGTGGGCGTGTGGAAGATATTACCCAAAGGACCCTGGCAACGAGTGACAAAGATCTGATAAAGAATTTGAGCCATTTCCGAGTCCGGAAATGCATCGATAATCTCCTTTGTTAGTGAGAGCCTTTCATTTTGCAGCTGAGTTTCTATGGTTGCCCAGTAAAGATTAGGATAATCTGGAGCAGGCGTAGATGAAATCGATGCGAACGCTGAAGGCAAGTTGTTGGTATTGGATGTCCCTTCAATGAAGTCCTCCAGTGCTTGTACAGTCTCTTCTGCATCTATGGTCTCCAATATCGGGGATCCGAATCTAGGCCTGATTGGATTTGATAAAAGTCAACTTTTTGAAATGTTGACCCGTTTGGAGACTGATCCAAACATACTTTTCGTGACTGGAACTGGTCTTCATCCTTTTCGCTCTTGGATTGCGTTCATCCTTTGTGCAAAGGTGGCCAATGTCACGTTTCACGCACTCGATCTGAGAACAGTTAGACCCGAACATTATTTATCAAGTATTGTCACGTACACATGGTTCTTTTCTGTCACATTTGAGCTTTGAAGTCCTACATCGAGAGCAGGATTTTGTGAACTTGCGAGCCACAGACCCCGGGTCTGCATGGCTTGCGGAATCCGCCATAACACAAGTGTCATCACAACAAGGTCAGGGTGCAGTCTTGGAGACATGTGGTCAAAGTCTAGATGAGTCATCAACCCTTGTCTACGTTGTCTGGTCCAAAATCCGAAAGGTAATAGAGAAAAAAGGACAAAACCCAAGTTTATATGCGTTAAACTGAATTCAGAACCAAAATTATCGCTGAAGACAAGATCGTCTAATATAAAGTCATTACCGACAAAACAATAAAAGTCGATGTATTAAATCAAATCAAATCAGCCAAAAGGACCGTTGTATGGAATCCGAAACTCCAACAAAACAACAAAATGCAATCGTTAATCATATCTCAGACCATCGAGTCATTAAAGCATGTGAACCAATATTTCAAATAAGAGAAAGAGAGAAAGAGAGAAATCAACCTGGCAGGCAAATGAAATGCTGGAACGGGGGTATATGGGTCCAGTACCCATTTAGTAAAGGGGTAGTAGATTTGTTTGGCCAGATGAGGGTGATCAGGACGGTAAAAACATGCTGGAAGCCATTCGATCGACATCCAAAACGGCCGACGCTGCGGATGCAGCTCGGTCACGTACCCGTTTTGAGAGGTCAATGTCAGTATCATCACCAACGAATGTCCACTCCTCAATGTCGTCTATGTCATCATCGGCATGATCCGGTGAGGCTTTAGCGGAGGGAGTTGGGGAAAATGGGGTGGCTGAAGCAATTGAGCGTTGTCGCGCAAGGGTTTTAGCGTATTCAAGATCACGGTAGAGCGACTGGATAGCAGTAGCTACTCCGTCTTCCTGTAAAGATAACACTTTCATCAGCGACACGAACCATCAAGGATTCAAGGGGTAAAAGATTTTGACTCACACTACGGATCTGGATACCCAAATCACGGGCCTTGACGATCATCCGCTCACTATGTGTGGCTTCCCAGATTGCTCTTGAGAAGACACTGACGTTGAGCTTCTTCATGCAAATTCCTACCCCCAAGTCCTCGACGCGAGAACCAAAGAAAAACTGATCGCCGAAGAATGGTTTGATTATGGTCGGTACACCGGCTCTAAGACTCGCGCCAGTGGTGCCTGCGCCGCCATGGTGAGCTGCAGCATCAATCTGTGAAAAAAGCCAATCGTGAGGTGCAGATTGGATTTGATGAATCTCCGAAGGTAGAGAAATCTCAACCTTGGTACTGGAAGGATCACCTAGTCGATCCGACCATCCCTTCGAGAGAATGCACCGCACGTCTGCTTTCTGGACCGATTCGATGACTGTCCGTGTCAAAGCAGCTGGATCTGAAACCACGATGGATCCAAATCCAATATACACAAGCTTCTTGCCATCAGAACGGGCACGATTGATGAAATCTGTAAGTTCTGCCGGAGGGGTCCAGTCTGATCCCTCACTGAGGAACCAGTAGCCCGTAATTCGAATCCAATCCGGAAAATCAAGAGGCGGCGGCACGACCGAAGGCGAAAAATTGTACAGAAAGGGGACTTTGTTCTGTTGCATCCTGTCCAAGTTGGTAGCTTTGAGTCCCAGTTCTTTGTTCCGCCAGCGGTTGACCTGACCAGCAATTGCCTTCCAGAAAATATTGTCGAACATCACATAAGTAAGATGGTTGTAGTAACCACCCATCCGATTCTCAGGGACGGCAAATGCATGTGGGTATGCGCGAGTCCTTGACCAAGGCATGGTAAATCCACGAAAGTATGGAATTCGAAGAGCTTCCGCAATATGAATTCCAGCCATTGCACTGGGTGATTCGATAAGAAGATCACTTCCTTGACAGCTGGACCAGGCAGAGGATAGTAGATCATCAATCCAACCTCTGAATTTCGAAGAGGCCTCCCGAAGAAATGAGTATGTGAACATGCCATTTTCAACACAGATTCGCATCAGCTCTGCTGGATCACCATCCACGGGCGCAAAGTCGATACCGTGACTTCGGATCCAAGGTTCAAATTCAGCATGGGTAGCGATTTTCGGGGTGTGGCCTTCGGCAAGAAGCCCCTTGCACAAAGCGATATACGGTTGTACATCGCCTCGGGATCCGATAGTTAGACAAGTGATCTTCAGGGGCTCCGAGGGCTTGAAGTTGATGATAGAAGCACGCGGGTCGTCGAAGAATGGGTGAATCTCCGACGAACCCTCATGGAGGGTTGAATGTGATCCATGTTCCTCGGGGTCGCCAAGCCGAGCCTCTTGGAGCATTTGATGCTCGGCCTTTGCTGCCTCAACCTCGTCACGCTCCTCTTCTGCCAGTAGGCCGGATTCCATCAAGAACTTGACGGACTCCAGATTCTGATGAAGCGTGACCGCACAGTCATCTCGCGCATCGGATGCGTTGAACTCGAAGAACAGTTCCTCGTGGCCTCGAATAATGACAACTAGGCCATGATAGCCAAACCGAAAACCGTTCTCTTTCTCCACGTTCTCGATGTCTCTTAGAGGCAGGATCATCTTGGTACGAGTGCCAGGAATCAAGCTGCGAAAGCAAAGCTTCCTCTCACTAATATAAATCTTGCCGTAAAGCGGTAGCATTCGATGCAGATAAGCATAGTAAGTCGCTTGCAGTCTCTCGGTTGGCGGGAGGGCAAAATGGGTACGGAACCTATCGCCATGGTTGGCATCGGCTTCCTCTTCTTCGGTATCAATGGTTCGATCCCTTGGGACCACGCCTTCAGTCTGGCCATAATGCCTCTGGCCACCAATCCACATGCCAGATACTTTTTCGATATAGCCCATGGATTCTGTTGCCAGCAAGCTACTCATCTGCCGGGATCTGCTTTTCAGATACTCCGCAAATCCAGCAGCACGTTGAAGGGGGTACGTTCCTGCCTTGACAAGATCATTCAGCGGGACATTTGCTGATTGTCGTTGCGGCAATCTTTGGCTTGCAGTGTTAGGGGTATCCCGTCGTGCCGCCGAACCAAGTCGAGCAGATGTGGAGCGAGCAGTATCTTCGGACCGTCGTTGGGCAATATCGCCAGTGTCAGATGAGCGTCTTGGTATGGACCGCATGGTAGGTGATTGAAAAACATCACTGCGGTTGAGGATTTGACTCGCGGATTCGGTTGTTTCGGTCATTGAATGTACGACATGCGACGAATCCGTCCCTTGATCTGCAGAATGAGCAAATGAATCGGCGATACTTGTGCTTCGCGCGCGAGACATCTGATCTTGCTTCGCACTATGGCTATCCGATAATCTCCTGAGATCTGTGACCGTTGCATCGGCCTGTATTTTCCAAGAATTTACATCTCGCGACTCTTCTGATAAATTTCTTGCAGGAGATGAACCCACTAGACCCTTCAAATAATCAAAGGCCTCCTGTCCTGAGTTAAAGAAAGAGAAAAAGTACTGTGAAGTACAATTAGCATCTTATAGACTATACTCATGAGTTTAAGAAGAGGATAAAGACTTACTTCATCAATTGCAAAGTCCTCATTCCCGTCCACGACACGGATTTTGAAGGTCTCAGCAAATTCGGCCATAGGGCTTTCCTCCAAGTCAATCACATTCTTGATCGGGAATGATACTTTAACGCTATCCCCTTCATTATGCGACCGAAATATGACTTTCTGGAGGGCCTTCACCCACTCCTTGGCACTTGTGGAACTATCTGCACGGAAGTAAAAGGTTCGCTGGTCGGTGCTAACTTGAAAGTCTTTCACTTCAGTGCCCTGGATCTTGGCTTCGGAAAGAGATGCAGAGATCCCATATCGAAGATCCACGTGGCCACTGGGAAAGTACAGGTTCGAGGGATCGGCATAGTATGACAATACGTCACCCCTCAGAACAAACCAGTAACGGTTATACTTTGGGTTTTTTCGACCTCGCTTCGACATATAGCCTGACTTGGCGGCGACGCTGGATTTTTTGGGCAGATATGCATAAAAGCAAATATGTCCTTCCGTGACATACATGTAGCCTTGAAGAAGCATACTTTGCAGTAATGCACAGGCATATTCGACTAGGACCTTTTCCGGTCTATCAAATCCAAACATTTCCATCAGTCGTGAGGAGAGAGCAGACCCTGAGGTTTGTGGTCGCTCTTCACTTGGAGTCTCGGGCCTTGACGGTGGGTTTTCAGGCACAGACGCCGTATCGAACCGGTTCTGTGCCTGCACCATTCTGGAAAGAATAGGAGCGGCTCGTGGCGTAGCACTACGAGCTTGCCTCGGAGGCAGCGTGAGTATGGACCCACTAGGAGTCGGCATGTCCTTCTCGTCATCCTTGGAGCTCAAAGAAGGCAATTTCTGCACTGCTTTATTCTCCGATATTGTTCTGCGATGGCGACGCCCCCGTTCTTCGGTTTCTTGTCTGAGGTTCAAGGCAGCCCTGCCGCTGTCATTGTGGTGTAATAATGAATCTTGAGTTGCCCGGTCCGACCGCTTTTCTCTTCGCTTCTCGTCTGATTCGTCGTCGCTCGAATCGTCAAATCGGGCTCGAAAGTCGGACCGAGAACCCACGGCAGCGATCATGGAAAATAAAGATTGTTGCATATAGTGCATGTTTCCATCCCGAGAGCCCATTCCGCGTGGTGGGGCAGTGAAATCCACTTGGGCATCCGCTTCGTCCTTGAAGCGTTCGGGAAGCCGATCGGGAAATGGTCGGTGTACGGGGGGGATTCTCAAGCTTGCACTCATCCTTTGGTCCCCCCGGCGTTTTTGGTCATCTAATGAGGGTCCCATCTTAGCGGATGGGATAACGTTATAATGGATGGAAAGTTGGGAAGCTGTTTGCAGATGTTGGGAGGTTGGACCGCACTGCACCTGCGGCAGGTCCCTAGGTTGTCGTCACTGGCCAGAGTCGCAGGTGACAAGCTCCTGATAGGAGTATTAGGGGGGTGGTCACGTCAGGTGGGCTTCGGTAAGGAGTTGCCCAGCGACGGAGCTATCCACAGTATTATAACAGCATGTGAGGAAGTGAGAGAAATGAGATGGATTACAGTACTTGCACGAGGCTTTCTCTTACTTAGAACTTCCCACTCAAACGGAGAGGGGACGATAAGGAATGCGGGAGCGATAAGAGTGAAAGAAGCTCGGACCTTCCGGTTTGTTACTCTCTCAGTATACTAGTAACTACTGGTATATACATCACTCTCTTGACTGAAGGACTTGATTTGAATGGATTTGAGAATCTCATCAGATATGAAGTGGTTGGAAGTCAGCTGGTATCATAGCAAAAAGTATTTGGCTTTAAAAAAAAAAGAGGAGAAAAGTGCAAATTCCCGTCATTTTTCTTTATCAATACAGTAAACTTGAAGTCATCAGTAACTCAGGTCTTCGAGTCTTCAAGGTCTTGGGAATTTCTAGATAGAATGATAGCCTTCTATGTAAGCCACCATCTGTATTTTTTTTTGTAATTTCTTCCTTATGATCTTCTGATCTCTTAATCTTTTTTGTACTTTTTGGACTCTCAGATGACATGTGACAGCCGTCAGGTGATTCCTGCTTATGTCATCATGTCACATTGACAAATTGACTGGACATTGATGAGATTCACATAGCACATTTCATGCGGAAAGTGAGAGAAAAAAAAGAAAAGAGGCAGAAGAGTCTTGGAAAAGATTATTTGTCGACTAGAATATCCCGTACATGATTATATAGATCGTCTTGTATCTTGATATGGAGATTGTGGATGTGGACTTTAATATGCGGGGGGGATCGACATTGGCTAAGCATCGTGGATCCCATGGTCAACACCACATTTCCTTGACATGAGTGCACGGTCTTTGTCTTGCCTTGAGTCATCAGGGAAAAAAAAAAAAAAAAAAAAAAAAAAACAAAGAAAAAAAAAAAGATCGAGAGAAAAATGAAAAGAAAATAGAGTCACATCTAGGCTTGATCACCCCATTTAAGTATTCGATGGTAAATTCCCCGTCCAGCCAACCCTAAAGTCCCCGTCCATCTGTTGTTGTAACATCTACCCAAACATTGCCGACAACCGAGCAGCATCAAGCTCAGACCAGCCACAAAGATGTGACTAGTATCGTATAAAGGCTGAATACGAACGCGCGTTTGAAATCCTTTCAGTTCCGTCTGCAATTCAAATCTCAAACTAACTCGCCTGTCGGCTCCATAACATCATCATTTCGCGCTAAGGCGTGCTCGTCCGTGCGAACGAGTCTACCAAGTCTATCTTTGCTCCATTCAGATCGCGTAATTAGTACAGAGCACGCGAAGGTATCCCTGTACCTGCTCACCATGACATGGTCCGAGCCCCTCTCTCTCTCTCTTATACATATATCGTCACCGACCGCTATGCTTGACTTAGTTCATGATCGACATCAGAGCTCTGGATTCTCTCGCACAACATGGGGCTCTTTTCTTTCCCTGAACTGAACACTCGTCTGGGTACTTGGCGTGCCTATCACTTGGCGGGCATTGTATTGTGAGTACATACTGGAATATACTTATCTCTCTTTTTGGAATACATCCATGGACCCAGGTGGGATATGTATATTTCTTGATTCCGCATACACAGCAGATATCCATACTGATGAACCATGAGAATTTGAAGAACTGACCAATCTACAGCATTTCCTCTTTTCTGTCCGGTTACGATGCTGGTATCGCCGGTGGTATTCTCACGTTCAAGTCCTTTGAGACCGATTACCGCTATACCTCCGCACACGAGTCCAAGGTCTCTTCACTCACGGTAGGCTTGGAGCAGCTGGGCTCCTTTGTCGGCGCGGCTCTAGTCTACCCAATAACCAACAAATTTGGACGCAAGTGGACTATCATCGGTGCCACTGGACTTTTCTGCATCGGCGTCATTATTCAGGTCAACAACACACATTCGCTGGCGGCCTGGTATGTGGGCCGCATTGTCGCTGGACTGGGTATGGGTGGACAAAGCGTGGTGATTCCCATGTACTCGGCGGAGATGACTCCCAAAGAAATCCGTGGTCGCTGCGGATCTTTCTACCAGTGGATGTATGCGTGGGGTGTTTTCCTCGCCTACTGGGTTGACTATGTAGGTTTCCTGCAATTTTTCTGATTAAACAGGTATTGAATATTGACCGTCAAATTAGGGCGTGGAGCAGAATGCCTCAATTGTCGGCACCTCACGCGAGTGGCAGATCCCCGTTGGTTTGCAGCTGGTTTCTGGAGGCACCCTGTTTATCCTGACTTTCACCCTACCGGAGTCTATTCGTTGGCTCTCTATGCAAAATCGAAATGAAGAGGCTTGGGCATCAATGGAGTGGATCCGTGGTGGTGACAACCAGAAGACTCGGGATGAGTTCGCTGAGACACAGCTGGGTCTGCAGGCAGAACGCTCTGAAAGGGAAGGCTTCTCTTTCCGCGAGCTTCTCGAGCCCGCTAACCGTCTGCGTTTCCTCGTTGGTCCCATGCTCTTTGTATTCCAAAATGCCACAGGAAGCAGTGCCCTGGCGGTCTTTGCGCCGCAGTACTTTAAGTTGGTTGCTGGTGGTAATTCTGACATGCTGCTCACTGCCTTGTTTGGTGCCATGAAGGTTATTGCGTGCTCCTTTTTCATTTTCTTCCTTTCAGAGCGTCTGACTCGTCGCTCTTCCTTGGTTGGCGGGTCCCTGTTCATGGGAGTGTGCATGTTGATTACCTCATTGGTTGTTGACAAGACACACACAACTATCGATGGAAATGTTACCGCTGCCGGAAGGGCAACAGTGGCTATGCTCTACCTTGATATCATGGTTAGTTAACCTTTCCCCTTTGCTTCTCTGTCTCGACTGTGCCACTAACTGTCTCTCTCTCTCAGGTCTACAATTGCTCTTGGGGCCCCATGCCATGGGCTTATGTGCCCGAGATCTTCCCGACTCGTATCCGTGCTATCGGGCTAGCTGTCAGTATGCTAGCACATTGGGCAACGTCCTTCTGTTTCTCATTTGCCAGCCCCTATATGATTAAGAATGTGGGCGCAAACACATTCCTCATCTTTATGGGCTTTGATTTTGTAGCTGCAGTGTTCTCCTGGTTCTTTGTGAAAGAGACCCGTGGAAAGAACCTCGAGCTGGCAGCTGGTACTGAATGGGAGGCTGTTGAGCGCAGCTCTGATGATGATGAGAAGGGTGGTGTGGTAGGTGCAAATGGAAAGAAGTTGCAACTTGTCAGTGTGCACGAGAACTTCCACACCAATCTGCACCATTCTAAATGAACGCTTGCAATGACAATTGTAAGGTGGACAGATGGAATCAATGATACCTCGGCGCTGGTTGAAACATGTTGTTTTAGAATTATCGAATCGTTGGGTTGTCGCTTTTTTGATTTTGCTTTATTTGAACAACCCATTTAATGTGAGTAATGAATGTCCTGCTGCATCCTAATAGGAATCAAGATTCCGTCGCAGTAGCATTTGAAAAAAACCAAGAGCTTGGATGATAAAAAAAATTGTACACTGAAGTTGCCCTGCATGTCATAAAGCGAAGATACCTTTTTAGCTAAACAAATAATAAACAAACCCTAACACCGAATCATGCCTTTGACTTTTTGCGCTTTTTCTCCTCGCCATCCTTGTGTGACTTTTTCACCTTCTTTTGGCCTTGCTCTTGCTCCTCGTCTCCATTTTCTTGGGTATGCTTCCTTGACTTCTTTCGACTGGGCAGAGTAGTCACTTGGGCAGCGTCTCCGTCGGTGTGGTGATGCTTCCGCTTGCGCTCCTTTTCTCCACTGGGAACCTTGAACGAAGGCTCGGCCTCGGACTCGGAATCCGAGTCCAAAGTCTCCGGTGGGGCGGGCAAGCTCCCGACAGGCCTGAAGCGCATCTTCAGGTTCTTCGGCTGGGGCCGAGGGGGCTTGACGGTATCCCGAAGTGCTTCCACCGCCGCCTTATCGGCTTCTGGTACGCCCATCAATTCCTGGATGTGATAACTGGGAATGTTGTCGGCTTGCTTGCAGTATGTCTGGGTCTTCGGGTCGAAAAGAAGCAGAGACTTTCCCTGCGAGCTTTCTTCACGGAGCGATTCGGCCGGAATGCCGTAGTTGGCGCCGTCAAACGAAAGGATCGGGTGGCCCTTGGAGATCTTGGACATGGAGATCTCCTTGACCTTTGACAATGGGAGGAAAGATGGAGCGGTGATGTGAATGACTTGTTTTCCGTTCAGGTTGGAAAGGATTGAGGAGGAGTTTGAGGATGGTGGGGCTTGCTGCTTTGCGGACTTGAAGCCAGAAGGAGGCTTGTAGGCTTTGGGGGTAACAGAAATGATTCTGGAGTCGCAAATGTTAGCTTACATGCATTCAATGCACATAGTGGATGCAAAATATTGCAAAAGAATGTATCCTTACTTCTTAGCAGGCGATTCTGCCTTGGGAGCATCCTCGCTAGTGTCCATGTCGCTGGAATCCTCGTCGCTGGAGCTTTCGTCGCTATCGGACTCCGAACCAGACGAACTTGATGAATCTTCAACTTCTTCCTTGCTCTTTGGTGTCTTCTTCAAAGCCTGCTTTTGCTTGTTTGCCGGCTCGGGGGAGGAAGAGCGACTGGAGCTGCTGTCGCTCGAAGAGGAAGATGAGGCGGCCATAGCGATTATTTAGGTGTGTATATGCTCGGGTTTGACGGCGGTTGAGCTAGATCTACCCCGCGAATTCGGATACCCAAAGACTGACTTTGTGGTTTCGAGCCAAATTCTCTAGTAAGAGTTCCGAGGTAGTTAATTGCGTTGTATCGCAACCCGTCAAAGTCGCAGCGACGCTGAAGAGACTAGTAATGTCAAGATCCAAGAGGTTTCGCGGATCTTTTTTTTCTGCTCCGCGGGCGCACGGACCAACTCGCCAACTTTTTTCCCTTATCAGCTAGGAATTGCATTATCGATCTTCTTAAGCTAGGAATTGATTTCATTGCGCTGTCATGATGAAACGAAAGGCTGAGAAACAGCAGGGCGCCGGTAATTTCAATTGCAAAGTTGATATATTTCCAAACATCCCACTAATTGAACCTTCTAGGCCCTGTCAGTGCCTTCGCGGCTCGCAAAGCTCGACAGCAACAAGCACAGAGTGTGACGGCATCAAGAATTCAAGTGGTGATTGAGTCGGCTACAGAACCACCTTCAAAACGACCGCGACGATCTCTCGAAGGCAATCAATGGACTGAGGTGGACGACACAACGTTCAATGTTCGCCAGACAAGGTCATCCAAGAATCAAGAGGTGCCAGTCGCTCTAGACACAACCACAGGGCGACCAAAGAGGGCAGGGCGGCCAAAGAAGGTCACTACGGCCAACCCGTCAGAAACCCAGTCTCAATCTCCGGAAGCGCAGGAAGACTTGGAGATTGCGGATTCGGCCGCGGATTCGGCCGAGGATCTCAGCGATGGCCCCGAGGAGATACCTGAAACTGAGGTCGCATCGGTAGCTGGTGACTCTGACGGCTATGAATCTGCCGCCGAAACACCAATCGAAATGCAAAATTTCCCATTATCTAAAGCAAGACTCAACAAAAACAACATAGTCTATGCGGACGAGAGTTCGCTGTGTATTCGCATCCAAGAGAGGACGGTATGAATACTGTTACGGAACTGAGTTGGACAGCGCTGATGACAATTTAGAACTTGGCTCTGATCGGCCAGTATGATATTTGGGTCAAACGAGGAGTTATCAGTCTGATGGGTGCAAAGCTACAGCCCTCTCCGCGAGTTTATAGGGTCTATGCTCCCTCAACTCATTCATTGCCCATCATCAAGTGTGTTTCTGGTGTCGAGGGCGAGGCAGAGGTAGAGATAAAATCTTGCAATAGTGGTTTATCTCGTCTCCGAGATATGTCTCCTTTGTATCAGAAGGTCTGGAATGGACAAAATACCGCTGCAGATAAAGCTACTCTGAAAGGCACTTCCAAAAACTCGCAGCGGTCTTTTTCAGTGGTATGTCAACCAAAATCGATGTCTTGGGCTGTTTTTAGACCTGAAAGGTTAATTTTTCTGTGCAGCTTTATACATCCGCGGAAGATCCGTTGAAGCGACACTTGCGGCCTCTTCATCTTGACAAAAAATGGAGTGCGTCTATGAAAGCACTGTCCCAGCGACAAGGACGCCTTCGAGTCTTGGTTTGCGGTCCAAAGGCATCTGGAAAGTCTACTTTTAGCCGATACCTGCTGAACCATGTTCTCAGCCCTGCTCCTGAAACGGAGAATGGGTTCGTCAACACGGATGGTGTTGCTTTCCTCGACCTTGATCCAGGACAGCCAGAGTTTGCGCCTATGGGCCAAGTATACCTCGCGCACCTACGGGCTCCCTTTTTTGGCCCTCCATTTACCCACCCTTCAGTCGACTCTCGCGATGGTCAAATATTACGTGCCCATCATATTGGGGCAACTTCCCCGAAAGAAGACTCCGATCACTATGCCCAGGCTACGATGGATCTCCTGGATCGGTATCACTCGTTGTTGGCGGAATATCCCCAATGCCCTTTGATTGTCAACTACCCAGGTTGGATCTTTGGGCAGGGTTTAGAGGTGGCCACATGGCTGGTCAAATGCCTCGGCCTTTCTGATGTTGTTTATATGAGTGAGAAGGGTCCCCAGGAGGTCATTGAACCTCTCAATTTTGCTGCCAATGAGGCAAAGGTCCCAATGACAATTTTGCCATCCCAACCGACTGACTTTGTCAGTCGGTCAAGTGCTCAGTTACGCTCAATGCAAATTCAGTCATACTTCCATTCATCTCACTCTACGGAAATCAGCAATCCGCGTTGGTCGGAACTACCCTTATCCCGCACAAGGCCAATGGCCGTGAATTATGCCGGATCAAAGCAGGGGATTTTGGGTATCATGGCTATGGGTTCCCAGATCAGCCCCGATATGCTGTGTGAGGTTTTGGAAGGATCCATTGTGGGCTTGGTGGCAGTCGAATCTCCCAGTGCGATCGTGGGTGCCTCGTCTGCTGAATCAGCCGACTGTTCTACCTCCAGTTCAGAGGATGAGAGTGGGTCTCCTGCTGACCATATGGATATGGATTCAGAGGAGCCCAAACCCAATGGCTCGACTTCCTTGTCTCCCGCCGACATGATTGTCAGAACACCTGAGGGTCTGCCGTATCTGTTCACTGGATCTGGAAGCTGCAGCCCGTTGAACCCCAAGGCCTCCAACTGCCTTGGTCTTGCCCTCGTCCGCTCTGTGGATGTCGGTTCCCAAAGAATTGAACTCTCCACTCCTATCCCGTCTTCACGTATTCGTGATGCGATTGAGCAAGGACATAGCCTTGTGTTGGTCCGCGGTCAATTGGACAGCCCCAACTGGGCCATTAGCGAAGAATACTACGCTGCGCGGGCAGCAGAGCGACGCTATCAGCAGGTGGTTTCCCGTGCTAAGAAGAGTGGAGAATCTGCTGCCGAACAAGCTCAACACCACCAAACACTTGCACTCCTTCGAGACCGGATTCGTCGCGCAAGCAACGTGCCCTGGATGAACGTTGTGGAAGACAATAGCCGGCATCAGCGTGAAGTGAATGCGCGGCGTGAAAAATCCCTTTGGAAATTGAGGAAAAAGGCCTATCCAGGCAGTGATAGTGAGCCAGATTATTAAAGTCTAGTCTTTTTCCACATGCCATGTGGCATGGTATATTATTACTTGATTCTGAATACAAAGTCATTAATTCTGTACTTTTAAATGTTTCAACAAATGTTATTAATACACCACTAACAACTTGCAAGGATGCAACTTCCAAAAGGTCCAAGGTTCTAGGGAAAGTCTTTCCCGGGCAGATAGTCACCAATGTCCTATTCTATTCAAACATTGAATATTCCAGATGTCTCCTAGACTCACGAATCATAGACACCCAGCCCCAACGAAGGCGTCGAGGGATCATAACATTTGAACCGAGCAGTAAGCAATCACAGTCAAATGAGAATAGCCCGATGTAAAAATATCCGTGGCAACCTTGAAATTACCCTGGTCTCAGAAAAACCTATCTTGTGTTAGGGCCATTGTGTTAGTCTGGCCACCAGAGAATTTCCACTTTGAGCCTGGCGATTGGAAATCCAGGATAAGGCGTACTCGATACCAAAGTTCAGTTACAACGGATCAAGGGGTATTGTAGTTCATGATCCCTAAGCGCTGGAAAGTCATGGTTCAATTCAGTTGAGAGCCCTTTAGATTCTGCTCTGTACCAGTTGACATATCATGTGCTCTTTGTCCACGTGCAGATTCATGCAACGTGCCAGTGGGAAGTGGCAACATTGAATACAGCACTGATATATCTTAAATTTGGTGGCTGAAGAGCTTCAATGTTGGCTTCTTTTACCGGTGCCTGTGACTCTTTTGCCCTAATGACTTCAAACCCCATACATATGTACCGATACATAAGATCCACTCCAGACTTTGGAGGTGGCCCTATCACATTCTGCTTGTCTAGAATTAACGGTAATGAAGAAGTTGGAACATTCCAAGGTTGGACTGAAGTGGTATCCAGACCAAGAGTCTGGTACCTAATACTCTGATGCTAGATGAATTTTGCTAAATCCAGATGTCACGTACTACTTATGCCAGTATCAATTGATTTGAACAGGACCTATTTATTTGTCGACAGATCTCGTCACATCCATGGATACAACATTGAATTTGAAGCCCTCAAGTGCTATGTAAATGACTCGACTACTAGCTTACTCCGATATTATATTCGAATAACAAGTTACAGCTCGGTCCTTGCAGATGAAGAGCCTCGATTGTCTCTCGTATCCTTCTCCCTCTGCCACGACTGAACCATGAGCGCGGCCACATTTCTACCCATCAGGGCACTCGTCTCCATTGTCGAGATGAAGCTCTCAATTCCACTAGTGTACCAAACACTAGGCGCCAAGAGAACCTCTTCGAACGTCACACGAGGATACATGAGAGGGTACGGATGCCATACTTTCTCGTGGAACCAGCTGATCTCACTTTTGGGGAGATCCCCGATAGTCGAATTATCAGTGGATGTATTTTCTGAGCCAAAAGTATTGCGGGAATATTCGATATCGAATAGGTCTGCAATGAAGTCGGCAGTGGGTCGCTCTGGGGAGAATATTTTATAAACGTAGTGATCCTCTCGCTGCTCTTGGCCATTGCTCGTGGTAATTCGAGGTATCTGTTGGAGTGTACTGACACTCCAGAATCCAGTAGGACCAACGCCTTTCGGATTCGCCCCAAGTTTAGATCCTTCGGGAAGTGTTGTAAGAATGGTCTCTGGGGGCCCGGAGCTCTTATTGTCAAGGCCAAAGAATCGGGAAGAAATTCGGTGAGGTGATGCAAGAAGCGTGACGTAAAGTTTGGCATACGGGATATCATCTGGTACGTGCTCCAGGGGTGGAGAGATTGAGATGCCGGAGTATTGCAGCGGTCCGGCAATTATAACTTCATCAAATTCAGATTCATCTGACATCTCCGAGTCGAGATCAGAAGTCGACTGGGTGATAATCCGCACAGTGCCTTCCTTGCTCCTGATAATCTCGGTGACTGTCGTATTTAATCGGACCTCAGTATTGGCAGCCTTCAAAACTCCATCGAATATCCTCCAGTTACCACCACGGACAGATACTGCGCCGTCTGTTGCCATACAGACCATGGATTCGAGTCCATGGATTAACGCCAGATTCTGGCCATAATTCACCCGCGTACTCGCTTGGATGATTTCTCGTGCAAATAAATCCGAGATAGAATTTGCATTCAAAAACGCATCGCCCGGTGAAGCAGTCACATTCACCAAGTTCACAGCCTCCGCCGCTTCCGACAACGATCTGAACGGAAACAGTGGCTCCTCGTATAACTTCAGGAACCTACCAACAACCTCCTTCATAAGATTCTTAGTACGCAAAGGTGCCATTCCGTATCGCCAAAAGAGCTTGGCAATATTCCACCAGCTGGAAGAGTTGCCAACTGTAAACAAAAACTGAGAGCCGTCCCAGATTCCTATAGAGTCGTCGGTCTGTTTAGGTCTGGCGTGGTCTGCGCCGAGGACGAAGAGGCCAAGGTTGTTTGATGCATTCATGAGGATTTGATTAACCTCTACAAATATCGATGCACCCAACTCGATCGGGTATGCGGGATCGTCGAATGCATCAACGGTTGTCGAGCGTCCACCGATATACGAGGAACGCTCAAATACAGTAACGTTCACAGGGATAGCTGAGTCGTCTGCGAGCTTGCGCAATTCATATGCGGCAAATGAGCCTCCAGCTCCAGCTCCTGAATACAATGATTAGTACATAGGCTTGGTCTTCTATGGGATTTTGATTCCAATGTTGGATATGTTTATCTGTCTGGGCTATCGTTGGAGCCTACCGATGACGGCCACCCGCTTGGGGGCGGCATCCCTAACAGTTTGCAATGGCTGCTGAGCTGCTCTGCTAAATGAAAAGAACAAGTTCAGGGTATATAGTGCCCAAAGGCATCTCCAGGTGCTCATGACTGCCATGATTTGCAAAGCCCCTTGGGAGGTTGGGGGAGGAAGCATGGAATGATGTCGGGAGTAAACCAATGACGATGTAATATTACCAGAGGTGGGGCGATCGTATCGCTTATCGCAACTTTTTTTTTATGAACAGCGGGGTTTTTGCGACTTTACACATCCCCAATTCACCATGGATCCCTACGACAGTGACTCTAGTGTTGACGAGGACTTCACCGATACCGGTGTACTTCTCGGTTACGCCGCTGAAGAAGTCATCGAGGACACCGTCAGCCACTTGGGCGGTTGGCCGGTACGTGAGCAGTAGAACCAACCCCAAGAAGAACCACACTAATAGATATTAAATGCTACAGAAATGGCTCGCAGACAACACTCCCCCGCCGGGTGATTTTGCCAACTGCAAGGTCTGCAATAGTCCCATGCTGCTACTTCTTGAGTTGCACGGTGACCTGCCCGATCATTTCCCCACCGACGAGCGTCGCCTGTATATATTTGGCTGCCCAAGAAAGCCTTGCAACCGCAAGCCAGGCAGTGTCCGCGCATACCGCGCAACTCGCAAGGTCAACTTGAATGAGTTGAAGCACGACGAACAAGAAGGTACCAAAGAACTTGAAAAGAAAAAGTCCGCACCAGCGGCACCGTCACCGTCACCGTCACCACCCCCACCCCAGCAGGCCAAAGACTTAGGAGCCAGTCTATTTGGAGCGACCTCATTGACGAGCAGCGTGTCTGCAAACACCAATCCGTTCTCGTCCAACCCATTTTCCTCCAATTCGGGCTCCTCGTCTACGGGTTTTGCCAATCCCTTTGCGACACCCAAGCCCTCCACAGCTCCTGCTCCTGCTCCTGCCCCTGGCCCAGCTCCAACCCCAGCTCAATCCTCCACCATTGCACTCGCCGAATCCTTCGCTGACAAGGTCCGGATCTCGTCTCCAGAGCCATCAGCTAGTAACCCCGCCCTCACCACATTCAAGCCCACGCCGGAATCACAAGGCGCTCTCGCCCCGTGGCCCGAACAATCCGCCTTCCCAGCTCCCTACCAAAACTACTTCCTAGATGCCGAATATGAGACCCTCTCGCGGCCATCAACACCCACCGTTCCCGATAACGTGCAAATGGAGCCAATGGACGAAGATGGTGGTGCCGGTGGTGACCTCAAAGATACATTCGAGTCCGAGCTCGATAAGGCTTTCATGAAATTCTCTATGCGCCTCGAGCATAATCCAGAACAGGTCCTGCGCTATGAGTTCCGCGGCACCCCGCTGCTGTACTCGTATGCTGACCAGGTCGGTAAGAGCTTACATCCCGAGCACTCCGCTGGTCGTGTGACTACCATTGGAGGTGGACATATGCCACGATGTGAGTACTGTGGTGCGCAGCGCGTCTTTGAGGTGCAGCTTGTCCCGCATGCTATCAGTATCCTTGAGGATGGACGTCCTGGGGTTGGACTCGGAAAGGATGATGCGGGCATGGAGTGGGGGACTATTGTTATGGGTGTTTGCGCAAAGGATTGTGCACCTGAAGCTCTTTGGCAAACTGGCTGGAGAGAAGAGTGGGCCGGGGTGCAATGGGAGGAAACAAAGTAGATTATACCACTTGAGCAACCGAGGTTGTAAGCCCCGAAGAAGGCTCTCGATATGAAGAAAAAATAGATTTCATGAATTTTTATTCTTTAGTATTTACTTCTTGCTTACATTATACCTTTCCCTCCACGAGCGAGGTGCTCCTTTCAAACCTCTTCTAGTATATGGGTATGGTTTTTACGTATAATACTGATATGAATCGGTATGTCTTATAATTTGAGCCAGATATGACTCGGCATAGGTATGGTATGAACAGGCATCTCTCGCAACATCCTCTCCATCCGCTCATTTCAAGCATAAAACACATTCCAATAGGGAGAAAAGAAACGCCGGATGCGCCAGATCCCGACTCATCTCCGAGCCTCCTCCATGCGAAATCTATCACCGTCTCACGGATCAGGGAATTCATGAACTCATGTCTTTTTATTTCTTCTCGAACTCATCTTTTTGTGAAAGTTCGAGAAGTGAAGGTACGGAGGATGAAAAAGAAACAAAGAAAGAGAGAAAGGGGGGAAAAAATAAGTATGGGCAGGAGAGCCGCTTACACGGGCAGCTCGAAGCCACGACGAATCACACGGCCGAACATGTCGACACCGACACGCTCGCTCTTGACCTCACTGCGGGCCTCGTTCTCCTTGTTGGTAGGAACGGTAACAGCGGTGCCGTCGACCTTCCAGCCGCAGACATCAGTGACGAACTTCTCGAGAGCCTCGCCGTTGCGCAGGTCGAGCCATTGCTCCAGGGACTCGGTGGTGATGGAACGGAAAGACTTGCCAACCTCGACGGCGATGCGGATGCGGACCAACTCTTCGAAGCCAGCGACATCAGCGGTCAAATCGGCGTACAAGTCGTCGGAGTTAAGGGTGGACCAGAACTGGGTGTACTGAGCGGACTCGAGGAGGGTAGACAGGCGGGAGAGCTTCTGCACGGACTCGACGAAGTCGGAGTTTTGGGAGGCAGCCTGAGCCTCTTGGGTGGCAGCGAAAGGCTGAGTGTTGGCGGGGAGCAGGGAGAGGCAGAGCGAGAAAGCGGGGGAGGGGAACACGGTCAGGGCCTTGACAAGGACATTGGTGACGGTGTCAGGCTGGAGGAGGTGAGGGTTGAACTGGTAGCTATGGATCGAGGAAGTGCGCATGTTAGTCACTGGTTCTGCGATCCTGATATGTTTGAAAGATGCCAGCAGCTAAGGACTGGTGCTACCATCTGCAATGATATTGCATAATGGTAGATTCAGACTTGAAATTCTCAACAAACCCATACGCGACGGGTAGTCAGGTAATAGGAAAACGTGATTTGAATAAAGATCGATCATCAAAGAAACACCAGGAAGTTTGAAAGGAGTCATGTCCAATAGGGTCACTAAATCAAAGGCGACTCACAGCTTCAGCAAAGCCAGGTTGGCGTAGCAGTCGAATACCCGGTTCTCGCACTGCTGCACCACGTAGTCCTGGAAGACGGTGGTGGTCTCGGGGTTGTACCGATCGAGGCCATTGAGAATGGCGTCGATATGGGCCGGTCGGGTATCACACTTATCGAAGGCGACCATCTTGCTGGATTGACGAGGGGGTTGGAGAGGGCGGGTCTTTGTGAGGTTCTTTTTGGTGGGATTTTTGATTGTGGCCCTTGGGTGTGTGCGGAAGAACCGAATTGGGAATGTTTCTCCGCCCGAACTATATGGACATCCCATCACTTTGATCTATATCATGATCATCTGTTCTGCTGTCCTTGTTCCAAGGTTAGAGGATTTAAAAAACTCTTGTTAACTATAATATCTAACGAGCGAAAGGTATGTACCAGGAGTCAAATCACAGAGGATTACTAATAGTACCTAAGACTGTCGTGAGCAAATCGAGAAGACCTGTTTACACCGTGCCTCATGTGCTCAAGTAAGTGCTAGCTATGTAGAGGAAGCAGAACATTTAAAACAGAGGTTCTTGAAGAATTCTTGACGATCCATTTAAACTCCAGGGCTCTTCTAGTCCTGCTCAAGTACAAACAGCAGGATTAGCTGGTGATGAAGCAGCCTATTCCCAGTGCTAGTATCAATACTTGGTACAACCCTGTCAAGCCCAAGTTCCCCAAGTTTTGACCTTGGCATTTATGGACTGCAGAAACTGGAAGTCGGCTCAAAACCAGGTGGCTTCAAAACTGAAGCACTATACCCCTAGGTGTTGCGTTCAATTATCTATCAATGAACTGTCCACCCCGGAAACTCTGGGTCGCCACAACTGGAACACTGGTTCATCAACATTGAGGAGATGTTTCAAATCTACTATTACCTAATAATAGTGCATAGTTACAATAGCGACCTTAGAGCCTTCCTTTGAAGGGACTTTCATATCAAGCAGTTATCTATGTACTGGATTTCCCCCGGCCATTTTTGGTCGCTACACTCAAGTGCTACCTATGTACAGCACTTGAGGCCTAGAAATAGGTCCAATCTGCCCCCAGTCGAGCTGTCTTAATAAGCTCTGTATATAACTGGAATTTCTTAAGCTTTAACCATAGCTACACCGGTTCAATTAGGTTAAGATCTGGTGAGTGCGTAGGCCAATCTTTGACGTATACTAGTATCTTATAGACTTCAAATATTTAAACATTTGAACCCAATCTCTCAAGTCATTACTAATATAGTATACATACTTATATTATCCTCCTAAAAGGCTTTTCCAGGTATATGGATTAGAATAAGACCCCTTTTAAAATGAATATGGGTTGATTGTTCGGGGGACTACTAAAAAGTGGATTTGGGACAATACTTACGGTCGGGTATGTTTGCTCACTGAGTAGATCTGAGCACGGCCTCCCAGTGATCGGATCAGTGAGTCTTACATAAGCCCTGCTCATGCTCAGGAGCGACTCACTGACGCGCAGTAATGTGACCCGCTCACCAAACGCACTCTACTTCTCAACTTGAACGATGGCTATTTGAAACTTGAGACTCCATGTAGTGTGCAAGATTTCTTGCACCTCTTGTCTCTTTGTCATTCTATGCAATCAACCGTACCATTTTTTTACCATAGTTCCCACTTTGTGGATCCTTTTGTTCCTGTTTCTCCTTCTTCTCTTCTCTCCTTTGAGTCCTTACCACATTCTCTTTAGTGATCTTGAAAGTCTACTGCAGCTCTCGCTATTTTTCTTTGCTCTTGATCCTCCTCTTCGTGTGACCCCCCTCTTCCCGACTGGTACTTTTGTGGATCCTTAACGTCAGCTGCTCCCTTGCATGCGACTTTCATTGACCTAGTGGACACAGCCTATTTCGACTAACCCGAATGCCCGGTCCTCCAAAATGCCTTCCACTTTGGCTACCCGCTCAGCAAGACGATATATTCTTCCCGACCACGCTGAGGATGACCCATTTGATTGAATTTTTGTTACCCAAAAAAAAACCCCCGTAAACCGGATGTGGTATATGGGATTACAGTGGACCAGATAACAAGTGGACATGCAGAGAGCTCAGAGACCCAAGTTATCACATGATCAAGGTTCAAACCACATGGCGAGGACTCCGCACTTGGCGAAAGCATACACATGTGTACTTCAAGTCTCCCGTCTCTTCTTTCCCTTCTTCCTCCTTTCCCATCTCTCCATGCTCGTTTCTCTTCGTACAGGGACAGGAATCAATGATTTTCTCTCTCCTCTTTCTTTCCAATCAAGGTTCCTTTAAGCCTCTTCACGGTTATAACCTTGGAAAGCTAGTAGTGGTCTTTGTATACATTCAAGGTTTCATGGTGGCGTGTACATACGAGCCTTGGAACATTTGAAAGGTGAGCGAAACAGCTTGGCACATGAGAGTTCAAAGACAAGCTTTTATAACAGGCGACTAAGGAGTTTAACGACTAATAAGATTTTACAAATCTTACACAATGCATGGCCACGTGTAAAACGTGCGATATTGAAGGTTCGAATGCATGAATTTTCGAGGCAATAATAGTACATAAAATTTGAAAGGTCTCGAAACAGATCCTACTAGTAAATTTTTGCTGAGAGACCAGTGCAAGAGCAAAAAGAAGCATCCTGACCCACCTGACCCACCTGACATCTGGATGAATAGATCAAAGCGGAGATCTGTCATTTAAAGTCATGATTATCAAGTATACCGGTCTATCACAAGTTGAAGTTCCGAGTCGGCATAAAATATTACTAGTAACTACTAGTAGGCCTGCAGCAGCCTGACCCACCCTGTCCCACCTGCCCCACCGTTCTAGACATGTTGAAGAACCCCTGTACCCATGGTGCCCTGAAGTCTCACATGTGCACACTTTCCTTTGCTATTATTTCTCAAAATCCGCCAAGCCTTGAATCTTACTCGGTACACATGTACGGACCTTTACTCGAGCCCATCTCGTTTCACATTTAAATCTCAGCTTACGTGTCGCTTAAATACATGTTATTGCTAGTCCTCCGGAGTGACGGCTTATTAGTTTGCCACCACCACTCTAAACACTTGAGAGCAACTACCGTGATTACAAATACCTGCACGCACGTCGTTAACTAGAGCAGGGTCCACGGGTAGTTGTCCCGGTACTTCAATTCAGGGTCTGAAGGTCCACTAGGAGTCAGGGACTCAGGGTAAATCGACCCCAGACACACAACATGGGCTGCTCCTTTTCATGTAATTTCGTATTTTCAGGGTTGCATGGGTATTATGGGTCCAATCTCGGTATTTCTCCTGTCTCCACCTGGTTGGAGGGATTTCAGGGTACGTCCGGGGTATTGGCGCGGGGTAATCACGGTCCGGGGTAAGACTAGCCGAGACCGTGGCCTGCGGACGAGATAACACCGAGCCGTGCCCAGGCGTCCAACTCCTAGGATTCGTCAGGTTCTTCGAAGGTCGGTAGTATTTTTATTTTGGAGCTTGCGCGTCCAATTGCGACGTTTGAACCGACTGGGCATGATGATTCCTCTACCGAGATGGTGAGAAAAAGCATCCATGAGTTATCCGACTTCAATGCTCTGAGGCTAGCGTTGGAAGACATTTCTGAACGGGTCACGTTTGCTATGCATATTACCCGTTATTATAGTGGTACTTGATACCCGGGAGTCAAGCATAGCGCTAACCAATAATCAGCGCTTATCCTATCCTGGCTTCTCGGTAAATTTCACATTGACTCTGATCATTATGATAGGTTCAGCGTAATTGAACGATCCTGACCAGGCAATCAGGGGGCTGGATTTCAAAGTGCACGACAAAGAAAAAACTTGGGGCGGGGGGCACAGACTCATCGTCTTGATTGGCACTAATTGCAAGAAGGAGGATTCTGGATACAAAACAGGAAATTCTCCTGCGAAGGAAACGCCACATCAAAACCCTAACCCCCAACATCAGCAGACCCCGCAAGGGAACAAGGGAACCCCGTACATTTCCTCTCAATGAATACCTATCAGATACCTTCTGTCGGCACCAGCCTACCATAATCAAGTGGCGCTGCTACCGTAGTGCCCGGAGAAACGACCCTCATGAGTGGAGATTTGTTAGGTTCAGGAGGTCCCAGGTGCCGAAGCAAGCTTTAAGCACTCCAGGATCGGGATCACAATCACGAGCGCTTAGTCGCAGGTATATAATTCTGAAACCCCCAATTCTGCCTGCCTCTCTTTCCTTCACTCACCCGTTTCTTTCTCAGAAATCGTGAACATGACTAGCGACATCAATGAGAAGCAGACCTCGGCCGAGGAGGTCGAGGCCCAGCCCAGCTCTACGGGCGGCCCTGTCTATGATTCCGATGTGAAGGTCGACTATGACAGAGCCGGTGCCATCGGTGCTGAAGAGATCGAACATAATATGAGTGTGCTCGAGGCTGTCAAGGCTTACCCCTCTGCCAGTTGGTGGGCATTCATCATGTCATTCACCATTGTAAGCTCGGGCTCTCTTGTCCATGAATATGTGGATCATTTGGTTCTAACGTTACGATAGATCATGGAGTCATACTGCGTTTTCTTAATGGGACAGTTCATTGCCACGAAAAAATTCGCCGAGGATTTTGGTGTAGAGGATACACCAGGTAACTGGATTATCTCAGCTCCATGGCAGTCAGCATTCCAGTGCAGTGGGCCAGTCGGTGCTTTTATCGGTGTATTCATTGCGGGTCCCATTACCAGTGCGATCGGATATCGATGGGCAACCATTGGCGGTCTCATGTTCTTGAACGCCTTCATCTTCATCTTCTATTTCGGCAACAGCCAGGGAATGTTCTTCGCATCCCAGATCCTGGAAGGCATCCCGTGGGGCATTTTCATCGCCAATGCACCTGCCTACTGTGCCGAAATCGTGCCAATGAGATTGCGTGCTCCTGCGACGCAGATGTTGCAGATGTTCTGGGCCATAGGATCGATCGTGGTCGGCGGTATCACTTACCACTATCAATCCATGAACACCTCTGCAGCCTACAGGTTCGTTCCGCGCTCATAGATGAGATGGAGGAAGCAATTTACTAACAAGTCATTCCAGAGTTCCCATTGCCCTCCAGTGGATGTTCCCTACTCCCCTCGCTATCGCACTCTACTTTGCACCCGAATCACCCTGGTGGCTCGTGCGAAAGGGCCGTCTGGCCGAGGCAGAGAAGGCTGTGAAACGCCTTGGACGCGCCTCTGCAAATGATAATCCCGCTGACAAAGTCGCTATGATGCGTCGTACCATCGAACTCGAGGCGACTGAAAAGAAGCCCAGTCTGATTGAGCTGTGGAAGGGAACCGACCGTTACCGCACATTGATTGTTTGCGGCGTGTACGCATCTCAGAACCTGACCGGTAACCTGATTGCCAACCAAGCAGTTTACTTTTTCAAACGTGAGTCCCAGTTCATCATTTTCCAACATCGCACCTTATAGTCGACTAACACACCATCTCAGAGGCCGGTATGGCAGATAACACCGCTTTTGCGCTTGGTCTCATCACTTCAGCCCTCCAGTGGATCATGGTCATGCTCTCTTGGGTCCTCACAACATACCTTGGCCGTCGCACCGTCTATGTGTATGGTCAATGCATCAACTGTGTATTCTTGGTCGCGCTTGGTATTGCAGCCTCAGTCGGCGGTGGCCATGCGGCTAGCAATGCGCAAGCCTCACTTGGCTTGATCGTCTCCGTCCTCTTCTGCTTGGGACCCGCCCCTGCCTCCTGGGTCATCATCGGAGAGACATCTTCCGTTCGTCTCCGTCCCCTGACAACCGGTATTGGACGTGGTGCCTACTACCTGGTCAATATTCCTTGCATTTTCCTTTCCAGCTACATGCTCAACACTGGCAAGTGGAACCTGGGCGGAAAGAGCGGCTACATCTGGGCTGGTACCGCCGCAGTCTGCACGCTCATGTCTTGGCTCTGGATTCCAGAGATGAAGCACAGATCCTTCCGTGAGATCGACATTCTGTTCAAGCGTAAAGTCCAGGCTCGCAAGTGGAAGAGCACTGTCGTTGATATCCGCGATGATGAGTAGATGGATCCATGTATATTGCTATGGATTTTGGCAAGCCTGAGTGGTACTGTTAGTATATGAATAGAACCACATTCGACCTAGGTCAGATTAATTTTTTTGGAACATTGAAAAGCACAGCAAGCTGATTAACGATGTCGCATACTACTATCCACACATGTGCATAATGTAGACGTGCTTGAAATCGTCATACCTTATTACTCTAACATTTAATGTTTGACCTACTCCTTAAACTCTACTATTTTGTATAAGGCTTTGTCTTTTATATTTAATCACCCCTGAGCTCTATTCTTATTACTGTAGTTTCTTCAATGTTAGTACATGTATGGTGGTTTAACAAATGTTTGGCTGCTTAATGAGGTAATATTTACTCTATTTACTCCGATAAAGATTTAAATATAAGGTTATTGATAAAAAGAAGAGAACCTGCTATTATTTACCCTCTGCACAGTGAGGACAGTGTTCATTCAATGTTAGCTTGCTGAGCTCTTCCTTTGTGAAAGCATAATATTTCTCTCAAGTGCTAGATCCTGATATGCTCTGCTATATCTTGAGTATATTCCGGAAATTGTTTGCTGGACTGTTTCTATACTATTAAGATTGTTATTATTTGACTATGATTGAAATGTTTCATTTTAAATAAAGAGTAAAAATACTATATTGAGATAATTTATAAGGCCCTTTGATTATATTTAGTAATATTGTAGGTTCTTTATTTAAGAAAATGTTAAATAGTCTCTAGGGAGTATTATAAAGTTTAGCCAACCAGAAATATTAACATATAAAGAAGAGTAAAAATGATTATTAAGGGTCTAGAATAACTAGATAATTCTTAGGCTGAGGAAGAGGGTTGAGAAAGAGCAAAGCACTAGGTAGTAAGTAGGTACTACAAGTAAGAACTATAAATAAACGAAACCTTGGAAAAAGATTCAAACTTGGATGTCTAGTAAAGTACAGTTGTTATTAAAAATATTAGCCTGGAATTGGCTGTCATTGTCGTGTCCAATAATACATAGAAATACATATCTCTTGAATGCGTCGTTGCATCGTCCGATTCCCAATCATCAACTCAAACTCCGAACCCGAACCCGAACCTTGGAAATGCTAAGGGTCCCTGGGACAGGAAGACGAAAAGGAATCAACTCAAGGGAAGAGAAGAGGAAAAAAGGAAAAAAGAAAAAAGAAAAAAGAAAAAAGAAAAAAGAAAAAAGAAAAAAGAAAAAAGAAAAAAGAAAAAAGAAAAAAGAAAAAAAAAAACACAGAAAAATACAAGGTATCCAAAGAAATTAACACCGATCCTGGTCTATGAGACGCCATAGTCTATGCCCCGTAACATCATGCATGAATGCATGAATTGATATGCAAGCAGAGAAATCAAAAGACAAAACAGGCAAAAGAATAAGAAAATATCCCGCATGAAAAAGTGTTCACATCGCTTGGAACCAGCAAAAAGCAGCGCATACTAGAAATCAACGAAGTGAAATGTGCCTGGAAAGAAAACACTGAGGCGGGGTATCTCAAGGGAGGTAGAAGAAAAAAAGAAGAAAAAGAAATAGGTGGAAAGCAAGCTCTAAGCCACGACGGACCGACGAGCGTTGATGGGGATGGGCTTGGGGCCCCGAAATGTTCAGCTTAGACATGTCCATATCATTGCCGTCGTATTTAGTCGCGTTGGAGTGACGCTTAGGGCGGGCAGCAGCAGAGACAAGCACTGGCTGTGCAGTGCTTGGGGACTCTTCGTCGCCCATGGTGCTGCAGACGAAACGTTCATCGGAGATAGGAACGCCCCCAAACATCGTCCCTAGTTGTTGTAGCAGTGCGACGAAGTGAGCGTGGATCTCGGTGAAGATGTATTCGTTGCCGACAATCTCGGCTAAATTGCGTGCACGGATCTGACCCAGGCGGCGCGGCTGTCCGGTTGGGTCTGTGGCTCGCCCCGTTAGGAAGGAGGACACAGGTGGGAATTGACGACCGCCGGAGATGCCTCCGGGACTAGTTTGCTCTTCGCGAGTCTTTTCGTCTTCCTGGAAGCGCTCAGCCGCGCTCACAATCCCGGTTGCAATGCGGCCGAATGCTCGCCAGATGACGGGGCAGGCTCGGAATGCTCTTCCGGCATCTTTTCCGGCGAGCGCCACCAAGGCATAGCTGCGTCGTTTACCACGGGCCATGGGATCGGGCAGACGGAAGATATAGGCAATTGTATAGCCTGCGACGGAGTCACCGAAGCAGATTGGACCGGAGGAGAGACCGCGGGGGAGAAGCTCGCAACTTAAAGTGCGGATGGAGGATCGACGTAAGAGGGCGTAATCGGTAGGGTTTGGTGGGCCCCGGAGAGAGAGGTAGGTGAGGATATGTGAGTGGCAGGAGGAGTCGGAGGCGACCGAGGCGGAGCGTAGAGAATCGGGTGGGGATGCATGAGCGTGAGGGTCGGGTGTGCGATCATCGTTATCGGAGTGACTGTTGCCGCAGGAGTATACGACCTCGCGGGAGCGCAAGACGGGACTTCCATTATTGGACTTGCCGTCACGACTGGGGGAAGGCAGCTGTTTGCTCACGTCTTCCGGAAGAGACAAGCTACAGCTGGCGCATGTATCCCCGTCGACGCTCCCCGCGCGGGTATTTCGTTCTTCGGGCGAGGCCGGTTGCGGTCGCATGAAATATGGGTGATCTTCGATCTTGTCGACTTTTGGGGAATTGAAATCATTGACGGGGGTATTGGGGGACTTGGGACGAGGAGAGTGTGATGGGCTGGAATCGGGAGAATGATCCGCATCCGGATGGCATTGCGAACAGGCGAACGGGGTAACCTGAGAGCAGATAATAGAGGTTGGACCATGCACTTCGCAGAAGTGCGTCAAGGATAACTGAAAGAAGAGATTAGCCATGGTTTTGGAAAATTTTGAGGCTTTTGGGGGAGGAATAGGATCAGCTTACAATGAAATCCATAGCGGGAATCCGTAATCACAAGTAGATCACCAGGGATTTTTCTTTTTTCTTTTTTTTTCAGGGCATCATTGCGGGCATGCCTTGGGGAATGCGCCGGGAGATATCCACAGACCAGGTTCCCGGGAAGGGGGAAAGATCTTGAATATAAGTAAAGGGAGATATTTAGAGATTTAGAGATATGTAACAAAAGTTCCAGATGCGAAGGGGGAGGAGGTTCTTTTGCCACGGACCAAAGTTACATTTGGATTTCCACCGGTGTTGTCGGCTTCGGTCGAAGACCGAGTGGAGCCCCAAACTCGTGAAAAGAAAAAAAGAAATAAAATCCCCTCTGTTTTAAGAGGAAAATGGAAGGTCGATGGAAGAAAAGAACAAGCTGCTCCACTTGACGGATCCACTGAGGCTTTTCCGATTACTCCAGTTATAGCACTTTCCTTTCTGCTTAGTGCAAGCTGGTCTTTTTTTTTTTTTTTTTTTTTTTTTGGCGGATTTCTGGGATTTCTAGACAAGTCAGAAAAATGGCAGTGGATTGAACTCATTTTCTGTATACAAGGGGAAGATGTAGGGATCTTATTTTATATTACTTTTATTTTTGTCTTTATCATCCTTTGTTTCTCTCATTTGGTTCACACATATCTAACCTTGGAAAAATCCAAGCCTTCTACGTAAAGTTATGTAGCTTTGTATAGATTAGAAGTTCCTATCTCACATTCCTTTTCCTCCTTACTGGGGAATGAACTCTCTCCCTTCCCCGGTTCCGTCTTCCCCGTGAGGGAGAATTGAAACCCTCGGATACTAGTATGTATCATATTGGATTTTCTTTTGAAATTTCTTTTGAATTTTCTTTTGAATTTTCTTTTGAATTTTCTTTTGAATTTTTCATGTGAAATAAAACAAACAGTTGAAATTAAAAACCTTCTCGGCCCGATGGATTGACGACCCAACGTGTTCCCGTGTTCTAGTCCCGTTTGTGAAGTGAAATGGAAATGGAAATGGAAATGGCTGAAATAATGCAGGGGTAGAATGGAAAGCTCCGTAAGTTTGGTATTTTACTGATCTATCAGCTGAGAGGTTCATTTTCTGATTTTCTTTTTTCTATTTTCTAATATTTCAATAGACTGGCTTTTGTTTTATGACTCTCCCTTTATTTTGGATTAATATTATTTTCTTGTCCGATAGTGGCTGGGAAAGTCGAGGGTTTTTACGTAGTTCTGAATGTTTTTTACTGTGAAAAAAAATATATATACATATATATTAAAAAAATATTAAAATAAAATAAAAACAAAACATCACCTTTTCTTCCCTTTCTCTGTTTCATACTCTCGGAGCATTTAACTTCTAAAATGTCAATTTAATTCGACTGGAGCGGAAAGGCGGATTCCCAATCCTCCGATTTGCTACGTTACTCCGGATATACACAAGACATCGTAGATGCCCCATACTTCTACTCCGTACATGCTTTGAGGGGAGATTTAATCCTCAAATTAAATCTTTCTTACGGAGTAAATCTTAGTCTGACCCGAGGATTGCCCATCTGGCTCCTTCGGTTCAGGATGATCTGTTGATCGTTTCTCCTTTGAGATGTTCAGACTTCCAGAACATTATTTTGAACATTTTTGATTTATTTGGGAACGGGTTAGGCCTGGAGCCGATATAGGATCCCCCTAGTACTAATGCCCCCCCCTAATGCCCCCCCCCCTTCGGGTAGGAGGGCACTGGTCCCGAACTTTTACAGACTTTAGGGCGATTAGCAACGACAGGGATCTAAACCTTGACTTGCTTATTCTCAAATGGAGATCCTCGTATTCTTCCACGCTAATGTACTCCCTAGCAGTAGGGCCGTTAAATGCCCAAATGCATTGTCATTGTCATCTCGCACAACGTCATCACTACCTACTAGTATATGCGACATCGCCCGCCTTCTCCGTTCTTCCCTCAAGTCCCGATCGGCGACTCCTACAGATTGTTCGAGATTGATTTAGACTGAAATCATGATTGCGTATTCCTTCTCTCATACTTTTTTTTTCACCGTACTCTTAGGAATGCAATCAGCCGCGAAACAAGTCACCGGGTCTAAATCAAGCCCACTTCCTGGCCTTGCATCAAGACTTAAAAGAACCCCTCATAAAAACTTGGTAAAGTAGGCAGCCTAGCTTACAACACTACATGCAAGACCCTCGGTGGCTGCATGACTCTTATGTACATAGTATAACCACACACGGCATGTATTCGATCGCGTTCCGGATCCCTGCTTCCCCTCTCGCCCGATTGAATTAATTTAATTCTCTTTTGATCCAACCGCGGCTAATGAAAGTGGGGGCTACCGAAAGTTGGAGCACTTGAGGGAACATCGCTCTTCCGAGCAAGTCGACCGTGCCGCATCTCCGAATCCTTTCTCATGGTTTTGCCTACCTTGTCATTGATTGGTCGGAGAAGCGGATGACCATTCCCAAGGTTATATAGTTGCTCCATAAAGGGTGATTAGGGCTAAGATATACAATTAGGCAGTAAAGTTCATCCAATAGGGGCCATAGTCTAATGGTATGGCGTCAGATTCCAATTAGGAGTTTCTCTGAAAGGAACCATCTGAAAGTTGGGAGTTCGATTCTCTCTGGCCTCATTTTTTTAATTTTTTTTATTCTTTTCAAATTCTTATCTCAATTACTTTTTCATAATGTAGTTAATACCAGTTATAGGGATAATTAAATCGATTTCATTGGTGATTGATGATATCAATCAATTCATGCAGATGTGAAGGCATGCCAATATGTAGTACTCAGGTGCTATTTATACGCACATGCATACATCACATAAGTGCTTGAGCGCACTGAACTTCAAAGGTACATATATTTTTTACAGTGTCTCGATAACCAGTTAACGGTTCAACCTACGTGTTACATATTCGAATGTCGGGAAAATATATATATCCGGGTGATGCGCATTCAACTACATCCATGGATGCAAGCAACCAGTTGACGCCCACATGCCCAAACCCGCAAGATAAAATTCCAGGGTTCCAAGGTTATTCCAAATGTTTATCGATTGATCAAATAATCCTTAAACAATAACCTTGGAACACTTTTAAAGCTACCTATTTCTCTTGCAAAACATTCAAACATTGAATATATATACTAGTATGTATCCATGGATACATTGGCGATCAAGGGAATAAAAATAGTCTAATACATACATGTATGTATGTACATAGCTAGAATACGTCAAGTAAGGATGGACTCTGGGTCATATTGGATGTATGTACTTGGTTCAAATTGTACATAATATGATATATAAAAAATGTTATCAATTGATCCATGTGAAAAATAAGTGCTTTGTAATGGAGGAAGCTTCCCCACCGCCACCTCAACTCAAGCGCTCCGAAATCGCTTGGAAGCTTGGTGTTTCTTCGCCAAAATCAAAACAAATCCAACATTTGAAAGCACCCGGATGTGAACTCCCAGGCAAATGGACGCTTAGAATTTCTCTTCTGCAGTCATTTCATGGATCCGGTGATTGCCTAGCGTACCGGCAAGTCACCCAATCGAACTCAGACAGTGGAGTAAATGGAGTTGTCGGCTCCAGTTCTTTTGCTTTGCTTGACTCCATTCTGCATGCTAACAATTTCCCTTACCCGCCTAACCCACACGAACGCGTTGAGGGTTTTGACTTTTTCTTTACCCACAACTGTTTGTCCGCTCCGGAATGGATTGACACACGACAGCTTAACGGGTTGAGGGGCTGATGGGTCGAGCCATGTCGATATTAATAATGCCCTATGGAGATTATGGAGACCCGGACTGAACGGAGCACCGATCACCCAATATGAATAGTGATGAAGTGATTTAGGAGGCGACTTGCGACTCTTGCCGAGTTGCCTATTTCTGTTTGTTCCACCGAGTCCGGAACTCGGCCAGTCTTTGGTTTATTTTCAATGTTCTCAATGTTTTCAATGTTTTGTTTGTTTGTTTATTTTTTATTTTTATTTTCCCTTGGGAAGTTGATGATTCCGTAGTGTTTTAGGCTGAGACTTTCGGTGAAGGTATCCGGATGATGTACAGATGTCACTTTGTCGGGGAGATCGGAACACTGCATGTACTTTACTAGTCATGTGCCAATGGTGTACAACTTTGATGTTATGCATCTACCTTCCAAGGTTAGACGAATATGTGATTTCTTTTGATCTAAGATCAGATTATACACCACGTGGTCTATCTTGGATGTTGCACAAGTTGAAACATTGAACCTTTGGTCTTTCCATGTTCAATGTTTAGAGATTTGTACTAGTACATTCCATCACAGATGTCTTAAAAATTAACCAAGCAGAAAAGAAGGAACATCCACAGATATGGTGACAAGCTCCGCGGAAATATAGGTATCGTGACAAGTGCTACAGAGTACTCCATACAGACAGCTAGACATAAGGAGGCCTGGACCTGTGGGAACCTCCACAGCTCTAGCCGACACCGAGGCAATTACATACAGGTCAGAAGACCACCCAAGTACGGACATCTGGATACCTAGTACTACTAGGTACCGGAACGTCAAGAGCCTTTTAAATATGCAGGACTTTATAATGGTGACATGGTTGGATTTTTGTTATCTTCTGGCTCCATCTTTTGTTTTTGCTCAATAATTTCCAGAGCTATTCGTGTCTGTGTCTGCAATTGAGAACGCACATGCTTTATCTCGAATAGACGAAATCCTTTCATGTGCGTAAAAATCGGATTCAATGTTTGATTAGCCTGCTCGTGTGCATTTGTCTGGAACGAGGTCATTGCTTGACTTCTCGGAGAACCATGGAAATGCCAACGAGGCTGAAAACTAGTATACGAATACTACTCGTATGTATTGTAAACGTATTATACATATCCATTGGTTGAACAACTCCTTCTGGTACGATCAGTTAAGCTTCCTCTCGAATCGATCGCGAGAGATAAACACTGGTTTTCTTCCAAGGTTTTCGCTTTCTTTCATTTTGATCCAGATACTTCAGTGACATCCTATTTTGATTTTGGAACCCTCGCTGGCTCTGAGCTGAAATTATTGCAGCGGCGCTCCGTGTGTGAACTGGTCGAATTCCGAGACCGGTCATGTCAGAGCCCATAGAAATGGGTAATATCTCATGATAACCAGGCTTGAGAAAGGTCGCGAGTTTGAATAAGTAGACTAAACTCAGAATTCATAGAATAAAGATCATTTATCTCCGATCATCTTTGGGCATTTGCAGACCCATCATCGATAGTAGGTTCCCTGCAGGGCCTGCAGTACCAGCCTGTCCCTGAAGACTCTGCAAAATATTCCTCGCAAGATTGATATTGGCGGTGTCTTCGTCATAATTTTCGGTTTCCTCACCTTCATCTCCTTTAGAGGTATCTTCTCCGGATGATGACTTCTGCTGCTTCCGATTCAGATCCAAGACACCGGTCCTTTTCAGCTCCGCCTCCATCTGCCGAGAGACTTCCTGGATCTGTTCCAATTCATCATCTTGCTCGTCATCCTCTGCTTCAAGTTCTTTAATTCGATTGCGTAGTGGTGTTGAGAGGTCGGGGCCTGCACCGGAAGAGGACGGCATGCCCATCATCTCTTTCATCATTCGGGCAAATTCCTCTTCGTTGAATGATCCATCTTTGTCTTCTCCATCACTGCTGAATTTATCTTCGTCATCTTCATCATCAACGTCGGAATCAGTATCAAAATCATCGAATTCGGCTCCATCAAAACCGGCCGAGGTATCATTCAGGAATTCGTCGAAGCGAGCCACAATTCTTTGTAAGTTTTCTTGTGCTCCTGCATCGCCAAAGTTTCCACCTTCGTTGCCTTTGCCTTTGCCCTTGCCTTTCAGCTCTCGATCTAGATCCTCAAAGTTGATGTCCAACCATTTTTCATCATCCTCTCGCTTATCCCATGTCTTTTCAATCTCTTCGTTTGTTGGGAGCTCCTCGTCGCCAGTTTCCACGTCCTCCAAAAGAAGCTTCATCTCTCTGACAGCAGCCTTATCTTGATGATGAGGATCATAGAGTAACATTTCGAACCCACAAGTCAGCTTCATTCCAGTTTCCGCGGGCGGGTATGTTTTGTCTTCATCTATTGGTGGCAATTTACCCGCCCAAGTGCTTGGAATGGGAAATTCTTGGCTTTTGACCTGGGCGTACCCAACGCGCGTGAACCGAACGCTCACCGTGACCATATCTTCCGGCTTGAAAATAAGGCCGGATGCATCTTTGGCACGAAGAGGGCGCAAGGCGATTGGATCACGGACGTAGAATGCCTCCACGGCTGGCGATATATATCCGGGTTTTTGATGGAGGAGGAATGCGACCTTGCGGGGAATCGTCACTTTTGCCGAGTGTAAATTCTCGGAGATTTGTTTGGGGTAGTTGCGTAATCTATAGAAGGCTTCTTCTTGAATCATGGTGGACTTGATAAAGCGATCCGGTTCTGCTTGGATGATCTTTCGGGCTTGGGAGAGAGAGAGTTTCTCAGTTACTTTCTTCCCAGTATCTTGTTTTGGTTTGATGATTTTGAGGCCTCCTTGATTAATCCACACCTATGTGATGGAACATTTGAGATTAGCTTTTTTTTTTCTTTTCTTCTCTCTCTTTCTTTATTTTGGGCCTTTCTCTCTCCTAAACCAAGTCTGTCGTTATTGGAGCTTACCCTGTTATCTGCGACTTCGGGCTCTAGCCAGGCAGGAAGTGTACCGGCAGCTTCGACAAGTAGAAACTCGCCATCACCATCCACTACCTTGACCCAAATATCCTTGTGTTGTTTGGTCAATTCACGCAAGATATAGACCACAACCCATTCATCTTCGATCGAGTCTCCGTAGTTGGTGCGGCCGCTAAGATAGGTGATCCCTGCAATCGGAGATAGACAATCAGTGAAACGGACTTGAACAAGAAAAGGAGGAATTATCTCCACACCATCGTCTTTCACAATCTCTAGGTGAAAAGCTTCTCTTTGCCAGATATAATTCTTGAGTAAATCTTTGATCAATTCTGCGGCAGTGCGCTGCACCTCAAGCAATCGGGCCCTAGTCTCGGCAGCTTCATCGATAACGGCGGGGGCGGGGGAAGGTAAATGATAGATGAAGTACTCGACAGAGTCATCAGGAAGCTCTGGCTTTGGAATTGGATGAAAGGTGGATTTGAACCACGCGATATCTTCTTCCGTAGCCATAGTTCTTTTTTTCTTTGAAAGAAAAAAAGCCGTTGTTTCTTTTCTCTTTAGAATGCGACCATGACCTCATGGAATTCCAATGAAGAGAAGAAGAAAAAAAGCGGCGAAAGTCCAAGACCCACTCGTGAACAACCGCTAATCCTAAAGCGGCTAGACATCAACAGTCTCCCACGCTTTCGCAACATGAACACACGTTCCTGCCCAAGTGATTTCCCTCAACCCCGTGAAAACCTTTTGAGAAAGGTGGTGGTTGCGTGTTTAAACGCTACTGTCACGTCCATCACTTTGTCCCGCCACAATGGCGTTCCCCTATATCGACACGCCGCGTACCGAGATTGACGGGAACGCGACTTATCTCACCAACGGCTTTCGCAGCGTCGGGCGAACACACCTATCGGCTCTGGATTCAGTGGAAAATTCCTTTCATACCCCGTCCAAGGATAATGATGTGATCAAGGGCTTCGATAATGGCAGGAGACGCGTCTCAAACAGCAACAAACTTGCCACCCCGCGTGCCAACAACCCCAAGTCGACAAGAAGCGCGTTAAGACACCTTCCTGCAGCTGGACCAGCCAAGGGAGAGTTTACACCTTTGATGAAAAGCGCGACAAAGAACAATTACCTCAAAAATATCTCCACCACTCGAGGGGCGGATGGCCCGAAGACTCCGGGTTACATGCGAGAAACCAGTCGCATGGCACACACCCCCGGCCTGCCTGCCATTGATATGTCTGATATATACGAGGAGGATATGACAGCCGATGAACCAACTCCACTTCCTCAAGCCGCTAGCAGCAGTGTGCAGAGTACTCCTCTTCCAGGGCTTGGTCGTGGCGGTGGAGGTATCCTAGGTGATGGGCAGAATATGACTTTGAAGGAGCAAGAAAGAGTATGTTTATTTTTCCTTCTTCTTAATCTTATATGGAACATCTTGGAGTGTGCGCTGACTTTTTTTGGCCTTGTAGATCATCGACAGGCTCGACAAAGACAACTGGAACCTCAAGCTTAAGATCCACTACCTCGAAGAGCAACTAGAGAAAGCCGGCCCGGAATACAACAGCACCGCCCTCAAGGAAAACACAGAGCTAAAAGTCTTGAAGTTGACGATGCAGCGTGATATCTCTCGATACAAGAAGAGTCTATTATCGGCAGAACGCGACCTGGTGGATTACCAGCAGCAACTCACAGTGATGAGAGATAAAGCCCGACGAGGACAGACCGACGAGGAGGTACAACGAGAAATGGACATCATGCGTGAGGAAGTCGATAGTCGAGACAAGGAGATCAGAGAACTACAAGAAGTATTAAGACTGGTCAAGAACGAAAAATCCGAAGAGGTAGACAAACTCCGAGATGAAGTTGAGGACTTGGAGGCAACGGTCCGTGAAAAAGATCGGGCTATCGAGGAACGCGATGAACAGCTGGAAGAGTTGAGAGAGAACGCCAACGAGAACGACGCTGGCACGGAATTACAAATCGAGCTTGACCGGGCCAAAGAGCATCTCCAAGAACTTCAAGATAACCTTGAGAAGGCTAAAATGGATATCGAAGAGGCGGCATACACCGCAAGACAGGCTGTGGACGAAAAAAATCGCGCTGAAGATGATCTCCGGGAACTACAGGACGAGATGTCGAATAAGTCTTTTACAACAAAGGGGCTTAGTCGGCAGCTTGAAGAGAGAGCTGAACAGCTCGAGGTAGATATGCATGATCTACAGCAAGAAAATGCAACCCTCAAGTCTGAACTTGAGAGCAAATCTCGTTTTGTGGCTCAGCTGGAAGAGCGCTACCACACTGTTCAGCAAGACTTGAAGAGCAGCGCAGGAAAGCTTGGCGAGGACCTTGCATCGGTCAGACGTGAACGGGACTCGGCGGTGAGAGATCGTGAACAGGCATCTCTGCGCCTACAAGAAGCCCTTGACGAAACCCAACGCCGAACGGAAGAGAAGGAGCTCTTGCAGACTCGACACCAGGCATTGACTGATGAGTCGGGAGGTCTCCAAGGTGAATTGACTCGAGCGCAGTCTAGGATTCGCGAACTTCAACAAGCAGTTGAAGAGGCCACCAACCGCGCACAAGATAACCAGAATATTCGCTGGCAGCATAAGGTGGAGCTGGAGCGACTTCAAGATGAGATCGAAGCCCTCCAGCATGAAATCGAGGATAAAGAAGGCAACTTTGCCCTTGAGCAGGATCGTTGGGAAAGTACCAAGCGCACATTGCAGTCCCAGAAAGAGCGGGCAGAAGAGCAAGCATTGGGCTACAAGAGGACGGCTGAGAGACTTCAGGCGGCGGAACACAGTCTTTCAGGGAAAGAGTACAAACTTCAGGATGTCATCGACAGTGAGAAGCAACGCCACACCCAGGAAGAAGCCGTGCTCAGTCGTCAAGTCAAAGAACTGGATACCGAACTAGCACAGAAGAGACAGATTATCGACCAACAACGCAATGACCTCCTTACTGTGCGGGAAGAGCTTCGCATCTCCAGGCGCGAAGAGCAATCGCTCAAGGAGAAGATCCAGGCATTGGAAGATGAAGTTATTGTTTTACAATCTAGCCTAGCAGACGAGCAACAATATGCCAAGGGTCGATCTCAAAAGGGTTTGGCCGACGTCCAACCCCAGCTGCAGAAAGCTATTGCGGATAGAGACACGCTACGTGATCAGCTTGCCAATGCTCATGTTGAGTTACACGATTTGCGGATTTCTATGGCCGAGATGGAGGTTGAGCGAGACGAACTCCAGGCCCAGGTTGAACGTGCTCAGAATAGCGATGAAACAACCAGATTTGACCGGGAGAAGCTGGAGCTCCGGAAGACTACCACTCGACTGGACAACGAAATGAAACGACTTCGAGAGGATAAATCTGCTCTGCTGGAAGCTAAGGAAACCCTTGAGACTCAACTTAGAAATGAGATCGAGCGTGCTACTGAAGAGGAGGCTCGTCTTGGGGCCGAGATTGATCGTCTTAATGATAAGCTACTCGCTGGTTCTGGAAACCGGGACAGAGAATTGACAACAGCCAAGACAAAGGTGCAACGATTCGAACGACGAATCCAAGAGTTGGAGAAACTTCTCACACAACAACCACAGGCTGATCAGGAACAGTCAACCACGCATGGTGACCTTTCCGTTCTTCGTCATGGCCTGGATGAAGCTCGAAGGCGTGAAAAGGTACTCTTGCAGCGCGAATCAGAGTACAAAGCCTCCGCACGCACCTTGAAATCACGAGCCTCAGACCTGGAAAGAGAGCTTCATGATGCCCTGATGGGCAAAATCGAATCCCACTCCACACAGAATTCGCCCTCCAACAAACTCAATGAAGAGTTGCGTGGTTTACGTAAACAGCTCGCGGATGCTCACCGGTCTCTCAAGGAGGTCAAGTCTAAAAACCGCGACCTGGAGCGTGCTGTGATGAAAGAGGAGGATCAAAGGGACCTCCATGAGCTGCTCAAGTCATCAACTATAGAAGCAGAGGCCCTGGCCCTGAAGGTCTCCGAACGAGACTCCCGATTAAATGAGTTAAAGGCCCTAGTTCGCCGCATCCGTGAAGAGCGAGCCTTCTGCGTACGCAAAGCTGAAACGGCATTGAAAGACTTGCAGACATTACAGCAACGCTACGACGAAGCTCTGGAAAAGATGTCTCAAGGCAAATTTACCAACAAAACCCGACATGAGAAGGAGATGCGTGGCCTAGGCAAGGAAATTATCTGGCTCCGTGCCCGTCTACAGCGCGAGGAGAAGTTCCGTCGTGACTTGGCCTGGAGTAAGGGTCTGATGGAACTCGGTGAACGAGTTCGGGTAGCATGGTTCGTCACACTATTCTCTTCATATGCAATGGAAGTCCTTAACTAACACAATTTGAACCTGCAGCAACGAAGCCGACCTCCGCATGATCTCCCAAATGGGTGTACAAGCCGGTGACCAGAAATCAGCGCGTTCATCCCGCGGCAAGTTCCGATCTGCCATCTCCCTTGTTATCGCGACCGTTCGCATGAAAAAGATGGGCCAGGAGTGGAGGCGGACCAAGAAGCTAGGCGAAGGCTTGAAGCGGGCCAAGAGTGAGATGCTTAAACGCCGCGAAAGCTCCAACAAGAGCTTGCTAGGCCAATAGATCTGTTGATTTACTTTGTTCATTAAGGCTGCTTTGTTTCATTCGATTGTTTTCCAGCGTCATCAACCCCTTCTGCTACGAGAGATTCCCCGACATGTCATGCTACTATGCAATTTGTTTTTGTTGTTTGTCTTCTCCTTTGGATCTGTTCTGCCTTCTCTCGGCGTTTTTGGGTTCTTGTTCTGATCTGAACAATGGTATTGATGCTGTTCTTTAACGTCTAGCATCGTTGAGCATGGTCATTCCGGCGTGATTTCCACGGTTATATGTTTATTTTCTGTACTGTTTTGTGTAGTTTTTTTCACGGTTAGCAGCAACTGAGCCTTTAATTGGCACTCGTTTCCAAGGTTCCAACATTGAAAGTTAGGAATGTACGTAACATTGAAACATTTGAATGTTAGAACCTTGGAAGATTGGAAGAAAAGACCCTGAACCCCCTTGGCGCACTACTAGTTGACTACCAGTTACTAATGTATCTACTAGTACGTCTTGCTAGTACTATCTAGTAGTAGGTAGCTGCTGCAGTTTTAGACATCCAGATCCTTTTAGGTAGCACATAGTATATATCTGTAGTATGTACTAGGTTCTTCCTAGGTTGTGAGAACTTTCCTTGTCACATGCAAGGCAACGGCTCACAAATTAAGCCCTGCGGATATTCAACCCAACATTTGAAAGGTTCGAAGAGCACGTTCGCCATCTACTCCGGTGATCGGGTCCCAGGGTCTAGAATCGAGGTACTGTAGTATTTATATGGATCACAGCTTCTTTTGCGAGCCCCTTGGACAGAAGATCCTTCAGAATAAAAACACATGGATATTTGCCCAATCAACGCCTCGCCATTGCCTAAAGTACTCGACGTAAATGGATAAAAAAAAAAACAAGAGAAAACGAACATGAAAGGCAGCGCTGCCATTTACTAAAACACCATTATTCTTCAAAGCAAGCCCAACACCGGAAGGTATGAGACAGACAGAATGTGAAATGAGGTATTCGGAATGGCGGACCCAGAATTGCCCGGAAGAACTTGAGGTTATAAGATCGGGATCAAGCGAGGGGCTTCAGAGGCGATGCACAATTTAGAGAATTGATCATGCGCCCTCACTGCCGAACTCCTTCGTCCACTCTGAATTCCGTGTAAGGTCTTCATAGCTGACTGTAGGGCGGGAGTTCTTGACTGCTTTGATGAAATCCTTCAGAACAAGTGGAGGCTCCAGGAGTTGCTCTGCTTCTATGCTAAGCCAAGTCATTTCCGCTGCACCAGCATCGCCTGGCGAACAGGGAGTGAATTTCTCAACTCCATCAACGGTGACCTAAAGCGCGAGTAAGTTAGTATTGTCTTCTCTCAAGAATATGTGGTAAGTTGACTGACCTTTTTATAATGTGTTGCTGTTTGGATCTTGCGAATTGGCTGCATCAGGGCATCCTGCACAGCAATACTGATGTCGCTACCAGAGTAGCCTTCACTCATCTCAGCCAATGAACGGTAGTCAGCTTGAGTCAATTGACAAGGTGTGGAGCCCACGGCCAGCATGAACATCTTCATTCGTGCATTGAGATCGGGCAAGCTGATATGGACTCGGCGTTGGAATCGTCGCCGAATAGCGGCATCCAGTTGCCAGGGAATGTTGGTGGCGCCCAAGATCAAAACACCCTTTGAATCCTTTCCGACACCATCCATCTGCACAAGAAGCTCGGTTTTGATACGTCGGGACGCCTCAGATTCACCTTCGCCACGTGGTCCACATAGTGCGTCGACTTCGTCAATGAAGATAATTGCGGGTTTGTTTTCACGGGCCATATTGAACAATTGCTTGACGAGTCTAGAGTTCGGTCAGTCTGATATTCTGCAGGTCTACCAAATGCGTGAGGGTGAATTGGGCGCTCACCTTTCACTCTCTCCCATCCACTTTGACACCAAGTCACTACTGCTGACACTGAAGAATGTACTGTTCGCTTCCGTTGCGACAGCCTTAGCCAGATATGATTTACCGGTACCAGGAGGACCGTATAGCAAGATTCCCTTCCACGGCTGTCGCTTGCCAGTAAACAAGTGCGGGAACTTGATAGGAAGAATAACCGCCTCCTTCAAGGCCTCCTTCGCGTTTTCTAGACCAGCAACATCCTCCCACTTGATGTTTGGCTTATCCGACAAGATAGCACCTTGCAAGGCCGATCGAAGTTTTTTCGCATCAGCATCTTCCCCATTGTCATCGTCTTCTTTCCTATCGAGGCGATATTCGTCAGTATTAAGTCCCTGGTAGCACCCGTATGATGCTTATCTTAGCCAAAAAAAAAGATACCAAGAAAAAATGTCAAATCTTACCCTTTTCCGCTTCCTTGCGCAACCTTTCCATTCGCGCCCACTGCGCTAGGTTTTTGTTTACCCTCACCGGAAGCCAAATGATTCTTTAGCTTCTCTGCGCGATCCATATACTCGCCTGTCTTGGCACGAATCATCTCTTTGGATCGTGGGTTTTTCTCCCATTTCAAAGCCAGCATGAACAACTCCAATGCGGCGTAGTATTGCTGATAAGCCTGTTCGTACTCGCCCTCATTGTCGTTCTCGATCGCCTTCTTAACCGTGTCAATCGCCCGCCCCAGGAAATCCGTGTTACTCATTCTGGCGGATCCTTTGTCCTGACGTGCTTGTTACGGGTTCGGGGGTGTTGCAAGTCAACTGCGGAGCGATAAAGCGGGGAGATGGAGAGAGGGGAAGGAAGGGTGTTTCCGTTCGTTCTAGGCAGCGGCTTTTGAAACGAGAGTCGAGAACCGAACCAGGAGGAGAGTAAGCGAATGGTAGAGGAATGGAATAAATGAACGGGTGCGGGGAGTGATGCACGAGCTTGAGTGTTGGGGAGGGAGGAGGATTGGAGTTGGAGTTTGGAGGGGGAAGAGGAGGTTGTGTTGACGGGCGGGCGGACGATGATCGGTTTTCCCTTCTCCCACCTCCCCGCCAGCCTTCGTCATGGACGCCCAGAAACAGCTCCAGGCTCTCTCGGACGAGTTCCAGCAGATGCAGACCGGTAATTTTGGACCTCAGATCTCTTTTAATGTACAACGAATGATGATAGTTAATTGTTTATACGTTTGATTAGAGCTCGAAGGTCTTGTCGATGCCCGCCAGAAGCTCGAGTCGCAACAGCAAGAAAACCAGGGTGTGCAGAGCGAATTTGCTCAGCTAGATGATGAATCCAACATCTTTAAGATGGTCGGACCGGTCTTGCTAAAGCAGGACAAGACAGAGGCTGTTATGTCTGTCAATGGCCGATTGGAATTCATTGAGAAGGAAATGTTAGTGTGCTCCCAATATCTTCTTGGTGATGACCGTTCACTGATTTATGCAACACAGCAAGCGAATCGAGAAAGAAATTGAAGCAAAGCAAGATGAGGCTGAGAAGAAGCGCACCGAGGTAAATAACTGGAATATCCCCCCGGGAGTGTCTTTTTTTTTTTATGACTACACACTGACATTCTATGATTAGATTGTGCAATTCCAAGCCCAAGTTCAACAGCAGCAGGCTGCTACTGCCTCCGCATAAATTCGACCGGCTATAAGAGGATCATCTGGGAAGGATACATGTGCAACTCTAAGAGGTAAAACGACCTACTAGATACCATCGACTGGATTTGTGCGGCAGCCAACGCGTTTGTCATACGCCTCCGGCCTATGTGCTGCTTGTCTCATCTCAAACTTGCCAAGGACCGGAATGTTCTCCTATCTGTGTCATCAAGACACCTGGAGGACATGCTCACCCAAGTGTATCCTCGATGATGTACGAAGTTGGCGAGACCTTGAGAAAAAAGAATTATACCCAATGCAATTTTGTCACGAACCAGAAAAAGCAGTGCTCCCCGGAGGTTTATATGCACATTTGTAGATGATACCCTTCATACTACCAGGTATGTACACATCATGTGCATATTCAAAATGTTCTTTGGGTAGGTTCCAAGCCCCAGGTGCCTGGAGGTTGTATTGACCTACCTAGGGTATCAAGGAAATTTCCTAGTTCGCGGTCTAATCTTACTATGTTTACTTGGAGCTCACTTCACAACTATTTCCACTCTTGCTTCGTATGCACCCCTGGGGACAAGGATATGTCCGATCGTACTGCCAAAAGAAATAAGGATCCGTCTCATTGGTAAGAACACCACCAATCAATCGTGACGAATACGGAAGATCGAAAGAGGCTTCAAAAACATCCACAGAGGCAATGCGTATCTGTCCCCAGCCTTTCTCGATGAGCTTTGCAATCGACGTTCCATAGATATACTCGCGAAATCCAGCCCACCGAATGGCAGAAGCGCACTGAGCATAAATGGAATCGATGATCAGCGATTAATTGTGATGAAGATTTAGTAGGGGTATAGGCTTCAAATGTTTAATCTGACTTACCATTGGGCAACTCTCGGCGTTCGTATATATAGATAGATCGGCAAATGCCGCCTGCGCTTCAGTAGCAGTAAGACGGAATTTGCCATGGGGGTCAGTTAGAATGCTTGTGCAATTGCCAATTGCTGCGATTTCGCCTATACTGGTGGTAAGCCAGGTTTCCATGGACATTAAACAGGTGTAAAGAAAGGAAATCTAACCGTGTAATGAGGGGTTTCCAGTTTTTCCGTTCTGATTGACCCCCATACAGATAAGCTCGCCCGTATTCGAGTCCGTGTGGTTCACGATCACTGTCCCAAAGGCCGCAAAGGGGCAGGGTGAACCGCTTAATTCATTAAATACCTGGTTTGCGAGACGCATCCAATGAGCTCGGACTTCGAACGATACTCCATTGATGCTTAAGCTGGGATCAGCTAGCGGCATTTGCGTAGCTGCTAGTGCTCTAGCTAGAGAAGCAGCGAATGGGATGAGGATGTGATTGAATCGCATTTTGATATTCTCTCAGAGATGAAAGGCAAATTTTTCAAATTGAGGACTTGGTAGATCTTTCTTTGTTTCTAGTATACCTACTACTGGTAACTGGTAGAAGTTGATGTTTCAATGTTTCATTATGCGGTGTGGCCAAGGGGAAGTTCGATATTTATGTAGTAAAGTGTATGTAGTGATAGCCCTGGAGATCGGCATTCAAGTTCGGCCGCAGTCGGCCGAGCTGGTCATTGCTTGAATGTAGGTTCTTGATAACTATGGATTACCTCAAGACCCCAGGTAGAGATAAGAGAAAAGGAATCAATCATTGAGTGTAAGAAGTAGTAGAGATACAATAAAGTAGTGGACAGTAAAGCACTAGTGTGTTAGTACTATTGTCTACATGCTTAAGAGTATTTAGTACGTACTTCTTAGTACTGCACAGATTACTTTGCACACAATTACGAGTCTCAGGTTACTGACAATGAAAGATAAGAGTCCAACCATAAAGTGGCTGTGTTGAAATTCCGAGAATAGCTGAATAGTGACGTGATGTACGGCAACAGCCAAAAAAAAAGCCCACACGCCAGATGTTGAACTTTTGGTTCCCTGAAAAGATCAGGTCTCCTCGCAGTTGAAGAAGCGAGGAGGATATGTAGTGGTTCGTTTCACATGCTTGAGAATAATAAAGAAAAAGAAAAAATAATTGAAAAATAATAATAGAAAAACAAGTAGAAATTACCCAGATGTCCCTAAGGTTGAAAAAGCAGACCTGTATATAAACCCCATAAAACGCACCGTGTGGTATTTCGATCTCCCAACGCTTTCATAGTTGATGTTGAACGCGCGAGATCTCAAGAGATTCATCTCTTCTTCGTAACTTTCATATCTTATAAAAAACCACCTCCTTCCTACTGGCATTGTTGGAAGCCAATTTAGATGGGCAGGGGGTAAGTGCTGGCCCAGGCGGCGATCTCCTTGCGGAGCTCCAGGATCTCAGGGACGGTGTCAGAGGCAACCTTGGCCTTGAAGTCCTTGAGCTTGTTGGCCTCCTTGGGAAGGTCACCCTGGATCTTCTTGCAGAGGGTGATGGTGGTGTCGATGTAGCGAGCGATGCGCTTGAAGTCCTGCTCACTCATACCACGAGTGGACATGGCAGGGGCACCAATACGGATACCGCAGGGGGTCAGGGCAGACTTGTCACCGGGGATGGAGTTCTTGTTGCAGGCAATGTTGATCTGCTCAAGGACAGCCTCAACACGGGCACCGTCCAGGCTCTTGGCGCGCAGGTCCAGGAGGACCATGTGGCTGTCAGTGCCGTCGGAGACGAGCTTGTGACCGAGAACCTTGAACTCCTCCTCAAGAGCCTTGGCGTTCTTGATGACCTGGGTCTGGTACTGCTTGAACTCAGGGGTATCAACCTGCTTCAGGGCAACGGCCAGAGCGGTGATGGTGTGGTTGTGGGGGCCACCCTGGTGACCGGGGAAGACGGAGAAGTTGATGGGGTTCTCCAGGTCGTACAGAACATCCTTTCCGGTCTTGTCGGTGCTGCGGACACCGCGGCGGAAGAAGATCATGGCACCACGAGGACCACGCAGAGACTTGTGGGTGGTGGTGGTGACAACGTCGGCGTACTCGAAGGGAGAGGGAATGACACCGGCAGCGATCAGACCGGAAATGTGGGCCATGTCAACAATGAGGTAGGCACCGACCTTGTCAGCGATCTGGCGCATGCGCTTGTAGTCGATCAGACGGCAGTAGGCAGAGGTACCGGCAACCAAGCACTTGGGGCGGTACATCTCGGCGTTCTTCTCCAGGGTGTCGTAGTCAATGATACCGGTCTCCAAGTCGACACGGTAGGGGAAAGTCTCGAAGTAGGTGGAGACAGCAGAGATCCTGGCAGATATATGTTTAGAAATTCATTCTCAATGCGAATATAATGATAATGATAATAAAAACTCACTTGCGAGCGGGAGTCTGGTAACCGTGAGACAAGTGACCACCGTGGGGGAGATCAAGACCCATGAGACGGTCATGGGGGCGCATCAGAGCCTGGTAGACTTGCAGGTTGGCAGGGGAGCCAGACAGGCACTGAACGTTGACACCCCACTTGGCGGGGTCGAGGTTGAAGGCCTTGAGAGCACGGTTCTGGCAAGTGATCTCAATGGCATCGATGTGCTGGTTACCGCCGTAGTAACGGGCACCAGGGTAACCCTCGGAGTACTTGTTGGACATGGGGGTACCCAGGGCCTCGAAGACAGCGTGGGAAGTGAAGTTCTCAGAGGCGATCAGAACGACCGACTCACGCTGACGCTGAATCTCCCGCTCCTATAGAACATGTTCAATTAGCTATAATTCCGGAACGATGCGAATGAAGATAGCAAGGCGTTGGTTTTATAGCAACCAATAACCTGAATTGAATTGGACGTACCATGATGGCGGCGATTTCAGGGTCACTCTCCTTGAGACCATCGTGCATTTGCTATGAAGTCATGAGTCACTGATTTTCGTCGATTGAATCCCACTATGAGGTCTTGAGGCACTTACAGCCCGGTGGGCATCAGACAAAGCGTAAGACATTGTGATGTGATGAAGAAAAAGGAGAATCAAGAGAAGAATGAAAGAAAAAATAGAAGGATGGAGGAAAGGGAAGAGGAAAGGAAAGGTAAAAAAGCTGGGAAGAAAAAAAAGCTGGTGGGGTAGAGGGGCGGAGGGATCGACGGGCCTCAGGCAAGGATTCACCGACGATATCGGAGAGTTTGGCCGGATCGGGTTGGATGTTTTTTTTGACTTTACTAAGGGAAAAAGCTCTGGAGATATTACGAGATGACTTGATGTTATTGATATTACGAAGTAATTGAATTCGTTCATTTGTAAAAATAGACTTGTATATCTGGTGGTGGAACTATGGGGATCTTTCTACGGGTTTCACCTCTACTGGTATTGAAGCTCATTCATTTTTGCCTTGCTTTCCCCGCAATGATCGGGTCAAGCCACACAAATTCTGCTGTTTCCTCTTTAAAAAAAAAAAAGACGATCTAAGAATCAACATGTTAAGAAAACAATTAAAACAAAATCAAACAACCAATTGGGTATTCCTCTTCCATAAACACCGGAAATATGACAAAAAAACCCCCCCCCCAAAATAATATACAGCGGTCAGCTCGGCTCAAACCTTGCTGCAAGCCCGTAGCTGCCGGTTTTCCCCCAATGACTCAGAAAAAGAAAAGAAAAGAAACGAAACGAAAAGAAAGGCAAAACCCTCGGGATAGCAACATTGACATCTCTATGTTTTTGCTGCACGGCTCCCAAAATCTGTGATGACGGATCGGAGACGTGCCACACGGTCCTCAAGCTCTGTAATCTCTCTTTGTTGCTCTTCCACAGATCGGTGGATATCTGGAAGTGCCTCCACCACCACCCGAGCCTTTTGGATTCGAATTCTCACAGAACTGGTTTGAGTTGGGAGATCTTTCACATCGAGCGGTGGGTGGGCATTATGATTCAGGGTAGGAACATCCGGAACTGCTTGGGATGTTGCACCTGCGTTGCCATTGGAAGGGACTTGGTCTTGTTGATGTGCTTCAGAAGCTCCTAGGACACCCGGAGCTTCTCCAGAGACACCAGCATTTCCACCGGGGGAGCTCTTTTGAGATAGCAAGCGAAGCAGAATGCCGTGGAGAGGTGGAATGATCTCAAAGGTCTGTGGTGATGGGAAAGGCACGGGTTGAGGCTGTTCGGTCGCGTGTTTGGAGGGACTCTCCGGCGCGACGGAGGACTTCGGCAGCGGAGTAGCTGCTGTCGGGGATCTAGAGGCCATTGTGGATTGAAAATGCAGGGCAAGATCGGAAAGCCGGATAAGACTGAAACGGACGAGAATGGGAAAAAAAACCCCCAACTTAAGCCGAGACTGGGGTAAGTGGTTTTTTAATGAGTTACGGAGTAGGAAAGAGTCGGAACCCCGGGTCGGTGACGAAAGCGTGTCACCGGGAAATGCCCCTCCATTTCCCTTCTTTCTTGTTCTTGAGCCCCCGGATTCTCTCCTTCTTCTTTTTTCCCCTTCTCACTATTTAGAAAGAAAAAAAAGAATAAAGGTATGTCACATCCTGTCATTCAATTACAAGGTGGATGCAATCTTTGATGCCAACGAATTGACACCATGTTTGATAGGTGATTACGGGACAATATAAACTTCCCCCACCATGGCCGACCAGAAAGTCGCTTTAAGTATGTGATTGGCCCTGCCACCCAGGTCCTCAGAACGATTTCACACTAACGCGAGCCTTTGTTGCTTCATCTTAGTTGTTATTGATGGCTGGGGTGTCTCTAACCCCAAGTCGCTCCCCAATAGCGATGCCATCGCCGCTGCCGACACTCCGTTTATGTCCGGCTTCGCTGAGGCCAATTCCAAGACCGCCCAGGGTTTCACCGAGCTCGAGGCCTCCTCCCTCGCAGTCGGCTTACCTGAAGGCCTAATGGGCAACAGTGAGGTCGGCCACTTGAACATTGGTGCCGGTCGTGTTGTCTGGCAGGACAGTGTTCGTATTGACCAGACCCTGAAGAATGGCGAGTTGAACAAGGTGGACAGTGTTGTCAAGGCCTTCACTCGTGCCAAGGAGGGCAATGGTCGTTTGCACCTCTGCGGTCTGGTTTCGGACGGTGGTGTCCACTCCAACATCACTCACTTGTTCGCTCTGCTTGAGGTCGCCAAAGAATTCCAGATTCCTCAGGTTTACATCCACTTCTTTGCTGATGGTCGTGATACCGACCCCAAGAGCGCTACCATTTACCTGGAGCAGCTCCTGGCCAAGACAAAGGAGCTTGGCGTCGGTACCATTGCCACCGTCGTTGGCCGTTACTACATTATGGACCGCGACAAGCGCTGGGAGCGTGTCGAGGTCGGCCTGAAGGGTCTGGTCACCGGCGAAGGCGAAGACAGCGAGGACCCTCTTCAGACCATCAAGGAACGTTATGAGAAGAGCGAGAACGATGAGTTCCTGAAGCCCATCATTGTTGGCGGCAAGGAACGCCGTATCCAGGGTTCGTTACAAAAACCAAAGAGATTTGAGATTGACAACTCGACTGACTCCACCTTCTAGATGATGACACTGTCTTCTTCTTCAACTACCGCTCGGATCGTGTCCGTGAGATTACCCAGTTGCTGGGTGACTTCGACCGCTCCCCACGTCCCGATTTTCCCTACCCCAAGAACATTTCTCTCACCACCATGACCCAGTACAAGACCGATTACACTTTCCCCGTTGCTTTCCCCCCTCAGCACATGGGCAATGTTCTATCCGAGTGGATGGGCAAGAAGAACCTTCAGCAGTGCCACATCGCCGAGACTGAGAAGTATGCACACGTTACTTTCTTTTTCAACGGTGGTGTTGAGAAGCAGTTCCCCGGTGAAGTTCGTGACATGATTCCCTCGCCCAAGGTGGCCACTTATGATCTTGATCCCAAGATGAGCGCCGCCGCTGTCGGTACCAAGATGGCGGAGCGCATTGGTGAGAACAAGTTTGACCTCGTTATGAACAACTTCGCCCCGCCTGACATGGTCGGCCACACTGGTGTGTACGAAGCTGCCATTCAAGCCGTTGCTGCCACCGACAAGGCCATTGGTGAGATCTACGAGGCTTGCAAGAAGAACAACTACATCCTCTTTATTACTGCTGATCACGGGTAAGTTTTTTCTAAAAAATTTTCTTTTTTTATCATATCACAAATTCAGTCTTCGCTCAAAACTGACAATTTATCTACAGTAATGCCGAGGAGATGCTTAACGAGAAGGGTACTCCCAAGACCTCCCACACCCTTAACAAGGTTCCCTTCGTCATGGCCAATGCCCCAGCTGGCTGGAGCCTCGAAAAGGAGGGCGGTGTTTTGGGTGACGTCGCGCCCACCGTGCTTGCTGCCATGGGCGTCGAGCAACCCGCCGAGATGACGGGTAAGAACCTGCTGGTCAAGGCATAGATTAGAATTTCGCGCGAATAATTACCTACTAGTAGTTATGAGAATGAATCAATGAATAGATAATGGAATGTGGATATACCGGCATACAAGAGGTCTTGAATATAACATTGAATACATTTGAATCAATTGATCTCCCACGAGGGCAGTAGGTACATACTAGTAAGAACCTTCATCCACATGTTGATACAAACCAAGATGTTGAAAACCATTTACAAGGACATCATGTTTACATTTATACAAAAGGAACTATAGTTCCAAGGTTACTAGTATGGAATGATCATAGATTAGCTTTCCCTATACCCAAGATGTAATCTGTACTACTACTCAAGTGCTACGAACAAGTGGTGTATTATCGTATATATGGTACCGAGTTCGGTCACGTAATACCGCACGTGCTCAAATGGAATCTTGGAACGATCCAATCATATCAAACATTTCAAACATTGTTATCGGATCTGTCAACTTTGGAAATCAAGTTCTCTTTGTCATTCGTTCTTGATTTTGTCACTTTGGTGACTGTTGGCCGTTTCACCAAGCCATCTTGACTCCAGCGCTGGAACTTCCAAGTTTCAACTGTTCCAGGCTTTGTCTTTGGCTCCACCGATAAGGAAGCCCCTCTTTCTTATCATCTCATCTGCGGAGTACTCGAGTCCAGGTTACTTCATAGACTACACGGTCGCTCTACGGTTTTCCTGGCTTCAATAAGATCCAGAAGGAGATATCATAACACCAACAAGAAAAGAGAGAAAAAAAGTTCCCCTTCACCTACTACATATCGAGATGGCGAACGTATCCCAGTGCTACTATTGCTTCGAAAGCCTCTCTTCTGCCTTCGAAAACCGCGACCTTGTCAGTCTCACAACCGTAGAAGCCCTCTGGGAACAGCACGAACAAACCAAAAAGCTTTCAAGCCTCGGATCCCGAGTCCAGGGGTTAGACTCGGATGCGGAAGAAGAAGACGAAGAAACAGGTCCGCCACTGTCTGTAAATGACGAGTCTCAGCCAAGTAACCAGCCCAAGGGTTTAAAACCCCCCGCTGTCAGCCGCCTGCAGAGTCAGGCATCCTCTGACTCGTCCACTCCATCGAGTGCGTCCAGTGCCTCGTCCAACTCGCTTCTCTCTAACTCGACCGCCGCGACAACTCCGAGCGCCCAGCCTGGGAACCTGGGGTTGCAGTCCAAGTCTGATCAGAAATACCCGTTATTCGTAACGTGGAACACACTGTCCCGTAGTGGAAGTAAGTCACTGCGCGGATGCATAGGCACCTTTGAAGCGCAGGATCTTGAGGCGGGCTTGAAATCCTACGCTACAACATCGTAGGTCGTCCCAAGTTTGATTCAAGCTGATTGAAAAAGAAAAGAAAAAAAGAATGAAGAAGAAAGAAACTTACATCCTTCGGATCATAGGGCGTTTGATGATACTCGATTCTCTCCAATAACCAAATCTCTTCTTCCCGCTTTATCATGCTCACTGACCCTCCTGGGCTCATTCGAGCCCTGCACCAACCCCTTGGATTGGAATCTAGGCACACATGGGCTGCGAATCTCGTTCGTCAACCGTGGCAGACGCTATGGAGCCACTTATTTGCCCGATGTCGCTGTTGAACAAGGCTGGTCAAAAGAGGAGACGGTCGAGAGCCTGATGCGCAAAGCTGGCTGGGACGGTGGAAGTGGCAGTATGGCCCGCCGACTGCTGCGAGTTGGGAGTGGAGATATTGGATCTTTGAGCCCCTGGGATCAAGTTTCTGATTTCAAAACAATCAGGTATCAAGGACACAAGGCGAGCGCATCCTACAAGGAGTGGCAGGAATGGAGAAGCTGGGTCTTCTCTTTAGACGATGGCCGTGATCTTCTGGGCTTGACTTGATTGCACATGTATACCTTGCTGTGGTTGAGACACCCGTGAGGTACCACTTGTCTGCATGGGCCATGGCTGTGGATTATGGGTTGCTCCGGATTTTTACAATCTTGCAGGATCATCAGGATCTGTGATATGGATATTTCATGCATGTGTCAGCGGTACCTCTTGCACAAGGTAGAAGAGCCGCAAGTGGTTCAATGTTGAACACACTGGCATAATTGGGTATGTATGTGTGCCTACTATGTACACATGGATGCTTCCAAGGTTTAATTTCTCGCTTTCGTTCATCAATTATTGGATCCATTTAGACCGGATATACTTTGAATACCAGTGAACTCAACATTATAACGTTCCTGAGTAGACCTCGGGAATAGATCCAGACATATGTATATGTGAAACGGAAACAAATGGATAGATATTTCCAGTCTCAACACATTTGAACCTTACATTCACATGCATGGATGTTGCCCAGGTGGTTGCTCATGGGTCCGGAGGTTCCGGCTTATTTACCAGGCACATTTCGATTCCATAATCCAGCCATGGTCTCTTTAAGTCTCCGTTCCTGTTCCCGAATCTGTATCTCCGACTGCCCACGTGCATTCCCCCTACTATCAATCTGCATAGGGTTGCCTTTATCACTCGGGGCAGGCGCAGCATGCCCCTCGTCAACGATCTCTGCTCCGTTCACACGCTCGGGCTTCGGATCAATACTCATCATACCATCCATCATGAAACCACCACCTTCGCGTAGCTTATTAATTGCACGCACAGTATCGATGGCCCGGTGTAGCGTGCGGCGTGCATTGAAATTTTTCTTCACCGTTGGCAGCAAGTCTTCGCCAGAGCCAGTCCGCGAGTCATCGTATGGTGGGTTGATCCAAGTGTGTTGCAGGGCCTCGTGGGCTGTCATGCGATTCTTAGGGTCGATGGTTAGGCAGCGGTTAATGAAGTTGCGGGCTTCTTGGGAGACGCCCCGCCAATATTCCAGAGGGGTAAAAGCATAGTCTGCTGCAAGAATGGCCTGCATTTCCTCTAGGTTGGAGTCTCGGTCGAAGGGAGTGTAGCCGCATAGAAGGAAGTAGGTGATTACACCGATGGCCCAAATATCGCTAGAGAGCTTCAAGGTTGGTACATATATCACCCGTCACGTTAATTCGTACTGCCACTTACACTGGCTTGCCATGTCCACTCTTCTTGAAGATTTCCGGCGCCATATATCCTGGCGTTCCACACGTGGTTGTCAACACATGGAATTGCTCCTCGTCCATAATCCTGGACAAGCCAAAATCGGCGAGAAGTAGATCCGCATTATCTTCCGGGGTGCGGAAAAGTAAATTCTCCGGCTTAAGATCTCTGTGTACGATTCCATGATCATGCAAGTAGGCCACCGCCGACAGGACAGCGCGGATTAGGCTTGCGGCGTCAGTCTCGTAATAACTGCCTTTCCGGCAGATGCGGTCAAAGAGCTCTCCGCCCAAGGCGAGATCAGTGACCAAGTACACTAGATAGAACCGATGATCAGTATATAATAGTTCCATGTCCCACTAGGCAGCCACATATTTGCTGGGCGCAGTGCCGAAGATAGCAACGCACAGTTGTTCATGGTTTCAAAGTAGTCCACCAGCGTGAGGATGTTCTGGTGGCCCATGGATACTTTCTTCAACACGGCGATTTCATTGCGAACCTATTCCCAGGTCTCATCAGAATAACTGCCCAGTGCCCGTAAAAATATGCCGATCCATCGTCGTGGGTGTGCTCTATCGTACCATGTGCTCGCGCCCGGCCATCAGGCGCTTGTTGATTACTTTCGCAGCATAGTAGCGACCGGTGTCGATATGGACGCATTCTTTGACAACCGAGTATGAGCCAGCGCCGAGTGTCTTGCCAGTCTTATAGCGACATGGCTGAACCTGCGGTTTCGGGGGTTGTGCCATCGGGACGGAGGGAGGGTCTTGGTATGCGGGGAGGGAGGAATAATTAGTTCGATCGGATCAGACCCAAGACGAGGACTCGGAGGGATGCGTTCAGGTTGACGAAGAAACAGAGGGGTGTTTTCTTTCTTTCCGTATGTGCCTTAGGCTATGATTATGGGAGCAGTCAGCCTCATGCACCATTTGGTGCTACTACGGGAGTTGACCGCAGGCGCGCGGGTCAAGCCCCGCCAAGATAGACACTCACTGGGCTTCCTGATAATTTACCCCACTGCGGTCGGGGATGGTAGTCGAAAGTGATCCCCAGCTCCGACGGATCGATGTTATTGTTAAGTGGATGATAGAGTGGGAGATTGCGAATGTTAGGAGATGGAGAAGAATGGGAAAGTTCGAATAAATTAAAAGGGTGTGAATGGGCCAACGTGATCAACGGCTTTTCACTATTTACATTTGTGTGCTCCCAACACCGATGCAATGCACATGCAGAAAACACCTCTAAAACTCCATAACACGAATCCCCCAAAAGAACAAAAGTAATAACAAAGTTAACAAAGCAAGAGCCATTAAAGAAGCAGAGAAAAAAAAAAAAGGGGGGGGGGGGGGATTATTAAGAGAATCGTATCCTTAGACCCGTGACAAAACATCATTGACCACATTCTCCAATAACTGCAGACTGTGGAACTTGGCAACGCTTTGCAAGACTTCCAGTTTCTTTCGAGTCTCTTTGAGATCAACGGTTGGGGCCCAGGTACCACTGCAAGAGCAATGTTCCATAAACTCGCTGATCTTGAGGGTCTTGCATTTGGAACACTTCAGATCCTGGGTTTGCCATGCTACCACAAGACCCTGCACCTGACCAATGAGAAGTTCCTCTTGTGCAAGCCGGTCATACTCCTTTTGGCAGAAGGGACAGCGCCATGTCTTAGGCGTTTTGTTGTCGGTACCTGGGTCTGGCAACACGTCTTCGTCCCGGCATAAATCCAGGTCACGGATGAGGCAGCAGGCGTTACAGCTCAGCTCTGTCAGTTTCAAGTTGGTACTGGGGTTCTCAAACCGGCCTTCTTGGCTAAATTCGCGCACCTCAAAGAGTGCTAGTAGCTCGCGGCGCAACAGTCGTGACTCGAGAGTGGTAATCTTCGACAGGCTTAAAACCTGCATGAGCAGCTTAACCAGCTCCAGGGATGGATTACGCTTGTCATTGGTTGGATCGACACCCGGGAGAACCGGGAAGGCATAATCAGATGCTAGCTCAGGGTGTAGCATCTCATCACGCTGGCGACGGATCAGGCCCGTGATTTGCTTCTTCAAAGGCTTCGAGAATCGTTCTGCGAGGATAGCGGTGATCTCCTCACTCTCCTTGTCGCTGGGCTGGCCAATGGGAATTTGCGTCAATCGAGGCGTAGAAGACATATTGCCGTCCTGGAGATCAGGGCGCTTCAAGGAATGCATAAGATCGATATACTCAACAACCCAATCGTGGAAGATGGTTTGCATGGGTGCCGGCAGGAATCGATTAAGTTGCCAATGCATGACAGTCTCGAGGTTTTGATTTTCGGCTTCAACCACTTCACGACAGCCCTTGCCACCATAGTTGTACTCATCATACCACAGGAGGTAATCCCAATACTCCCTAATCTCAAGATCAACGAAATGGAACGAAGGGTTCGCCCGAATCGATTTTAAGACATATTGGCTGTATGCGTAGGCATTGCCCACCTCGGTCTTCGTGGTCTGAAGTAGAAGTCGCGTAGAGCTGGCAAAAACAACGTTGGAGCCAACTCGTCGGAACTCAGCCATCAGTCTCTGGAATGACTTGCGTGAGAGCATCCGGATATAGTTGTGAAGGGATCGATCATAGAGGTATGAAATTGGACTCTCAACCCATCGGATCAAGTGTGATACCATGATGTCCGCCATGCCATTTCCAGAACAGGCTTCTGTCCACCAATGCTTGACCATATCCCGCAAAACATGCGCACCAGCAGATGCAAATGCTTTCTCAGAGTATAGCACGCCCGTATCCTCGCCCTTACCGGACGCTAAAAGTGTATCATTGCCATCCATCTCGCTGATGATCGAAGACGTGAGAATGGTGTTTATGGCAAGGTTGCGGACGTCCAGCTCAATGCATACTGTCCCATAAGCATTCGGCACATTCACAGACGGCATGTTGACTACCTCCAGTGGACCCGTGACATCATCTTTTTCAAACCCGGCATGATCTGGCCGTGGGGCCATTGACCACCACAGAACAACATTGTTCTGCTGGAGACGTCTAGCATATGATATATCAATGAGGTATCGAGGGTCGTCATTCTCTAGGTTGCAAAGAGGGACATCACCATATCGAGCCAGTAGAGTCAGGTGATGGATCCAAGCGGAGAGATGCAAATAATGAGTCACAAGGCGCCTAGCAATGAACGATTGCCAGCCAAGTGGAGGCAGATCCATATCCGTCACTTCGGGTTTCACGGAAAGAGTAGGGTATTCTTTCAAGATAGGAATGTCGTGACACAAACGGTCTTTCTGCTGAGACTGGATGACTAGAACCGCTGGATGGCTCTCGTCATTTCGAAGCTTTCTTATCAAATCACCAACCTCCAGATGAGCCTTTCTTCGGGTCATCACATGTGTGGTTTTAAAGTGGATCTTGTCTTGGTACTGGAATGCATTTTGCGACTCATCACTAGAGCCATCTTGCAATTTCCGAGAAAGCAGTTCAGAGTAAATCTTGTCGACGTTTGGTAAACCTTGAACATCCCTTGTCCGGTTAAGGATGACAATATGCGCCTCATTGTTCGCCGTTGAGAAGATAGCGAAAACCTGTCTATCTCCGGACGCAACGTGGTAGAGGTAATGGTACGCCAAAGGAGAATCCATGAGGTAGGGTTGGTCTGATGTAGTATGGAGCAATGTTGCAAGGTCAAATCCCTTCTCTAAACCTTCGCCCAAAACACCACGCTGCTCTTCATCGAAAGTACAGTGACTTCCAAGTTTGAGGACTGCCCGGGTACTTGGTGAAATATTCCGTTCGTAAACACCTTCAACACTAGAATGTTGGAACAGGGCATCCATCTTCTCTGCTTCCTGGAGGAACGTATCCTCAGACAGCGACACCTTGAAGAGGTGAACAGAAGGGTGTCCGTTGGGCAAAGTATGATTGACCTTTTCGACCTCACAGTCAGGCACTTCAATGTCTGGTAAAGTCTCCCGCTTCAGGTTGACAAAGAACTGCCGCGGGACCTTGACATTCAGTGAATGAACCTTTTGATCGATCAGCACAAAGGCACGAACAATTCCCGGGCGGCCTGTTTCGCACAACTGCAAGACCTGCCAGGTGCTGATATAGAGCATTTGGGCTTGATTGCGGAAGAAACCGCCCAAGGAGTCCGACGATACTGTTGTTCGGTCACCAAACAATTGGCGGCGGCGAACTCGTGCCTGCTTTTGAATCTTCCATTTCTGCTTTTGGTAGCGAAGGAAACCCTGGTAGTCGTCCGTGAGCGATGGCATGGTGGCAGGGAGACTGGCGAAAGGATCCAGTGCTGTTTTGGAAAGCCCTTCCGGATGCTTTCTCTTCTGTGATACCTTCGCCTCGGGTGACTGGACTTTCTGAGAAGAATTTGCCAGTGCTTCGTCCAAGTCCCCAACATGTTGAACACGGTGTTCAAGGATGTTGGTAGAAATCGATGAAAGAGGCAACTTGTCCGATTTTGTGAACAGATCAGTCATTTTCTTCTGCTTGAATTTGTCATCTTTCTGATTGATACGTCGCTGTAACCAGTCAGGATGCGCAACCCGAGGCACAGGATTTCGAAGTTTCTGCAGGGCAGCCGGTATCGTAATCAACTTCTGCACGACTGATCCCAACCGTTCAAGATAATAGTCCCAATCGATAAGATTGCGAGGGTCCATGTCGGCAGGGTCTTCTTTGAGCCATTTTCGCAGGAAGTATCGCTTGACATTCTCCTCGGCAGAAAATATGGCCACGGGGATAGCTCTTTCAGTGACAGGAGTGTTTCTCGGCCTTGAAGATATAATATATTTGCAGTTCAAGCCCTTATCTTTGACCATTTGCTCACCCAGGAACTCTGCCAAACGTTTCGCAGTGGTGATTGGCGAAGACTTCTGGCTACCATATTCCTCCAATGTCTTTGACATACTTCGGTTTTCTGAAATGAGGTCAATGAGTTCCTCATCGGCTAGGGTGGCTCCGTGCTCATAGAGAACATCCAACCACCGATCAGCAACTCGGGCAACAGCAGCATACGTTTCAGCAAGATTGGTGCCTTCCAAGAAGAATTTGAAGATTTGCGTCTGGAAGATCTTGATCAACTTCAGTTCTCCTCTTCGCTTGACTTCAAAACCTTTCAGCTCAGCCAATGATCCATCGTGGTTGAACACAGCGTATCGCTTCTTCAAATTTTTATCTTCCTCTTTCGACGTCGGCAAAATCATGGCTCGGTATGGACCATCAACCTCGAAGAAAATTGAGTTCTCGCTGTAGGTCTCATATTTGAAGCTCGACGGATCTGTCAGGGACTGATATTGGTGATTAGTGTACTTTGCATGGACAAGATGATTGAGCATGACACATGGGTACGAGATTCCTAGCTTTTTCCCGTTCTTCAGCGTGAATGTGAAGTTTTCAGGAAATGTACCCGGAAGCATACACCAAATTCCGTCAGTGTCCAGCTCCAAGGGTCGGCCGATACGCTCAACAAGCTCTCGCGCCATCTGAATGATATGGGCACCCGTGAGACAGGTGACACCTGCCATCTCCAGGGAATACCAGCGAGAACCTTTTCGCATGACATAACCGTAGAAACTGTTGAGAATGACTTTGTGTGCGAGTTGAAGTGAATCAAACAGGACAATCATTTTCTTGGCCTCGTCAATTTCAGCAGCAGATGCACCGGATGACTGCAAAGAGTCTGCTTTGTTTTTCCAGACCTTCTGCTTTCCTTTGAAGTCATATCGACGGTCACGGAAGCTTCGTACAGTGTCAACATAGAAGGGATTCTCTCTTTGACAAATGATCGCTTCTCGAACCATAGTTTTACTGTCATGAATCTTGTGATAGATTTTCTTGCTGTAGTCCTGGAGTCGCTTTCTGATCACGCCAGCCTGCTCCTCGATGCTGAGTTCACCAAATGCCCTTGTGGGACCTTTTGGATGCCGCCCGGGAAAACGTTCATTTGCAGTGGCCCGTCGAATCATGTTGTATTCATCCCGCTTGGCAGGCAAAAATTCACCACGCCAGGCCCAGGGCATTCGCCTATCGCAGGTCTTACCGGGCCTGTTGAAATCGCACGCGGCACAATTTGATTCTTCGATCATTGAATCGGGTTGCAATCGATTGGTAATCATGATATTGGGATACATGGAGGCGACATCCAAGTGATAAATGAAAGGCACTTCATTGCGGCTTGGGTTGTTCTTCAAATCAAGCAAGCGTTCCAAAATCTGGGCCTTGACCTCGTCGTAGTTTGTGACATCATCCATAGACTTCTTCTCTTCAACCTCGATACTGAACTTGAGGGCATGATCAAGGTCGCGGATGAGCTCATCAATAGCGGTTGGATCAACCGTGAATGTGACTGGAATGTCACTGCGGAATACACCAGCTTCGATACTTTCAACGTGACCACCGACGTAGGTTTCTGAATCCAGAAGATGACCGTCGTAAAATGCCTCCGCTGCGTCCTTGTGTTTGTTAGGAAGAACAATTTCATGCTGATACGCCTGGACCATGAGAAGCATTTCGCACAATGTTCCTGTTCCCTTCCGCAAGGTGTCGTCTGGATTGAGCGGGATGACGGTACACAAGGAGAAAATGAAAGGATGCACATATTTCATATACAGATAATATGTTGCAACAGCATCGGAAACAGAGTACTCGGCAAGGGTTTGGGGCCGTTCACTGGCGTAAGGAGTCATCAACTCGGGGTCAAGCTCATCAGGGTCGTATCCAAGCTTCGCAACGGTCACGGCTTTCAAACCACGACTACCTTGGGGAAGGTAACTGTCACGATTCACCCATGCGAAACAATCCATGTGTACGCAGTAATCAGCTTGATAAACGTCTTCGCTATTTTTTTTGAAGCCAATTTCCGTGTACATGTCGATTCCCTGGACACTCGCTCTTGTTTCAACAAACGGCCAATCGAAGAAGTCACCGTTGTATGTGGCAATGACAGTTGGTTTAGCAATCTTGATGTGTTCGAAGAATCGTTCCAAGACAGCTCGCTCATCTGGCTCATTGAAGATAACAAAAGGTCCACTGTACTCCGGTCTGGGCGTGTACTCGAAATCGTTGATGTCCGCGGAGACGATCTCTCGGTTTGTGATAAGGAACCCTTGGCCATCAATCATATACGAGATCATCATGATCTGATCAATCACGGCGTCAGGGAATTTGAGAGGCAATTTTGTGGTCTCAATATCGAAAGCCAGAACGACAGGATCGGCACGTGTAAGTCGGTCTTCCAAGCATTTCAAAGATATCAAGCCTTGTCTTGACTCGACATTGTACCACTTTCCAATTCGGATATCTATCCAATTTTAGCTCGATTTCCAACATTATGCTGTAGCAGAGGGAAATTACAAACCCTTGTCGATGCATACTCGGACATGGTATGGAACATCATACTCTCGAATATCCACAATAAAATCACTCGCTTGCATGTTGCTATTAGATCGTTGCTCATTAACTAATTCGTCATCAAAAAGGTCAAAGCCGGTGCTTGCACTGTGATAGAATCCCAATTAGAATGTCGCTTTAGGAATATCTTCAACGGTTTCGGTTCATAACTAACCTAGTCATTTCGACATATGCGTCCATCTCGGTCGCATTTTTCTTGTTCTTCTCTGCCAGCGGTAGAAGCGTCCGTCGAACCTCAAGCAAATTGCTGACGTTGGCAAAGTTCAACCTGATAAACGTCCTCCGATGTCCAAGAAGGTGATTCGGGAGATTCAGGTCCTCTTTGTCCAACCTCTTGAAATTTTTGATTAACCCTTCGAAGTTCCGTCGACACCATTCTTCCACTTCCATCTCATGGCCTCTTTTGACCGCAAGCAGAAAGTATGGATCATATTCGACAGTTGCTTTGAAGCTGCCTCCGTCGTCCTGGAGGAAATAGTAATCGACACCAGCGCGGCCGCCTGGTACGTTTGCATCTTCTATTGTGGTACTGCGCATGTTGATGAGCCAACCGGCTCTAGATTCGCCAGACTCGAAACGTGGGAACCCGAGGCTTTCATCAATACTGTTCGCCTGTCGAATGGCCTCGAATTTCTCATCTTGGGAAGTCGCTTCGGTGGATCGCAGGGAGGAAAACTCGACAGTCTTGGCTCGACGCGGATTTGAGGATGCTGCACCAGACCGGTATTTGTTGTTCCCATACTTGCTGGGTTTTCGTGAAGGCATGACGAAGTTTGGAGGGCCCAGCTGGGCTTCTGAGAATCCGTTTCGCACAGCGGGTCGCGTTAGATGAACATTAAATGAGATTGAACGAGATTGGTTGAAACAAATAGACGATTTTAAGACAACAAAAAAAGAGGCAACTTAAGAGGGGGGCGTAGAGGGATAGTGATGGTTCCTGCAGGTAATTCCTAGTTGAGCTGCTCCAATCCCGTTAATCGTAAATCCGCTCCCTTAACGCGCAACGCGCACGCGTTCCCTTCACTGTAGCTAATTACGCGTGGAAAAACGCTTAGTCACCACACGCCGGAATAACTATCCAAATACAATCGTATATCGGATAATATATACCCCGCTGTATCTTGACATTGATTGGCCTTTCTGATGATGGCGATAATTGGAGTCTACTAGGTACCGTCCAAAAGGTTCACTTCACCCACCCATCACAACATCATGACCGACGATTCTCGAGATTCAACATCCACCCAGGAGGCTGGCAGCCACCTCCCTGCCAGCATTCCAAATACCGATCCCACCAAGCCTAAACACGAGTTCCCGCAGTCGCAAGTTGGAAAGCTATGGGATGCATTCGGCAATCCCGAAGAGCCGGTCAACATGCTCGCCAATGCCTCCTATAAGCCCCGCGGCAAGGATCCCAAAGAAGTTTCATACTCTGAAATCGTTGGAGATGTATCTGTGGACCAAATGTCGTCATTCTACAAAGCACCATGCGCACGAGAGTCGTTATTAACTGGCATTGGCGCTGGCTTTGGAATTGGTGGTATTCGTGGTGTATTCGGAGGTCCGTCTCAACATTCATTTTCATCAATTATTTTTGTTCGATGCATCTAAGAGCTAGGACATTGACTAACATCTTATTTCCAGGTATGCGCTCCATATGGTCTGCCGGAAACTGGGCCGTCGGAGTATTTGCCGTCACCTCATTGGCAGCGTATGAGCTCTGTCGCCGTCAAAGAATTGAAGAAATGCATGGAATGAAGCAAGCAGTCGAGTTAATGAAGGAGTTGAAAGACAAGAAACAACGGGACAAGGAAAAGGCCATCGAGGTAGCCGCCCTGCGGACAGAAGAGGAAAGGCAAAAGAAGAGTTGGACAAACCTTTCCAACTACAAGTTCTGGTAACGTTACTCAGGTACATGGTACTATGAGCTGGAGTCACGGTATCTGTGGGATATTGAATCCCAAAAATGTATATTCCGATCCCATTTGGAGGATGGTGTGTGGGCATCATGTCATCAATCATATCATCTCCGTGTATCATAGCCTTAAGTGTTCTCAATATCCCAACCCCTCCAAAAAAAGATGGGGGGGTAAAATTAAGCAAAAGAACATCAGCTGCTCTTGCACGCGCCAGCTCGTCGCCTAGCACTATAGGCCTATATGTAATATACTATGATGGGGAAAGATCTTTGCTAGATATTTCGGCTTCGACATCAAACTTGACCCGTTTCGGAAGGGAGCTTTGTTGAATACCATGAATTCTATCCAGACTCCCATTCCCGTGTCTTCGTTCTCTTCTTTTTTCGCGAGCTTCCCGTGCTTCACGGTTTTTCCACTCGGCGACTTGTTTCTGTCGTTTTTGAGATCGTGCCCACGCTGTTGCCGCAGTAGGCCTGAAGCCTACCCCATTAATACCATAGCCGTCGTCCGTGGGATCCGTTGGGTCATGTCCCGTTATCTCATGGTCGTGCCAGGTGAATGGATCTTCATTTGAAGTATCAACTGGAGGGGGCGAGCGTCTTTGCTTCCGGTTTTTTGACGGAGAGTTGGGTTGGAGCTGTTTGCGCGGGTGGATGGATTTCCTTTTGGAGGGAGATAAAGATGGAGTAGTGGGAGTGTCAGTTGTATGTGTAGTAGTGGACAACTCAGATGCCAACTGTTGATCAGGCACCTCGGTGATCTCCCTCTGCTTATTGTCGGGCTGCCAGACCGCATGCGTTACATCGGACTTTCCCACAACACTTTTCTCCTGCTCTGGCAACATATATGGCTCAGGTTGGATGTCTCTGTTTGGCTGTCGCAGGATTGTGAGTCCTTCACCCTGAATTGCTAAGTCTCTAAATCGACCGGCCACCGCGGCTCGAGGGCTGTGGCGTCCGACCTCATCCTCTTCCCGCAACCTAGTTTCGTGCAGACTCGCGATAGAGCCGCTTGATGTCGGGGATGCTGAAGGACTGAAATAGTCGGACTCGGAAGGTTCTCGTTTGCGCTTGGGAGATTGGTATAGTGGAGGATTTGTGGCCATCATCGTGGGGATGAGGTTGGGGTTGAAGACGGATATGCGTGAGGATCACGAACAATGGAAAAGAAAGGATACAGGTCTTGCTTCATGAAATGAGAGAACTATGACCCCATTAAAGCAACAAGGGCTAGAAGGGTTAACCCATCATGCAGCGATCCTCATACTCAAGGGTGCGGAGAGGATGGAGTGAGGGGTAGGTCATTGGACTGCCGTAAAGGTGTTAAAGCTGCAGAAATGCGGGACCCAATCGCCGCTGTACAAATTGGAATCTTCCAAGGTTTCCAATGCATATTCTGCAGAGTTCGACTCAGGCTTACTCTTTTCCACCTTCCACCAGCCCCCCTTTTTCTCTCTCTTTTCGTTTCTTATCTTTTGTTTTTAAAAAAAACCTCCCCAATTGGTTTCACTAGAAAGGGCATAGAAGTTTGGGAGAAGTATGAAATTCCTATGGCTCTGAGTCTCGCAATATCCATCTACCTAGATACTGATATTTATCTACTATTTGACTCATGGATAAGGGGACGAACCACTTTACTCGTACTTAAAAGCCATACAAATTCGATAGTTCAGGTGTACAGACACACAGGAAAGAGCAAATCTTATTTTGCCAATGATGGCCTAAATCGAATAATTTACAGATGCCCGAGCCCATCGAGTCGTGAACAAGATTGAACAGATATAAAAAGTAGAAAGAAAATCCGAACGCCGTGACAAAGACTCCCAATTCCAGAGAAACAGCGCTTTTATGCCTTCTGCTTCTTCTTTGAAGGCTCACCATCGGCATCGTGCTTGCGCTTCTTCTTCTTCTCAGACTCGCCCTCACCAACATCGGACTTGCGCTTCTTCTTCTTGTCACTCTTGTCGCTCTTGTCCTTCTTCTCCTTCTTTTCCTTCTTCTCCTTCTTGGGGGAAACATCCTTCATCTCATCATCGCTGCCATTGACATCATCCATACCAGCCAGAACGGCATCCATGGCGTTTTTCTGTAAAAAAAAAAAAAAAATTAATGTTAGAAAAGAACTTCCTTGAAAAGATAAACATAAGAAAAAGATGAGGCTGAGTTGGTACATACCATGGCAACTTCGTTCTTGGTAGGGGCGGCACCGGTGGCGTAGAACTCCAGGCGCTCCTCAACCTGCTGCTTCAAGGCCTCACCAAACTTGGTGTTGGGCTCATCGGAGAAGTTGTCAATACGGGAAGCGATGGAGCACTTGTTAGCAAGGAAACGCGAGATGCGGCCCTTGTTCTTGGGGCCAGCGCGGCCGATGAAAGAAGAGTGGTACAGCAGACCATACTTAGGGGTGTTACCCTTGGTCTTCAGAGCGCGGAACAGAGCCTTCTCGGCACCCAAAATCTGGACAGTAGAGGCAGGGTACTTGGACAGGTTGGTCAAGCTACCGGCGTGGGAGATCAGGCGAGCACCGACAACCTCTCCGATCAGGGCAGCAAGGTTAGGGGCAACGACGCTCATCTTGTTAACCAAGTACTGGTAAAGAGACTTGCGGTACTTAGCAAGGCTGACAACGCGACCGGCAAAGCTAGTGACGTTCTCCATATCGGATTCAGAGATGTCCTGACCCATACTGTGCTTGGCGGCATCGATGATGTTCTGAGCAACATCCTTATCGTCTTCCACGAGAGCGGCGATGTCGTGCAGACGCTCGTCGTTAAGGTTCTTCTTGTCCTGGACGAAGAGGGCAACCTCGGCGTAGCGCTGGTTGTCAGATACAATCTTAACCAGCTCGGGGAAGTGCCACGAGTACCACTCGCGAACACGCATGGCAAAAGTGTTGATGGCCTTGTCAAGCTGATCAAGGATAGCAATGGCCTGGATGATGTGGTTGTCGTCACGCTGAACAGAGAACTTGACCTTAGCACGAGAGTAGGCGTGACCCAAACCGAGCTGGGCAGTGTCCATGTCACCCTCGCGGAGCTCCTTCAGCAGCTTGGAGAAGTGCTGACGAATACCACGGAGAAGATCCTGCACAACCTCGCTAGTGTCACCGGTTTCGCAGTCGACGAAGTCGAAGGCAGACTTGATACTTCCGGCAAGACCCTTGTCGCAAAGACCCAGCACAACCTTCTTCTTCTTGCTGGGCTTGGGAAGGTTCAATTCCAGGAAAGAAATCAGAGTCTCGGAGGCGACACCCTCAGAGACATCGTTGATCTCACCAAGAGCCTGCTTGTTGTTCCTGTGATGGGTTAGCGAAGAATTCCTTGAGGAATAAATTCTGCGGGCAAAGATGCTAGACTCAAAACGTACTCGAAAGGAAGGAAACTGGCCAGGTCAATCATCTTTCCGAACTTGGCAAGATCATTGACACCCTCCTGAACTTCCTTCAGGCGGTTGCCAACGGCATCACCCTGGTGGGCGACTTTGAACAGCGAGTAGCCAATGGGGCTCTCGAAGAGAAGGTAGTCGGCCATGTCGTTTTTGTAAATTCTGGTCTAATTAGGCGCTCGTTGACCAAAATAATGATTGCAACAACCGGGGCCCACAAACGACTTGAGGGTTCGACAGGATGGGGTTGTTGGTGCGGTCGTTCTAGAGAGCGGAAGAGAAGTCGAAAATCGAGAGCTTTTTTTCGCCGCTAACCCAATCTAGTGCGAACAATCGGTGACTGTGGGCAAAAACCACGATCTTCACCGCCTTCCCGCTACGCCTGCCCACTCCTGTCCACGGGCTGAACGAGCTCCCCTCCTATTCTCAGTATAATTGCTTTGTCATTTGAGCTAAGCTCTTGTTCATTCATTTATCACAGCAGAGATGTCTGCAACTCAGCTACTTAACCCGAAGGCGGAGTCCCGGGTATGCATTTCTCACACACATTTGACCCCTCCGTGGCCCGCACTAACATTTCATCTAGCGGAGAGGAGAGGCCCTCAAGGTCAACATCGGCGCCGGAGAGGGTCTTCAAGATGTCCTCAAGTCCAATCTGGGCCCCTCGGGTACCTTGAAGATGTAAGTTTCAATTTTTATGCGGGTAAAAGCCTCAATATAGCTGACATGATCTCTAGGCTGGTCGACGGCTCTGGCGGAGTATGCAACATTGTCTTTTATTCTATGGAATGCCACAAATCGAGATATCTAACGCGGCAGTATGATGGCAGATCAAATTGACAAAGGATGGAAATGTTTTGCTTCGTGAAATGGTTGGTCACACCCCTTGACGTCCTTATTGTGCAAAATAGATGCTAATGCTCAACAGCAAATTCAAAACCCCACGGCTGTAAGCCTATAACACTCCCCCGAACATTCATTCGACCCCCGCTGATAAAGATGAAAGGTTATGATTGCCCGCGCAGCCACCGCACAAGATGATATCACTGGTGATGGAACAACATCGGTTGTGCTCTCCGTGGGAGAGCTCCTGAAGCAGGCGGACCGCTTCATTTCGGAGGGTCTGCACCCCCGAGTGATCACCGATGGTTACGAGATTGCTAAGACAGAGGCCTTGAAGGTAAATCGCCGATATATATGTGATGCTTGAGTATAATGAGTTTTGATTCTAATGTGGTGGTAATAGTACCTCGAACAATTCAAGCTTGACCGGAACGTTGACCGGGAGCTGCTCCTCTCTGTTGCTCGCACCTCTCTCTCCACCAAGTTGAACAACGCCCTCGCCGAGAAGCTGACCCCCGACATTGTCGATGCCGTGCTTGCCATTCACCGCGCCCCCGAGAAGCCCGATTTGCACATGGTCGAGATCATGACCATGCAACACCGCACATCCTCTGACACCCAACTCATCCGCGGGTTGGCTTTGGATCACGGTGCCCGCCATCCTGACATGCCCAAGCGAGTGGAGAATGCCTTCATTCTTACCTTGAACGTCAGCCTCGAGTACGAGAAGTCTGAGATCAACTCTGGATTCTACTACTCTACCGCTGAGCAGCGAGACAAGTTGGTGGAGAGCGAGCGTAAGTTTGTCGACGCGAAGTTGCAGAAGATTGTGGACCTCAAGAAGCAGGTTTGCGGCAACGACCCGAAGAAGGGATTCGTTGTCATCAATCAGAAGGGTATCGACCCCCTTAGTTTGGACATCTTGGTCAAGAACGGTATTATGGCTCTCCGCCGAGCCAAGCGGAGAAATATGGAGCGTCTGCAGCTGGTTTGCGGTGGTGTTGCCCAAAACAGTGTGGAGGATATGACCCCCGATGTTCTCGGCTGGGCCGGTCTTGTCTATGAGCACCAGCTTGGTGAGGAGAAGTTCACTTTTGTCGAAGAGGTCAAGGACCCCAAGTCCGTGACTATCCTCATCAAGGGCCCTAATGCACACACTATCGCTCAGGTCAAGGACGCTGTTCGCGACGGCCTTCGCTCAGTCTACAACACCATCGTTGATGGCTGTGTCATTCCCGGAGCTGGTGCCTTCCAAGTTGCCTGTGCTACTCATCTTAAATCTGATGTTTTCCGCAAGACTGTCAAGGGTAAGGCTAAGTGGGGCGTTGATGCCTTCGCCGATGCTCTCTTGGTCATCCCCAAGACTCTTGCAGCCAACTCTGGTCACGATGTTCAGGACTCTCTGGCTGCTCTGCAGGGTGAGTGTGACGAGGGTAATGTTGTTGGTCTAGACTTGAACACTGGTGAGCCCATGGACCCTGTGCAGCAGGGTGTCTTTGACTCGTACCGTGTTCTGCGAAACTGCATCGCCTCCAGCACTGGCATTGCTGCCAACCTTCTTCTCTGCGACGAGCTGCTGAAGGCCCGGCAAATGAGCAAGCCAAGTGGTCCTGGTCCTGCGGAGGAGTAATGTGCCATTGACTGATGATGCCCGGCAACACATGTAAAGAATTCGATGGAACTAGTGCTTAACGCTTTTGATGCTTGAAAAGTACAGTCTCCTAGTAAAAATTTAAAAAAAGAATGCACACAATAATTGCAAAGATGCCAAATCCAAAGACATTCAGTAACGATGATTTTTGTGTAATGAAGGCAAGTACTAGTGCCTATTACTACCTACTAACTAGATAGAGTGTTGCGTGACATCAATCCAGAAGCTACAATGCATTTTCAAGGTTAGTATGAAGAAACCCATGCTACCACGGGCATTGTAGCATGTCTATCATCATATTGAAGTTATTATCATTATTATCGTCATAAACAGGTATCAATCAACTACTATATTGTACAAGAGTGTCACTGTGAGGACATGCCTATTCCTCCTCCAAGCTACTCTCACCACCGCCTGACACACTCTTAAATTGTAATCTCTTCACGAAGCCTTCTTCCCTCACAGGATCCTCCAGTGAGAGATGATGAGTCTTGGCCCAATTCCAAACGTCTGACTTGCGAATCATCATCTTCGGGCCCTGTTCGGCTTCATTATCTCCCATAAGCCGACTCATTTTGCGCTTCTTCTCGGGTTGAGCAACACCCATGCTCTTAACAGCAGTGATGACATCCTCTGTCAACATTCCAGTGGCAAGGCCAATATCTTCAACAGTCATGGTTTCACGCTGAAGTTTCTTGCGCTTTGAAGGGGTGCTTGGCTTGTTATGATTGGCTTCGGCGATGTCTTCTCCATGCTTGCCGAGTAGTAGATGCCTCGCGATCCGCTCAGCCCAGAACCGATTGTAGCTCTTTTGGCCCAGGTCACTTAGTGGTTTCTCTGGGCCACCGATGTACCCACCAGGTGAATCCCAGCCACTCAGTTTGTAGCTTACTCCCATCAAGAGCTTTCCTAGTTGTTTGTGCTGGTAAGGTGGAAAGACACAAATACAGGCGAGATTGTTTGCGTCCCAGGAGAGCTTTTCTTGGGAGTAGAAGCCAAGCACGTGGTAGTTGCCTTCATTTTCAGGGTCGGTAAATGTGAGAATATAGTAGAGGAAGGTTGCGACATCGAAAAAGACAGTTTTGTGGTCGAGAAATAGCTTCGCGAATAGTGACAGGTTCTGCCCAAAGAGCTTATGTTGCTCCCCGTCAACTTCCCATACCGCGTACCCACCGTGGTCGTAGACTTTAGTGCCGGGTGGTGTTGTACGATGTTCACAGACTTGGGTGTGGATTGCATAGGTTTCGCCGTCACAGGAGTATCGAAAGCACCAGCGACAAACGTAGAGACGATCGGCGTCTTTAGCGACCAAGTCTTCTGGGTAGATGGACTGATACCATGGCTTGAAAAGGAGATCTCCTAGCACAACATTCTTGAGGTTGCGGTCGCCTGGACTCTGCAGTCGCGGTGCGGATGTACTTGTCGCCATTGATGTACTCGAGGTTTCAAGAGAAGGATGGGTGTCTCAGTCTCAAGCTTGGAACGAACGGAAGTCGCGCGCGGTAGCTAGGGTTCAAGGAGAGTGTTCAGTGGACCGGCCATTGGCGTCACCGGGCCAGCCAAGATTCTTTAGTGCAAGTATTGTGGCAGCTAGGTTGAGCCAACATTGGAACAATTCAGGCTAGGAGGAAAGCCCCAAATTGCGCCAAATACAGTCAAGTTCCTGGCGTTGTATTCGAATTCCACACGATTTACGAAATCGAAAATCATGTGCTGAGTCATCACAGGTCAGGTGGGGAAAGCTTTGTTCTTAGTACAGTGATTCTTATCCGCTGTTGCCTGCTGATTGTACGGGATACGGAGAGATATGAAATCATCCTGAATCCATCCTTGCTTCGACTTTTGCCTCCCTGAAAGGAGTCTCGTGCTTGTGATAGGCAGCAACGATCAACTTCTCTCAGGATATCTATCTATCCTGGCTTCCCTTTAAATTTCCCGGTTGCCACGAAGCATCTGACTCCCCAGTGAATTCCCGTGCTTCTATCCTTCCCGTGTTACTTTCCCCACTCTCGCTCTCTTGTGAGCTAAAGAGATAGATCACGCATCTTTCTAAAATGTTGAAGCCCTTCCAGATCAGAGATCATCAAGGATCCCCATCCTCTAGTCCAGTGGAGTCATCTGGCATCCGAGAGGTTCAGATCTCAGCCTATGATTATGATAACCTCGCCTCAAATCATCCCCGGGCGAGGCTTACCTACCCGGATGATGATGACGGCGATCAGATTACAGTGAGCCCCACATCCAAACTTCTGATGATCCATCCCATCGGGTCACTAATTATACTTTGATAGGTTGGATCTTCTCTCGAGCTTGCCCAGCGTCTAGATGATGAGCCTCAGGAGGTTAGCTTCCGGCATGCGTCTTCTATCCAGCCCTCCAAAGATGAACCAGAACCCGTACACATATTTGATATCCGTCGGTCAAACTCGGTAACTGAGCTGTGGAAGCGTTTTGAAAATCAAAATTCTTCCGGGTCTCAGATTTCCGAAACAAAGAAGGACATCCCGGTGATGCCTAAGCCCACGGTCGATGTGTCTACTTGCGAGGAACCCGCCTTGGAGCCTTTTAGTGCAACTTCTTCCCCCGGCGATGACTCTCAGCCTTTCCTTGCAGCATTCGAAGCTGAGTTGGCCAATCTTCTCGGCTCAACAGAGGAGCCTGCTGAAAGAGAACCTCAAGCTGAACCATCACCTGCAACTGAGTCCTCGACAAATACCAACTCCCATAGAATGCCTCAAGTTGCCGAAGCTCTCGCAGCTCAAATTTTACATCATTTGGCTTATGGGGCCAATATGGTCCAGTCCGAACTGAGGACAAGACTGCCAGAGTTGCAACGTCAAGTTCGTGATGCCCAGAGGCATCTTCCTGAGAACATTGGCACATCGCTGCAAGCCCTGCTTACCACACTTGAAGTCCATATGAGAACTGCCTTCAACAATATACCAGACAATGGAAGACAATGGGCGGATAATGGAAGGCAGTGGGCAGAAGAAGCAATCCATGCAGGGCGACCCGTGGCTGAAAATGCCGCCGAAGGCTTGCGAATGATGGCCTCCGAGTTTAACGAAGTTGGTCGAACCCTATTTGCAACATTTGAACATGAATTTGGACGAGGTGCGCGACAAGGAGCAAATTCTTCATCCAATGAAGTGAATACTACCCCAACTGCTGTTACCGATTCTGCAAGTAGCGCGCCTTCCGCCTCAAACAGTTTCCATGTCAGCCAGCCTTCCCCTCCAGATTCTAAATTCGAAGAGAACCCAACTACGCAATGTACCAAATCACAGGTAGCTGAACTTGCAACGAGCAGTCATGCTACATTATCAGATGCAAGAATCGCCGAGTGTTTGGAACTCTACCCTCTCCCTCCTCTACCGCAATTATGTCCCGATATTTCATACTCTCAGCCATTACCCGGGGCATACCCTCCGGCCTATCCACCGCCCTATCTTACACCCACGCCATATCAATCTTCTCACTCGCGCTTTAATAACTACCATACTTATCCCCATCCTATCCCTCCCCCTCCTCCCAAAACACCGGACTTTAACCCAGTAGGCACAAGCTTTCCCCGAGCGGCAGAAACGAGCCATATGTCTCCAGATACCTATTTGACCCACGGGCCTTGGTCTCTAGCAAAACCATTGACAAATATGTCCTCGGGCACTGCGAGCGCACAAGCAGAAGAGCCCTCGGATAAAACATTGTTCATTGGCAATGTGGGGTTCAACGTAACCGAACGAACCATCCAAGATGTATTTGCCTCCAAGGGATTTATTGTCACCGTGGATCTTCCATTGGATGCCGTGACAGGCAAACATGCAGGCTTTGGCTACCTCCATTTTCCTTCGATTCACCCCGCCATGGCCGCTATGGCTGCGTTGCAGGGCACTCATATCGACGGTCATGCGATCAATTTGGAATTCAGTGACGCTTTACCTATCCGAGATGTAACGAATACGGTCAATCAACGTCCTTCTCCGCATGAATTAGGCTCAAAAGCCGTTGGCCCCTCTGAGGCGGAGCAAAAGGAAAGTAGTCCAATCAAGCGCCGAAAGTCCGTAACTTTCAAAGTATCGAACACATCCACCAACGAGACTGCACCTCACCATTGGGAGACAAAATCTACCACCGCTCAGTCGACAGATGCAGCAATCCCGCCACCATTGATCGATTTCTCCATTGATGAGTCCGCTTGTGTTCCACAGAACCAGCAATCTTCCGTGGCGAATAGTCATTTACAACAAGCCAATTCTACGGACGGAAGCGACATCTCTCTCTATTTGAGCTCCGAACCAGAGATGAGTCGATTCCCACCTGTTTCCCAACTAGAAGCCCAGCATCTAGCCACCCAGCGCCGGCAACAGTCGACTGGAACTAGTATTCCCATTGGTTTGACGGCCAGCAATAATGACCACGTTGCTGCTTTCACCAACAATCTTCCTGGCAGGTCTCGCACCATTCATCATGTTCATGGTCGAGACAATCGCGCCCACGTCGGGCCTGGGCTTCGTCGTGCAAGCACTATGATGTTCACGCCACCAAGGCAAGGTGGTCCCAAATCGCGCGCCGTCGACGAAGCATCCGGCGCCTCACAATTGCGACGTCGTGCCAGTGAGCGCCAAGCCCTTCGCACAAATGCCCGTCCTGCTAGTGAGTTAGACACGTGGGCGCGACTGGACAGAAGAGAACGCGAGAGGTCCAGACCATCGTCACAGCATATTATTCCTGGAAGCTTCACTACTGAAGAGGCGCCCCAGTCCACACCATTCAGAATCGGTGAAGATAATACGCAAGATGTGAGAATTTCAGATTGTGTCTCTTCTCTCATTGATATGGGATATGGGAGTGTTGAAGACGGTGGCCGATCCCGAATGGCGATCTATGCTGCTGCATCCAATGGTAGTCTCTTTGATGCCATTGAGATGATTGAGGAGGAACGAAAAGCTTATGCAGTTCAAACCCGGAAGTAAGCAAGGTTCTATTTTTTTCTCATATACTTGAAACCTGGCGGGCGACTCGCTTCTTAGCTTTTGTGTCTGTTGTTTTTCTTTTTCTCTATCTTTTCTTTCTCTCTATCTCTCTTTTCTAGGGGGGAGGTTTCTTACGTTCATTGAAGAACAAATTCCCATCTTTTGAAAGCTTATGATAGTAAGGTTATCAGTCAACTAGTCCACGAGTGGAGAAACTTACGATTACTTTCAACGAAATTGTTGACAACTTGAATGTTGGCATTTTGAATGCTTGATACAAGATCCATCGTAACATTTGAATATGTAGCGTGTACATAGTGCAAATTTGCACACCTAATACCAAGTTTCAAACATTGAAAGCCCATGGATTCAATTTTTTGTCATTGACTCGATACTTTATAAATTTGTTCAACATCTTCAAGTTGAGATAACACATTGTTCAGTGGTGATAATTTGAAATTACTCCACATGTAAGCTGTGAGGGGGGGGGAACCTTGGAAAACAGCCGATCGGCGGCCGCAGCTCCCCGGTTTTTTTCAGTCCGCGCGCAACCTTCGATCAATCAAGCACCACCCGCAACGCGTGCCTCAATACAGTCATGCAATGGCGACGAACCTTCACAACGTCTGTCATCAGACTAAATCATAGTGCGACAGCTAGATCTCGTTTTCCAGTACTGCGATGTGCCCAGATTCTTCAATCAGGCCCGAAAGATGCACCCTGCAGCTTGGAGGACCAGGAGATCCAGGTCAACGGTTTCATTCGTTCTCTTCGCAAACAGAAGAAATTTGCCTTTGCCGGGATCTCGGATGGTTCCAGTGTTGATCTAGTACAGGCACTCTTGAAACCAGAGCTAGCAGTGGAGTACGTTTTCCCATATACTATCCAGACTTGTGTTCATTCCGATCTAACTTGAGCTTTTCCGGTGCTCTAGTCTATCCACGGGGTCTGCAGTTACAATGACTGGAATATGGAAGGCTTCCCCACCCGGTAAAACGCAAACCCATGAATTGCAAGTGACTGGCGTGGAAATGGTTGGCGCAATGGACCCAGAGGTCAGCGGCTTTCTTTACGCAATACCGTGATGGAGAATGCATAAGCTGATTTTCCAATCTCAATTGCAGACATATCCTATTCAACCGAAATACCAAAGCCCCGATTTCCTGCGCCAGATTCCTCATCTCCGTTTGCGAACAACCTTAAACTCGGTGCTTGCCCGGTTCCGTTCCGAGTGTCTATTCCAGCTAGGCAATGTCTTTCATTCATACCCCAGTGGTCCATTTGCACAGGTGCAGCCACCGATAATTACCTCTTCTGATTGTGAAGGAGCGGGCGAAACATTCACCTTGCTCCCGCGCGGCGCTACCGCCGATACCGAAACTGACCACTTCTTCCGGTCGCCAAAATATCTTACAGTTTCGTCTCAACTACATCTTGAAGCCTATGCTGCAGAACTTGGTAATGTTTGGACACTGACACCGGTATTTCGTGCGGAGAAGAGCGATACACCGCGCCACTTGAGTGAATTCTACATGCTGGAGGCAGAAGCAAACTTCATGTCGGATTTGGATGCGCTCACGGAGCAGGTGGAATATCTTCTACGTGACTTGACTCGTAGGCTATATGATACTACCGCTGGTCAAGATGTCTTGTCATCTGTCGATCAATTTGCTGAGAAATCCTCCAACCCAGACGCAAAAGCGATTTTACGTCAACGATGGACCGCCCTAATGGACGGCCCTAAATGGCACCGTGTTACGTATTCCAAAGCCATTGAAATGCTTCAGCGGGCAGTCGTCGAGGATAGTGCCTCATTTGAACATCCTCCCACCTGGGATGGAGGCCTACAGCTCGAGCATGAAAAGTACATTGTGGAAGTTTTGTACCAGGGCACCCCTGTCTTTGTCACAGACTACCCGAAGGCTGTGAAGCCTTTCTATATGGCCCCTTCACACGCTGGTGATGGCAAAGGGGAGCAAGGCAACGCGCCGGGGGAGACTGTCGCGTGTTTCGACTTGCTCTTTCCGGAGATTAGTGAGGTCGCTGGTGGCTCCTTGCGTGAGCACCGTCTGCCCCAACTTATCGAAAACATGCGCGAACATGGTCTAATCAAGCCTCGGGTTGTTGACCCCGATAATGTTCCCACGGAACCACTTTACCCTCACCTCTTCGCGACCGAGGACCTTGGCCACCTTCAGTGGTATGCTGACCTTCGACGATGGGGCTCAGTGCCTCACGGAGGATTCGGCCTAGGATTTGATCGGTTCTTGGGTTATTTGTCTGGTGTTTCCAGCGTCCGCGACGTTGTGGCATTCCCACGGTACTTTGGCCGGGCTGACTGCTAAACCAACTGACCTCGTATTTGCCAAGACTTGATAATGTATACTACTTAATGTGTTGTATTATTACTGCTATTATTATGATAGACGAAAGATACATATGTATATGAATGTCCAGATGTCTGGTCTCCCTGTTTCAACTTGGGGGTTTCCTCCATTCAGATGTTTGATTACAACCTTGGAAGGCCCCATAATTTTATGCTTCCAGGCAACATCATACTATTTACTAAAGACTGAAGCTAATAATAGATCAATCTCTTGGCCTACCTGTTCGAGGCACTTATCATCCATTGGGCTCTAGTTCAGAATCAGCACCAGAATTAGAATTGGAATACCAAGGCCCCCTCTTTCAGCCCCTCCCCTCCCTTGAAGAAGATACAAACCAAGCGAAGTGCTTATACTCGATTCCCCGCAGTAACTTCCAAGGCTTGGAAAGAGACAAAAAAAGCTCCCCGGGGGTGAACCCGGGGTTAATTAGGGGGGGGGGGGGGGGGGGGCGGATTATTCTTCTGGTCGCCAAATCAAGTCACCAAGATCATGTAAATCCATCTCTTCCAAAGGAACCTGGGGCGAGACAAGAATGTCAGCACCTTGGGGCCAAAATCGGGAAGATCGTGAACGGGAAAGAGTGGGACCTACGTACATACTACCTAAGTGGGCATTAAGAACTAGATATAGTAGTCCATGTATCAGAAGTCAGTCACTTGGTGATATGATAGTTAGTGTATCCATTATCAATTGATGTAGCAAAACAAATTTTTTGAATAAACAACATTTGACATCTGGAATCACTTTATGGCGCAATCAACTGTGACTGGATAGTATACTTGTACAATGAGTCTCGCTCTGGCCACGTGCTCTCCTGACCCTGTAATTCTCGAATACATGACTCGTTGAGTCCACGAATTCATAGAAGCTACTGTACGTCTTCTGACTTAGCTCCGCAAGGCTTACCGTAATTAGTAAAGGGTATGTTGTAGGTCCGTTCAATGTTTTGGGGGCGCATAACTTTGGCCCCCAAATCCGTCACAAGGGGATTCTGGCCCGTATAGGCTTGACACTCGGACCAGTTCCAAGCAAGGCCAAGCACCTCTAGCGTAGAAGGCGTCCGCAAGCCAAACATAAAAAAATGGGGCGCCACCAGAGCACTTGAGAGCATTTGAATACACAAAGAGCAAGATTTGAAGCAAACGAGTCCCGTCAGCATAAAGAGTGGTCCGTGGGTCTGATTAATTTCGGATTTAAAACATAAATCCTTTCTTTACTCCGTAGTCCGTACATCCTTTGTGGAATACTATCCGTAACTTTTAATCCGAGATTGCGACAATTCTTTGGTTCATTGCGGAGCTCGCCTACAGATGCCGAGGAATTGTGGCCGAGTTAGCCGCTTGATAGAAAGCCATCAATTGATGAATTTGGAGAATCTCATTCCAAAATAGTACGGAAGAGAAAGGGTTGCATATTTTAACATGTTTATGCTTGCGTGGCTTTACATTAGGCTCACAGCCTCACAGGGTCGGAATGTAAATAGGGGGAAACATTAACCTTGAAAGGGAGACAAAGAGCCAAGGCCAGGGAATAATTAGAATTACACGACCAGATTGAAAAAAAAAGGGGAAAAAAAAATAGAAAAAAAAAGAAAAAAAAGAAAAGAAGAAAAGAAGAACAAAAACAGGGTACATCTTTTAATCTAATAGACTTTAGCAGAGCATCAATGCCAATCAGGCGGCCAGGATCGGCGGACCAAGGGGGCCCAACCTTACCGGGGTTAAGCATAAGCAGGAGATGTTCGGGCTTTGTCCGCCTAAAGAAAAACGAGTCATGCACCGGGACTATCCCTGCCTGACGTATCACATTGTCCATGACCATGCGCTATTACTTTGCAATCTTTACAAGAAGAGTCTCAAACGTGTAATTTCACATGTGCATATATCGTATTCACTCCTTTTTTTTTTTTTTTCTCTCTCGCAAGGGGGCTATAGGCTAATAAGCCTAACTTGTATTGTAGAATCCCAGTCGTAATCTCTTCGTATTCGGTTGAATAAACTCCCCGACGCATAAAGTCAAAAAGAAACCGTGCGCCACATGGTTTATGTTTGATTCAGGTGGTAAGACAACTTGGTCGGCTCATAGCGCCCGTTTACAATTTCTATGGTTGGGAAAACATAAAGTGTGAGACTAAAGACAAAAAGAGAAAGACGTCTACCCTTTTTCGCGCCTTTTCCCCCCTTCGATCCCATGGTTCTGAAGAAGGAAGTTGGCTTTTAGGCTTGCGGATGACAGTTGCCACCCTAAATCTGTCTTCAAAGGGGGTCTATTTCACCCTTTTTTGGTTGGCTGAAAAAAAAAAGAAAACCCCACCAAAAACTATTCAAGGGTCCTTGATAAAGTATTCATAATTCCAAGGTTGATGACCTTGGTTTCTGAAGGGGAAAGGAAAGGAGAAATTTGAAAGAGAAGGGGTTGTAAGGTTAGTCATTTGTTGATTTATTATTAGTGTCAGATGCAATTTATCTAGTCAGTACTAGTAGTACTGACTAGATAATGTACAGAGCATAGTGAGGTGACCACCTGATTGGATCAATTTAAAGATCTGCCTTGATTCGTAATCACATCAATCGGGTTTACTAGAGTTTACCCATAGCAGGTAACTAGGTATGAAATCCAAATGTTGATTAAACCAAAGATTTTTTTTTTTTGGAATAAATCTTGGTAAAAATCATGGACCTTAATTATGTTAGTGGAGATAAGCTCGTGCGACGTTTCACGGAATCAAATCTTGGCAACCTTTAAATTCCAGGGTTACAACCATGCGTGACAATACCTTACGCGTCGCAACCATATCTCAAGTAAAGTTGAGCATAAGAGTAGTGGACCCATGCAAGGGTACGTCATTGCTTCAAGGTAAATGGTGGGAATAAAATACAGTTAGATCAGCATCGTTACAGCTTAGATCACATCTGGAAGAATATCACATTAGGCGATCAATACCAGTCGGAGATTATTGATCAAGGTGTAGGCAACCTTCCAATATCAGAAAAAGTCTAGGATGAACATTATACATTTTTTAAAAAAAAAATTGATGAAAGAGAGAGAAGAAGAAGAAAACCAACTTTTGAGCCGATGTGCGTATGTGCGTAGTACATATTAGATCGCATCAATAGGAATACTACTTATTATTCTGTGTAGCCCTCCAGTAGTAATGGAGAATACCCAAATAACCCAAAAACAAAACAAAAATAGAAAACCCCCCTCCAAAAAATAAGACCATCCGTATTTCCGATTACAATACATTCAAAGCTGCGCGTACGCGCCCTATCGGGGTTTAAGACCCCAAGCCATATGGAAAGGATCCACTTGCGATCCGTAATCAGAAACGTAGAAAGCCTCATGAACCACGGTCGGCAAACTTGTCGGGTTGGCCCGCAAGGGCCTAATCAGCGGTTGCGAGCGATATGCTTAGCGAGCAGTGGAGTCTCGATCCACTCTAAGAAAAAAAAAAACATTGGAAAGGACTGGTCTTCTCGGATGATCGGATAGAACCTGCCAGTCCGAGAAGCCCGAATCAATCCAGGCGTATTTTACGTGTACGGAGTAATTTTTTAATAAATTAATTTTCTTGTTTTGCTTTTGCCTTTGCTTCAATTTTATTTTCGTTTTCGTTTTTCATTTTTATTTTCTCCGTGCATACTTTCTCATTCTATGCCCTTCAGCTTGACTTCAGAAGGCTCATTATCTTTAACCTGAATTGTTTGGAAGTAACTAGGTATTGAAAACACGGTACCCATAATAAATCATACGGGAATAGACTTTCTCCAGCCTTGCGGTAGAACCTCGGGCCCCCGAAACCAATCCATCAGCCATAAAATGCGATACACTACCCGAATTCAGTAAAAGGCGCGGGAAGGACGGATGTATAGAGCGGGAATTTGGGCGATCTCTCAAGGGGTGCGCACAGAGCTCGACAGATCTCGCACATGGAACATCAAGTAAGGGCGTAACATGTGGTCATTTTGGCTTGATATTTTTATTCGATGAAAACTTGTATTGCCAGATGGACAAGGAGAAACATTTCAAAAGATGGAAAAAAAAAGAAAGAGAAAAAAAAGGGAAATGAAGTAGTAATCATAAAAGCATCAGAAATCCAAGGAGGGAAAAAAAGACTTTGGAGTTTCTTTTCGGTGTACAACATCGTGAATTGGATCGATCGGCTTTGGACCCTGAGCAGCCGATAAAAAAAAAAGGTTATGTTTAATTGACTACCCGTAGCTGTACTCCGTACTGTGTATACTAGTTGATTACCTGTCATTTATTACTCTGGGCCTTAAAATTCTCTAAATCACCATAATCAATATAACATTTCAAAGCATGACCATCTCGGCTGCATATGCCTTGTCCTATTTACATTTCATATCAGAGCTTACTGGAATTTCTTTCGTTCACGAGCCATGTGAGACACCTAATGCAGGCCATGGCTGAACGGTTTGACAGAGACGCGTCTAGCATGCGGTCGGGGTCATTTCCGGTGGAATAAATCCGAGCACATGGACCTCTCATGATAAGACAACATTGGAATGGATTTCGTGTTCATGGAAAGTGGGAAAGCTAGGAAAGTATGCCAAACTCATGAGAATCAAATAGAATCAGCTGCTCGGATCGGTCAGCCTCCGAAGCCTATTATAGTGATTTTTAGTAGTTGTGCAACCGGTCTCCGTTGGCGATACGCTTTAACTGGACCTCCAGGACCGGCCTGTGCGCAAAGCTCGTCCCGGAAGCACCAGGCGAGCTGTCGGGGCCTTTTGAGCTTTTAACCGCCAGAAAATTAATTCCAACTAATCAGGGTGGATTTATTTAGAGCTTAACCTGGCCTTCAGTAATCTAGCGCTATGTAAAGTTGTGCCTGGGCGCTTCGGCTATGCTACTCCATTGGTTGCGGATGCCTTTTTTGAAGGATTTATTTCCAGGGTTGGTCTTATAGTATGGATACGTAGAATACGACAGTATCAGGCTTAACCATCATGCAAGGTGGTTGAAGGGATAGGGCTTCCAAGGTGGATTACAACAGATTGTGAAATCAAAACCAGAATTAAAACATGTACAAAGATTAATCATTTTTATCCCACTGTACCTACCCAGTACGCCATAACCTTATCAACTTCACCACGAGTCTTCACTCAGATTCATGATTACGAAAAACAAAAGTCAAGTCAGTACGTTAGCTTGACTAGCCGTCTCCACGAGCCAAGAAGATTGCCGATATGATGACCAGAAAGTACCAAATCACGAAGATCCATTACGTGGCATTTTTTTCCCCTTCGTACGGAGTACATCCCACGTGTAGAGTAATCGAACATGGTCATTCCTAGTACTAGGCAACAGAAAGAAAAGAGAGGGTGGGGGAAAAGGAGAGGGAAAAAAAACAAAAAAACAAACGAGATGTAATAATTATGTCTCGTGTTCACATGTACGCTTGCTTTTCTCGGCATCTCAAGCATCTCAAGTAACATAGTCAAAAATCCAAGCTGCGGCCGCGTCATTTTTGATACGAGTACGAGTCACGAGGGACCTAGTGGCCACAGTGGCTTTTTCTTTTTTCTTTTTTTTTTTTCTCATTCATAAATTTTTATTCATCTCCCCCCGAATTCCGATATACTTTTATTTTATTTCGGAGTAGAGTGTATTTAGGGCCGTTTTAGGTTTCAGGGAGGCTGATGCTGATGCCGATACACCCGCACAAGTCCCATCAGTAGATTAATCTGGAATCAGTGGGGATTTTACTCCGTAGACGACTTTCCGTGGTCGTATTCGTGCTAATTGTCAATAGACAAGTGGATTCCATGCCTTTTGAGTCATTCTTTTAATTCTGATTGGTGAAGTCTTGACAAAACTCTTGAATGTCGCTCTTCTCCGGGCCATTGGAACCATGGTGGCTAAGTCGGTGTTCCTTGATTACCAAGTCCGAGCTCCGTGTAATGCCAAGAATCCGGCTTCAAAGGCAGCCGAAAATCACGAAAAAAAAAAAATTTAAGGATAAAGGTGAAGGGTATCGCCCCACTGGATTTAGAAAATGCATAATTTCAAAAGCAATATAGAAGAAATCAAGTGTTGCCTAAGCTAGGCTAGTCCAAATGCCAAGCATCAGCGAAGAAGCAAAAAGGCCAGCTGAAAATGGACCAGGGTGGATGCGGTCTCTCTAAGCGAGCATAAAGTTCAGCGGCCTCGTGTCGGATTAAGCTTAAGCTTCAATGAGTGTGCACTAACCACCTTTTTTTTTAATATTTATTTTAATATTTATTTCAATTGTTTTTGGAATTCTTTTTTTTATAAACATTTTTAAACATTATGATTTAGGATTTAGGATTTAGGATTTAGGATTATTTCTTGTTATTTTTCCTTCTTGATTTATATTCTCTTTTCTTTTCCCTTTTTGCGATCAGTGCGCGCCACCTTTGAGAATGCGTCTGACACAGATCACCTTCCAGTCGTACGCACATGAATAAATTCTCCAGTCATAAAGACTATGAAACTTTTTCGTATTTCTTTTTTATTAACCCTTTTTTTCCCTTCATAATTTGTATTTCTCCTACTTTCAAAGCAATATTTATTTTCATTTCTACAATTTTATTTTTATTTTTATTCTTTTTTTGGTTTAAAGATTTTAAACTTTTGGGATTGGGTAAATATGACTTTTTTGTGTTCATCAGACCTGGAATGGGGCTGCCTTGCGAAGGGGTAAATCCAAGGCTCAAAATTAACCTTACTGGGTCTTTGCCCCCCACTAAACTTATCCTTGTCAAGCCACCGTAAGCTTAGCCAAGGCCTAAGCCAAGTCCTTTCCAAGAGCTTCCAAGAACAGTATTCAAATCGCAAAACGAGAACGCTTCGTCCTTTAGACCTAGATTGGAAAGAGTCTTCTCGATCGCTTGAGAACTTCGACCGGGATCAGCCAACAGGTGAAATCATCATAACTTTGAATAGGTAAAAGGTTAGAGAGGGAGAGAAACCAAGGAACATGTATACTCGGCTGCATGATAATCTCTAGACTCTTTATTCTTTATTCTTTAATTTCTACCTAATCTCTTTTCCCTTGTACGGAGTACTCTGTAACATTAGATGTCACAAAGCCTCCGTACCCGTATACCTGTAATCGTCAACCATGTGCCATACCAGCCACAACTTAACCTTACCTTTAAATCATTAAAATTCCATAACCAAGGTTCCCATGCATAACACATGTCGATAAAAGCGTGGATTTCAAATCAAGAAAATCAATCTGCATGGTGTTTTATGATTATCATGATTATTATTCTTATTATTTCTTTTTCTTTTTCCTTTTTCTTTTTTATTCCCCCTTGTGATTTTTCTCTCTTTTCTTTCTGTGCCTATCACGTCTTACCTGGGCAGATCGTCACTTACTCCATCTTTCAACCTTAGTTGTCCGTCTCCACCTAACTCTGTTTCTTTTCCACCCTAGGCTATTGTATTACACAAGGTAATGAATGGGGTTTCTTTCTTTCAAATTTTTTTATCAAGAAAAAAATTGACTTTGAATTACATGAAAATAGTCAGATTAGTTGTTACTATCCATGATTTCTTTTGATTTTTAAAAACAGGGTTCCATAAAAATCTTAGATAGTTCATAAAATACACGGTACATGTAATTCAAATACTGGAACTCCCTTTTTTTTTTTTAGATTGGAACTTTCCGATTTCAGAGTTTTTCTGGGTCTCTCTGACCTGTCCGGTTCCCTTATTTTTAACCTTCTTTTAATGATTCCTCATTGTTCCCCTTTTAACAGGGACAATCCCCTGTTTCATATTATCAATTCTTCAATGGGATATCTAACCTGGATTCTTTACTGGTCTTTCCATATCGCTTCTCTTCCTGCTCTATATTAACTCTGAGACAACTATAGAGGGGCCTAACCTTGAAAGTCCACTCCTTCCAAACCTTGTGGGGTCTAAAGTGAGTCTCCCCCCACTCCGTTTCTTTGAGCCTTTTTTTCCTCTCCCCCTTGTGTTCCTGTCGGCATTCTTTACGCTTCCTTACCCACTGCCCCACACCCAATCTCTGCAGGTTGGCGTGCAGTCTTTTCCCCTTCCCCTTTGGGGTTTCTAAATTCAAAGGGAAAAAAAAAAGAAAAAAAAATTCATTTTTAAAAAAAGGAAAAAAAGGAAAACAAAGATTAACCAAATTACAAGCCCACTAACCCTGTTAGGTGACGTAAAAAAGCTCGGCCTTTACCCACCTAGAACGCCGGTCTTAAATCCACTACTCAGCCTACCCCATACCCGATTATCATTGACTCGGATCCTGGTTCCTCTTATATCTTGCACTGCTCCTCTCCACTGAAACTTTACTCTTATTCTCTTCTTCTCTCCCCTTCTCCTCCCCCCATCCTATCTCCACATTCACACCTGATCGGGCAACCTTCCGAGAAAAGATCTCAGAACGGGGGGGAAAAACACCATCATTATATCCAACTTATCTTTCTCATCAAGATCGGTTTTCTCCACGTCACCCATCCGAGCAGATAAAGAAAATCAAAAACTTACACGATCATCACATTTGGTCGTCTTCTATTTATTACTATACTTGGCACAGGCTCGAAATCACCCTGGCCGTCAAGGTTACTAACCCATCTGGGTCGTCGGTTGACTTAAGAGGCTGGATGGAGACTTACTACGGACACGTCCGCACACCGGCGGATGCCATCGTCCTCTTTGAGGCCTGTCGCATTGGTCTTCTACCGCGAGTACAAAGACGCCTTTCTGAGAAAGAACGACAATCAATCAGATCGGGGTCCGTATTCGTCTGGGATGAGCGGGAAGCCGGTATGCGCCGATGGACGGACGGAAAATCATGGAGCGCCAGTCGAGTGTCCGGCAGCTTCCTGACATATCGAGAGATGGAAGGCAAGCGGGGTGGTGGCAGCGTCTCACAGGGCTCTATGCCCAGAACGGGCAAGACCCCAGACAGCAGAGGAAGCGACGAGGAGCGGGGTGACGGCACAGATGAGGGTCCTGATGGTTATCGGTATAAGCCTGACGGATTGATGAAACAGTCCTTCAGTATCACAACCTCCACTGGCCAACACCTTCATCTGATCAGCTATTATGCTCGCGCTCACTCATCTGCTATGTCTCTTCAACAACCCACTATAGATCCCGCACTGCGTCATGTTCGACCCCAGAAGGGCTTATATCCGGAGTCAACGGTGAACGACCAGCAAAACCTTCCCGTGGTAACTCGTGGTCCCATGCCTGGAGCGGCATACCCCATCACCCCTCACCCCATCGGCCCATACCCTCGCGCATCACACGCGCCTTCATATCAGCAGCCCTCGTATGCATGGCCTCCCACACCTTTGGCCACACCGCCGACGGTGTCTGTTCATTACGGCCCTGGGTACCCTCAACTTATTCCCGGTCCCAATGGCCCCTCACCGTATGGCCACCCTCAACATCAAAATCCCCCTCACCTATCCCACGGCCATGCGCTTCCGCCACCTCCCCATGGCGCCCCGCTTTACGACCGCCCACCTCACCACGAATCAATCCTTCCTCCTGGTCCCCCACCAGGCTATCCTGGCCGATCACCTCGCACCATCCACGAGCCTCTTCAGCAGGGAAGCCCCCGAGGTTACGGACAGCCCATGGCTGATCCTCGCCTCTCTTCACCTCGCGTTGTTCCCGCACCTGGAGCTCCACAGCCCAACGGTATCGCGCAAAGTCCACACATGCTGAAACAACACCTCGGCCCCATTAGCACTCCTCCCAAACCCGCTGAATCAACCGGTGCTCCGGGTGGCGTTCCTGGAATTGGTACCCTCATGGCCAGTGCATCACTGGCCCCGATCTCAGCCGGTCCTTCCGCAGGTCCAGGTAGCCCCAACCTTGCTCGATCCGGTGCGGTGGGCGAAGGTCCACGGGATATCCCCAACGATAAGATTGGATTCGGAGGAGAAGACATGAGGGCTTTGCGGCAGTTGGACCGAGTGTTCACTGCGTAAACCAGTTTTTGATCATAACATTCACTTTGATCTTTCTCACCTCCAAAAAAAACCTTCTTTTTCAGACTATTTATTTGCTCCCTCCGGTTTCGATTTCGTTCGATTTTCGTTTCTGGCTGCCCTTCCAGTCTGCCCTTTCTCTCAATTATTTTTCCGGAGCAACGGAGTTGTTGTTGTTATCAATGATATCCATCATGTTTTCTGTTTTTGTTTCTCTGAGCATCTTTTGCATTGGGTTGGGGGCTATTTGCATCAACTTTCCGTTTCATGTATGATCAGGCCATCGGTCGTCAGTCTTTTTTTTTTGGTTCACAGACCTTTTATCATTATGCATTCCCAAGGTTGACATCGGTTTACACGGATGGGACACGGATCTGGTATTCGGTCATACAATGAACTTGTGTTCGTTAATATCTTGCATTTATCTCGTAAACTTGTGACCTCGTTTTGGTATATGTCTACATGTAGTTGTAGGTCTTGTCTCGGTGGAGTGGTTCCATCCATGGATCCCGTAAACTAGTCTCAACATCCATGCACATGTGGATTTGAAGATGCCCGGATGCTTGAGGGTATACTTGAAATGCCTCGGTATCGAAAACTGCCTTGTGCAGCAAATAGTGCTCTGCTCTATGTGCCATTCAAGGAGGAACAGACACGTGTGGTTTAGGAACCCGGGCCGATGATCACTGATTTCGTACCCTCGCAGGTGATTGAGGAAGTGCTACAATACATCTCCCAAGTTCTAAAGGGATGTTTTAGCTTGGTAAATAATCAAAACCATAGATTCCCGACAGTGATGTAACTGTCGTCCTTCTCAAGTACTGTTTTACATTGAGTGAACACTGTGCATGCATGTGTGCAGCAACCTTAGTATGTTTTAGACCGGCCAGAGCCTCTCTGGAATTCAATGTTAGCAAATAATCTCTTGGAAGAAATTCATTGGTAAAAGACACTCACTTTGTGCATTTCTTATTCTTCTCCAGGATCTATCACCATATTCCAAAAAGATTCACGCGTGCAAAATTCAGCGTCTTCCAAGAGTTTATATTCTTTTCTTGAACGACATGGCTTGCAACATTGATACACGATGGCAACACCTCAACCCTGAAGATGGTTGGGCCAGTGCCATTACTGGGGGAAAGGAAAGTAAGTGTCACAAGACGCGATGCACCAGAAGCCAGACCGCGATATGTATTGATATGTACCGACCTTTGTGATCTGTATATTTTGTCTATTCTGAGTTACGAAAGCCAAGCCAATGCGTTTCCGAGGCTTCCTGTGTGGTTCTAAATCTATGCCAAAGCCTTTTTCGATTCTAGACCCAGGATCCAACAGCAAATCTTTTCCAACCTTGGAAGTCTCGAGATAAATATAAATTGGTCAAGTGTGGCCTGGGCATGAGCTGGCGCTTCCCGATATCCAGCCTTGCAACCCAACGTCCAAGGAAGTCGAAAATGTTTCCCAATCGAGTAATCATTCTTGGTGATGGTGTTGTTACCAAACCAGAAAAATTGCCTCCCCTATGTACCTAGCTTCCAAACGATTCACTTTTGGGCGTTCAACACGATAAATCTACCCTGAGCGTCATCAATCACTGTTCTCGAGGATAATCAACATTGTTAGTTTGACTTGGATGAATACATACCTAGTAAATCCCATGACTTTCCGAATGTTATCGGATCTCTTGATTTCCACACCCACGCACGGTTATCAATTGATGCATGTGCAGACATATGTCATATAATCAAGGTTGGAAGTTGGAACCTTGGAACCCGCTCAATCTTCATGATCGCTCTTCAAGTTTTTACTACATCCAGATTAATATCGACATGAAACATTTGCGGTGGAAGTGCAACATCTGAGTTCTAGAACTGATTCCTGGTGGGAATTATAATAATCTTGGAGCTTTGGAAGGTGAAGGTCTTGTCACGCCCAAGTTCCAACTCATCACACTTGGCAACGCGCCTGGTATCCTGAGGCAACGAATCGCATGAGCGCTAACCATGCATTGCATCCCTCTATTCCGAGGTCATCCTGAACAAAATCCGGCATATCGATGCATGTGTCGCTTTCTCCAAGGTGATTCTGCATATGAGGTCGAGCTGAATAGTCGTATCATTCAATATTCCAAAATTGTTAGTTGTTGTCCAAGGCACATCTAATTGACCGGTGACTTTGTTCTTTACATTTACACTGTCACCCCTATCAGCTGGCTTCTAAAATAATTAGAGCACCCATAGACTAGCCAGCCTAAGTCGCTTTAAACACCGAGCCTTGAAAGAGCTTGCAGGGCTAGTTCGTCGGGGTTCAGCTCAACATTGAGATGCATCAAAACATAGTGATCGATCTTTGGAAGAAACCTCGTTCTCGCCCACAGGAACCTCACCAATGACAGGATACCTAGAAAAGAAAAGCTCACCGCGGAGATAGAATAACATTACGCTCAGCCCCGCTATCGGCACTATTGAACCGACCGTTCGCATCCAGTTATCAATTCATGGATTTATGTAGATCACTGGAGCAGAGAAGAGACAAGAGTATGATACATTCGTTCCGTCCCCACAGAAGCAAAGAAAATTTTGAATGGCCAATTCCAATGTTTCTTTGCCCTTTTCAATAGTATGTGCGAGCTTAAAAGAGAATAAGAAGGAGGGGGGGGGGGAAATTGAAACATTTGAACCAGAGAGCACTTGAGAAACCGGGCTTTCCAAGAGCCCCTTCCAATGGGTGGATATATTCTGTAAAACACCCGTGGACCTGGGGGCAAAGGTTCTCTGAGCTCGTATGACAGACCGGGATCAACAATAAGCCCAATGCCCCCTCTTTCCCCTTCACCCTCAAGTGCTCGCCACGCGTTACAGTGTATGCGATTCGATACGCTAATACTTTCCTAGACCAGTCGCGATTTATTTCTTCTCCCCGGGCTTAGAGCCAGCGGACATTGCCATCGCTGATCCCCGGATCGAAGTTTAAAAGGTGTTTCTGGCGTTGAAAAATGGCGCAAACGGAAGGCAATCGACCTAAGCTAGCCCCGCACGTCGCGCCCCATTGCTAGTTTTGTTAGTCTACTAGTTCCCTTGCCGATAGTTCGCGCTACGAGAGTCCGATCAGAAGGAGCCGGCGAGGCGCCAGTGAGAAACTGGAGTCTAAGAAGCACAGTACCGGGCATCCCCTACTCTGTACATGATGCATCTTAGTGGTCGCCTTTCTTAGAGCTGGGACTGGGACTGGGACTGAAATTGAAGTTTAAAATGAACATTGAAACGTTGAATGGATATTGATTCTCATTCCATGAGGGACATCATCCCAGGTCGTTTGGAATTATGCTGACCTCGGTGAGCCCATCCTGACTATTATCTGACTTGTTATTGGGTCGGAGATGGTCCGCGGAGAAAGTGTTGGGCAAAGTCGGTGATGAGCACCATGTAGAGTCTTCTTTTGAGCAGTTTCAGCTATAGAGTCAGTTTGTTCAATGTTTTTTTTTTTTTTCAAGTGTTCTTACAACCTTGGAAGTCGGTAATGTTTTTCTTCTTGAACTTCTCGAGGTCCCTTGGAGTTGGATATGAAGAGGTTTTTTTTTTTTTTTTTTTTTTTTTTAATTCAAAACTTTCTCTTGTTTGTACAATTTATGGTTAAATCAAGCGATCAGGTTTCGTCGATCTTGGACGTATAATCTAATTTTATGTCCGGTTCTTTTAGTCTTTTAGTAATGTCCATGCAAAGGAGCCAACCGGCGATGAGCGGAGGATGCTTATTGTGGTAGAGTGATATAATGCGAACTATTATAGGTGGCTTGCTGGAGACATCATTGGGCGTCAAGCCTCTTTTTCGTTTCTTTCCTTTCCTTTTTTTTTTCCGTGTTGCGCCCAGGAAGAGCAAATGCATGTACGGAGTACTTACAGTACTTACGTAGGATCCTCGGGGCCGTTCTGGCCAGGATCCACATGGAACGATGAGCGAATCTCGCTTGAATGACTAGCTTATTGGCTGGGCGAAAGGTCAAAGATCTCAGCCTCTGCAACACTGTCCAATCCAGTGCATGATCTTCGGCTTCTCGGCAAACCTACTGGACTGGTACACGAGGTCATGTGGATCGTGGGTTTTCCAAACTTGAATATTTTTTTATTTTTTATTTTTATTTTTTAAAAAACCCCCAAAATCCGCAAGAAGCGCCACAGTCTTGGAGTAGAGGGAGAGATCTTGTGCAATTTTGATTTTGATTTTGATTTTGATCTAATTCTCTTTCCATATTACAACTGAGATTACCTAGGGGTTACTAGACCCCCACAATGAAAATCAACCGGTGGTTCCCAACATTGAAATTGATACTCCACTTGAATGACGGGAAGAACCTTCATTTACGGACCCATAACGAAACAGAAAAAACATCAAGGGTTTTGTCATGTGAAGAGTTTGATGATTCTTTGTTCAATGACTCTATGCAAGGCTCATATAGGGTAGGCTTTTCTTTTTCTTTACAATTTTTTTTTTTTTAACTTGCAAGAACCGGAGACTGGGGAATCGTGGGAAAACCGGCGACAGTCCCATCTAAGCTACTTGATTGGCTCTCCTGTGTTCCTAGTGTCAGATCGTATTGTTTTAATATTTTAATTTATTTTGCTTCATTTAAGCAGGTCGATCCTCTCGGAACAGAAATTTGCCTTTGGATCAGCTCCATCGGATTGCATTAAGTCGTTTAGGAGGTTGAGCGGCCGCGAATTCCGGTACCTGGGCCCAAATGCGACTAACAAGGCAACTAGCAAGGATCGGCCTGAAACGTGAATTTCGGATTTCCCCTCTGAGCGTTTCTTTTCAGCCAGCTGATGCGTCCAAATTCTAAGTTTAAAATGGTGAAAAGGCCGAACTATCCGGTCCAAACGGTTATACGAGAAAGAGAAAGAGTAAGAAGCAGAGAAAAATATTAAAAAAGGGACAAAGCGAAAGGGAGCAAAGAAGAAAGGGAAAAAAAGAGAAAAAGAGAAAAAGAAAGAGAAAAGAGAGAAAAGAGAAAAAGAGGGGGTGAAGCTCTCGATGACAGCTATTGCCTTGTTTGTCCTGCGGCAGACACTTAGACCTTGTGCTGCAAGTGCTATACTCGAATTAGGCAATGAGAGTCCACCACATTCCCGCCCCCTTGGGTGAAAAAGTCACAAGCACTAAAGTATTACCCACTCTTCGTATGGCCCAGGGACTCGGGAATGGGGATCTTAGCAGAGGAGATGTTGGAGAAAAAAAAAGAAAAAGAAAAAGAAAAAGAAAAAAACCACAAAAACCACAAAAACCATAAATCCAATGAACCTATATTGCTTTCATTGATCAAGCCGTAACCTGAACTCGGTGGAAGCTTGGAAGTTGCTGGAGTACTGGGAATCTTGTCAATTCCCTGCAGCGGATGTCTGTGCTGGTCAAGGAAGATCTGGCCCACTCTGGACTTTACCCCAGATTGTCGTACACAAGGGGAAGAATTGCGTAACAAGTTTCAATGTCGGCCGATCCTGTACCTTGAAAAAGCAAAGCAGAAAAAGCAAAGCAGAAAAAGCGAAAAGAAAGTGTGTCAAAAGCAAACAAAAAGCCTCCAAAGCCCTGCGCTTAGACCCGACAAACTCCGTGGAGATTGGGATTGTCTCCGAGAAAGGTAAGAAAGCGCGATCTTATTGTGTACAAGTAACAAGTAACTAGTGACAAGTGACAAGTAGTATACTAAGCTTAACGGGGCGAGGTTCGTGAAACCCGGCTTACCCTGATTTCTTCACCTGGTCTTCATACCTATTTGGATTATGCATCTATTCCTTTTTTTTTTTTTTTTTTGGCCTTTTTGCTTTTCTTTTTACCATTCCTCCCATTCTTTTCTGTTCCACCCCCTTCTTTAGCCCCCAGTGCGGCTGTGTTGCTCGTCTAACAGCCTCCATCGGTCTTATATGTGGGGAATGTCAAAGCTTTTTTTTTTCTCCTGTTGTTTTATGTTTCTAGTTTACCCGATGATTCTCCCCTGCAGATGAGCAGATGAGATGCTACTGATTCATTCTTATTGTTTTCACATCCATCAAATGATTAGTTCGGAGCCAAGCCCCGAACTAACCCGTCAGGATCAATGTCCACTATAAGTCCACTTATACCACTTATACCAGCCCACTATAGTCCACTAGAAGTCCACTTAAAAAACCGAGTTATGGCTTGTTATTGCACGAGAGCCTCGTCCCCACTGAGATGATGAGATGACAGAAAAATGCAACCTGTGTGTGTACTCCTGCCTAGAAGGGAACATTGTCGATGTGGATCATCTGGTTTTAGCGTTGGGTCAGGCAACTTTCCTTTCAGTACAAGATGATCTTGACGCTAAACATCAAAAGTAAAATCCAAAAAAAAAGAGGGATTTAGGGATTTTGGGATTTTGAGATTATTTTTTTTTTTTCTCTTTTTCTTGTCTCGGAGTCCTCGCATCTGCAAATCAGGGCACCAGAACATGCTTGGCAGCCTCCCCCGCAATGCAAAGTTTTAACCTACTATAGCCAAATTCGTATGACCTCAGGCCTTTTGGGACGTTTCTATTACATATTGCATTTAGTTGGGGAAATTCCCATTTCCTTTCTGCTATAGTATTTACTATATTTACTGTCCATATCCTCCCTTTGGTTTGCCTTTTTTTTCCTCTTTAGATCTTTTCCACCATTATTTGTCGAGGAAAACTAAGAGAAAAGAAGAAAACCGAAATAAAAAAAGAAAAACTAAAGATCTCTAGAGCATACACTTGGTAATATTTAGTACACTTTTGGTGTCCACTAAAACCTGCAGTCGCTCGTTTCTTCTCTTTCCCCCCCCCCCACGCCCCAATCACCCCATTTATATACCCGGCGCCGGGTCCCTAACCTTTCCCCTCTTAAATTACACTCCCCCCCCCTTTCCCCGGCAAAATCCATAAAGCCCTTTCGCTCCCCTGGCTTTCACCGGTGCCCGAAATTCCCCTCTGGACCCCATGTTTAATGTTGTCCATGCAGAACTCCTTATATATCACCCACTCAGGCTGGAACGCATCGGAGCTGCAGGACGAAGGTTGCTCCGGCCGCTCGGACATCCCCACCCTATCTGGGATCGACACCCTTCGAGGCAGTATTTCCAGCGCCAGCACCGGTGCTAGTCCCGATGATACCTCAACCGACTCGCCAGACTGGAACGAGGCCGGCCAGTCTCCGCCTGATTTTGATGTGAGGAACTTGACTGGATCACGCTCCGATGTCTTCCTGCTGAGCTCCGGGCACGAGATGAGCGACATGAGTGATATCCCACCCAAGGTCGAAGAGTTGGATGACGACGTTCAAAGTGTCAAGCCATCGGATGTGGGGAACGACTTCGACCAGGAAAACTCGGGTGCTCCCGCCAACGTTCCACGGAAACGTGGGCGCCCACGCAAGCATCCGCTTCCTACCCCCGGAGGTCAGGCCAAAATCACCAAGGGTCGGTCCAAGACCGGTTGTATAACTTGTCGACGACGGAAGAAGAAGTGCGACGAGACAAAACCTGCGTGAGTGATTGTTACCAAAAAGAAAAAGAAGAAGAAAAGAGAAAAAAAAAAAAAAAAGAAAGAGGAATATCGGCCGAGAGGGCCGGGCAAAGACCCAAGCCTTCATCTCGATTCTCCACTAACTCCCCACCTTGGTCACTTGAGTCTTGAGTCGTACGAGACTAACGTGATGCTGTACTAGATGTCTTAATTGCCAGAAAAATGCGGTCGTGTGTGAAGGGTATCCCCCCAAGGAGATTTGGAAGAGCGGAAGGCAGAGGGTTGCTGACGGTACGTATTTAAATCTGGACTTACGCGCGCGCGCCCTGACGCAAAACATCTTTGGATCTCAAGCTGACCTGACCGCTACTGTAGCTGTCCGAACCAAGTCCCTTGTCACCGTGCCTCGTAACCTTCCCCTCCTGATCGATGGAGTCGAAACCGAGATAGACCGTCGCTTCCTGGATCACTTTGTGTATGGATTTAGTCGAGTCTTGACTCTGATCAACGATGACTCAAACCCGTTTAAGGAGATCTTGCTTCCCATGGCAACCCAGCACCGTGGATTGATGCATTCTCTCATGTGCCTGTCAGGGTCACACTTGTCGGGGCTGGACCCAGAGCCAAAGTTGAAAGAGCGCAAGTATTATCATTTCCATCGGGCGATCCAGGATTTGAAAGATAACATTACCGCCACGTCATCCGCTTCATCCGCTTCACCTGACGCGGAAGAGGACCAGCAACTGTTGGTGGAGGATCCCATTATTGCATCGACCATTGCACTGAGTTTGAATACCATATGTGAAGGTGAAACTAATGGTGAATACCGACCACATATGGATGCCGCTCGGTACCTCCTCGTTTCGCAACAGCCTCGCAACGAAAAATTCCGACAATTCATCGTCGAGTTCTTCCAGTACCACGACATCTCAAACGCCTTGACCTCCCTTGACCGTCGGCCCGCCCTTCTTCAAGGTAGCATGCGCATGCCCGACTTTGTTCCGGGTGCTCAGGCTGGTATGTTCTTGGGTGTATTCGATGGTCTGTTCAACTACATCTCTCAGATCACTCAGCTCCGAGACCGAATCCGTCAACGATTCAACGAAGGATATGAGCCTGCAGTGGACTACCAGACTCTCAGCGAGGCCGTTCAGATCGATACCGCCATCAGGACTTGGGAGACATCGCACGAGGAGGATTCTGCTAACTGGTGCTTGGCTCAACTATACCGACAGTCAACTTGGGTATACTTGTTCCGCACCATCCGACCCTCGCGCCCGACCGATAAGATTGCCCAAGTGGTTGATGACGGTCTAGCTTACTTGGATCGCCTGCCACAAGATGCCGGCGCCCACAGTATCGTCCTTATGCCCCTGTTCCTATTAGGTTGTTCAGCATTTATCCCTGAGCAACGTGAACGGATCCAAAAAGGCTTCGAATCTCTCAAGGCCTACTCCAATCTCCGCAATATCGAGCCAGCCTTTAAGGTTGTCACTCGTGTCTGGGAAATCATGGACACTAAGATCGAGGATAGCTGGGACTGGGAGAAGATCATTCATGATATGAATATGGATTTCCTCATCACCTGAGCTTCTTTTTCTTCTTCTTTTTATCTCTCTCTCCCTCTTCCTCTCTCTCAACCCCCTCATTTTTGATACCCGCTTCATTTTAATTCTTTCCCAGTTCACAGGGACCTGTTGTTTTTCTCTATATGTTATATGAATGGCCAAAAACAAGCATGATGATCATTGCTTCTTTGGCGACTGTACTACGAGGCGTTTTTTCTTGGTTTGAATATGCATATGCATCCGGTGGGGAGGGCTCAGTTTTGTGTTTATGTTTATTTCCTACTCTTTCTTTTTCAGCTGGTCCAGACGGTGTGTGTCACGCTGTAAGGGGTGGCAACGAGGTTAATCATCTTCCCTTCTAGGAAGGGGGCATACTGTACATTCCGCCTTGGTACCGCGTGAGAAAGATGAACATGCGCAACGTACAATCTGAGTGGAAAAATGTGTTTTTTTTTTGTCTGGAAGGATGCGTCGTGCTTCGTAACCAGACCAGTTGGGCGATGATGATGACAGAACAGATCGGCGTTTCAAAGATTTACTTCAAATGTTGGATGAATGTTGGAATTTTTTTTTTTTAGGATCTGTTGTATATATCCATTTGACTGTATGTATTGCCAGGTTTCAATTCGATTCTTCAAACATTGAACGTTTTCAGGACCACGCTGCATGTGTGTAATATGTATTATTCCAAGGTTTCTAATCCCGTCTGGAACAGTTTTGAATGAACGAACCTTCGAATACATACGGGCCAATTCAAATCAAAGATTGATTCAAATCATGTGTTGATTGATATCTACTTTATAGGTGTGTACCAGTTGTGCGTAAACATTGAATACTATTTCCTTGGAAACCCCCGGAGCCATGGAAGAGATCGCCATGCAGGAAATGTTTGAAGTTTCTCACCTATCTTTCTTCCAAAGTTCTTTAATATTCATTCAAATGTTATAAATGTGGCATTTTTCCTCCTTTCCTGGAATGCTTAATTGATATGTCAAAATATTTAGTAACCAGTTACTAGTACTAGTAGGCAGTCTCGCCAACTCGCATCTCGAGGTCTACAGATACTAGTAGTCATAGCAACATATCAAATCTAATTTTGCCCTCGCTCCAGGCATCTTCATAGATACAGATGTATCATTCAACGTCCACAAGAGCATCTGGTGACATGTACTCTTATTTGAATATTGTCTGATTGGTAGCTTTTATGCCTCAGGCTGTAGATACTCAGACCTCGAGGATAATTTGAGCAGTTCTACCTTGAGGTAACTAAATCTAACTTGAGTTCTAGGATATTGAATTTGAAAGCTACATATCAATACCTAGCACTAGAGACATTGATGGAGAGAGACTTTGGAAGTTCAAAACCTACATCAATACATAAGTAGATGGATTCGAGTTGATAAATATGGCGATATCCCAAACATTTGAAGTGACGTCTGCACACATGCATGTGCACTGGCCCATTCAGACTGTGGATATTAGACGGGTCAAGTCAACTACTTCTCAAATCAATGTGCACTGAGGCAAGTGGAATTGTTGATTCAATGTTGGAGTATTAGTATGTTCATGAACATTTGAAGATCTCATTTCATGAATATATCTAACAGCCTGTTACGCCGAACAGGATTATCTATTTAGTAACCATCCCGAGCACCGCCAAGGACGTTTTCGCCATTAGCAGTCTTTAACTCATTAAGCATTCCAGTGCGGAATACACCGACATCAGTGTTGACAGAAATCATATCAAAGCCCTGTTCGGCACGGACTCGCGCATCATTGCCGTCGGTACCTATATTCAGTTGTTAGTTCATCGGTCCAAAAAAGAACACTCTCGTGGAAAGAAAAAAAAAAACATACAGAAGATAGCCGCCTTTTTTCCAGATGCATGAGCTGCAGCTAGGATTCGTTGAATGGCACTTTCGTGCTCCTCGCCGCAGCGAGTAACTCCCATCTGCTTGGCAAGGTCAAACGGTCCAATGAAAAGCACATCGATACCAGGGACAGCGGCGATTTTCTCCACGTTCTCAACACCAGATCGGGACTCAATTTGAACGGCCACGGTGATACCATTATTAGCACCGTCATCGTGATCGGGACCAGGGTTCAATCCGGGGAATGAGTGTGGGGCGAACATGGGTCCGTAACCTCGTGTGCCAAGTGGAGGGTACTTGGAGTACTTGACGATTTTAGCGGCGTCAACCTAAGCATTATTGTAAATTAGCATTACGTTCGAAATCGGTGAGATTTCTCGGGGGCAAATTTTTGTTGTTGCATTTACCTCTGAGTGACACATGGGTGTCATGATACCATGTGCACCGGCGTCTAGGGCCCGCTTGATCATCCATTCCTCTGCTTGTGGAACACGGATAATGGGACTAGCGCCTTCAGAGCCAATGGCATTGTTAAGCTTGCAATGGTCAGTACAACCAAAGAGATAGCGAGAGAGAGGCGGGGCGTGGGGGAGCGGAAGAAAAAAAAGACAGAACTACACGCTCCAGATCTCCAGAATGGAGACATACCTCATAGTAGTGGTGGTCAGAAATCAAACCATGCTCAGCATCAACCAAAACCCAGCTAAACTTGGTGGTAGACCCAGAAGCACCATGCAAAATAGTCTTCGCAACACCGGCACTGGGGAGTCTGTATGGAACCGGAAAAGGCAAATCAGCTAATAGTTACATTTCCATCGGATTTCTTGAGGAGCTGATACATACGTGAGCCAGAAGCCAAATGCAACAGAAGGGCCGTCGAGACTAGACTTGATGGCTGTGGTGAAAGACATGATTGCGATATTTGGCAATTTTGAGAGAAATTAGGAAGAAGTGAAGACACAATTGGAATCGGAAGAGGGGTGAGTTACGTGGGGGGAAGAGAGTCCCTCGGGTGTAATTATGCCGACCTCGGGGGTCCCACCGGGTCTTGCAATGCGGGATGTCGGGGTAACTCCGCACTACTACATTGAAGACATGAGGTCTTGTGCAATCTTCCATTCAGAATCACCAGACACCTCAATACTTATCTATTCTGTACTACAAGTACTTTGCATTTGATCCATAGAAAGCTCTCATCAATAGTACAAAATTCTTCTTAGATCGTACATTCTGTAGAACGGGGGGAGATTAGATACGGTAGGAGTCAGGACTCTAGGGGCACTTCACCTCAATTTATGATAACCTCTGAAATTTCATCAGCCACAATGATCCAGAGTAAGAAAGTCTATTGTAATGTTGGAATACTAGAATATTAGAATTTAGTATAATTAAGATATATGGAATACTCAGGTTGCCTAATACTGGGATATTGTATAAATCCCTCGCATCAACTTTCAGCCTTGGAAGTAAGGCTCTGGCTTGTGTTTTTCTCCCATTTCGCTTACTTATACCGGAGAATACTTAGTCCGAAGGGACGGAAGTCACCGAACCAATGGAAAGCCAAACGGAGCGGATGAGGTTTATAGTCCGGTAACCGGTTGGAACAACTTAACAAGGGCCTAACTTCTACTAAGGAGCTAAAAGTTAAAAGGGTTAGCGCTATAAGCGTGTCATCAATCCCAATGCCAAGGGAAATGCAAGTGAGCAAATATCTCCTTCCCGCAACTTTGAGGGGACTCTTCGATTGCTCACCTCATTCTGGCATAATTTAGGCTTACACGCTCATACTTAATTTCCATCCAAGTAGCTCACTGGATGAATGCGAGTCGTCAGATGATGAACTGACTGCCATGAGCGCAATTCAATACCCCGTTTGACTGAAACAGATATACCACGATGGAGAATGATGGGATGGTTACCGACAGCAATGTCAAGAAAGAAGCCTCGGCTTGCGATGAGACCCACAAGGATTCGACCCATAACCTGAGGCTTCGCGCAGTGAACCCGGTAGATGTCAGAGTGAGCGACCTTTCCCTTGAGCTTGACAAAGCTTTCCCACTATGGAAGGTTTCACCGTTAGAACTCTGGCGCCGCGTTTGTGGGCAATCCAAAAGAGCGTCGAAGAAGGTGTTGGATGGTGTCAGTGCAGAGATGTCATGCGGGAGCTTGACAGCGATCATTGGTAGCAGTGGCTCGGGGAAAACTTCCCTGCTCAATCTCATGGCCAGTCGCATGTCTCTTTCTAGGGCCAAAGTGTTTGGATCGACTACTTTTAATGGCAACCCCAACATTGACAGTATTCGCAGCGCCTACGTTATGCAAGATGATGTCCTTATCCCAACATTAACCGTGCGCGAAACCTTGCAGTACTCAGCTGACCTTCGCCTGCCACCGCCAACAACCCGGGCCGAAAGACATGCTATCGTGGAGCAGGTCATTCTAGAGCTCGGACTCAAGGAGTGTGCTGATACAAGGATCGGAACAAATACACGCAAAGGCTGTAGCGGTGGAGAAAAGCGACGCACAAGTATCGGGGTCCAGTTGTTGGCTAATCCATCCGTCTTATTTTGTGACGAGCCAACCACCGGCTTGGATGCGACCAGCGCATTTCAGATCATGCGTACCTTGAAACGACTCGCGCAGGATGGTCGAACCGTCGTCGTCTCCATCCACGCGCCGCGTTCTGAGATCTGGAGCCTTTTCGATAACGTGGTTCTCTTGGCACAAGGATCTGCTCTATACACTGGTTCTGCGAGCAATTCACTAGCCCACTTCGAACACCATGGTCATATGATTCCATCTTTTGTGAACCCCGCCGAATTTTTGATCGACTTGGCCGCAATCGATAACCGGACCGAAGCTTCAGAGGCTGCATCGCACATTCGCGTTGACCACCTTCGGGAATCATGGCGGACGCAGTCAGAGAAAAACATCTTCAAGGAAAGAGAAACGCAGGGAGTTGTGTTGCCAGTTCGTAAAGATACGGGAACAATGAGGAAGGTGCAGTTTTTGCAACAACTACGCGTTCTCACCTCCCGCACCTTCGTCACCACCATTCGAGACCCACTTGGTGTTTTTGGTAGCTTAATTGAAGCCATTGGTATGGGTGTTGTTAACGGTTGGATCTTCCTGCAACTCGATGAGAGTTTGGCTGGCATTCGGTCGCGAGAAGGCAGTCTTTATACGGCTAGTAGCCTAAATGGCTATCTCATACTGCTTTATGAGACGTATCGAATGACAATCGATATTCGATTATTTGATCGTGAACGCAACGAAGGTGTGGTCAGTGTCCCAGCGTTCCTGCTCAGTCGACGCCTTGCTCGACTCCCCCTTGAGGATCTACCAGTACCACTGGTGTTCTCCATCATCTTTTATTTCATGGTCGGATATCGTCTTGAGACAAGCCAATTCTTCATTTTCTTTCTCCTCACCTTGTTAACACATTACTTGGCCATCACCTTTGCTGCGGTTGCCGTTGGGGTGGCAAGAAATTTCTCCGGCGCCACCCTGTTCGCGAATTTGTCTTATACTGTGCAATCGTTTGCCTGCGGATACTTTGTCCAATCGAATCAGATACCGGTGTATGTGAGATGGCTCAAATGGTGTGCATACACATTCTACATATTCGGAGCACAATGTGCAAACGAGTTTATCGGACTCGACGGCCCAGAGCTAGGCCGGTTTTATGACTGCCCATATTCGGATGACCCGCTTGACCCGGCTTGCAAAGAGTACACCGGACTTTATGTCATGAACAGTTTGGGAATGCCATCTAACTGGCTATGGCGACCAATAGTGGTACTGGTGGCGTTTGTGGTGGCTCATTTCTTGCTGGCTGGCTTATTGCTACAGTATAATCGTTTCGCGATTGACATTGCTCAAGCCCGCAAGGCAGATGGAGACCCCTCCACCGAGAAAGCAAAACTAGCAATTCGCCCCAATGAGGAATCCCGCAGACTGGCTATTTCACTAGATCGATATGCCTTGGAAATCCGAAAGCGTATGAATCCTTGGCAAAAGACCCAATCCTTACACATCTTGAAGCCTATCACTGCCGAGTTTCATTCGGGGGAGTTAAATGTCATCATGGGACCATCGGGAAGTGGCAAGACATCTTTACTGAATTCAATTGCGGGTCGATTGAAGGACTCAGTAGGAACACAATACCACGTTTATGGCCAATTGCTATACAACGGGGCTGTACCATCGGAGACTGTTATTCGTTCGGTGACCTCGTTCGTCACACAAGATGACGATGCGCTGATGCCATCTCTGACCGTTAGAGAGAGTTTGCGATTTGCAGCAGGGCTGCGATTGCCAATCTGGATGTCACGACAGGAAAAGAACCGTCGAGCGGAAGAAATTATGTTCAAGATGGGTCTCAAAGAATGCGCTGACAACTTAATCGGAGGTGAACTCATCAAGGGTATTAGTGGAGGAGAGAAACGGCGTGTTACGATCGCTATCCAGATTCTTACAAATCCCAAGGTGCTGCTTCTGGATGAACCAACATCAGGTCTGGATGCATTCACGGCCATGTCCATTATAGAAGTTCTCTCTGGTCTCGCAGCTGAAGGCCGGACCCTGATTATGACAATCCATCAGTCACGCTCTGATCTGGTTCGTCATTTCTCTCAGATTTTGCTCCTAGCACGAGGCGGGTACCCAGTGTATTCAGGGCCGGGGCAACGTATGCTTCCATACTTTTCAGGGCTCGGCTACGACTGTCCACGGACCACCAACCCGGCAGACTTTGTATTGGATATTATCACCGTGGATCTTCAAGAAGCAGACCGGGAGGCCATTACTCGTGAACGAGTTCAGAATCTGATCTCTTGCTGGTCTGATGCGGCTCTGTCGCTCGAGTTCCCCTCTCAGATTGCAACACCAGCTGAGCTTGGTAGCTTTCGCCGTCAGATGCTTCCATTTCGGATCACATTTCCATTGGTCCTGTATCGGTCATTTATCAATTTCCGGCGCCAACCCCCTCTAATAATGGCCCGGTCAATGCAAATTTTGGGGATTGCTATTGTGATCGCCTTGTTCTTTGCGCCACTTAAGAACGACTACGCCGCGGTACAGTCGCGTATGGGATTTGTGCAGGAGTTTGCTGCTCTGTACTTTGTTGGTAAGTCGAAAATGCGTGTTCGTGTTCATCATCATCATCTTAGCCAACCATAATAGGTATGCTCCAAAACATCGCAGTCTACCCAAACGAACGCGACGTCTTTTACCGGGAGGAATCGGATAACTGCTACTCAGCAGAGACATTTATTTTATCCTACACAACCCTTGAGGTACCCTTCGAGATCGCGTCCGCACTCATCTTCGGCGCCCTTGTCGCATATGCAGATAACATGACGCGCACGGTGACCATGTTTCTCATCGGGGCCTTCAACTGTTTCTGTATCATCAGCTGTGGTGAGTCTGTTGGGATCATGTTTTGTACCTTGTTCTCTCACGTCGGCTTCGCTGTGAACGTGACATCTACCTTATTATCGCTCTCATGTACCCTTGGAGGCGTCATGAGTTTGAATATTGACAAGGCACTGGAAGGTTTAAACTATCTCTCCCCAGTCAAATACTGCATCGCAAATCTGGCAGCCTATTCCCTTCACGAGCAACACTTTGACTGCTCAGCGACCGAGAGACTTGTGGACGGTAGCTGCCCCCTCAGTACAGGGGAGGAGGTACTGAAGCTCTACAATCTTGACAAAAATGGTCCAATGAATGTGATGGCGCTAGGAGTTTGCACCATAGTTTACCGATTTGTGGCGTATGGATTGGTGAAGGCAATGCGATCCCATCGCATGATGGCGCGGTGGCGCGAGTGGCGCCTTTCTCGAAAGAAAGTTCCCCAGTTGGATTAGAGTATGATTTTAATGTTTATTCTTTTCTTATTCTTTTTCTTTTTCTTTTTCTTTTTCATTTTTTCTTTCTGAAGGAGAGATAGATTCATTCCCGGGGGTTTCACAGAAGACTATCTGTCTTGATATTTTGATCTATATTGCATTATATTATATAATATTGCAATGACTTGATGCGCCTCGGAAGCTACCGGATTAAGTCTGTCATTTCTCGGAGACCCACGGAACTTCTACCAACGTTGTAAATCATCGAGAGTCGAGACTGGACAGTTCATCATTTCCGACTTGGTCCATTCTAAATCGAGGGAAAATTTCAATCTTGGGGTATTACAAAGAGGTAACATTTGAACATTTGAAGCGTACATATGTATACTCGGTTACTTTGGGAGAATAGAGTGTACCGCACTCCAGAACCTCAAACTAATCTCAAGTTCAAACTTTCAATGTTGGGAACCTGGGTCAGTGTGACTGACTTGGTAATATAATTGGATGAACCAACTGTTGTACTGCGTGGTTCATACCATTCAATGCCGACCACCGTTCACTTGTCAGGAACAGCGTAGAAGATGGCCAATATAGCCTTTCTAATGGATAATTCGGCATGGGTTTTTGTACCTTTTTAAAAAATAAAATTTTTCGACATCTGTACCTTGGAATTGCCGGGGGATTTTTTTTTTTTTTTTTTTTTTTTCCTTTTGAAAGACGGAATTTCAATACATTATTCGCCTCGACAAGACGGTTTCTCAGGGCAAACGAACACGTTCAAGAATCTTTAGTCAAGATTATTTGCCCCAGTGGAGACTGCGATAGACCGATGATTGGCAGATAAATCACGTTCTAGACTCTGGATCGGGATCGACAACATTGAAAAGAAGGGTTTCAAATGTTGGGGATCCACTAGAATGTTCTAAAAAAGAACAAAAGAACAAGTAGAAAAGGAAAAGAATTGCGAGCATCTTGATCTACATACTGTTCGATCTTGTCAGGGTCTGGGAAGTTCTGCTGGTTTTTTCTTCAAATGTTTTTCTTTTGCCTTCCTACTTGGCCCTTTTCCAGATGTCATTTAATGAGTTACTGTAGTAGAATATACTAGTCTTCCAATATATATGGCTTTTTGTGGATTTTTCCTAATTCTCAACTTCATAAGATATACCAACTCTCCCCGTAAACTCCTCCGAGTTCTTATCATCCAGATTCATGATCTTGGGGGTATTCAACAAAAACATCAAGAAATCATAGCTCGTGACGACATTCTACCTAGGCGGGATCAACCGCATATAGGGAAACAGACATGTCGATTCAACCGAACATGTAACCAAATACAAAAAAGCAAGACAAAAGGGCAAAAAAGGGTCCAATCAAAATCAGATAGCAACATCAAGAACATATTCAAAAAGAGAGCAAGGTTAGACCGTTGAAAAAGAGTGATCGGGTCAACCGGCAAGATAACAAGAGAACGACTTGACACAGTATGAAATCATCAAAGGAGGGCGATTTCTACTGGCCAATCGTCAAAGCAAGGCCCGTATCGATGGGGCAACCGTGGGTGGCATGGTCATCCGTGGGCTGGAGGTAAGCATCGGCACAGGCGCTGTCACCAGCCTTGCACACGGCCGATGGGCAAGAATCCGAGTTTCCGCTGTCTGTCGGCAGAACAGAGAAGCCGTACTGGGTGAATTCGGAGTTGGCCTCCATGTTGATACAGGAGAGATCCCAGTAGATTGTATCGCCGGCCTCGGTGTACTCGAATTGAAGGACATCGGATTGATCAGGCTGAGTGGAGAGCTTGATCGAGATACCACCACCATTGGGGTTGGTTCTCCAGGCCTCGGTGTAGGTGCCACCATTGGCAGAGAGCGTCTGCATAGGACCGACATCATTGGAGACGGACCAAGCATATACATCCATGTCCAGATTATTGGTTATCAAGACGGTTCCGCTTGAAGCCTCGGTGTCATTGCGCTTGACTATCATGCCGGAAGGAAGGGCAGAAGTCAGAGCAGCAAAGAGAGCTGCGAAGCCGAAAGTCTTCTTGAACATCATGATGTAGATAAAAGACTGTATTGGGGTTGGATGTGTATAGTTTTTTGGAACTTTTAGTGTTGAGGGGTTTCAAAGAGAGTGACGAGAATAAATCTCGTAAAAAAGAAAGTGGGTTACAAGAAGAAGAAAAAAAAAGAGAGAATGGTCTTCAAAGAGTGAAAGACTTGATCGGATGAGAAAAAAGGGAAGTGACATGGTGGAACATGAGCCTTTTATAACTTCGGGAGGGTGTCCCTGAATGCCAGAACCCCGGAAAGGTACCGACCAGTCAAAGAAGAACCAAGTGGGATTTCGGGGCAAAAGCCATTGCAGATTGTGAACCACGGATTGAAGTGGAGTGCAAGGATTGAAAAAGGGCCGAATGGATGCTGAGAGTCGCCTTTTTCTAACGGGAAATTTATTATATTCATTGTTTTATCTTTTTGCTTAACAGAAAGTAGACCGAGACAGAAGTGGTATAACATTCCAACGTCTACATGTATAGTTTTCAAGTCAATGGAAAGTTCAAGAGTCTTCAAATGTTATCTTGATATGGAACCGATACTAGATACTAACTAGATGCTAACTGGATTAGTAGTTAAGCTCTCTTCATGTCTAAACTGTTCTCATAGTAGTTAACATATTTAGTTTTAGGGCAAATCCAATGGCAATAATGAAAATCAAGTGGAAAGAATATGGAATATAAATTGTGGTTGCGATTCTTACTAAGTTACGTTTGCCTCTTTCCGCCTTCACGTGGCAATAAAGCCCGCCACCACGTCATTTCTCCGTGAACATCCGTGGAAAAAAAAAGAAAAAAAAAAAAAAAAGGAAAAATAAAAATAAAATAAAAATAAAACAAAATAGAAATAAAAATAAGAAGAAAACTTTGATGGAAGATTACTGTTCCGGGGGATTTTACTGATGCGGGTCATTCTCCTTTGACACATTATGCCATATGTCAATGTCACCTTCTGTTCCTGATCCTTTCGTAGAAATTTGCCTTCTTTTTTCTCTTAACTCACCCTGACGTTGCCAAAGTCGATCGAGTCTGGATTTTCTTGTGATAATTTTAGAAATATAGGAGTGGCAAGAATAAAAAATACGTGATTCAAATTTTCCTATATACTTATATACTTCGACCAAGTCATGTACGCTAGAGCTAGAGTCTTCCCGCCAAAATCTATACCTTAAATCCCTGAAGGCGAAAGTGGGCCGAACTAAGTCCATCAAAGTGTATGTACTAGTGCTATATGTAGTATCCAGATGTCCAGTCGATCATTTTCCTTCTAGAATAATCCACGATTCTACATATGTAGACCGCCACCTTCCTCATCTCTGGTACCTTGAGCTGCGCCTCATTTTCTCTTCTCTGTCGGATCCACTTGGTATATTCTCTGGTTTCTCAAGGCTGGTCCTACCTGAAGCTGCCAAGGTACGCAGGGCACATTGCTAAGCTGCCAATCATTCGAGACAAGTGGTTAATAAAAATGATGTAAATGATGACAAACTAGTCTGGTATACTACAGAAAGAAGAAATAAGAAAGAAGAAAGAAGAAAAAAAGCAAGAGAAAAAAGGGTCTTTCTCTAATATCTTGACATCTGGACAGTCCCCGCTGGTGTTGGCCCTCGTTACCTATTTATAGGCTCAACTGGCCAACCTTCTGAGTTACCTCTGTTCTCTAGCGTAACCCTCCCTATCTTTTATTCTCTTTCCTTTTGTCCTTATTTTTTTCTTGGTGGAAAGGGAAGAGCTAGAAAGAGGAGAGGGAGGGAGGGGGAAGATATGGGGTACCTGCAGTCCAACATGGGCTGGAATCGGTGCGGTTGGATTTGGCTGGCCAAGAGTATGACCGGCCCATGGCTCATTCTGTGATTCCCTTTTTTTTTTTTTTTACCAATACGGTGCTCGCATAGCCGACAGGCTGGCCAAGGCGCCTTCGCTCGTAGATTCTTCTTTCTTCCGATGCCCAGCCAGCTCAAGATTGATCTGCCGATGTGTATGCACTAGCCAATCCACATAGCTTTGCGCTTCGTTGTTGCGGTCTTCCAGAAGCAGACGCGCGAATTCATACTCGGCCCCGTCCATTCCTTGTCGGGCCATTTGGATCGCCATACTCTTGGAACCGCGCACAGTAGAGAAGTAGTGTAGTAAATTGCGAACCTGAGCATTCAGATGCGTCTCCAACACGGGTAGAGAAGATGTGTTGGGGCTGAGTTCCGATAGAGAGACTTCTCCGGCCCCGAAGAGGTCCTCCAAGAGATTCGGCGAGACCTGTGCATGGAACCACAGTAACACTATCTGGCCATTATCCACCAAATAAGCACCGCCTTCCTCGATTTTGGAAAAGGTAGCCCGTAGCGACGGCGGGATCTGAAGTTGGCCATGCTCATTAGGGAACCCATCGAGGGGTTGCAAGTTGTGGATGGCAATGATACGAGGATAGAGATAAAGAGAGAGTTCGGTGCAACCAAATGAACGGATCATGCGTTGATCGTGAACTCGGCGGTCGGATGATTCGTTGCCACCTGTAGTGATAACAATACCAAGTCAGTCTCTGGGGAGCTTGAATCTGAGAATTTGCCGGACAATTTGCAGGACAATTTGCAGACGGGACTTACCTTTGAATGCTCTTGATTTAACCAAACTCAACATATACATCGAGAACTCCTTCAAGTTCTCTGGTAAGATCATTTGACCGGGAGGGTTCGATCCCGAGAAGATCTTTCGGTAGCCGCTGAAAATATCAACTGTCTTCTCCAGTATGTTCGCGCGGATATCCTTGAGGGACTTGTCAAGTGTCTTGGATGCAGCTGCAAGCTCGAATTAGTAAATGATGAGACGATGAGACTTGCTGGGTTATCAATCTGCAACTTACCCTCTTTTGCGATAATTGCAACGACGGCATCTTGGTCGATGAATTTCATGGTCTCCATTCCACCGTCGTTGACAGCGGCTACGACATTAATACATCGAACCCGCCGTTGTCCGTCGGAAGATGTGTATAACAATGCAGCCTGGAAGTGCGCATCCAGCTTGGGATCGAGTTTGCCATCGTAGCTGAAGACCACACCAATCGCTTTATCGGCATCGATGCCACCAATTTCGAGGTCGGCACCAAGAGCATTTTGGACAAAGTTCCCGTGGTATGAAGACACCTGGAGGCCATTCGAGCAGCGAACCTTCATCAATGCTTGGTAACCAGTCTCTCGTTTGACCGTGTGCGCAATCTCTTGCTGCACCTTCAATAAATCTCGAGGTGCGTGGAAGTTGGGATAGAAGAAAGTCTCGCCTCCCGTCGTGGCCGAAACGTGCCCTATAAGGTGAGTCAGTTTTTTTTTTTTTTTTTCCAAGTTTCCAAGTTGCTCTGGTTGTTGTAGGTGAACAACATACCGATGGTTGCCACGTCAAGATAAGTGCCACCGGGGCACGCAAGGAAGAAATCGACACCAACACCTGCCTCAGCCAGCTTGCTTGCGGTCTTTTTCCAAGCTGGGTTTTCTGTGCCGAACAACTTGCGTTCTCCATCAGTCCCGTGGATTTTAGGATCCTCTCGAATTTCCAGTGACCCAGGGCCTGCCGTAGGCAAGCTAGCTAAGGAACAGATAATCTTTCCACCTGTCGATTGCAATGCCGAGTATGCAGCATTTAGTGCGGGGAGTAATGCTGGCTCTGGGTTCTTGATATGCGCGAAAAGACTGGGTATCCGGCTCAAAAGCGAGGTGATCACCGACCTAGACATCTATTTTAGCGATGTGTACAAATATTCAACATTCAAAATAGGCCAGGACATACTTTGATTCGTACGGATCCACGAACAGACCCTCACTCAGCGGCAAGAATGGCTCTTCCAAGTCAGTCATCACCATCATCTGCGCCTGATCAAAGGTCGCCTAAGGAGAACGGGTCAGTGGTAAGTTATGTTTGTGACGGATTGGATTTCACATACTGTAAGGTTGTAGAAGTGCACCTCGCAGTCAAAAGTAACAATGCCAACCTTCGATCCAGCCGGAAGCTTGCGTGCAGAGTCCTCGGCCCCCTCTACAGCAGTGTCACCGTACAAGGCTTCCGCAATTCCTCCACAGACGGCCTGGAGGTAACCACGCTGAATTGACTCGCGGCTCACGTCTATCAAAAAGAGAGTCTGTAGTCCCACGGGTTCCTTATTCCAGTATTCTTTCGGTACCAGGAACTCTACGGTGCCCATCATTAACTCTGGTCTCTGCGTCCGGTCGACTCGTGCTCCCGATGGATCCAGAGGTGAAAAGTATTCAGTCGGAGTATCATTGGGGAAGGTGCACATGTTGCAGATGAACTTGCTACCGCCCGATCGGAAGGACATAAACGGATTGATGTAGGTACGGCATCGGCGGCATCGTGGGGGCCCAACTTCCCCGAAATCCAGTACCGGAATTGGCTGTTCCCCAGCATCCAAAGGAGCGAGTGGTTGCAGAATCATACCCATTGGCAAGCCTGTCTGTGAGAGGAAATCGGAGGTTGCGGGGATGTTGTTAAGGGTGAGGCGGGCATGCTTGGGCGAGGCATTGCCCTGATCCTGTGCGACAAACGGGATCGCCGCTGGAGGGGGTAGATGTCTGTCCATGGTCGGGTAGACATGGTTGAAGTAGTACTGAGCAGGCATGTCGCGCGATCGAGGGATGCTGGGAATCTGTTCAGGGTCAACGCGGCCCTGTGTGGCCACCGATCCCGGCCCACCTTCAAGACCTGGTTGTGAAGTGAAGCCGGGGGCTGGCTGTCCTGGATGTCCCAGTTGTTGGCCCACGGCTGGTGACAAAGGTCGCGTCGCTGGGTTCAAGCCGGTGTTGAGAAATTGAGATGTAGGTTGCATACTCTCCGCGCCCATTGCCTGGTTGAATGGTTGTGTCGGGGCAGCCGAGCCGGCCCCAATATCATGATGAGCATGACGATGCTTCTTTCGGTGTGCCCTCGTTCCTGCTGGTTCTCCGGTCACCCCCAACCCACCCATCTGAGAAACCAACCCCCCTATGTTTGGGTCCGCGGCCATGGGCTGATGCGCGGCATTGTACGCGAGGTCCGGGGTTTGTCCGGGATATGGTTGTTGCAGTGGTTGTGGGGAGCCATATGCGGACCACTGGTTAGGTGAGGCATTGGGATAGGCAGCTCCAGGCTGTGGAGGGGCGGTAGGAGGATAACCAGTAGGATATTGGGACGAGTGTTGAGGTTGAGGGTTAGAAGGGTCCTCGTCTGCCTGGCCCATTGGGTGGTAAAGGGAAGGATTGGCCATGGCGAATCATACACACAAATCAACAAACCAGATAGGGCATATTTTTGGGGGATGGGCAAGGTCCAAAGTGGAGGAAAGTAGTAATTAAACCCCGCGATTGTTGATGATTATCCCCGATTGACCACCTTTACACCATCGGATTTACATGTTTCCGAAAGGTTTGCTTGTTTCGGTTCACGTGGGGATTTCTTACATTACCGTACATATTTTACATTGGCAAATACTATAGCTTCTCGTATTTTCTATATTAGTATATAGTAGAACTTTTATCCTATTTCTCAATTCTCAGCTGTATCATGCCTGTATTGTGAAGGATACTCTTCACTTTCTGTTTTTTTTCTTTTTCTTCTCAATGTATACAGCTTATCCTGGTTTCTGACCGTTTCCAGGTTTCTCGTTGTATCTAGTATTCTTCACATCCCATTACACCTATAGAACCACGGAGTATCCAGATTCCACATACTAAAGGGAGGAGATATACACTACAATACACTTCAGCATCATCTTGCCCTTACTTAGTACTACATGAATTGTACAATAATCAATGACTCTAATATATGCTCATGTCTACTATCTGTGGTACAGAATATCCAACAGTTTTCTTAATATCAAAAGGAACGCAAGTGCCTAGATTCTTTCCTGCATAGAAGCTAAAACTAAAGAAGAAAAGGCTTGCTTATAATCCCTTCGGTCTATTCCACTCCATTTCCCATATTTCTCTCCCCTAATTTCTTTCCCGTCTCGGCGCCGACGTGCATCACTGCATGTGCATCGCGAATCAATTGGTTTATGCTTATCGGTCTCTTTCTAACGTATGAACTTCCGATATACCACAATCGGGTTTAGCTTGAAATTCTCACCGTCTCTTTGACTCCCTGCATCGGACCTTTGCCCCTCCATCTGGCGTCACCACCGGTCGAGTAGATATAACTCGTACATACACATGTGCATAGTGTAAGTGCCGTAATATAAGTATGAATACGTGTTTCTTTTCTATATCTCCCCCTCCTACCCCCCTCCCTTCTTCTTCTTCTTCTTCTTCTTTCTTTTAGCATTCATTTCCCTTCAGGTTCTTCCTTTCATTCTCTTGGCCTTAAAAGTTTGCCCCTAACTGCCCAGTCGCGATTCCTTTTGCTGTCCCACGCTTTCTTCCGTGCTTGCCTTATCTAAATGATCTGCCACCTCAAATTTCTTCCCTAACAATGGACTCAATTATCATAAAATCGCCAGGTTCGGATTGCAAATCAAAGAGGGATCCAGATCACCATCGGTCTCCTATTCCATCTGGTGCGCCATCAATGGCGACCATTCAAGATGACGATGAGCTTCTCTTGGCTCGAATTGGTTATAAACAGGTACGTACTTCAATCTTGCGTCCGTTCCTACTTCCGTTCAGACATCTCGGGTACATTTCGAACCTTAGAACATTGAATACTCACATAGCTGGAAGTTTTTTTTTTTTTTTTTTTTTTTTTCTTTTTCACATGTTGGCTAACTTGATTCCCCGTATTAGGAACTACGACGGGAATTTTCCAAATGGTCAACAGTTTCTTACGCTATATCTATCCTTGGGGTCCTCGGATCGGTTCCTGCAACATTCGGTTCCCCCTTATCGGCTGGTGGTCCTGCTACGGCAGTTTGGTGCTGGCTGATTGGTTCCTGCATGGCCATGTGCATCGGAAGTTCTGTAGCGGAGCTAGTGTCTGCATACCCAACTGCAGGGGGGATGTACTTTGTCACCAAACACGTCGTGCCCAAAGATCAAGTCCCGATTTTTTCATGGATTCAAGGATGGTGCAACCTATTGGGCCAAACCGCCGGTGTATCCAGTGTTGCATACACTGTGAGTCAGATGTTGTTGGCCTGTGTCAGTATGAACTCGGATCTTGTAGATGGCCAGTATTCATATTCACCGTATGGTTTACACTCCTCGCGATTATCTCCTTGGTGCATGGCTGAAAAGGTTATACACAAACTAATCCATCACAATTGATCTAGAACGGCGTTGCAAACGGTGCTGGTTTCAATTGGAATACTATGCGTTCTCGGTGTCATCTGCTCGTTGACAACAAAATCGCTGCATCGGATCATTCTTTGGTTTGCTCCAATCAACAGTAAGATTCAATTTCAATTCCAAGAAATTTTTCTCATCTTGACGATATCGGCCCTAATGCCTCGCTTGTATAAATAGTCGCGGCCACCATCGCCATCTGTATCGCGCTTATTTATCTTACCCCGGATAAGATGCCAGCCTCGTGGGTCTTTACCCACTTCACTGACGGGTCTGGGTGGGGCTCAAAGGTCTTTTCCTTCTTTTTGGGTTTCCTGTCTGTCGCATGGACGATGACGGATTATGATGGGACCACACAGTAAGTCTTAGTCTTGAGAAAAGGGAGGGCAAGCACATTGAAGAGTTGAGAACACATGTGCAAGTTGAGCAACGTTTCTCACTTTCTTTTAGTATGTCGGAAGAGACCCACGATGCCGCTGTTCGAGGACCCCTCGCCATCAGAACCGCCGTCCTTGTCAGCGGCGTCTTTGGGTGGCTATTGACCGTCTGTATGTGCTTCTGTCTAACAGACTTTGACAGTATCTTGCATACACCGACTGGTTTACCTGCTGCGCAAATCTTTCTCAACGCCGGAGGAAGGATCGGCGGCACAGTTATGTGGTCATTTGCCATTCTAGTGCAATTCTTCACTGGTTGCTCGGCCATGCTGGCTGACACTAGAATGGCATATGCATTTGCCAGAGATGATGCCCTGCCATTCTCAACATTCCTTGCCAAAGTCAATTCATACACACATACTCCTGTCAATGCCGTATGGTTCGTGGTCATTTTTAGCATTGGTTTGAACTGCATTGCTATCGGCTCCACCGAAACTGCAACGGCGATTTTCAGTGTTACGGCGCCAGCGCTTGATCTATCTTACGTGTCAGTTATTCTGGCGCACCAAATCTACAAGTCAAGAGTCAAATTTGTTGAGGGACCCTTTACACTGGGCAGGTGGGGAGCTCCCATCAACTACGTCGCCGTTATCTGGGTCTTGTTTATCAGCACCATCCTCTTCTTTCCGACTCAGATGCCTGTCACGGCAGCCAACATGTAAGAATTCCAATATGGAGCCGAGTCAACATTGGCTAACCCGATCTCCTTTGCAGGAATTACGCTGTTTGTGTGGCTGCTTTCATTGCCATTTTTGCTCTGGTTTGGTGGTGGGTCGAGGCAAGAGGGTATGTTTTCAGTTGTACGCTTTATCAGTTTAAATTATAACACTAACATGACCTGATCCCTTCAGCAAATACACTGGGCCTCAGACTAATGACACCATTCACGAAATTCCAACCGACAATGACCTTGAATCCGAGGAAGATGATGAAACAGGCGTGTAGGATCTCCTCTGCACGTTGACACGATCCTCACTGGCATATTGCTTTAAGATTCCTTTCAATTTTTGACGACCAATTTACTAGACTACCTATAGACCGAGTGAAGAAAAAGGGATTACAGGGTTTGATTTATGCACAAGTATCTAAGTGGTGGTATCACCTAAAGTAGATAGAAATTTTCATAACATGCGTTCGAATACTACTAGTACCTATTGATGAGTACTATGTAGTAAAGATGACTGCCCAACTTGGAAGGAAATTTTCAATGTTCATCAAGGCTTTCTCCGACCCAGTAATACATAAAAGGAAAAAGTAAAAATACATATCATTCGTCTAGTTTCCTGCCACAACCGCTAAACCTTCATAGATCTTCCTCTTGACTGCAAGGAAACTATCCGCACCGCGACCCATCGTGGTCTGGTTGGTAGCGAACTGAGCAGAAGCCTCAATCTCAATTCTACCAGTTCCAGATTTGCGAACCGCCACAGATTTATCAATAAGAAGGGTTCCCTCACCCCGGAACTCCGCGATGTGGCCAGCGGCCTGCATGAGTTTACGAAGATCAGCGAGACGCAAATCGCCAACATGGAGCGGCCGAGCGACAGATCTGGTGCCTGCGGCTATGCTGGCAGGTAGGGTGTCGAGAAGCGGGAAGGTATCCGATTTGTCACCAATCCGTGCGACAATGTCTGTGGTTGGAACGACGGCCGAAGCAGTTGTTCCATCTTCAATCAACTTCAATTTCTTGCTAGTCGCCTCCGCATCGAGATCACCTTCTCCCGCGAAGAGTTCAGGTCCTCGCAGTTGGGCAGTCAAAGCAACGACACCAAGGCTGCGGACGTGCTGCCAGTTTAAGCGACGAACAAGGTTGTTGCTCAGCTTCACCATCCAGGCATTCGTATCCACACTTGCGTCGATGACTTCGCCATTACTGGGTGTGAAGATGATAGCAGCTGCGTCTGCTGCAGACGCAGAGACATCAACTCCGGCCTTGGCCGCCAGAAGTTTCTTGCATTCGGCCGCTAATGCTGCGGTCTGCTCCTTGATTCCACCCACGAGAATCAGCTTCTGTGGCTGGATAAGAGGAATCAGCATCTCCAAGCTTCGCTTATCGTGCAAGCCCATACAATCAACAAAGGCGATCCTGGCGTGGATTGTGATGGTTTCCTTGCTATACACAGCTTTGGAAGGGCCTTCAAATGGTTGGGCATCCGCTTCTTCTTCTTCTTCGTCAGAAGATCCCGCATCATCGCCAACGTCGCCATCAGATACAAGACTGAAATCATCGCCTGCACCGGAGTCCACCCTTTGGCCGTCCTTGGACAAGAGCTGGCGTTTACGACCTGCTGCGCCGCCGGATGGCTTTCGCCCCGCAGTCCCAGTGGTCTCATCCCATTTCCGCTTTTGGCCAAGTTTTGTTTGTGCGTCCGATCGCCGTTGCTGCATGTCAATCTCCTCGCGTTCCTCCGCACGTAGATACTCCTCGGGACGAATGAACTCTCCATACTCGTCGCCCTTCTTCCTTGGCGCCACGTATGGGAACATTCGTTCCCGTCCCTTTTTACCGCGTACGTCGTAGTCGTAGACGTGTTTGCGTCGTAGAAGAATGTTGATACCCAAATCTTCGTCGCTGACCGCCAGTTTGTTTCGGTTCGAATGGGCGAGCGAGGTAGAGAAGTTAAGGACACGACCTTGCTGCTCTGAATCTGAGTCCTCTGAAGAGGTGGAACTAGACCCATCGTCTAAAGCATCTGCTGCATTCTCGAGAGTCTCCTGGCCGCCTCGGACTTGAGCTGTATCCTGCAGCTGCCGTTTAGTGGCAAGGTATTGCTGATAAAGCAATTGATCACTGGCATCCAGAGGTGCTCGTTGTACCTCGGTCCAAGCTAGCTCTCGTCCACCACTATGAACTTGTTCGAGCAACTCGCCATCCGAAGTCTTTTCAAGGGCTACACCATCGCGGCGCTCCTCGTACCACTGCCATATAATACTCCCGAGGGAGATGGTATATGGTGACCCCAGAGTTTCTTCATACGCCAATCTGCGGTATGACTCTGTCAATAGCAGCAGATTGTTGGGATCTTCGGCGACTCGACGTAGGGATTCCTTTGAAAATCCCCACGCCAATGAGGTATCGGAAGCAAGGATGACCTTGGGTCCCTTTTCCGACAGGAGTTTCTCCAGACTCTTCTTCCGCTCGATGGTCTTCAGGTGCTTGAAATTGAATGGTCCAACGCCTTTGCTGCTTTTCTCCTGGCTCTGTCCACCAGCTCGCTGGCCAGTGCCTCCATCGGCACCTTCGGCGGCTTCGAACTCACGAACAATACTTTCATCCATCCACTCAATCATACTCCGAGCTAAGCGCATCGTGGTGTTGACCTTCCGGCCAGCCAGATATAGACCTGCACCTTTCAGCACATCTTCCTTCTCCCCCGATGCTGCATCACGCCATGAATGTTCTAGCGCATATGCAAGTTCGAGCACTCGAGCACTAGTGTCTGTCGGAATGAGGACAGTGCCACCCTTTGCAAGGCTGCTTCGAATCATGTCGAGAAGGAGATCATCTCTCTTCTTCCGGCCACCAGACAGAGCAAACTTATCACCGCCTTGGGTACTGCAAACCAAGGCAGTTGGCTTGCGTAGTTGCTCAATGACCTCCGTTCCACTGGCTCCGGAGCCGCCGAACCACGCTGCACCCGCCACAACACCTTCGCGCGCTTGGTTCCAATCCATCGCGTACACGATAGACTCCATGCCATGCTGGATGTGCCATATTGTTCCACCAACGGTATGTCCGGCATTATAAGCAGTAAGCGTGAGCCCATCCAGGGGCGGTGAGAATGGTGAAGGAAGAGGTTGGTGAGGCTGTGAATATTTCAGGGGTGTGATGAGAGAAAAGTATCGGGCAATCTCCTCCGCTGTCGGCGGCTGGAGAAGGATTCGTCCTGTGCTGCCTGCAGCTTCGGTGGTTCCTTCGCCCTCCCCGATGGTTCCCGCTGACGCCGTTGAGGGTGCACCAGGTTCGGAGATGGACGCATTGGGGAGGAAAGTAGCAGCGAGCGGCGCAGATGCATAGAGATCCTGTAGGCTAGTACGCCCGAGAGAAATAACCGGACTTGTCGCATATATGGGGATTTTGGTGAAAAGAGGGAATGTTTGGCAGCAGTGGACAAATGCGCCGATGTGTGCTGGGGTTGCATGGGTCAAGAGAATGAGCGAAAGGGTGGGAATATGCCTGTTCATGAAAACCACGTTAGCCTAGAAAATGAGGAGGAGGGGGAGGCAAAACAAGAATAGAGATTATTCTAGATGCTTTTTAAGACCAACTTTTCGAGCTCCGCCAGATCGCGGGTGTCAAAGGTATCATCCCAACCCACATCTACTAGGATCTTGATTCCTCCATCAAGCTCCAAGATTGACTGTGAAGCTCTGGAGGATGATGATTGTGCGCCCAGTAGAGGAGTGAAAGTAAACATGGTGATCGCGTGCCGTCAGTAGCAAATCGATTGCGACAGCTGTCTGATCCAGCGTGTCGCGACGCCCGTGAACACTGGTCCAATCGAGCCGTGGAGGGGTGTGGAATTACTAAATTCAAAATTGAGTTTGGATCATTGTGCATAGACACAAGTGAGTGCCGAATTGAATAGCAATGAAAGAAAAGACCGTTGCGAAAGAAGCTCTTGATGTCACTATCCGTGCCTTTGGGGGAAACAGAACATTTGAGATGGAACGATGTTTGTGTGGTTTGCACTGACCCGGGCGGTATCACGTGATACGGGCTCTAGTTGTTTTCGATCAACGACTCGATGTAGTGGAAGTCTCGCGATAGATTTTGGTTTAAAGAGATTGAATTCATGCTCAGATGTTTCTCCATTAGATTCTCCACAAGTTTCAATTTCAGCAAAATAATTCCTCCGATATGGTTTACAACTTACAAGTACTTGGACCCCGCAAAGTTGTGTGTACGGTCAGAAAATGAGCTGGATCGTCGGAGAAATTTACCGTAACCTTCGATAGCGTCCTGTGCTGACTTTGGGTCTAGGACTCTAGGTACACCACGGAATATGTAGATGAAATATGGGGGATTTTCTTCTTCCAAACTACCAGACTGATTACTCCATTCCAAGCGATTAGCATTTCAACATATGAGGTTTATTTTTGAAGTTCCTTTAAACAAATTGAAGAATCTCACTGAGTGGACGGTTGATTTACCCGTCCAATCAACGTAATGAGACCCGCACCTGTTTATGGCTTAGGCAAATCTGTACATATCATTCTCCAAGTAGTAAGTACGGAGTAAATAAAAGATCTAAAGCTTCCAGATCTCCAGTGCCCCCCCAAAAAAAAGACGTGGTGGAATTCTATAAGATTCTTTTTTCCAATGTCAATCAATTGATGTCTTCACACCGAAACCCACAGTCATGTGACGGGGGGTATTATCCAAAGTATGATTGGCTCAAAAACCGGATTTGGGCAGAGTCCACGGTTCCTAGCTTTAGACTAACTGCGGCTGGACTCACTTCTGTGGGAAAGATTCTTCCAAGATAGTCGGATATTTTGGCTTCTTGTCTTGATTTGAATTAGAGATACCCCAGATCTCTCTCTCTCTCTCTCTCTCTCCGCCTGCTTCAAACAGAGACATGGCGAATATTGTTAATCATCAGATCGGAGGATGCAGTTTCGACACCACCAGCAGGTTCGTACCATGAGAGAGAGGGGGAAACACGGTCGCGACTCAAATGCTTACCCCCATTTTTAGATATTCATCACTCCGACTCGTTGGAGCTGGAGCATATGGACAAGTGTGGTATGTATGCCGAAAAGAAATGATCTCCTATGGAGACATGGTTACTACTCGTGCGGGCGCATCGGACTGACTAGAATTTCCTTTCAGCTCTGCTACCGATAATTTAACCGCACAAGCTGTGGCTATCAAAAAGATTGCGGAACCTTTTCATTCATTGGAAGCAGCGAAGCGAAGTTTTCGAGAAGTCAAATTACTCCGACATCTCCGACATGGCAATGTAAAGTCGAGACCCACCTTTCAAATGTTCAAAACTTTGATCATGATTGACTAACCTTGGAGAACACAATAGGTCATTTCCGTGCAAGACATATTTGTCTCCCCCGTAGATGACTTGTAAGGGCTATCACCTGTTGGTCAACAGATTCACTCCAACAGGCTCAAGTTACTGACTGGTTATAATATTTTAGATATCTGGTGACAGACCTGTTGAGCACCGATCTTTCCCGTGTCATTCGGTCCAGACCGCTTGAAGATAAATACATTCAATACTTTTTTTATCAACTTATGGTGAGTGCTGCTAATTCGGTTTAAACATTCAATAGACATCACATGTGCATATTCCCATTGAACCTTTGATTGTTAATTCATGGCAGCGAGGCTTGAAATATATCCACTCGGCTGGAGTTGTCCATCGGGATCTAAAGCCAAGCAATATCTTGATCGATGAGAATTGTGATCTAAAGATCTGTGACTTTGGCCTTGCCCGAACACTCAAACTCTCAATGACCGGCTACGTGACAACAAGATACTACCGAGCCCCCGAAATCATGCTTACTTGGCAAAACTATGGAGTTGAGGTGGACATGTGGAGTTCAGGCTGCATCCTAGCTGAAATGATCCAGGGCCAACCTCTTTTCCCCGGCAAGGATCATGCGCATCAATTTTTAATTATCTCCGATCTACTTGGTTCAATACCCCCGGAGATCCTTCCCAATATCTGTGCCGAGGGGGTAAGTTCTTGAATCCATGCATTCGGAGGGGAATACTCAAATCCCTGTACATACCAGACATGGTGATTTCCCACTAACTTACATCCCACTATCATTTTGCAGACGATGGAGCGCATTGCAGCTCTTCCCCAACGAAAGAAACAGCCATTTCGAAACAAGTTCAAGGGTGCATCATTTGAAGGTATGTGTCTGGTCCAGACCTAGGTAAAATCCTTTACTAACTGGTAGATTTGCGCTAACTTAACATAGCTCTCGATTTTCTGGAAAGAGTGCTCGTGTGGGACCCAAGCCATCGCATCTGTGCCGCTGACGCTCTTTCACACCCATACATGAGTCTCTACCATGACCCAGAAGATGAGCCAGTAGCAGTCGCGCCTTTCAATTGGGCTTTGGTGACTGCCGAGTATTCAGTAGATACGTGGAAATATATGATGTTGGTACACCCTGGTCTGGTATTATTTCTTGATTTCGATAATTGACAACACCAGATATTCGGAAATCATGGACCATCTTACACCGCCATGATGGATGTCTTTTTTTTCATTTTACTTTTATAATGGGCTGCTGGCAGCTTGTGCGGGTTCTGGCGGGTTCTCAGGGCACAGGGAAAGATGGTCTTGCAAAATCTCGCGAATCAATGGTAACAATAAGTTCTGGAAAACAACAATTGATGGAAGAAATTGGGCAAATTGAGTGACATCAACAAGTGATCTTGCAATTGATTGCAACCCCTACATCATGATACCAGCGGCTAATCTAATTGTCAAATTCATTTCTAATAACAAATTACTAGCAAACATCAATTCAAACATTTGAAAAAAAAAAAGAAAAAACCATATGCGTGCAATTCATCATAATCTCAAATACCAAAATCCATTCCAAAAATCGCCCCAAAGTCCACTCATCTCCAGGATTCGACTTAAAAATATCCGTCTCGGCTTCTGTCTTTCTTCGCCGACCGAGAACTTGAAGGATTCAGTCAGTAAAAAGTACTAGTGGGCACAACTGAACACTCCAGTCTTGGAACCCACCTTGAGCTCTGTTTGAATGGTGAGAACGGCCTGTCCAATGCATGATTCAGAGGTAGGTTCCACTTAAGATCTGACGCTTGAGGAGCTGGAATACAAGAACCAGCCCACGTCCGCACTCTGCGAACTGTTTCAGGCTCCGGGAAATATATGTGGCGTTGTAAAGAATCTTTACAGATCTTTTTGCATTTGTTCTGATAGGCTTTACTCACCCCCTCGTGAGAGCTTAGTAGTATCCTGTCCCGATGAGAAGGATTAGTCGGGAATGAACTATTTCCTGTCACAAGCCCAGTAAGATTTACTTTGCCATTTTTATCTACCTTTCCCTTCTTTTGGGTCGATTTCTTCTTCTTCTTCTTGTCTAGGCCATCAATTAAATGTTAGTCTCCAACTTGATGGCATCAGGAGTTTGTTCGCCTGATAGACATGCTAGGAATACAACATGCAAGGTGACAATTTGAAGGCACAGAGGAAGAAATACAAGAAAACACACAGTATTAAGAATATAAAAATGAACAAATGAAACCTTGAAACTCACCAACTAGAGCTTTGTTCCCACCTCTCAGTCTTATCGGACCGGCTGCCTTTTTTTGAAAATCCCTCGCCGAAGCGCTGGGTGGATTCGCAGGAGGTGGCGGGCTTTCATCTCTAGGATCCCGTGAAGGATCCGTTGTGCCAGCTTGGCCCAAAGTTCCCTTCAAGTGATGACGCATCCTGGAGACCAAGAAGTCTGTCCGTGTGCCAGCACTTTGGGCCATATTAACAGCCATACTAGGACGCGAAAATCGATTACCAAAGTAGTAAATGGGGCGACCTTCCATGCGAGGAGGCATTTTCGGCCACGAGGTCACGCCAGCTCCAGGTCCAAAGTGAGTGACTGCGGGTGGTTTGGGGATAGGCGGCAATGGGTCTTCCACATTAGCAATTGAGCTGAGGTTTGCACTTTTGATCGCAAGGCGGAACTCGTGTCTGCTTATGTAGTCATTCAAGGCATCCTCGAGGCACTTGTATGCAAACTCGTAAAGCTGCTCTCTCGTGAGGCCAGTCCATGTGTTCTCCGGGCCTGCCTCAAAGTCCCAGTAAAGGGCGCCAAGACCAATGCTGGAATCATTGGATCTGGGGTGACTGTTGTGATCAAGTCCTCGAATGATCGTTCTGTCTGGATGTGTTCGGATCAAGTCGAGTGCAAGGTCTCTTCCCAGTGGCAGGTCTGGTTGATGTTCCCACAACCGCCATCGAGGCATCGGCCCGTCTGGACCAAATGAGATGACAGGCCAGGCAACAGCCCGCTCACCTAGACTGTTTGTGGCATGGAACTGCATTATATTTTTGGGTGGATTAGTACCAACCCTAGCTTTGACCATTCCCCTTGCTATGTGACCAGCTGAGGTCTGGGCCGCCTTCCGGGGAGCCTTCCGGGGAGCCTTCCGGGGAGCTTCATAGTCTTGAACCTGCGCGAATTCCGCAGCCTCACCTCGTCTCGGATAACGCCCGGTTGCCCCTGCGGTGATACCTTGACTTGAAGATTTAGTTGGGCCCTCGGGTCTGGTTGCTGGGGGAAGCCATGATGGTTCCTGAAGTGCAGTGGTAAAGGTTTTGCCCGGAACCGAAGCCGCAGATCGACCAGGCGCGGTATCCCGTGATTTGACAGGGGACGAAAACGTCGACTGTGAAGAAATCACCGGAGTGAGGATAAAACCAGGCGATTTTTGGATTTGAGAAGAGGATGGCCGAACTACAATCGGGGAACGCAGTGGAGATGAAACCAAAGTACTTTTCATCGGGTCTTCCTTTTGGCGCGACTTTCGAGGACGAACTGTCTTAGTCTTCGGTAAAGAAGGTGGACCCATAGACGAAATCTTTTGAGACTTCTTCTTCTTCTTGGCATGTTTGGGAACTTGAGGGCCAGAAATTGTCTTCCCCACAGCTCTTTTGACGCGCTTGTTTGGCAAGTCGTCGATGGTAGATTTCTTTCTGCTCTCAGACTCTGCGTGCTTGCGCTTGAGCTTGGATGGAATTGCTGTCATTTCGATAGATTCAAGTTTTTGTTTGTGTTTCTTTTTCCCTGTGATATTCAACTTTGGAATTAGCCTCTTGACCTGAACAAGCAAATGTGTAGACGACCACCTGAACATGACAACTTGGATTGTTACTCACTATATACTCGATGACTTGAGATGAGCCGATGAGGAATGGAACTTGAAATGGAATGGATTGTCTTATCAAGATCAAACAAGGAGAGGTTCTTATAAGCAGCCCATGTGGGCAAGCTCAGGCCTCTTTGTGACTCCTTCAAAAGAAAGTTAGCTTCGCGCACTTGAATCCCGATGATTCTGATCATGAGTTCACTTGGACAAAGAAAAATTCAGGTCAAGCATTGCTCTTTGTATCCAGTCTGTATTTGTAACACACTCTTCGGTCGCTCAGATGAAAGAAATAATTCCAATGGGGCTCCAAGCTGGACGCTGTCCAGTATGACAATAGAGGTTCAAAGAACCTTGGAACCTAAGTTGGAACGTTGGAACACTACAAAAGCTTCAAGGATAGTGTAAAAATAGAGAGACAGGAGGACATTCAAAGAAGCTTGGAAGCGAGATCACAATTTGAAACTGCATAACCTGCTAGTCTATATTGACTTCTAAAGTTCATGACAGTGTCAAAGAAATCTTGAGATAGACGAGAAAATGTTTTTTTCTTTCTAGTATAAACAGAGGTTGGATTAATCCGGATGTCGGAAAGGTAAATGGGAATGGGCTACTTTATTATTCTATCCTGATATTTTACCAGGATTTTAGAAGCATTACTGATCATCATGGGAAAAAAATTAACGAAGCAGCCAAGCATGAATAATTCAAAGGTATATCCGGTATCTATTTCTAGCACTGAGGAGCGGGGGAGGGGGATCCTAAAGACAAAGGACTGGACTGTCCGCATTATTCCATGAAACAAAGATACGATTTCCAGATGTCCCATTTCCCGCACTCCAACATAGAGACTAGAAACATTTGAACATTTGAACAAAGATTTCACAAAGCGCATGCCTTGAATTAGCACACAGACCAGATTCGGCTGCTCTGATTGTATTTTCATTGCAAATGCCGGGGTTTGGATTGGAATTTGGGTCTTTGGCCATTTGAAACTTTGAAGATTCCAAGTATCTGGGAACATTTGAACGACGACACACCGGTAACCTTTCGTCCTCGTGCACTTCAATGTCTAATTAGGTAGCAAGTTAGATGGAAAGTCTCAGGGACAAATTAGATTTCACATGTCGAGATATAAGATTGGGATTTAAGCTTAAAGTAACATGCCATCTCACTGACATCGAATTCCGGAACTTGAAGGTCTGAAGGTCTTGCTCCAATGCACATTGATGTACAATATGTTCCCTCTCCTCCATTGGAAGCATACATGGTCAAATCTAGAAATTGCAAACAAAAGAAATTGGGGAGAAGGGGACATGAGAAAGATGAACCAAGAAAAAGAATGGGAAAATGGGAAAATCGGGAAAATCGGGAAAATCGGGAAAAAGCCCCCATGCCACTCCACGAAACGCCATACCATGTCGTCAGAATCACATAACTGTAGGGGGTACTCGCGAGAATGGAAAAAAGGGAGGGTGAAGGAAACCAATACACATCTCGAAATCATTCAACAAAGACGCCCGCGATTCAAATCATTCCAAGTGCATCAAGACTGGTAACACGCGCAGAATGGAATGACTCTGATTGGTAGACATGCAAGGGGAATGGCTTGCTATTCAATCGCATTGAAAACCGGCAGTCACATCCGAATTTCATATATCGAAGCCGAGAAAGATAGATTGCAAGCGGGCCAATGTCGACACAAGGAGATAAATAGTTCCATGCAAATAGTTCCTGCTTCTTGCACAAAGTCGAGCCAAAAGAAATCAAAATGAAGAAGAAGATGCGCCACGCTGGAAAGGGTATATCGGTCACCCCTTGTAGGCCCTGCTACAAGGTATTGGGAATTATAGAATACAAGACGCCTCCGGGGCAGCTGAGATTGGCATCAATACTAATTCTGGAAGGGGAAGAAAATTCATGCAAACAAAGGAAATTAAAAAAAGGGGGGGGGGGGGGGGTGGATGACAGGTATTCTGATGTTCTAGAATGACTGCAGATAAAGGCGATTAGCCATTGACCATGTCATCCAAGGCCATTTTGCGGCGTTTCACTGGCCGTGGTTCAGGCTCAGGATCAGATTTGGTCGTAGATGGGGCGGGGTGAATTCCAAGGGGTGGAGAATGGCCTAGCTGGACAGGACTTGAGAGATCAATTGGACCAAGGTGTCGGGGGATAGGGTCCCGGGGCCCCGTTGTGGACGAGGAAGAGCGTTGATGATGTGGTGAGTGAGCGAACATAGAGCCTATGGGTCTCTGGGACGAAATTGGGGCCCGAGAATCTCTTCGGGCCTCTTCTCTTCCAGCAGTCCAAATTCCGGGGTAGGGATCACTGAGTCTGTGAGCATGGTGAGGCACACCTGGGGGTGGTCCGGGGGGTGGTGGGCCAGCGCTGGCGGTAGCGTGGTGGATTGGAGGCAAGCGGACGGGGGACTCTAGGTATTGTTCACGAGGTACTGGTGGTATTCTGGGATCCGGTATCACCTGGTGAAGGGAGCCTTGACTGGGAGACTCGGAATAAGGAACGAAAGGAACTCCCGAGTGGTGGTGGTGTTGCGGAGGTGATGTTGGTGGAGGTAACGCGGGACCTCCATAGGTTGGAAATCGTCTGTCAAACCCGGCAGCCATAGTTCCCGTTTGAATCACCGGGTTGAATCCGCTGGCCATGGGGATAAATGGTGCTGGTGGATGACCCAATGATGGATCTGACGGTGCGCCTGATGAAGAGAACGGTCGCCGGACTCCCGAATTAGGAAGTGTCGATATCGGCTCTATGGGTCGAGTCAATGGGAAAACTGAAGCTGACCAGCGTTGTTGCTGACTGCGTGGAGCTCTCGATCCGGCTGTGGCGCTGGGTGAGGTCATGGCGTGGAGATCGGTCATCGGTCGAAGTTCGCGGGATGAAGTTGGCCGGTGCAAGGTGGCTCTATGTGCCGCCATTGATGATTGAGACTCGGCTGGTACTGCTGGGTGGTCTGCATGTGTTGTATATGGTCGAATGGATGAATCTTCTGATTTCAATGGTGGTCGTCCTCGTTTCTTGTGAGTTACATCCACGCAGGACGACTTGGGTGTGTATAGTCAGCTCCGTACTGCAAAATCACTCGACTGAGATATACATATATAAAAAAAAAGATCAAATATAGCCAAACTCACAGCCTTGCCCGCAAGAACACATCTTCGACATGGACGTGCTGGGTCACATCCCAGATGTTTCTTTTTACAGTTCACACATGCTGATGCTACATGAGCCTTTGTCCTTCGAGTGGACTTTGGGGCTAGGGATCGACTTGATGACCCGGGGAGAGACTGTTCTAAGCCGGATAACTGATATGGAGGGGCCAGTGTCCCTGATGGAAGTCGTGGGGAGCCAGCAAAGACCGGCGAAGGATCTCCATATCGTGAGCGGATCGGCGCTGAGGGAGGATCATGACTCGCTGGAGGTATCTGGGATGAGCCAGAACTGGTAGCAAGAAAGGTTTCCTCGGAGGACGTCACTGTTGACAGGGAAGTCTGTTGGTATCGAGGCCGAGATTCTTCGGATGTCACCGTGGGCTCTTCGCCAGGCGAGCCAGACATAGATTGAAGAGAGAGAGGAGCCCGTGGGCTACACCCTCGAGCATTGGTTGACCAAGGTCGATTCAACGGAAACCCGTCTGGGCCCGAGTTGAACCGGGGCTGTCCAAACTGGGCGGTAGTGAGGCTCGGTGGTGGAAGCACGAGTGGTTGCATCGGGCGTTAAGCAAGACCAAGGATAGGTCCACGGGGTAAACAAATCTTTCTCTGACTTCTCTCTCTTTCTCTCTCTCTCTCTCTTGCTATATTTCCTTTTCCCTTCCTTCTGGACTCTTGGACTCCTCCGATAGTTGTTCTTCTCTTCTGTGCCGGGTATTCTGGTTGTTGTTTTTTTTTTTGGCTTGTTTTTCTCTTGTTCCTCTTCCGCCTCTTCTTGGTCCTTGCTCTCTATTGGCGTGATCTTGTTCACAGAAAGGGACCACTGGCTCTCGGTTCTGCACTTTGAGGCAGCATATCTGACGAACGAATCCCTGGCAGGCTGGACTAGGAAGGGGGAAATCAAGGTCAGCGGTGTAGGGGTTGGGCAAGAAGGTTCAATATCCGTCATCCAGCACCTCCCGAGGACCACTCGAGCTTATAATCGATTACTAGACAGATCCGCTATTGGAGGAGTCAGAAAATAGACTGCATCGATCAGCGGGAGATTTCCAGATCATGACAGCAGGGTTTCTCATAGCCGCGCATGTCTTTCTCCTCCTAGGGCGACTTATTGCAGGATGGCGGTCGATCATTGAGCTAGGATCAAGCTGCAGCAGGTAACGCCCATTGTCAAAGCCCCCTCTTCTTTTTCCCCCGGTCTCCTCATTTATCCTTTTGAGTATCATTTTTGGGAGGGATTTTCTTTTTGCTTTTTCTTTTTTCTTTTTTTTCTCCCCTTCCCCTTCTTCCATTATGGCCAATAATGATTTGTGTGTAATATTTCTTGTTTTTTTTTGACCCCTTTTTCTCTTCTTTCTCTTCTTTCTTTTGTATTTTTCTCTTCTTTTTTTGGGGTTCCCTTTTCAGCCCCAACAGCACCACCTTACCTCTTGTCTCGTTCACGGGTCCACGTTCGGTGCAGGATTTGCAGTATGAAGCCCAAAAGGGTAATGAAGGGAGAAACGAAATGTTTTTGTCTGTTTCCAAACTCACCTTGGAATTTAAATGATCACTTAAATCGTCACTGATAGCAAAACCGGGATTTAGAGCTAGGTTGTATAAGGGAGGAAGAAGAAAAAACGGATTCTGCCCAGGTTTCTTGATTCAAGGCTTGGACGATAGGGTCTAGGAAAGGGTCCCAGAAATGCTGGAAATGATTTTCTGTCCACGATGAGAAACAAAAATGAATGATTCTTTTCCCTAACTGAGAGTAGCACACCCGAACCTGCGGGCGTTCAGGGCTTATACCCAAGTTAAGTGGGCGGGTCCTGGGTACAAGGATGGAAAGTAGTGGTCTGTGCAGAAAGACACTAGTAGCTGATAGACTGGATCTCCGTTCATGGTAGATCTTTTCAAATAATGGAGTGCCCAACCGTACGGTACTGGTGGAGTAGACGAAAGGGCGGAGTATTTCTGGGTTTTTATTCTTATAGATGAGGGGCCCCGGGGAGGAGGGTAGGTATTTTTTCTTATGTGATTTTTCTCCTTCAGAACCAAAAGAGAAAAAAGAAAAGAAAGAAGAGGTAAAAAAAAAAAAAGAAAAAAAAAAAAGAAGAGACAGGGAAAGGTTAACCATAGATGGGACGTTCTCCTGAACAGATCGTGGTGGGTGTAGAGGGGGTTCTCTGGCTGAAGTGGCTTGCATTAGATTGGGGGAAACAGCCGTGACACCTCTGGCTCATTGTACGGAGTAAAGGGATCGGATTTTTCCCACTAGAATGGAAAAGGCAAGTCCACAGTGTAAAATGACGGTTACGGAGGAATAATCAGGGCTGGATTTCTATAGTTTATCCATTTATTTAAATTCTTAATTTTTTTGTGTATTTGTATTTCTCAAGAGCCACTATTTAACGCGATACCAATCAGAAGAACGTAAGGCGAGGGATTGACGGATCGACGTCGGCGCCCGCAGCCATTGCCAATAGTCGGACTCGGCAATGAAATGCGCATTCCGCTTGACATGCACAAAAGTACTTGGCACAGTACATGACAAAAATGGGAAAATTGGGGGAGAAATAACGAGAAAATAAGAACCTGAATGGCAAATAGGAAAGTTCCCTCAACATTGAAGTCAGAAAATTCAGAACATCGTGTCAAGAGGTGGATTAGTATAACCCCGTATTACCCTCTCGGGGGAGGACAAGGACTATGGAATTCCTACTATTAATCTCCTACACTTGCTGGACGTTCTGGTCGTTCTAGAACTCGAGGCTATAGATGAGGTTAGTTATTTTTATGAATATTTCCTTGTTGCATCGGCAGTTATCAACAAAACCAGGGGAAGTAAACAATACCTGCCAAATACAAGAAATACCAACCAACCCGAACTAGACTGGGCCTTAGGCTTGGATTCTATACGCCAGACGAGAATTCAATGGTCAGGTGGTTCCCCGTTTGCGTATTGGATCTACTAGTGAATAATTGAACATTTGGACATTTGAACGTTTGTATGGAGTATTGGTAAGGTAATCCCGCTTCCTGTTCCTGTTCCTGTAATCTATAAGGAGATATCCTCTCCATAATTCTCCATAATCTCCCTATGGTCATATTTCTCCATATTTCTCCATGTTCTCTCTGTTCTCTAAGTATCCATTTATTATTCTCCGTAGATTGATCGCATCCCGTTCCTTTTTAATGCTCCGTTGTACAAGGGGTTACCGTTGCAGTCGAGTCCAACACTGCAGATCAGGGTCGTGTGGGAAGTCTCACGGCGGTCACTGGTCATGAACCACGAGTCGGAGAGCTGCAGGGGGCCACTTTGACCTAATTAATTAAATTAATTAAATCAATATTCGATCAACACCTGGTTCAAAGGTTAGATCGACAATGGTTCGTGAGACTACCCATGACGAAAGCTTGTTAATAAATCAGAGTGGGATTCCCTGTCGTACCTCTCGCCCCCCCCCCCTCTTCCCCCTTATATACTCAACTTATCTTGTATCCCCCATTCCATTGTTACCTAAGTACCTGAGTGTTAGATGTTACTGGAAAGAGATAATTTTTTTTATTCATTTTTTTTCTTTCTTTTTTAAAATCAGGGGTCTTTTTGTACTCTGGTAGTGTTCATCCCAAGATTTTATTTCCCGGGGTTTTCAAGTGAAGTAACAAGATGTGGCTGCAGCCGCATCCTTGAATCACACAGCGCGTGCACATTGCTCATCCCTGGCGTTGGCACTGCAGGGAAAATCCTCCCCAACGTCATTGACAGGTGAAGGAAGGGCCAATCATGAGACTTTATCGGGAGATGCCGAGGAGAACAAACTGCAATTCAAGGCTAAGGGGGGGGGGGGGGGGGAAGTGCCTCCTGAAAGGGGAACACATTGTACCAAAAGAGGGGGAACAGTAGAAGGTCAACTATGTGGAACATGCGGCACGCGGACCAGCAAGGAGTCTTGTCATTTAATCATTATTTATTATTTATTTCTGAGTATTTCTTATTTCTTACTTCTTTCTGATTTAATATTCCATTATATTATTCCTGATCTTTCATCCATTTTCTAGGCTTAGTCATTCCTTTCCCCTGAGTGAGTGAGTTAACTAGTTAACTAACTAGAGCTTATCCCAGTACCTTCATGTCAGCCTTTGGAACATGATTTGGGGATCTCCAAACTCGAAGCGAAAAAATTAAAAATTAAAAATTAAAAATTAAGAAAATTCCTGTGGATCATTGCCAATTATTCTGAAAATTCGCCGGTAAACTATTCTCCTTACAATCATGTCAAAAGTTGGAGGCGGAGATTATTCGGGACTATTGATTTATAGCTTGAATACTCCGTTCCAGTCCCAGACTTTTTAAACCGAGGAGGTCGCATGTGCCCACAACGGCAATTCCTGCTGATCCGAAGGGAAGAAGCTCGTTGATTGGACCGGGATAAAGTCGTCTCCAGGTTGATTGCCAACAGTTGAACTTGGAAAAACATTGAATCACTTGTTTCCCTCCAATGCACACCTTAAAACTGAGCTCCAAATACATACACAGGTGGGTAGAACTGGACTAGTATAGTATGCACATTACTCTTGGAAACCCCAAATACTTGCGATTAGATCAAGTTTCGCTGAAAACATTTAATTCTTTTTTATAGAACGCATGAAAAAAAATAATAAACAGCGGGGTAACATGTGGTATCTCCAAAGTACATATATAAGATGTAGTAGACATATATCGGAATAGTAGATGTGAAATTCATACAAAACAAGCACTTGAGGTGCTCCCGATCAGCGCTTCTTCTTCGAGGGCCGTCCGTTCTTATCACGACGCTTCTGTTGCAGATTACGGGCCTTGCGGATATCTTCCGTCGAGCGAATCTCACTCTTACCACCCGCACCGCTAGCACCCAGTCGTTCGCGTGCCGCTTCGTTCTTCATCTTCTGCTTGTCGTAATCGCCACGAAGAGGATCGGCGCGCTTAGGCGCCCGTTGCTGCGTGTGTCGGAATCGGCCACCACCACGAGGGCCTCCAGAACCACCGCCACGGCCACCACCACTACCACTACGACCAGCAGGTCCATTAAAGACATCTCCAAGTCCAGGTGTCTCGGCTTCACCCACACGAGGCAACTTGCCCATGCGCTTGCCCTTCTTCCAGCTTTGGAATCGACCGCTTCGGAAACTGGCAGCGATCTTGACACCACTCTCACCCCGCACCAACTTCGTGCCCTTGGATCCGTCCTCATCGTTCTGTCGAGCCACGTACTTTTTGTGTCGCTTATCCCAACGCATGGTGGACCGTTGCTCTCCAGTGCCGCGTTGACCTTCGTCACCGTTGAGGTCCATGGTCGCACTGCGGGAGGCCTGGGTGAAGTTTTGGTTTGTACCGGAGTGAACACCATAAGCCCGATCCTCGGCGAGATCGTTGTTGTTGGGGGTGTAACCCATAAAGTAATCGGGATTCTGAAACGAGGATGAAAAGGTTTCTTGGGATTTGTTCGGGTTCTTGTTCTTTGGTTGAGAGTAGGCGGAGAAGGTGACCTCCAAATCAGACTCGTCGGCTTCCGACATGTTGTCGCCAGCAACCTCGGGGATATCCTCATCGGCGGATTCCATGTCGTGGTCGACCCCAGCGCCAAGTTCGTTCAAATCCGATTGTTCCTTGGCCTGGGCGCGAGCCTTCTTCTTGTCGACCGTCGTTCGCAGCCTTTTGATCGTTTCCATCGCGGGATTCTTCTCCTCGGTCTTGCCAGTTCGTCGATTCTGGACCTCGAAGATGGTTTCGTTTGGTCGGAAACCACCGATCTTGGCCAAAAGCTTCTCCCGTTCAGCTTCCAGATCGCTAGTTTGGTCGTTGAAGAGCGGATGGATAGTAGACCATTCTTCAGTAGCTGTGACTTGCTTGGCTCGCTTCGCGCTCTCGAGAGATGCAGCATTTCGAGTACGCAAGTAGAGTTTTTCACCACGCGTGGCGACCTGGCGCTGCAAAGTAATATCGTGCATTTCCGCTAGAACCTTGTTGACCCATTCACAGCTACGGGAAAGGGGATCCCTCGGGAGTGATCCAACAACGACATCCTCGGCGAAGTTGACTGGGCCAGAATGACGTCCCAGCACGAGTGGTCGTCCAAGGAAAAGTTGAAGATCAAGCATGTATGGCGCATCGGAGTCCCGGACAAGACTGTAACTCCATCCCTTTTGGCCAGCACGAGCAGTACGACCAACACGGTGGACAAAGATCTTGGGTTGTGAGGGGAAATCGTAGTTGATGACATTGGCAAGAACCGGGATATCGATACCACGGGCGGCCACATCGGTGACGACCAGGATGTTCGAGATACCCCGTCGGAAATTCAGGACCTGAATCTTTCGTGCAAGCTGATCCAAGGAACCGTAGGCGAATGAGGTAGCGAAACCGGCTTCATTCAGGAGTGAATAGAGGTAGTCGACGTGGTGCTTCGTAGCTGCGAAAATGATGGTTGAGTGTTCGGTCGGAGATTCCTTGTGCGGTCCGGATTTCCCATCATCTCTCTTTCGCTTGTTCGAGAACTTCGAAGGGGGGCCCTCCTCTTTGAATCTCTTGGTCACTTCCGTATCGCCGGTGGGCATTTTAATGATATCATGGAGAATATGCAACAAGGCGCCTTCCTTGTCCGAAGACTTGACGGAGAAGAATGCGTTTTGCAGATCTGGTGAGATTTTGCCTTCGGTATCTAAACGGATTAAAGTTGGCTCTTGGAGACCAGCACGGGCAAACTCCACAAGAGATTTGGGCAGTGTTGCAGAGAAAAGAAGTGTTTGTCGGGTTGAAGGCAGACCATGCAAAATTTCGGTCAATTGCGCGGCGAAACCCATCTCGAAAAGTCGATCAGCCTCATCAAAGACCACGTAGCGGATACTCGACAGATCTAATTCCATCTCCACCTGAAGATGCAAAAATCGACCGGGCGTTGCGATCACGATATCTGGGTTGCCGGCCATGAGTCCAAACTGTTCTTCCAAACTGTCACCACCAACCAGAAGGACCGATCTCAGGTCTGTTCCACGTCCCATTTCCTTCACCACCTTCAAAGTTTGCAGGGCCAGTTCGCGAGATGGCGATAGAATCAATCCACGGGCTCCAAACTTTGTGCTGTGGGCCTTCAGTTTCTCAATCATTGGGATAACAAAGGCAGCCGTCTTTCCGGAACCAGTTCGAGCCATGCCAACGACGTCTTGGTCTTCCATAATCACCGGAATAGTCTTGCGTTGAATCGGGGTGGGGACGGAGAATCCTTTGCGGGTGATGGCCTTGAGCAGCTTGGCATTCAGGCCCATTGCTTGAAAGCCACCACCTTTCTTAACAGTCCGACCCTTCAAGTTGGATGCCTTTCGATTGGCAGAAGCCTGCTGGTTGGCAATGAACGCCTCATCACCATCGTCTTCGGCGCCCAGAAAATCGAGATCCTGTGTGGCTGGAGTAGGCTTCTTCTTGTATTTGGGCTTTGGGATGCCTGCATCGGAGTCGGAATCGTTGTCTTTTTGGAAAAGCGCACTTGTGATATCGAACTCGTTCTCCGACATAGCCGGAGAAGCTTCGCGGCGAGGCATGTTTGCGAATTTAGAGGTGTCGAAGCCCTCACAACTGATGCCGCGATAGAAGGTTATCAATCTTCGCCGCAAAAAAAAAATTAAAAAAAGAAAACTTGAAATCTCCAAAATCGGAAAGGCGGTGAGGGTTAAGTTTGTGCTCGCGTCAAACAGTGCAAACTGGTCCCCGCGACGCGTGCTTTGACACGCTCCCAATCGAGTAAAATGATTTTACAGCCTCAACCCTCCGCGAACACCAAACACAGTGACACAAATACACGCACACATTATGGGTTGGTCTCTCTCAAAGCCGATGCTCTGATAAGATATACTGATGGGAAATATGGCAGACGGTGGAAATTCAAACTACAACTCCTACGGTGGAGGAGGAAATAAAAACTACAATGCCTACGCTGGTGCAACTGGAGGCGGCAACTTCGCCTCGGAGGGGACGAAAAGCTACAACCCTTACGGTGGCGGAGGTGGAGGTGGAGGTGGAGGTTTCATGTCGGGGGAAACCAACAGTCCCTCTGGAGGCAAGGTACTGAATGAAACTCTCTTGACTTAATATCGACAATCACTCTGCTAACACAGGAGTACATCAGACTGGCGGTGACGACAAGACTATTCGCGCTGTGACAATTAAGCAGATCAACGATGCAACCTCCCCATACCCCGAGGCACCCTTCCAGATCGACTTCAGCGATGTCGGCAATGTGACATTCATAGCCAGGGTGCGCAACGTCAGCAAGCAGAGCACCAACGTCACATATGTTACCGATGACTATACAGGCAGAGTGGAGGTGAAGAAATGGATTGACGGGGAGCATGCGGATATGGATGAGAAGGCGAGCCCCATTCAGGTTGGCGTATATGTTCGTGTGCTCGGTGTTATCAAGTCATTCGGCCAAAAACGATACATTGCTGCACACAGCATCAATTTGATGACGGATCTCAGTCAACTCTACTGCTTCATGCTTGAAGCCACAGCTTCCCACTTGCTCTTCACCCGAGGTCCCCCTGGTGGTGGTAACACTGGCGGAGGTGCTGCTGGTGCTGCTGGTGCTGGTGGCGCAGGCATGGATGGAGTGGAATACCACAGTGGCCAGAACAAGGCCCTTTCTGGCGTGACTCCGTTTGCCAGAGATATGTACAACCTCTTGTGTACAGAACCCCAGGACTCTAGTGGTCTTCACATGCAAACAATTGCGTCAAAGCTGGGGCTTCCTGCCATGGATGTCAGCAAGGCTGGTAATGAGCTTCTCAACGCAGGCTTGATCTTTTCGACGCTGGATGAAGAAACATGGGCTATTCTTGAGCAGTGATTGCACCACGGCTATCGATTCTATGTGAAATCTTCCCGATAAAACCCCTTGCGCAGACTTGAAAAAAAGATATTATGATTCATCGACTAAGGTGTTTACAAGCTTTGGAATTTCAAGGTTGCATCCAATTCATGGTTGTGACAAGGTTTTTGTTGCTTCTATTCGTAATGTTGATCTAGGTAGTCCAGATGCCCAGGTTAACTGTCCATTCGGGATATGTTGATATGATTCCAGTATGTACTAGTAACCACCTGAGCGTGGACCTATCAGTACTAAGTAGTATGTACTAAACTTTAGGGTAGATTTTAGGTTAGCTCATTCCGCTGTAAAGCCTCTTCGACTGAATGCTCCCAGCTTATTCGAGTGATGAAGATCGCTTCGATCGCGGAGACAAGCAGAAGAGCCAACGCTACACCAGTCCAGAGGCCCATGACCCCCCAGTCCAACCAAAAGGTTGTCCCCATACTGATCGGCATAGCGATGACATAGTAACAGAAGAGCTGAATATAGCCACCAATCTCTTGTCGGCCCAGACCCCGAAGGATACCATTGCAGTTGGCAGCCAGTGCATCGAAGAGTTGGAACGCTGCACACAGAGGAAGAACCTGGGCCACTAGGTCTATCACCTCTGGATCGGAACTAAATAGTCGAGGGATGTAGGAGCGTAAACTGGAAAGTAGAACCATGTTGAACAGTCCCACGATAGTGGCTCCACAGAAGCTCACCTTGGCGGATGTCTTCGCGGCACCGACCAGCGAGGCACCGATCAGATTTGCAATTCGCGTGCTGCCTGCGATTGAGAGGGGGAATGGGATCTGCCATGTGATACTCGAGAGAGTGGAGAGAATAGACTGGGCGGCTAGCTCGGTAGTGCCGAGATAGCTTGATGCCAACGTGAGAACTTCAAAGGCGAGACACTCGGCCTCCACCATGATCAAGCCTGGCAGAGCGAGACGGATCATGGGGCCCCAATTTTGAAAGGCTCGTCTGGAAAAGCCACACCAACACTCACTCCCAACAAAGTAGTAGGTATAGATGAAAAGGCCAATGGGGAGAAGAGTCTCTGTGATGGCAACTGCAATTGGAGCACCAATAAATCCCCATTGCAATTTCTGTGCATATTCCCGTTAGCTCTTGTCGTTGCGTTAGAGGATACTCATCTACTTACCCAGACAAAAAACCAATTCATGAACGCATTCAGAGGCGCACAAACAATCAGCACATAAAGAGAAGCTGAGAAGACACCCTGAGCCTGCAGGTATCGCTTTCCACTTTCAAAACAAGCATATCCGGGAGTCCCCAGAAGAGCAACCTTTAGATACAGACCCGCCATCTTTGCGACTTCTGGCTCCGGGACAATCTTGGCTAGAATGTGGTCCGAAAAATACCACAGCACGGCGATGGGGATGGTCACGATCCAGAGGAAATAGATCATCCGGAGCATCTGAAGACCCACGAGCTTCCGCTTGCCGGATCCATACGCCTGGGCACAGAGGGTATCCAAGCTTGTTGCAAGACCGGAAAATACCGCATTTCCAGTGATACTCACCGTCATACTCGCCAGACTGACAGCTCCTAGCTCTTCCTTGCCCAAATGTCCGATTGTAAAAATGCTGGCGACCGTTAGAGAATATTGTAACAGGAATGTTACCATGAGCGGCAGGGAGTATCGGGCGATGACTTCGGATTCCCGCTTCCAAGTGGTATTGATTAATCCTGCGATCACAGCTTCTTCCCATTTCCGATCGATCTCCTCCGGTCCCATCTCATTATCATCTGGGGATCCCAACAAGGCCGTAGCCTCAGTGGGATTTCGCTCTGTTCCCAGGTCTTCATGTGTCGAGACGGCCCGGAAAGACTCTTGCGGCTTGGAGGAGCTTCCTTGTCCCTGGCTTGGAGAGGTGGAGAAAAGACTGCTTAATGTATGCGACAGTCGACGGGGTTTCTGCGAAATTGGAATGACATTGTTGTCGCCTAACAGAGCGTGTTCCTCTTGAATTGCTTGTTCACGTTCGCGGGAGGTCAAGGGTTGGTAATCACCATGGGCGGGGATGGTTGTAGTGTGATTGACGGTGGTGAAGTAACCTGGGCGGCGATAAGACCCGGCTAGCGAGTGAGGATTCGTCCCGGCATGGCTACTGGATGGACGTACTGTCGAGGATCCCGAGGTATCGGTGGCAAAGGAATCATCGTCGGTGTAGTGGGCTAAGTCTCGAGAAATAGCTGCTTCGGCAATGGGCGAACTGGAGGTGAAAGACCGGCCATACCGGCTTTGATGCTCTGCGGAGTCCGCGGAGAAGACATTTCGTGGCGGCATGACGGGAGGAGAAAGACGAGGGTTTTTTTTTTTTCTGTTTCTTTATTTTTCACCACAACTCCCACATGATCTATATGAAAGCTTTTGTTGCGTGAAGCCAAGAAAAAAAACAATGAGAGAAGAAGGAACGGAAAGCTCAGAAAAAAAAAGATTATAAATGAAACCTTGGAAATGATAAAGTGGGGGAGAGCCACTTTGACCGTTTTAGTGCAGGTCTTAGCGTGTTGATAGGATAAGGATGATTGGAGGATTGGATGATAAATCTACCCATTTGCTGATTTGCTAAGGCTCGAATAGGGAGGTCTAAGCAGGAAGGCTAGACTTGAGATCTGTTAAACATATCCCATATTCGGCAATGACTCACAGCACTTGAGCAACATACTACAGTACATAAATGGGTACTAGTAGTATGAGGTTCATCTGGCGGTCTGGCCAAGACGGGGACTCCACGCGGCAACTGGGAATGATTCCCCACATTTGTACTGTGCAATGACAGGTGTTCATCAAAAAAAATCTCCAGATTAAAGGTTCTCCATTTTTCCAGCCTTATGTTTACTGCTAGATATTTGGATATCTGCTTTCATTCATCATTCCGAGTCTGAGAGAAAAAACAAAAGATCGCTACTAGTAGTGATGTCATTTGAGATTGAAAGCGGTCTGGCTGTCACCTGATACAAGTCCATCTGATTCTGAATTTCTGATTCTCTGCAACATCTTCACAGCCTCTTCTCCCCTCCTGTACACGTCTTCCTTCTCAAGATTTGGCTTGAGAGGCAAAATGGCACAATCCGCTGGTAGCATGCGAGGATCGTATAATCCGATCATCAATCCAACTCATTGTCGACCCGCTTTGGTGGAAGAGTAAGTCAAAATCGTCCCGCTTGTACCCATGTCACTAGTATCTGTTAGTTTGGAATTCTCCCCATCCTGCTACGAGCCTTTGAGTCGGCATACTTGACTGAAGATCGCGTTTTAACGTAAACTTGGCCATTTCCCACGATTAACTGAATGTAGACACGTCGAGGATCAGCACCATATTCTCTGTTCAACGCCGATCTTCGGCGCTCTGCTCTTCGAAAACTCCTCATCTGATGCTCGTGATCACTGTGCCAACGAGCGAACTTTTCTATCATGGCTACGTTTGTCCATGTATCTTGCAGTGGTTTCCCTTGCTATCATCATATCATTTCATTTCCGGGATCAACCCTCCGCTTTGGAACGGCGAATGGCCTTACCCCTTGGCATCGTCTTCTGGCTCTTGAGCATAACCTGTCTGGCCAACGGGTTTGCTAATTATGCGCGCACGGTGATGAAGTACAGTCGCAAGGCTGCGTTAGTTCAAAGCGGCTGGAAGACCCAGGTAGTTTTTACAGTGGTGGGGACTGTGATTTTGGGGAGTTGCATCTTATTTCTGTCCACGGATCAGACGGGCTAAACTTAATACCCACGCAGGTTGCTTTCCAAGCTGGTTTTCTTTAGATTTTATTCAATGTTTCAAGCATTGTATCTAGTATGCACATAGGCATTTTTATTCTGACAGTCTTCTAGCTGCACATTTGAATGTGTATATGTATACTAATCAATTGATCGCGTACATATCAATATACATGTGTATTCCTGGGTCCGCATTCCGCTACCTATGCACGTGTACATATGTACATACATGTACTACTACTGAAGAAATTCAATGTTTACTGGCACAAGCACTTGAGCATACTTCAATGTTGATGAAATACACAAGCCAGCATACATACATAGTAAGGTTCAATTGAACATTGAATCAAACATTGAATGTTTGAACTTATGTACATACGTACATGTATATTACGACCTCGGGAGAGCCGTGTACTGTAGTGCACATTATATACGTACCTAGGTGGGTGGACCTCGGGACAAAAAAAGAAACCCGTTTGATTTCCCCATGGGTTCCAAGGTTCCCCATATTGAAATATTTGAATTAGGTTAGATGATATGAGTCGACATATTGGAAGTGTTGCAATATATGTAAGTGAAAAGAAAAGGAAAAGGTATCAGGCCAATGCATCACAATGAAAGCTTATGGAGAGACAAGTGCCAGCACAGGGGGTCATTATTGGCGAAGCTCACATGCGGCGGATTTCTTTCTCGCCCTTGTACTTGTCCAGGGCCGGGGTGCCCAGGTGGCTCCACCACTCAAACAGCATTGAGTTGCAGATCAGCTTGAACCAAGGAGTGAACGTGAGTTCAGTCTGCTTAAACATCGCTTTTAACTCATCCGCCGACACGTAGCAAGTGTCTCGTACCTCATTCGGACTCGGCTCCAGGTCAACATCCGCCTGGATAAAGAGAATGTAATCGACTGCAATTCCTGTTAGATGTGAATATTTCACGGCATCAAGAGTAAAAACATACCTTCATGCTCTCCCCACTTGCCATCACTGGGGGCCTTGTAGTGAATCCGGGTGAAGAACTCAAACTTTTCCACCGGCACCTGCTCGGGCTTAATACCCAACTCATGGCCAAGCTTGCGCTGGGCAGCACGCTTCACTCCCAGAACAGCAGCGTCAAGCTCAGCACCAGTCTCGCCAGGAATTCCAAGAGGGTGGGAGCAGCAAGTGTTGGTCCACATATCCGGGAACGTGATTTTCTCGGTGGCGCGTTGTTGAAGCAGGAGGCGGTTGTTGGAGTCAAACAGAAAGACAGAGAAGGCGCGGTGGAGTAGACCCTTATCGATGTTGGTCATCAAGTGGCCTATAAAGAGGAGCAAGGTTAGCCATTTTCGCTTTTGTTCTTCCTTTTTGGGTCACCCAGTATACATCATTACCCCTCCTTATGTGTGTCGTCCGTAAGGTGGGGTGAGGGGGGGGGGGGGGGAAGGGGGAAGCGGGGAGGGGGACTCACAGATCTTCTTGCTGGCACTCCCGATGGGCCGGTCATTATTGTCCAAGACAATGCACACCTCATCCATTAGGCGAATCTGTTCCTCATCATATCCCTCGAGCTCAGTGCCTTCGCGCGCGTTGTTACCGTTGGCTGTGGGTAGGACATCCCGAGCCAACGAGGTATCAACTTCGGGGAACAGGGTAGCCACATTTTCAGCGGTGATCTCCGGTGGCGCGGTGATTGTAGTAGTTGCACTCATGTTGGCCTCAATTGAATAGTCTGGACTAGAAGGAAAGGATGGGGTTTAAGATAAAAAAACAAAATGCGGGCGGTAGCACAGGCGCCCTGTGCCTTATTCTAAAGGCGGTAATGATCTGCCACTCGTTCTCCATTCTGTACGAACATCACAACACGGGTGGAGTAAGCCATTCAATGTTTCCAGGGACCAGATGCATGTACTGAGTACTCTGTAACTCAAAGATACTAATACTTGCCCCCTTTTTTCATCTTTTTTTTTCTTTCAGCATCTAACATATCTGCGAATCAAAGTCAGTGCGTCGTAATCTTTGATATAGAAATTTGGATTACCTGCATATTTGGACCTGACAATATTGACATCTCACTTGCAGAGATAAAAAGATGCATGGCCAATCTACTACCCACTAGTACGGAGCGGAGCAATTACCTTTCCGAATTTTCTCATGAAGACTAGAGCTGGCGACGAACCTGCCTTCCACACAGGGGGTTCACACCGCCCTCATCAGGGAAAGTCGGCAAGAGCAGCCACAAACACATTCCCCTTGATATCAAGAGACAACAAATCGAGCGGAACTTGAACGTCCAGTGTATCAAGTTGGATAATTCTCTTACCCTGCAACTTATAGTCAATGACAACACATGGTCCGGATTGTGAAACCAAATGGTGCCCACTGTCAATATTGAGGATCCCCTATTGCATGCAGATACATGCAGCCTTGTCGAGTGACAATTTGGCCACCCCCCCAGTTTGAATTACAGTACGCGACACTGCCACCCCTGACAATCAACTTCATGACCCCGGAGAGCCCGGGTCACAATTGCGTCGATATCAATGGTTTTTACATGTTCTGATGTTTCCGTTGCTTGGACCATATCGAAAATCTCATTTGTTGAGTCTGCACCAACTTCGAGTGCCCCCAAGGGGTCCCCGGTCTCAGGACTCATATGTGGCGTATGGTTGATAAGCCAGAATTTAAGCCAAATCACGCACCGGCGAGTGTCGAATCCGTGCAAATCCCGGTTCCTGGACCGACAACTGTAAAATGGCATGGTATGTAATTGATTTTGCAATAGCTCACAATTTTCTCAAGAACCTCGGACGACCGACAACGGCACTGGGACGATTCAAAGGTTCTTGTTCCAAGTTTTTCTTCCAAGCTTCAATGTTGGCTAGGCTTAATCACCGACACCCGATTCGTCTCAGGCTATGCACACAGCCGCCCAAGACCTTATCACCTATCTAAGCTACCCCAGTTTAGGAACGCCTTGTCATATCTAGGTGCCTAGCAGATATCCATGCTTACTTATGATGACCAAAAATTTATTTCAAGGTTATATTGAGTAGTAGAGCCAGGCTGGTTGATGATCGACAGTTGGAATTCTACTAAATTTAGATAGAATCGGGATTCTGTGGGGACAGTTTGTCGGGGGCGCAAGAAGGCTCACTGAGATCAACAAAAATTCGAATAGCTTCAAAGCGAACGCCTGTTATGGTCTTGTGAATTCTCATTCACTGCAGGCTCAATTTCTTCAAATTCGTCAACTCCTCAATTTCCTCTGGTCCCAATAATCCCAACGCCTCTCTCCTGGTTGGGGCAGTGCCATTAAAGAACGGCTTCTCTGCTAAAGAGGTGACTCGAGTACCATGTCGTGGCTGAGAGCCCTCATAGTCCCAACTGGCGTTGTGGATGGTAATTCTGTTTGATCGTTAGTTTGGAGAATCTTGGGTGTGGAAAGCAGGTAAACGAACCGATTGTCCCAGAGAGCGCTGGTTCGTGGACTCCACTTGAAGCGAACCTGGATATCAGGGTTCTTTTCATAGACATCGTTCAAATATCCCAAAATAAGATCACTCTCAGCTTTATCCAATCCAACAATTCGTTCGGTCATGGCTCTGTTGACCCAGAGCGCCTTCCACCCCGTCGCGGGGTGAACGCGGACCAAGGGATGTTCACGCTGCACATACTTGGGCCCTGCCTCGGGACTGCCCCGCTCAAGGTATGGGTGAGCAGATCGATAGATGGCAGTCTTGCCATCAATGAACTTGCGAAATTCTGGGGAGAGTTTTTCGTATGCAGCATACCCACTTGCCCAGAGGGTATCCCCTCCCACGGTTGGGACGGTGTCATTATGAAGGTGTGTTACACCAGCCGGCTGTCTTTCGTGAACCAGGTCACTGTGCCACCGTGAGGAACCACCTGGTCGACGGAAGCTGGCTGGTACCTCGGTGGCTTGCAGTGCGGGCCAAATTACAGAGACGCCGGGGACTCCGGGGACCTGAGGGACTTGTGGCTGTATAGGAATATGGTGAGCTTAAATGGTCTATTTCTCTGCCTTGGGACAGAGAGGGGAAGGGATAATCAAGGAGCTGGCCTTACATGGATTTCAACTTCGCCAAAGTATTCACCCAAATCCTTTTGCTGCTGGGGGGAGATGTCTTGGTCTCGGAAGAAAACAACGCTTCGTTCGGCGATGAGGAGGCCTAGCTCATCTTTCTGTTGGTCTGTAAGATCCTTCAGTTGTAGACCAACAATCTCAGTACCGATGTGTCTTGTTAAAGGAATGACTTCCTTAGCCGCTGATAAAAGTGCCTTTTTATCAGGATCGGCGCGGCGTCCAGGGTCTACATGCTCGCGGTCATAATTTCGCACATTGTAGACATCATCCAAATACAGAGGACGCGAAGGTCGATACGGATATCCAGCACTAAGATCAACACCGGACTTCTCCAAACGCTCTCTTGCGGATGCTGGTAGACCGAGGGTGTCTTTTCTCGGTGGTGCAACGTCTACAATGCGGGGGTCGATGGGGGCAGGGGCCATGTTGAATATGTAAAAGTAATGTTTAGTTTATGAATAAGTTGCAAGACTTCTCTCAAGTGTTTCAGATGCTCCAGAAATGGCTGCAATAATTTTCTTCAAATAGTGGGCGATTTTTTATATTTAAGTTAAAAAGAAAGTTGCTCTCTGTCGGCTTGACATTGACACCTATAATTTCAATCAATGTACAGTATACATCCATGAGTACATGTACACTCGGTATTTAGGTGGTAGTTTCTGCCTTCAAATGTTCATATGTCTTAGCACTTCAGGTGATCCAACAGTACCATTGATGTAGGCATTTTTTGATTGACAGATCGGATATCGAGCACATCATCGTCGCGATCCATTACGCCTTCTGCGACATCCAAACCACGCCGTTGGCTTGCGACATTGTTCCAATTGATCTGGCCACTTATTCCTTTACCCCTCATTTTGTTTCCACATTTCCTTTCAAATGATGATACATTTCAAAGCAATTTTCTTTTCTCATATCACAACCTACTTAGAGCCACGCATCCCACGCGGGGGAAATACCCACATGTCATCATCCCGAAGGGAAACTACGTATTGATTGAACATGATCAATCCTCTAAACGATTTCAAGGCTGATTTTTCCATGATTTCTAATCGGGCACTTGCCGTCTCTTCCGAGCTGTATACTATAGCCTTGTAGTAGGTGGATCTGGAATTCTTGTCGCTATCCGTGTATGGCCTTTACGCTCTGTGGAGGGGGAAGTAGTACGATGGCTCTTAGCTAGCCTCGATTGCGAAATCTTGAGTCGGAATCGTTTCATATTGACCAATAGTGGAGATGAGATAAACGGAAGGAATGTGAAGTAGTTTTAACATTGTCCACCCCACCAACATTCGCTCTTCTGCATATTTTCTTTCTCTCACAGCCCATGGTTTTATGATGGCAGATTCTATTCAACGCGTCGCCGTTATTGGGGCAGGCATTTCGGGGGTTGTTAGCGCCGCTCATCTATTGGCAGCTGGGAAGGAAGTTACGGTATTTGAAAGAAGCCAAGCTGCAGGCGGAGTCTGGTATGGTTCATATTGTTCTACTTCTCTTGATTATCTGCCATCTTTACTTCCATATTTTAGGTAGGGGTGTTGAAGAAAAAAGTCAAGTTAACCAGTAGTTAGGCTCTATGATAAGCGAGTACCAATCGAAGCCCAATATCCATCACTTAAACCATCCGACGTACAGCGGTACGTCAAGGATGACCGTGAAGGGAAAGAAAGGCAAATTTTACTTCATTCACCACCAGGGTAAGTTCAACCTCTACTGACTAATTTTTCAAGTTCTAGCATTTCGAGACTTATACTGACCACCTGCAACACTGCTAGTCCATGTTATGAAAGTTTAACAAACAACGTATCCACGCCATTACTGCAGACCAAGTTAAATTCATGGCCGGAGGGAACTGCTCATTATGTCAATCACAGTGTACTCAAAGATTACATCCAAGATACCTCCAGCAAATCTGGCGTTAACGAGGTGACCATCTATGGTGCGTTGGTTACGAATGTTCACAAACAGGAGAAAAAGTGGCATGTCTCTTGGACTTTATTGGATGAGGATCTTGCCACGGGAGGAATGGTGGAGGTTTCCAATTCACTGGTAAGGAGTTTGTTTCCAAAGTCTTGGAGAGGAAGCCTGCTCTAAAATAACGAATAGACGTTCGACGCCGTCGTCATTGCATCTGGCCATTACCATACTCCATTAGTCCCTGATATTCCGGGTCTAGCACATGCAAAAGAGCAATGGCCCTCCTTGATCACTCACTCAAAGTCATTTCGAAATTCTAAAGGATTTGAAGATAAGGTCAGTGATATACCGTGAGGTCTATCAAATTACATGGATTAATACTGGCACAGAATGTACTTCTCATAGGTGGTGGGGTCTCGTCGATGGATATCGCTCGAGAAATCAGCCCTCTCGCTCGAACAATCTATCAAAGCACTAGAGGAGGCACATTTGACATCCCCGCCGTTGCACTCCCAGAAAATGCCTCGAGAGTTGAGGAAGTTGCAAATTTCCAAATAAACAAATCCCCAGATGACCTGCACCAGAGTTTGCCGATAACCGTGCACTTGAAGTCAGGTCAAACTCTAGGCAGCATTGATAGAATCGTCCTATGCACGGGGTATCAGATGGCTCTACCGTTCTTTCCCCAGTATAACAACAACTCCTTGTCTGTGACAGAGGCGGATCAGTCGGTACTTGTTACTGATGGAACGCAAATCCACAATTTGCATCGCGATATCTTTTACATTCCCGATCCAAGTTTAGTGTTTGTGGGAATTCCTTTCTATACCGCCACATTTACCTTGTTTGAATTCCAAGCTATTGCCGTCGCGGAATTTTTTTCAGGAAACACGAAACTGCCGTCAACTGGAGAAATGAGAAAAGAGTACTTGGAAAAGCTTCGCATCAAGGGCTTTCGACGGAATTTTCATTCGCTGAAGGGGGAAGAAGACGCATATGTGATAAGTCTTCTTGATTGGGTGAACAGCGAGAGGGACCGCAGAGGGTTGTCGCCTATTGAGGGACATACTGGCTCTTGGATTGAAGCCAAGGAGCAGCAAATTGAGAGACTTAACCAACTCTTTCAAGGGTCTCTAAAACTTTACAACCCCGAAGTTAGCGCTCGAGAGATCGAAGTGTCGGCATAGACTTAGTTCTTTTTTTTCTTTTTCTTTTCTTTCGAATTTTGTTTGTCTGAAGGATTAGAGGAGCTGCACCACTCGGACGCTGTAGTCTTGGAAACTGTGAAGTATTGTGTGACTTGATCAATTCAAGCCATTTGTCTCCCACCACCCTTACAGGATTAGCGTGTGATACTTGAGCGTTAGCGGCGCTCGGAGTGGAATCCTGCAGTCATCCAGCATAAAATAGAACTCATGGAGAAGACTTCCGTAAACGTAGATAGCGAAACATTTTTACTCCCTATGAAGTTCATCATACTATGTTATCCAAGACAGATCTTTTGGAGTCCTCTTGCAACAATACATCAAACCTTCACCGCATTAATATCAACCTGTGCCACTTGTGCAAAGAGTCACCCGGGATTACGGGAAAGTGAGGATCGACATGGGCCATGGCCTCGCGGGGTCGTGTGGGGGCCGATTCCAAGGTTTACCGCGCGCCAGATTGATGGCCGTCTATAGTAGTTTTTACATTGCCCATATGTAACTTGGTAGGTATTTCTTCGTCCACGGGTGCCCAACAATAACCTTGGAGCAACAAGCACATCGAGAAAAATGTCTGATGGTCCCTTACATAGTAATTGCTGTAATGAACTTCAAATCCAGATATACACAAATATAAGGTACAATGTAGTAGGTTAAACGTAAGAACAGAGTCTCCCGAAGCGATATGTTCACAGCTGGGAAGAACACGACCCATATCCAGTTGATAAAGACTGACGACTTGATTGAATGGGACTAGAGGACTCGGGTTGCGGGGCTTGTGCTCGTGTGAATATCGACCAATGATTTGTATCGTCCTGGGAAGGGGCGCGGCATTGCCAATTTTCATCGAGGCTGGCGGGGAATTTATCGCATTCACTCCAATGCCTAGTATAGAACATTGTTATTAGCGAGTTTATAATAAGATCTGGGGGTCTCCACTGACCTTGTCAGCATATCCGATCTTGTGAAGCGACGCCGACACCAATTACACGCGTGGTTGCGAATACCACGATGGACCTGGATCCTCATCAGCATTGACCTGCGGGAGAGCTCAGGTCTCTGTTTTCTCACATTATCCACATGCCTCCTAAGATCGGCATTTCTGCCAAATGATTTTTGGCATTCGTTGCAAGGAAATGATCGCTTAAAATTGGGATCATGCTTCTTCTCGTGCTCTGTGCAGTTGGATCGTCGTGTAAAATTGTATCCACAGATACGGCAAGTATAACCTTTGCCGGAGCGAGTTTTTTTCTTGGGAGTCTTCGAGGAATGCTCGACCAGAACCCGATCGGACGAGCCGTATTGAAGCTCGGATAGTCTTGACATTGAGTCAGATGAACCCCGTGAGAGGCTGTTTGCACTACCAGGCGTAATGAACTTCGGAGCGCAATATGTATGAGTGGCCGGCAAGCCTCCGAGCGGCATTGTCTCGGTATTTGTGACAGAGATTTCGGAAGAGAATTGCGCGCCCCATGTAGTTCCTGTCGGTTGACTGATTGGAGTTGGAGCAATGTCTAGTGGTGTTGTCGGTCCTGGACAGGGGGACGCCGCCCAATAAGCTGTCCTATTCCCGGGAAATGGTGGTTGTAGCAATCCAGCCTCGACAGGGGAGCTATAACTTGGGGATGCGCTCATAGCTCGGGGCTCGTAGTAGCTAAGCGGCGACGGAGTAGTTTCCGATAAACGAGCATAGACTTCACAGCAGGATGTTTCAGAGAATCCATCGGCTCTTTGTGACACACTGTACGTTTGGTCCATTGGCGCAAGGCTATCTGGCACGGGGCATCCCATTAAAAAGGCCGGATGATCAGAAAATCCCCTGTTATCAAATGGATTGTCTAGACCGCAGCCTGTGATGCCTAAACCTGTTGAGATCGGGAATCTTGATCTGCGAGATGGCGTCAGGGGAGCCGTTGACGAGAATGCGGATGTCGTTTCAAGGAGCTGAGCGTCTCCTGGCAGTAAAGGTACCATAGAAGTGCGATGAAGTAACTCTGTATCCTGGTCCATATTCCTTATCGGAATCAGCCTGCGAGCGATATCAAGCAACACCAAAGAGATAGGAATCAAGGTAAAATAAGCTCGAGAGGATTCCACCAATTCCAACTCTGTCCAAAATCAAATAAAGCAAGGTAGCGACAGTGCACTCAAATATAAATAAGAAGAGGTTCAACAGCCTAGCTGTTGGTCCCCAGTTGTAGCGCACATGAGACTGTGGCTGAGGAAGTGAAAAGAACTCAGCAGTGGAAATTAGTGACGCATCGACTCGACACCTACTCTAGATGAAGACCTGATGAGATGAAACCTGCACGGACAAGGCAGATTTCAATAAAGAGGGGTCTTTAAATGCGGTGGGAACAAGTGGAGAGAGAAAAAACCAACGACCGAGAGCGGAGAATCAGAGGAATTTGTCCAGAACAAGATGGACGGTAGCCCGAAGTCTGCAGGTCTGTAACCTTTAGCGCCGAGTAGAAGGCAGCCCTGGAGATTGTGACACAGTGCTTGCATTCCCAATAGTAGATCATTACTGCAGCCCATGATTTCTCCGAGAACCCATGTATGGTTTAGTATGCAAAGCCCTGGCCAAGGCGTAAAAATCAGGGAAAATGGCCACTTAAAATTAGTTCAGAGCTCAGAGAATTGACAAAAAAACAAACTTGCTGACTTTTTGTGAATAAACACAATATCAGCGGCTTCAAGCTAGACAGTCTTGGGAAAGGCTCACCATCCCTTTGACAACTGCTGGGCTTGATCTGCCCAACAGCGTCGCGTTAAAAAGAAGGAAAGAAAAAAAAATGCAGTTGTCCCATGCTGACCAGTGATAGTCTGGCAAAAGCATAGCAAGAGCCCGCCATTCTGGTAACGGGGCTTGGCCATGAAATGAAAAGGGTGAATGCTGGCCAATCATTTTCACAGCCGTGTCATTTAGGGTAGAATGTAAAAACAAAAATCTGAACGAAAAAATTATAATTCACTATAATGAATTTTTTTTGGAATGAGATAGAAAAAGAATATCATGATTCATCACTGATTCACCGATTCACCGTCGGCATAGCCTTCTTTCCTGAATAAGTGGAAATTCCGAGGAACATTTGAGGACAATACAGAACCAGTATAGTACTAATGGTATTTACAATTCGGACGGGGTATTTTTGTCCATGGACGTGTCATGTTTTCAAGAAAGTTTACGCTTACAGTGACCGGACATAAGCTTTTAACTCCCCCTAAAGGAGTCCGCCTTTCCCACCGCTTTTAGTAAATAATCAAAGTGGGTGTTCCAACCTTTATATAAGGGTTGCCAATACATTAGAGCCTACTACATATGGGAGACTGAGTAGGATGAATTACATAACATCATGATTTAGAGTTATTGTAAGCCCTGTTATCTAGTGGTGGATAGAAAAACACCAGACAATTTTTGACCGGCAGAATATTATTGTATAATCAAGGGTGTTTAAACTTATATTTATGCCCTGCCACTCAGTGGTATACTACCAGGTATTACCATTAGGAAATTTCAACACTGTTACATCGCATTACGACTGGGATTCAAAGGGATTTTTTCACAGGGGCAGAGGAAAATAAACTCCTCAAATGAAAAAAAAAACCTTGGAAGAAACCTGGTACCCAAAGGATACTTTCAAAAATGAATGAAACATTGGAAGAGAACGGTCGAAGCCTCTCTAGGATTGCACTTGGCTAAGTTGCTAACTAATTGGCAGAACAATTGGAAAGGGAACAAGAGGGAAGGGAAAAGAAGGCAAAGGAGGCCAGTAGCAACCTGCAGGAGGGGAAGCAAGGTATCATATGAGAAATCAGTAAAAATGTGCCAGTGATGACAGTAAAGGCACAGCAAGGGAAGGCGTTCTTCAGCAGAGCATCTCTAGGAATTGGGATGATATGCTCCTACAGTCCTACTCCACCTGGGTCACCGCGGGGACATGCTTCTCGCCAACGGATTCCGTCTGCAGATCCGCTAGCTTGTCTGACTGGATTCTGCCCTGCTCCAGCTGACGAACGTGCTGGAACTGAACGCTGGTCTTCCAAGGCCGCATTCCCGGGGTGGTAAACATACTCTCCACTTCTTCCAAGGTTTTTCCCGCGGTCTCGGGGAAGCAGAAGTACACATGAACGGTCATCGCGAAGCAGAAGACTCCGAATACAAGGTAGACCTTCCATTTGATGTTCTCAAAGGCTGGAGGGACGAAGTAAGACAGTGCAAAGTTGAAGATCCAGTTTGAGGCTGTCGTGAGGGCTACAGCCTTACCACGCAAGCGCAATGGGAATAGCTCCGGTGGGTAGATCCAGCTGACGGGACCCCAGGTGGGCGCGTAACTAGCAACAAACAAGTAGGTACAGGCGATGACACCCTTGGCTGCTCCCGGTGCGGCAGATAGATCCCAGGACTCCTCGGCAACATTTCCCAGCCCACCTGGAGGTGCAGGCTTTCCATATGACTTCATAATCCCGCCATTGGCAAACATAAATATCATCATCAGGGTAGAGCCAACCAAAAGGGGGGTGCGACGACCCCAGCGGTCGATGAAAAGCAAAGCGAATATGGTCATGACGACGTTGATCACGTACTGAATGGAGGAGGCGACCAGGTTGGCGTTGCCGGAGAGCCCAGCCATACCGAAGACGTAGGTGATGTAGAGCATCATTACGTTCATACCTGTCAACTGAGACCAGATTTGGGTGAACATGCCGATGTGGGTGCGGTAGATCATGTGGCCCTTGAACAGTTCCGTGTACGAAGCATCAACGTTCTGGCGCTCAAACTCAACCATCTCACGAATCTCTTGCAGCTCGGTCAGGACGAATGGGGAATTCGTGTCACCTTTAGCATGGACCAATGCTAACACCTCGTGGGCTTCCTCCCAACGGTCATGCTTGGCAAGCCAACGGGGGCTTTCGGGGAGCAGGAAAAACATGAAGAACAAGAAAACGGCGGGAACCATCTGGAGACCCCAGGGGAGTCGCCAGGCAGCGGGGCCGTCTAAGAAACTGCTGCCATAGGATATGTAGAACATTATCAGAATACCCCAAGTGATGGCCCATTGTTGGGCTCCCACGACCTGACCACGCTTACTGGGCTGGGCCAGTTCGGCGACATAGACGGGGACCTGGGCGCTAAGGATACCCACAGATAACCCGTTGATAAAACGACCAGCGACAAGTTGACCGATGCTGAAGGAGGCACAGACGATGGCACTTCCAATACACCAGATGAGAGAGCCGCTCTGAATGGCCCGCTTGCGACCCAAGTAATCGGTAATGAACCCCGAGATCAAAGCGCCGACAAAAGAACCACCGGGCATGGCTGCGGAGATGCCACCTTGGGTGGAGGCAGTTGGACCACCACAATCCCCATCACTATTGAAACCGGTTTGATTGAAGAAGCATTTGTACTGTTGGGTGCCGAGGCTATAGATTTGAAAAGGTTGACAAGGGATCAGTGGATATGGTCTTCAACCTGAGGGGGGGATTTTCTGAGGTTTTTTTTTTCTTTTCCAAATTTCAAATGACTTACATAGCAGACATAGAAGCAATATCAAAACCAAACAGTGCACCGCCAATGACGGCCACCGCGGTAATGACGTAGATATTTCCAACCAGGTACCCCATGATGGGCAAATAAAAGGGGAGAAAGGTGATGCCCCAGTAGGTTATCGAGATTGAAAAAAAAGCTTTGGCACAGTAAAAGAGGTGGAAAAGAGGGGGGAGCCTTCAGTGGTTGAAAGTAGAGGGAAAGGAGGGGAAAAGGAGATGAGTGGAAAAGGTAGAAAGGTGAAAAGTAGAAAGAGGGAAGGAACGTGAAGATATACAAAGAAAAGTCAGATACATAGAAATGCGGGGGAAATTTCCAGGGTCCAATGCTAAAAAATAAATCATAACCAGAATAATAACCAGAATAATACTAATCTAATACTAATCAAATTAAAATAAATAGATAAATAAATACATTTCAAACCTTTTTTCTGGGGCGTTTACTAGGCGTTTACTAGGCGTTTTCTGGGCGTTTTCTGGGCTGATTCGTCAAACTCTCCTTTCAATGTTTCTTATATTCCAGTTCTATTCGAATCTTCTTTCCGAAGTAAATCATTTACCTTGTTGGATCTAGCGCATGCAACTTCATGGCCAATTCTCAACGCCACATGGTTTCATTCAATCCTACCTTATCCTCTCTCTGGATATGAACCTGGTGCCATGGATGAGGAGATTTCGAGTTTTTGGTTGCTTTTCGTTTGTTTGACTTCCTTTTGAAGCTTGGGTCTGGTACTGACTACTTTTCTCTCCAGCACTCCAGAATAAAATAGCAATCTTCAAAGCTTCAAATTTTCCCCTCAAAATACGATCCACCCCCGCATTTTCCAGCTTTGGTTCGCCCCGGAGTTGACCTCTTGGCATTCAAAGATGGTTTGCATTTGCTTGATTCCTTCTTTATGGCTTCTTTTTTTTTTGTCTTCTTTCCTTCCGATCCTACGCGGGAGGGGCTTGGACCATCTGAAACCCCCGGGTTGCCAAGCCCGCTGGAATCTGAATTCTTGCTTGGATTGCCGCTTGGCTCGCTGCCTTCTCTCTTTTGGTTGGAGAATATGCCGACCCGTTTACTCGGCGCCCCCCGAATCCGTATAGGATCTACAAGAAAGAGAGTTTCGCCCACAACCCTTTCCCAGCCTCCCGTGCCACTGGTGACCGCATGGATCTCATGTGGTACGACCCGAGCTGCGACCTACATAGCACGAGATGAGGGATGACAGGTCGCAGGATCTCTCTGAAAGGAAGGCTCTGAGCGCCACCAATTTTTTCCCATGCTTCAGTAGCACTGACCTGCAGCTCATCAATTTACCTCTCCAGAATGTCTCCAGTGGGCATCATTTACTCATCATCCTTCTTTTGCTGAAGGAGGCAGGCGAATAGGCTGCTTTTTTTGTGTGAGAAACGGTAGGCTCAGATATTCCCCGGTCTCATTCATGGAATCAATGCGCATCTCTCGAAGCAATGGGGACGCTCAGGGTGCAAGCTGACTGCGACAATCGCAGCACCTCCGTCTATCCCGTCTAGTGCCAATCAGAGCTACTAACGTGGTTCGGTCCAGAAATGGATTCGGGTCAGGCCGACATCCTCAGGTCTGAGTGTACCACGCCGAGGTGCCAACCCCTTAGGGTCTTCTGTTCCCTTTCTTTAATGTTTCCCGTTTGGTCCATTACAACGTGGATTCAGCCTGTAAGACTGGCGTTTTAGCACACCAAACAGAACAAACATACTCCAAGCAACCGATAGTTAACTACTAGCTACTAGTTAGTAGTTAGTTATCTCTTGCGATTCACTACTCTGCTTACCCATCGCAATATTTTATGACTGGTCAATATTACCAGGTTATCCCTGCAAGATGTTGCCTGTCCGGATCCCCGTGGCCGATGACCGACTAAAATAAGCAGAAAGCTACTAGCTTCGGTACGGAAATTATAGTTAGTAGACTACAGAGTAGTTGATAATCGGCTGGATGAAAGAATTGCCTCGCCTGAACAATTTCCTGCTTCAGTACAGGGGAAGCTAGGTACTGTTAGCGAAAGAACCAACCTTAGAAAGCGGCAATTCACGGATAGCTTAGAGTTTTCAAGGTTTTGAGAACGGGCAATCATGACGATAGTTGATAGCCTCACAGGGTTGATTTTGATGGTCGGCTGCTCAAGCGCTTAGTTCAATGTTGGACCGTATTAATAACCATGGGTATCAGCCTTGTGAAACCAAGTACATTTTCGAAGCTACTAGCACTAGTAACGACCAAACGATCGGTGCTAGTAGTACATACCGATCCGAACCCCATTCTGGTAAACATGGACTGATTTTCATAGCCTTGCTAGCTCCCTAGATTCAAAAGAAATATGGCACTTTCGATCATTCAATAATCCATCAGATTTCCTGTGCAGACCCAAGCCGCTCAAAGCCCACATACGACTGGTGCATTTTCATGGCTTCACAAAATATGCGTAGATATCATTTGAAGCATTGATCTCTCCAGCACCAATGACTATTCGGTAGACTTGATTACATTTTCCTGGCACGTCAAACAACTGAAGGGTTGCAGCGCCCTTGGATCCATTCCAGCTTATTTGGGCACCTCGAGGAATGAAAATAGTTTGACATTGGGTTTGAGGCAGGGTTCCAGTGTGGATTTGTCCAGAGCTTGTTCGAAGCTCCCAGGCCGAAGAAGTGACCTGAGTGATACTGGCAACGAGATAGGACGAGAGTAGAGAAAACTTCATGCTCACTGTGCGTATCATACATCAATTAGTCTAGCGTGTTTTATGATTTCTTCCGTTCAAAGGGGAAAAGCCTCACTGACCCGCCCTAGAAAATCTGAATGTCTAGTAGTGTGGCTCAATACTCTTCAGTTTGAAGTGCGAAAATGTTTGAATGTCTAGTAGTATCCCTGTATGATATAGCAAGGTCCTCCAGGGGTGCTGTCAGGTGTTCCCGTATTTTCAATGATCATGATGTCATTACACTGGCATTATACATTGGAATCAAGGATTTTAATAATTACTAGTATGCCTAGTTCAAGTATAATACCCCTAGAGAATTCTGGACCATAAGCACATCATGATAGCTATCAGTATCTCAGATGCCAGTGGTGACCCAATGATTGATGCATTGGTACAGCTTCATACTGCGGCCCTGCGGATGAACCAAGCTCAAGCTCTACTGACAGTGTAACCTGTTACGGCGAATGAATATTTTACCGATGTGATGTTTTTGATCATCCAACTAATCATTGACGAAATCCGGACGCCTTGTTTGTAATTGATTTGATTTCGGTGGTATGGCTTAGTTAAAGCAACCATTCACATGTTTCACAAAAGGTTCAAGTGACTACTAATACCCGCGTGTACAACGTAGCTTGTAAGCTCTAGCTTTACCTTATATAATATTAATATCCCAAACTGACATTAACTAGCATCATTGGTCTAGTGGTAGAATTCGTCGTTGCCATCGACGAGGCCCGTGTTCGATTCACGGATGATGCATTCTTTTTTTGTTTCCTCTTCTTTGTGCCCAGGTGGAGATTCTGGTTACGGCCCCACTCCGTAACTATTGAAGGTCCCAATGTCGATGAGACATTTGGATGGAGAAGTACGGCATTTTCAACCCTAGATACATACTAGTACCTACTAGTAATCACTTGGGCAGCTTAACAAATTTTGTAGATACCTACATGTAGGAATTTCTTAACATTTGAAATCAATTCAACATATGCATTGGAATTGAATGTTAACCGGTCAACTGGTAAAATACCTTGTACTGGCACCAGGCTGCCATTGAGGGTGCTGAATCAAACATATACACACAGGGCTGTGCATGTCATGCGGACAGCCCTAAAGGTAACATTGAATTTTCATTCTGAGGAGCCAGATGGTGAAGGGTTTTGACTCTTCCATGCGATGTGCTTCCGGTATATGTCACGACGAAAGGTTTGTTTTAGAGAGGCTAGTGTTTCACCATCAACCGGCAGCGCAGCCTGAATAGCACATATCCCACAAAGATCGTTTTGGCGATCAATGAACCACGAGAGTGTCAGACCGCCACCCCAAGTGAGTGTGTGCTTACCGTACCAGCCATCAACATCCTCAAGAGTCAGCAAACCACCTAGGCCATGGCCAACTTTCATTCCGGGGTCGGTCCCCACGCGAAAAAAGGGCCCTGCTGGGCTGTCTAAAGCGATTTTGTGACTGGCCATTGCTGGAGAACTGAGATGGTTCTGAAACATGCTCTCTACAGTAACAGTTTTGAGAAGCTTCCCATCATTGGCCAGCAATGATTGCAAAACCTTCACGAAGTCGGTGCCCGGCAGGAAATAGCCATGTCCGCCAAAATCTCCGATCGTACGCTTATTCATGTCACCACCACCACCGAGCACAGCACGACCAAGGGCATCGGGATCACTGGGGTTCAAATCAATCAAGCGGGCGCGTAGATTTTCCCGTGTAACCGGGTAAAATTGACCGTCAGTGATTCCCAGTGGGTCGAAAATCCTTTTCTGCATGCGTTCTCCCAATGTACAACCCGTCACTCGCTCTACTATACGACCAGCCCAATCCAGCCCAGGGCCATACATCCACCCATCACCAGGCTGAAAAATGAGTGGATAACAGAACAGTTCCTCAACCGTTCGACGGTCGGTTTCGGAACCAGCGAATTGTCCCCGCCACCGGGCGATGAGTGGACTCAAGAAATGATAAGCCAGGCCCGAGCTATGAGTGAGAAGCATTTTCATGGTAATCGGCCGGCAGGCAGATTCAAGCAATGGCCTTTCCCCATCTTCAGTGAAGCCATTCAGGACCTGCTTAACAGCCAAGTCAGGCGCAGCAGATGAAAGATCCTGGTCAAGAGACAAGAGCCCGTCATCAACGCATTGAAGTGCTGAGATGGTGGCAAGTAACTTGGTTGCTGACGCCAAAAAAAGCACATCATCGAGTTTTTGTGGTTGCGTCTCGCCCGACAAAAGAGTACGCGTGCCAAATGATTCGTTGAAGACAAAAGACCCGTCAGAGTTGATTGCACAAATGACAGCACCATGAATTTTGCCGTTTTTGATGGCGCCATGGAGGCTAGTTTCAATATCATCATTCATAATGTCGGGTATGGGTCCAATGTAAGAAATTCATTCAAATGTTGGAAAGGTTGGAGAGCTTGAAAACTCGGGTGGCGGTATATCTAACGAGTAAATTCACGGCCTGCACAAGAAAAAATTGTAGTAATAAGCTTGAGGCTCAACTTGAGATTGACAGTGCAAAAATTGGGTGTTGGGGCAATTACCTACTACATATAGGTATTGAAACTTGGGGGTTTGGGTAGAGGGGCGATGGCAGCCTTGGAATTTCACAGAAATCCGCCCGTGCGGAGTTAGGAATAGCAGTAACGGCCGAACTCCGTCTATTGTGATTTCCAAGATTGGCTCGGGGTTGGGTAAATATCCTGGTATAAACTTCTGTCAGCAGCTACATATTGTGCCGCTGCTCAATGGAAAACGGAAAACGGAGATAGAAGCAACCAGTCTGTATTGCCAGCTATGGACAATCTCTCTCAGGGGGAATGGAGAGAAGAGGAAAGGGGAAAGGGAGGAAGCAAGTACTGGATAGTATCTAGAGGGGGTCACCTGACCAATCTCTGACAACTTTTCGCTCGGTACTAGTAGTGTATGTTCCTTAAATCCTAACAAATGTCAACTTAGAACGTGCCGCGTGCGGACCAGCCAGCGAACATTGCAGATAACTGCACTGCATAGTATGGATCCACCTATTGCTGACACTCCTGATATACCCGTATCTGCAATCTTGATTCACTTTCGGCGGATTCCAATGGGACAATGTTTGCCTTTTGAAAATCTAAATCTGACCTTGAATGAACCATTTACAGTTTGCACTTTCCTTTTTCCCTCGTCTTCTATCTACGGATTCGATGAGTCTACGGCATACTGGGGTCATGTGACTCTCCAGCCTAACTTAGTAACGACAAGACCACGTGCTCTCGGCAATACCGAAACCGGCAATCAGCAAAACAAAAACTGGAAGCTTCAGGAAATGTCATCCCTATCCCGGGATTGCATGATGTCAAGGGGGATGATTGTTCGACTGTTTGAACTCAAGATTCCCGGTGGATCTTTCTTTTCTTTTTCTTCTTTATAACCCGCACGGAGTAAGCCGAGGGAGGCAAATTTTCTCGGCTACGCTAACCCCAGAATGTACTCGCTCCAGAGTCCCCTGGGTCGAGAGTCGAGACCAAGGCACAATGGCCGTTGGGCTGATTCCTATGACCCTATGACGGCATCCGTGTAGTTCTAGGTCTTCTGGGTCTTCTGGAACTCTCGACTCTTCGCTTTTTTTCAAGTTCCTGATTTCTCTCCAGATAACCCTATTTGGGTTCTTCTTTAACTCATTCTTGTCATCTGTTTTCTACCTTTGTATTGTTAAACCTTGTCTCCCTGATTCTCTTTACTCTTCCTGCTGGCGGTCCTGGCTGAATGACATACAGCACGATGAGCGCCCAGCAGGACGATCGTGATGTCGGCGATTTACGCGCCCGGGAGATGTTCCATTATTTTCAGCCCGACAATCCGGCCTTGATGCCGACCGGCCAGCATCCGACTCGATCTTGCGAATATCCCGCGACTGAAAAATCAAGCCCAAACCTGGTCTTGACAGCTCTAGCACAGTTGGCTGCCATAAAGCTGGGGGTTCAGCGCACGGTCATTAGGTACGATTGTTCTGTCGTCATGCCACCTGGAGGGTTATACATATATCAAATGCACCGCCCATCTCCCAGCGTCAAAGTTCATCTCGTTCTTGAAGTTCCCCTGAAATCACCCAGTCAAATTATTCATTGTACTTTCTTTATAGCGCAAATTTCGAAACCTGGAAGTCTATACTCAAGAATTTTGCTTACCCAGTGATAACCGTCCAGTCTGATAGATCGGGAAACTCTTTATGTGGTGGCAGAAGCGTCACGGTCGCTGAATCTGGCAAACAATGACCAACATGACGGCAATGGCGATGGACTTTGGATGGGTTGTTCACGAGGACCCGTCGCCGGAACCTTGTGTGAGGTATAAACTTGCGATTTCAATGATACTCGGATAATTGGCACTGACTTTATTTGCTTGCAGGAAACCATCACATTAAAACCCTCGGACGGGAACCATGCATTCTTCATAGTGGAGGACCTCACGCAACACCCGACCTTTTCCAACCTACCCTGCGTCGCAAAAGACCCACATTTCCGTTATTACGCCGGCACACCACTGAAGACCGGAAATGGCATCAATATTGGGAGTCTGTATGTGATTGATCCTCGCCCAGATCACCGTTTGAGCGAATCCCACAAAGAAACACTTGGAAATATCGCGGATGCGGTGATGGAGTATCTGGAGACATCTCGCCAGTCATTAGAGGCCAATCGCTTGACGAAACTATTGGCTGGGTTGAATACTTTTGTGCAAGGTGCTGCTGCTTCCGATACACCACGCGACTCAACAAAGCACAACCTTGGTCGACCGGACTCTCAAACATCACCCGTTCCACATACCCAGCAAACCCCTTGCACCGAGCCCGAGGAATATATGTTCGAAGATAAAAGCACAAGTCCAACCTCATTTTTATCAGTGGACTCGAAGGGTCACGATTCTGCTGATGGTGTACCCCCTGGAATCATGCCATCCACAACGCGGAAACGTTCAGCCCGGTCTAAGATAGGAGCCCCCGCGGATCACAGCGATAACAGATCACAGCGGACATTTCAGTCTGCTGCCAATATCATGCGAGAAAGTTTGAATCTGGGCTCGAGCGGTGGTGTAGTCATAGTTGGCACTGGCGAAGATACTGACCATGACACCTCCGACAATTCAGATGGAGAAAGAGACAAAAAACTGGCGAAGCTATGGGCGGTGTCGGACACCGATCACCAGCGGCATGAAACCAACGAAGAAATCGATTCATACCACACCCCACGAATGGAATCAAGTTTTGTTCGTCGCATGATAAGGCAACACCCGCGCGGTGGTTTATGGTATCTGCATTATCATGGAGTAGCATCTTCATCAGATGAAGATGGAAGCGGGTCAGGGAGCATGAAGGATGTTCAAAAAGACACTCAACCACCTCTATCAGTGCATCCCGAGTCACTCAGATCATTACGCGAAAAAGATCTACAGTCCATGAAGAAGTGTTTTCCCAACGCGACAAGAATTATCTTTGCCCCCCTTTGGGACTCTTTAAACTCACGATGGTTTGGCGGCGTTTTCTGTTGGAGTCGAGCTGAGACTCGAGTATTCAGTGCACATGTTGATCTTGGTGGGCTATTTGGGTTTGGCTCATCCATGATGGTTGAGCATAGTCGGATTCGAAGTGAAGAGTCGGCCAAACAAAAGGGTGATTTCATCAGCACCATATCGTGAGTACTACTGGCCCTCCATTCTTATCTCTGCATTGGGAATCTCTGACCCAAAGCCTTTTAATTCCAAAGACATGAATTAAGAAGCCCACTTCACGGCATATTGGCATCCAACGAGCTACTCTCTGAGCACGTGAATTCGGAATTTGCGAAACGACTCCTTGATACCATCCGTGCCTGTGGTCAAACCCTCCTTGAAACATTCGACCAGATCTTGGATTTCACCAAAATAAATACATTTGAAAGAGAGCCATCCAAATCTTGCTCGCCCCTTCGACGTCTTCAACGCGATCGGTCGCAGTCACTTAATATCGTGAAGCTGGTTGATGTAGTTTCAGTTGTTGAAGAAGCGGTGGAAAGCGTGTGCTCCGGACAGGCCCTATCCAGTATCATGAATGGAGGCAGTGCCTCTAATCGACTGTGGCAACTGGATCCAATAGATGACACCGTGAGAAAATCGAAATCTACAGACGGCGAACATGTGGACGTATTTCTCGATGCCGCGCCTCAGAACTGGCTCTATGTTTTGGAGCCAGGTGCTTTGAGGCGAGTCGTTATGAATGTTTTCGGAAATGCATTGAAGTACACCGGGTCCGGGTCTGTTTCTCTTCAAATTGAGACTCAGATGTCAAAGAATGAGTTGCCAGTCCTCCTGATCACGGTATCCGATACCGGTCGAGGCATTTCAAATGACTACCTTCGATCCAACCTTTTTACTCCATTCTCTCAGGAGAATCCTATGTCGCCGGGTGCGGGCCTTGGCCTCTCTCTTGTTCGAGGTATACTTCGATCGATGGGCGGAAATATTGCGATCAAAAGTCAATTGGGCGTAGGTACCGTGGTGAAGATAACTTTCCCTCTTACATACTCTCAACAGCACCGGCTGCCCGAAATTCAATCATCTTGTCTGGGCTTGGCGTCGCCCTCTTTGACATGCATCGACCATATTACCACCAAACTTGATGGACGCAGGGCTTTCTTTTACCCGCCGCATAATTTTAATTCCAACAGCCCCTCATCAAGTTATATGATCAAAAAGTATATGACTGAATGGTTCGGCATGAAGAATGGAAACCAAGGCATTCCTAATGCATCCGATTTGGTGGTCATTGGTGAGCGTCATTTGAATCAATTGCCGATTGCATATCGCCAATCTGTACTTTTGATCGTCTCTCACCGAGGCCCTAGCCTATGGTCAACAGTCACTTCGGCAAAAAACCAACTGGGCAACTCAATATGGTTGACTCTTCCATGTGGGCCTCACCAATTAGCCAGGACATTATTAGGCTCCCTTCAAAGCCTGCAGTTGAGCGACGTCCATTTATCAGATAGCACACCACGCCGTGTTTGGAGTGACAACGCTTTGAACTCAACATCAACTGATCTACAGATTTTACCGGCTCCCCTTATAGGTCACGAAATACGGCCTGGACCAACCAATCTGTCCCAACCGGCCATGTCTATTTCAAATCATGAAATCACGAAGCCCACTATTGTGGAATTTGAATTGCCAGTTCACATTGAGAAAGGTCTCCACGAAACTCATAGCCTCTCGCTGTCTGAAACAAAAAATGACCCACGGGTCCTCTTAGTTGAGGACAATGCCATAAACCTCGCACTCCTCAAAAAATTCATATCAAAGACACGGACGCAAGTCCTGCACAGCGCTATTAACGGTGCAGAAGCTGTCGAGCTGGTGCAAAAAATGCCACACGGGTATGATTATATCTTCATGGGTAAGTGGTTTGCTTTTTGAAACACATAATTTTGGATGTTTTTCGTCAGAGACTAATGAACAAATGCGCGATAGACATGTCTATGCCTGTGATGGATGGGTTTGAGGCAAGCAGAGAGATTCGGTCAATAGAAGCAAAACGACAGACGGTGTCCCCAGCATGTATAATCGCCCTGACTGGTTTAGGATCGGAAGAGCATATCGCAAAAGCCTATGCTGTGGGATGTAATATCTTTCTCCGAAAGCCGGCGTCCCTCAAAGATATAATGGCAGCGCTGAGCAAGTGATAGATTTAATTTGTAGCCAGCAATGAATCAATATATGTATAAGAAGGTCCGTTTCCCCTTTACTTCCAGTGGCTTAAAACATCAACAGGTACCCAGACTTTTAATTTGCTTTAGAAAGGCATTCAATATTTGCAGACGAAAATGTTGATTTGCGAATTTTTGCCACGTTCACTGGACCAGAATGACACTAAATTGTAGGGAGCTGTTTGCATGTTTGAAAAAGAACTCTGAAAATCAGGTCATGGATTTGAAATTAAGAGAGAAAGGATGAGCGCTGAAACTATTTTGCAAACTCGAAAAGTGCAAATCAAACAAAACTTCATCTACATCGAGTATGATCCATCATACCAGTTATTTAATGCAGGCTCATCACCTGACTAGTCCTAACTAGGACTAGTGCAGTTACCACAGCACCCCACACTCTTGTATCAGTTCCATGTTCCACTCTTCACTCACAGACAACTTCAGTGACTTTGCTGGTGCCAGACCAACCAGATCCAATGTACTGATCCGACCCGATGCACGAACAAATTTACCGATCCAATAATGAAGAATTTGAAATAAAAGTTCTTCAATCTGTCGAGGTACCTAGTAGGTATCAAAGAACAGAGCCTTGAGGCTTTGCGGGCAGCTCAGCACACGATTGCAGCTCTTCCAGCAAAACTTTCAACTCTTTCTTCAAAGTTTCTCGAAAACTCGTTCCACATTCGGCATATAATATTGAAAGTAGCGTATAGAATTTCATGGCATAGACAGCATTTCTACTATCGAATTCCCCCGCGGGCTCGGAGAAAGGAACATGCTTGCGGTACTCGCGGATGCATGGCTTCCCTAGCTTATACCTCGGATTTCGACATATGGCCAAGTCGGCTGGAAAAATTTAGAGGGCGAAAGTTAGAACGCGATCGCAAGGATGGATTGCACATTGGAAATTACCCTCATTATGACCCCAATAGGCGCAGGCATCGAACATGCACAGCTCGCCCGAAGAGGTCCTCGGCTTGATGTTGCCAGGCCATAAGTCCGAGTGAATCAAGCATGGCTCAACTGATCGTCCTTCACTCTCAAGTGGTCCCAGGTATCTCGGAATTGCTTTGTTGATAAATGCCAATTTGAGGGCCTCCAACTCGTGGTCTGGCCCGTAAACGTGCTCTTCAATTTCAAACATACTCTTCATCTGCTGCGCCCAGAATGCACTCCAGCTGGAGTTCCAAGTGTTATTTATGGGTATGTTAGCCAGATGTGTAGGGACATGGAACCCGAACTGCTTGGTTGGCGATTTACCCATACTATTAATATGAAGGTCTGACACGGCGGCTGCCCAATCCTGCGGGCTGGGGACCTGATCGTTCATCTCCACAAACTGGCAAAGATAAAAATGTGTATCTGGACGACTAGCATATTTTCGGTATGCGACGGGCTTTGGCACGCGATTTGAAAGGAAGGTGTAGAGAGCTTGCTCTGCTTCCATTGTACCCTTTACCATACCTTCTCCAGCTTTTCCCGTTGCTCCCTACATGTGTAGTAAAATTTAGACATGATCGGAGAGAAAGAATATGATATATGGACCTTTTTGAAGTATTCAACAATCTGACCGCCATATAGTTGGACTGTTATCTTGACAGTAGCCACCCATTGACTTTTCCCTGCTGGGGTTACCGAAAGGATCAAGCTGTCTGGTGGAAGCTCTGGGATGACCTCGAGATCAGTGACCATAACTAAAGATTCCCTGTATGAGTTGAAATTGGGAGTGTGTCAGTAAATGAATCATACTGGCCATCACAGCCTCATCGAGCTGCACGTTGTTACCCATTGGATCGACCTGTTCAGGCTCCCTTTTCGGCATGATGAGAAAGGTGTGTGTGGATAAAGGGCTAAGATTATCAATAGTGAAATGTGTAGCTGCAGGCGTTATGAGAAAAATTTCGTCTGTTTCTCGCAGGTCAGCGGTTTTAGTATCTCGATTCTCTACTGCTGCAATCTTACGGTCGACGCTTGGAGCTTTTCAGAAGCGGGGAAAGAGGCCCGTGCACACAACGCGGCCCGGCCCGCCGGAGTATCTAGCTCAGGCCGATATTGAACTGTGCTCGAACTGTAGAGATGGAATATAATGAACTGTAGATGGAATGAATGAATCTAGGTTACAGTTGATTGGAATAAGGGATGCTTCCTTGCGGCAAGTTCGGGAAAGTGGGTCAGAGAAGAACAAGAAGGGGCAATTCAACCCGGGTTCACCGCTTCCCCAATCCGGTCGCCACAAAGGGTGTGCTCGAATTCGATTGCGCTCAAGAATTCCACTTTCTTAACCCGCCAACTTGGCGCACTAGAGCTGATGTTGTCAAGATAGTTTCAAAGACTCCAGTACCTTTTGGGCGAGGCGAACAGTAATAATATTCCATGGGTTTTTAGAATTGGAGGAAAAGGTCATGTTTTGAAAATATCCAAATATTGAAACGGCGTCGTACTAGCGGTTCCAAGGTTAACAAGTTTAGAATAGAAAAACTTAAATTCAGACTTTCAAAAAGTGGTGCACTTCGAGATTTTGACTAGTACATGCCCCAAGCGGGTATTCAACAAACCGTCGAAGATTTCCAACGTTGAAGGTTTGTGTAGACCTCTCGCGAGGTTTTTAGTATTTACTAGCCAGGGAGGCCGTTTTTTGTATTTTTCAGTAACTGTAAATGTCATAATTCTCATCACACCCATTGAGAAATTTAAAATACTTCGATTTCTCGGATACAGAAAATTGTGATTCTCCGTGTGATAAAACGCCTATGCTATTACTCGCTGGGCGGTTAAATTCATCACCTGACCTGTGAGGCTCATGGCCTTTCACAAATTTATCTGTGGGGCTCCCCCAGCTTTTCTTCTGTCAATCGCTCTGGACTGGCTGATCATGAAAACAAACCTGATCGTGGCTGTCTATTCCGTGAGAACCAAGACAAGAATTCTTTTACTTGACCCTTCCCCACCGCCACATGGCTTCATTCATGATGACCCCAGTGCGGCTTCAATCGGCACATCAATCCGGCGATGCTATCGTCCCAGAAGTTGATCCTTCTCGACAGCCAGCAGATAAAACAGTGCATAGTGTCACTGATGTAGAGACGAAAACCGAAACAGACCCTCCATTTTCAATATATAGCCCTTCCGAGAAGAAGTGGATTAGCTCCGTCGCCTCATTTGGTGCCATGTTCTCGACAGTCAGCAGCTATATCTATTTCCCGGCACTGGTGCCAATAGCCGCTGAACTTCGTGTGTCTCTCACCATGATAAATCTTACCGTGACATCATACCTGGTTGTCGCTGGCATTGCCCCGGCTTTCATGGGAGACATTGCCGATCAGGGGGGACGAAGGCCCGCCTATATTTTAATGTTTACTTTGGTATTTGGATCTAATATTGGGTTGGCATTGCAAAAGTCGTATCCTGCACTTTTGGCCCTTCGAATGATACAAAGTGCAGGCGCCTCAGGCAAGCCGTCTCATTTCTACCATCTTTGTGATGTCGCTGACCAACAGATTTGAGATCAAAGGCTCATATGGCGCAGCATATGGAATAATTGCCGACATTACCACGACTACCGAGCGAGGATCGTATGTTGGACTGTTGCTAGTATTGTAAGCGCATAGGTTCAACTCCCATATTGAAAGTCGTGCACGTCTGACAAAACGCAGCACTAACGCAGCTCCAAGTTTTGGCCCTGTTGTGGCTGGAGCACTGACCCAGAAGTTTGGCTGGAGATGGATTTTTTGGTTTCTCGTTATCATGACCGGTACCTACCTCATCCCGGTTATCCTGCTTCTTCCTGAGACTCAGAAGAAGCTCGTGGGAAACGGAAGTGTGCAAGCTAGAGGAATCCATAGAAGTGCATTTGACCTTTTCACCAGCAATCGCAAGATCAAGGGCGATCAAGGCGAACGACATGGAAAACGGAAACCCCACATCCCAAATCCTCTCAAGTCGATTTTGATGCTTCGCTCAAAGGAAAACCTAACTGTCATTATGATCGGATCTATCACATATTTAGTGAAGATGACTTTGCAAACATCACTGGCGGCTCAATGTACCGACATATATAATCTTGACTATCTCCAGGCCGGTTTGATTTATTTACCATCCGGTGTTGGCGGTGCTATCGCCTCTTACACAACAGGCAAGCAGGATACATATACTAACTCATTGCATTCAATGTTTTAAGCATTCAATGTTTGAACACTCACCTGCGTGTCCCACATATTAACTGATAACTAGGAAAGTTCCTGGACCGAAATATCGAATTGTTTGCTTCTCGGCATGGAAGAGGCGGTCAATACCGAAGAGGCGACGACATCTCTGATTTTCCCATCGAAGAGGCCCGCCTTGTCGGGATATACACACTGGTTATTACCAGCGCCCTGGGAACCGCCGGCTTCGGGATTAGTCTCATGAAGCAAACGGTAACGCCTCACTGAAAATTTCAGTGCTGTTACAAGATCGACAACTGACTTACCTGGTAGCATATTGCAGTTCCTCTCACTATGCAGTTTATAAGCGGAGCTACAACTTCCAGCATATTCACCGTGAGTTCCCCATCAAACTGCATTGCATACCTAACATTCATATTCTAGAGTCTTCAATGGGTTTCTGACTGGAACGCAGATTTGCGGAACTCTTCTAACGGATATAAATCCCAATGCCTCCGCTACCGTCCAGGCTTCTTATAATCTCGTGCGGTGTCTAGGAACTGCTGCGGCAATCGCCTCTCAAGAACCTTTGGCCAACGTTATCGGGCTAGGGTGGTGTTTTGGTTTCTTCGCTTTTTTAATGTTGTCTGCAGCTCCTTTGGCCATGATGCTAAAGAAATTGGGTGTAGATTGGAGAAGGAGCAACTTGGTCGGGTCCACAAACGGTGGTGTGTAAATTCATATTCTGCAAACAACTCAGGTGGCCCTCCATCTTCAGGAATTAACCTTCAGTCCAACTAAAATTGCAGCATATTAAATATTAACTACGAGAACAATTAGGCATAGGGGTAAGTGCAAATCTAGATCTCTACTCTGCAGAATATGATAGGCCTCAAATCTACAGTGCGTTCGAGAATCGCTCCGCAGAGGGGGGGGGGTTGTGGAAGACAGTGTTTCAGATGGAGGATTTTGGCCCAATCATGTTGTACCCTGGCTCAATTTGGAAGGTCAGTGCGGCCATCGCTAGACGGAGAGTGATTACCACGCTCTCTCACACTGCTTCTCACCCTCTCTATTTTGTACTCTCCCTTATGACCCTCGGTCGCACGACGCTAAAACAGCTCTCACCCTGGCGGCACCCACCGAACTAGTGGCTGCATTTAATCCACACGCCGGTCAGTTAGTAGTCTGGTGGGTGACCACATGTGAATCCTGACTGTTGTATGTTGTTTGTTTTTTGGAATTTGCCGGCTACCTTACCATCCAGATTTGTACAGGGTTGATTCTTGATTGTCTGGCTCTATCACTCTCAGCAAGACGTTTTTAGCTAGCCTCCAACCCTTTTCTGGGGGCTTTCATGACTGGAGAAATGCAGGTTGCCGGAATCGTGCGGAATGCATGAGTCATGAATGGATAAGAACGAAGCTATTCTTGCCATCAAAAAAGCAGAAGATTTTAAACACTAGAGTTTGATAATCGATTGCATACCATCTGTACATTTATGTGAAATGCACCAAGGCCATTCAAATACAGATTTCCAAACGATTATGATATCTCACAAGAAGAGTCCTTAACTTTGAAAGACGAAAGAAGAAACGTTTAAATATCAGAAATCTCCACATTAAATCTTGAATCTTCCAGATCAATGTCTACAAATGTGTACGCATCCCAATGTTGGTATTCTATAGTGCTATCAATGTATATATATTTCTACATATGTATGCTTCAAATGTTTGAAACTGGTTGATTTGAACTTGAAACCTCAAGCACTTTCGTCATGTATGTACTTAATAAATTCTCATCTATTGATGTATTCAAATGTTGATATGTGTGTTCAACATTGAAACAAATATTTGTCTCAAGTGCTTTTAACCTTGAAGGACAGTATGTCAACTATCTTCTCCAGATCAATCAATGTCTCCTCCTCTCCTCTGTCTAGGTGATGATATGACCATCACTCTATTCTGCCTTCTTCGAAGCCTTCGTTCTCAATTTCATCAACCCGAAAACCAGAGCATATCCACTAATCGCAAAAATGACCGAGATTCCGGCATCTCTCCATCCGAAGTAATAATCATTGACGTTCAAGGTGGATAGGAAGCCAGTGCCATCCGTATACTCACACACTTTGCAGCCGGAAATAGCGTCAGGATTGACCAGATTGACCCTCCAACCGTCACCGGCAATATAATCTGCCAAATACTGTGCACAGGTACCGTTTGTCGGATCAAAGACTGCAAACTCATCCTCGTTGCAGGTAACCTTGACATCCCAGAGACCGAATGTCAACATTCCGGAGACTACATAGTTGAATGGATTGAGGTAGTACATCCAGTACTTCCAGAAGACGTTGAGCTCGGTATATGGAACGAAAACACCGCAAAAGAGCACCAGGATACTGATGATCAGAGGGTTCACGAGCGCAGCGAATGTCGGATTTGGGGCATAAGCGGCAACACATTGGCCGATTCCAGTGTAAATGAATTCGTAAATCAGCATGATGAAGAAGGTCGCCCCACTTCGGTTCGAGTCGTGAGGCAGTCTCCAGACCGGCCAATACCAGCAGACAAAGTAGAGAACTGCACAAATGCAGAGGTAAGGAAACTCAGACACAATAAGGCCGGTAACAAATGCAACCCAAGAGTACATTTTGGACTTCTTCTCGCGGGCATCGTAGATATCACGACGTTGGATGAATAACGGCTGGAGTTGGTTGATGACTCCAGGAGCGACGAAGACAAAATTGAAGATTGTGAACATCTTCAAATTCAGATCCGTCACACTCGGGCCGGGACGCCAAAAGGAAAACCCGTTCAACAACGCAGAAATGATATGTAGGGAGAATTTGTTGTTGACGTAGTTCGTATTCCGGAAGAGCGCAATATTCATTCTTTGAGTCACAATCTTGATTTGTTCCCACATAGGCATCGAGAATTCAAAGCCATCAGAAACTGTTCCTGGCTCTTTACTTACTGCATCATCGATCATCCTATCCAGCTCAGTTATCATTTTATGCTGTTCTGGAGATTCAAGCCAAATATTATGCCAGTCCTTATCCTTCACAGCATCAATACCACCGGTAACCACATCGATCATGAATTCGGCTGGATTGGCTTCAACAGGACATTCTGCACCATACTTGCCAAAATACCGCTTGATGGTGGCCCCATTCTGTCCAATATCTCCGAAATAGACTGTTTTGCCTCCTCTTGCGAGAAGAAGAAGAGTATCGAACTGGGCAAAGAGCTGCGCGGATGGTTGATGAATAGTAACAAGCACAGCTTGTCCAATATCTGCAAGCTTTCTCAGGAAACGGACTGTATTATAGGCCGATTGGCCATCTAAACCAGATGTAGGTTCGTCCAAGAAGATAAGAATGCTAGGTTTCGAGACTAGCTCCACACCGATCGTCACACGCTTTCTTTGTTCAACACTGAGTCCATTGCCCACAGATCCAATAAGGGTGTCTGCAAGATCATGTAATTCTAGAAGGTCAATGATAGTCTCCACGTACTGGAGTTTATCTGCCTTCGGGGTATCACGGGACTGGCGTAGAAGAGCAGAGAACTGTAGAGCCTCTCTTACGGTCGCAAATGGCTCATGGACGTCCAGCTGCTCACAATAACCTGCCATGCGCTGGAAGGACACAGGTAAAGGTCTACCATCAACCAAAATTGAGCCTTTGATGGTACCATCTGTTTTCCGCTGGGCGAGGACGTCAAGTAGGGTCGTTTTGCCTGCTCCTGATGAGCCCATCAAGGCACCAAGCATTCCAGGCTTGACCCACCCATGGATATTATCCAACAGAACACGGTCTCCAGTGGGAGTTTTGACAGTATATGTGAGATTCTTCCACGTAAAAATCGACGTGTTGCGAACGAGATTGTCTTCGTTGACTTCGACGGGCTTATCGGTGGTGGTGCGGGGGACGGACTTCTCGTTAGCCTGAGACTCTTCATCTTTGTGAGCTTGATGCTTTTTCAGACTCTCACGAGGAATTAGGAGGGAAGATCCAGAGCCGGCACCACCTTTCCAAAGACATGTAAAGATGATGGTCAAGACTGCCAAAAAGCCCCACCAGGCCCAGAGAATACCGTAATTTCGCCACATTTGAGAGGCATGGTAATGAAGAGATCCAAGATATTGATCGCCAGTCACATAATCAGCGCCTGTGAGCGCGCCTCCAACACTAGCACAGGCTTTGTGTTCTGATCCGACATTCTCATAACCAGGCCCATTAGGAATCAGGTTTCGGCCAACACATTCAATATGCTGGTCGTGGAATTCGTTAGACATTGCTGCCTGGAAAGCGTACGCGAATGGATTTGTGTAATATAGCTCGACAAACCAATTCTTGATATTGGGCTTCGGGATCATATAGCCTGCATACATGACGATACCCTTGACTGCAGTTCCTGAGATTTTGGAGGCAGCCTCGAAGGTACTAAATGCGGCTCCGATACATCTGAATAAAGCAGTGATGCACTATTTGTCAATGATTAGTATCTATTAGTTGGAGAGGTAAGATAGGATGGAAAAGTACACATACCAAGGTTGTAGTGAAGAGAATAGCCCAGAAGGTAAAAAATGCAGCCGCAGTGTGCTTGAGTCCAACCATCCAATAAATCACGACAGAGAAGATTGAACACTGAAATAACAGCACAGGAAAATCCGCCGTGATTTGAGCCACACAAAAGGCAGCTGGGTGGTACATGGCGAATCCCTTGTGTTTAATGAGAATAGGACGCCCCTTGAAAGACTCGGTGACTTCAGACATGGCGACAATGCAGTTATACAATAGCGAGAAGAAGATGGCGCCGCCTTTGGTAAAAAGACCCGCAGACGTAGAAGGGGAGTTGTAGAAGCATGAGCCAGCAATCAAAGCCATTACGCATGACAGAATTTGCTTGATCAAGAAAGTCGATTTCTCACCCCACAGAATCTGGTACTGTCTTCGGGTGCAGGAGATGACCTGGGCCCAGAAACTGATAGTCGTATCACTACCATTGGATAGGTGTTTGGACTTTTCCCAGGCAACTGATTCCTTGAATGCTTCTGTACGTTGAGAAGCAATATCACTGTTGGGGTAGTCGTACAACAAGATTTCATCCTTATAAACTGCTGATTTCTTATATTCAGCCAAAATAGCATCAGCTGTTCGAGGGAATCTATTTTCCCAGCCAGGCTTAACTTTTCGCTCTGTTGGAACAGTTACACCAGTAAGGAAGTCACCTTAAAGTTCAGTTAGTACATTTTACAGAATACGAATATACCAGAAAGGGGCAAGCTCACCAATATTCGCTCCATCAGTATACATCAGACCTAGATTCTCCATAAAGGACTTTGCTTCTGATGCAGGACCGTAGTAGATCTGCTTTCCTTCATCAAGAACGAGCACTTTATCAAACAGGTTATAGATAGCATTTCCAGCTTGGTAGAGGGTAACAATGGTGGAAAGGCCCAGCACATCAGTCATAGCACGAAGGGCCTTGGCCCATTCTAATGCTGTACTAGCATCCAGACCGCGGGTGCTATTATCCCAAGAATAAACAGAGGCCTTTGTTGCGAGGCACTCAATAATCGAAACTCTTTTTCTTTCGCCTCCCGATACACCGCGGACAAACTCATTACCAACTTTTGTGTCGGCAGTATGAGAAATTCCCATAGACTGCAAGAGGAATTGCATAGTCTCAGCAGTGTATTCCTCAACACTCTTTGTTCCATCGGGAAGATGGAATGGTACTTTGAGCTTGGTTGCAAAATCCATGGTCTGACCGACAGTCAAACGAGGATAGAATAACTCTTCCTCGGTGTTCATCACAATTTGACCTTGGTATTTGACTGCTTCTTCAGAAGTCATATTTCCAAAATGCACGTCACCGGTGATGCTTTGATATCCTTCACGACGGTTTGAAAGCATCTTAAGAAGGGTTGTACATCCGGAGCCAGGTCGGCCCAAAACAAGCAGCATCTCGCCAGGCCTGACACAGCCATGGCTGTCGGACAAGATAGATTTGAGTGGTGGTTTTTGACGAAAGTCTTTCACGAGTTGAGGAACGTTGAACTGAGAAATCATATTCTCTTTGACAGCTGCTTCAGCGGCGAGGACCTCTACAGATAAACTTTGCCAGGTCACTCCCAGCTCACGTCTTTTGAAGCCGGCTGCTTCATCACGCTGTGCGTTCCGGATAACTTGTGGTGTCATACTCCATTCTGCATTCTTCCCGGGGGGCGAACGAGTAGGAGTCTGGGGTAAGGCGAGAGTATCATGACTTTTCCAGTATTCTTTGTCGCAGTTCTCATCGGAGATGAGAGTTTGAGGAGTCTGAATTGGGTCCAAAGTCTCGTAGCTGCTGGCTTCGTGGAGGTTGATTTGGGGTACCGCAAGGGCCTGGGTGTGGCAGTTTTCAAATTCGTTCGATTGGTGGTGCTCTCGAGGAGATGACATGTTGTCGAGTTTCTGCCCTGGGAAAGCAGTAGGGGATTAAATGATAACCAATTGGATATTCTGTTTTCTTCCCTTTCATGAGCTCAAAACACTGGGCCTTTGGAATACTTATAAAATCTCCAAATACTTCGGAAGCCAAGGTGGGCGAACACGGAACTGTATTCTAGCAATTGCGGATACATAGTGGAACAAAGGAATGGATGCCGGCGCTACAGAATTGTTGTCTTGCAATGCCGATTACCCAAGTGGACACGATGGACGGATTACCAAGATTCCGCTCATAGTTCCGCTCATCAGCACTTGAGGGATTAAAAATACTTTGATGGCCACTGAGGTACTCTCCTTGACCAATCATATGTATGTGATCCCAATTGAAGTCACTCACTAAGTCAAAATCGGCTGGTGATTTGTGGATGCATGCGTAATTTTCGCCTGTTTTACCAATCAATAGCAAATCAAAAAGTCGGGATCTCGCATGGATCCAAGGTTAGATAGGGGTTTACAAGACCCGATCTAAGGCGCTGTACTATAATCTGCGGCACTGATCGCCGACGATTCTGTAATAACACTACTAGGCATAGGCTACTGCAGGTGGTAGGTCTTTGATCTAGCCGCCTGCCCTCTCCTGTATCGGTCAATTTTCCGGCGCAGCATATTACCCGAATAGGAAAATCAAAATGTTATCTATCCGTCTTCTTGAAGAATCCCTTGTTTTTCGTTAACAGCATCAACTGACTAACTTATAAACACTTTCAACTTATAATTAGCTGTTAACCTTTGAAAATGTAGCCGGATATGAAATTTTTGAAGAGACAACCAAATATTTATTTTGGCTTCTGATGGCTGGCCGCCAACCACGCTATAGAATCCCCATTCAGTTATTCTAGTATTCGCAAAAAAAAATCTGTCAATCTAGGGTTATCCAGCCCTACTGAGATTACATAACATGGTTCGGCGATGATATTCAAATGTTTGTGCTGTGCTAGCCGTGATCTGGACGGCTTGCCGAATAATCGTTATTGGGCGATCCCGATCTATCCGGCCGTTACCAACACCTTCCAGACGTGCCGACGCAGCATATTACCTAAATAGGAAATAAATCGCAATCCTGCTACCTGAAGAATAAGGAATTTATATCGGACCTGACAACATGTAATCTATCCACCTTTTCAAAGCCTTATTGGCAACCTTTTGGTTAAATCTTACTCCGTATATCACGTGATCCATGGATCTGGCAGAGCCCTCAGCAAGTTGCTCTCACGCGGCACGCGGCATAGTCCCCTACGAAGGGGGGGGGGGGGGGGTAAGGAAACCTTCTGAGACCAAGAAGATCCACATATTTAAAAGATTTCCATTTGATGCAGTACAAAATTCAAAAAAAGGACCTCGGAATATTTACACATAAGGTTACAAGCACTTGAGGGTGAAATGGTAGCACAATGCATAGATGCACTATACATAATACATAATTACGCTCCTTCTACAGTGCTTATTCACTTCAGTTATTGTGGCAACTTTAAACTACTACATATGGTACCTAACTTGAGACATACAACGGTATACAACGGCATATGTAGGATTCCAAATTAACTTTATCCCCTCATGAGGTTGACAACCATTAGTGGGATTACTGAATATTATGAAAGTATTGGAATTCATGAAATCTGTATTAGAAGGACAATGTTGAGAATTATACATATAGAAAAAATATATTCAACTGTTCGAAGGCTTAAATGCACACACAGGCATAACGCAATATGGTGTACAAAATCAAACGAAAGATGAAAGGAAAAAGCTCGCAGCTGGTATTGAAAATTCGAATGGAGATTCGACGAGGGGCAACTGCCTCTAATTTGTGCCAAGAAATATATTCGAATCATCATAATATGGAAATTGACCACTGGAGAACAAACTTGACAAACCAGGAGCGATTAACAGGTCTGTGTCGTCATCAAATATACCGAGTCCATCAGTCGGCCACTGTGGCATTCCTTCAAAGGGAAGCAGGTCGGCGGCGCCGGGTTCTAATAGCTCATACTGGAGATTCTGTGACTCAGGCTCCGATTTTTGGGCAATGAGCGCGGAGGGGGTTTTATTGGAAACTGAGAGTGTTGGAGATATCAAGTGCCCAGGAAGATAGTCAGGCGAAACACCCGAGTAAGTTGTATGTGAAAGACGCTCAAAAATCTCTGTATCGGGGGACTTGTGGCGGGCCACGATATCAGCCTGATCACCCAAAGGTCCACTCCCGGAATCATCAAGAACACCGATTCGAGTGAGCAGATCGTGGGTAAGTGGCAGACCGTTAGGCTCGAGCTTCAACGGTGCTCCGGACCAGCCTTCACCCTTTGTGGCTCGTCGGTAAAGTTCCTGGAGGCCATGTACTAGCCAAATTTGTTGTTGTTCAAGCATATCTGCATATCTGCATTGAAATCATTGTCAGCTCAAGTTCTTTCGTTTTTAACGATCTGCTCGCTTACCCCTTCGGGTACACCTTTTCATGAGACTTTTTGCGATGTCCAAAGCAGCAAACGGTATTATCTGCCCGACAGCGTGAACACGGGTTTAGTCCGTCACACTTGTTTTGTCAGTATGGATAGCCATAAACCATCAATTCTTTCCAAGGTTTGGTTTAACATACCTTGGTTTTCTTTGAGCGACACCGATCGCAGGCCTTGCATACGCGCTTGCGGAGCTTTTCAAGGTTTGAACGATTGGAGCTTGGTATTGAGTGCCGCGCTGACATGGCGATATATGGGTAGGTAGATGGAGGACAGTACTGTAATACCTACTAGGTACTTGCCGACACGAAGCGAATGGTCTTAGATACAAACCTGTCAGCCTTCCAAGGTTGGAACGTGAGAATGATTGAAGGTCGCTGTCTAGGTGCTGAAGTAGAGGCTCTAATAAACGAAGAGTCTAAACTTGCATGTGAAACCTTGAATGGGTTTTGAATTCCAGATCATATGATAGTAACCAGTCTGTCCATGGATTGAATATATGGCTATCTACAAATGGCTCTTCTATTCCAAGGTTTGCAAATATATTGATCAGCAAACTCGGAATTCAAACTATCCGCACAAAAGTGACATTTGAAAGATCTAGATGGAGCCCCTGATGACTATGAAGGCTCCACTAGTCCTTGGCACGCCGGTTTATTCCTTTCCTTTTTCGGTAGTGGAGACTCTGGTAAATCGGCACGTCTGTATTAGACCTCGGCACATCTAAGCCGAATTATTGTAAATGCAACCGGAAAAGATAACCGTGAACAGATTTGCCCAGGCGGTAGTTGAGCAAATTTACGAAGAATTAGTCACATCGGATTAATTGACATCAAATTTCATTACCTCGGTCTAGCCCTTGTAAAAGGGCAGACTTCGGACGGCATGTATAGTAGTTCGATGGTTTCCTACTGAATAGTAGATACACATGCATTGGGGGGTCCATGGATCGGTAATACTAGTACCTACACAGTAGCCTACATTGAAAGCACACGGAGAGAAAGTGATTTTCGGGGAGGAGTCTTAGAAGGAGTTCATTTTTCAGAGATGACGGTATAACAGACGCTCACCAATATCAGCCCGATGCCGAGAAAGGTGCCATTTAGAGCAATGTCATCAGACTGTAGTATGAGAAAGAGTATAGTTAGACAGTTAGGCAGCAAGTAAGCTGTATGATAATAATATAAGAAGACATTATGCCAAGACACCATTCAAGGATAAGCTGATACAAGCCAGGTGCTCATTGACTGTTTTCAAGCCTTCAAGGACAAGCGCACGGCAGCTCCAGAGCCAAGTTCGGGAAGAATAGATTTCGTGGTAACTTCAGGTCAAGACTAGGGCCAGCACTAGAACTCCTACACTCCACCAGTCGGGAGGAATGTACGGTAATCATTGAGCGTGGAGACAATAAAAGAAGAGGTCGCCTTGCCCAAAAGAACAGAAGATCTGGGGAGGCGTTTAGCAAAAGATGTTATAGTGAGGCTTATTGTGAGAGTCTCGAGACTGGAAGAATGGCCTGCGCCCTTGGGTAGTAGATTGGCAAGGATTTCAAGAAGTGAAAAAAAAGTGGAAGTGTGATGAAGCGAAGCAATCGAAAATCAAGCTCGGTGACCAGTGGTCAGCATTTAAGGAAAGATTATTGAACTCGTCTACACCAGGCTATGTACTCAAGTCTCAGTTACAGATCACAATACAGACCAAGTTATGGAGTACGCGACTACGCGTAATATGCGCACTAATCCCGATTAGGAAGCGCTTCAAGTGCAGAATCCCCATAAGGCAACAAGGCATCAAGCAACCAGGCCCAAACTCGCTAGCTGATTATTGGGTGTTCATTAGTAGAATAGCGACATGACTCGCTTAAAGAAACGCATGTCCTAAATATTTCCTGAAATCTGAATATGATTGGCCCTTTGGGCCCGCCACCAGTATAGGCCCACAGGCAGAAGGCTAATCTGAAGTCCTATCGGAGACCCCGTTCCTCGACAAATTTCTTTCACCTTTCCGGCCTGACAAAATTGCACGATTTAAAAATGCATCCAATTAGAACTCCCATGGCAAGAACTTGAAATACTGAATTGAGGAAATTGACCCATATCCCTACATGCTTATTTCTCTATGCTAAGCGCCTCTCATTATTCAGCAGACAAGCTGCTAGGTACAAGTTGAAACAACACAATAATCAGGCGACAAGATCTTCTAACCACAGATCCATAGAGCAGTAAAAACAAGTTCCCATCTTAATGACTGAGGATTTGCCTACTTTTCTTTTTCAATGCCATCTCGTTAAGAGTCGCTCATGTGCGATGAAAGAAGAGTCGCCGTCGGCTTAAATTTCCCCCACATTATTTGGCGCGTCAGGGCTTCCCGCTGAACCAACTAGTAACTTGCTCGCCTATTTCGACCATCAAAAAACAGTTAAGACTCAATAGTACCTCCTTTTCTCTCCACCATAGCCACGTTCCCGTGGATCATACTGCAAAATGGTCGCCATGGTTCCATATTGTCAAAAAAAAAGACATTTATACAAGGCAATTGGTTTCCCCAGAGCCGATCCTTTGAAGCTCTACTCATTTCCTGCCAGCAACGTTCTCGGCATTTCACACCCAGCAACTGCTATCGATTGCTGGATTAGCAGTGTTCTGCTTTTCGGTTTTCACCATGTCCGTTTCTTGCTCTTCCATTGATGTGATCAATGGAGGTACGTATGACTATTCGTCGTATTGGTCCATGAGTGCTGGCGCAGAGGTAGCCAGCTTCCCAGTGATGACTATCGGAGGACCGACGGACGATAGTACTTGGCTGTAAGTCGGAAGGGGTGATAGAAGAAATGATCCCAAGACAACTAACCATTTCACCAGTGAGATATCCGACTTCGAATATAGCTACGTCATTGTCCGTCAAAACATTGCCTCTGTGAACGTGGGAGGAGAATACGATGTGTCTCTGGCCTGGTCAATGTCTACAAATACCTCTAGCGATGCAGCAAGCTGTCTCTTGGAGGTTGCAGTGGACTCCAAGACCATCATTGCGACTGGCCAATCTGCTGCTGGTGTCCGTGCAGTGACTGGTTCATGGGGAACAGCAACGGGTACTTACACACCAACTGCCTCGACCGGGCTCCCCTTTGTGATCACCATTAGCTGTTCTGAGGGCGCCTCGGCTGATAGCCCTATTGTGGGCTTGGCTGATATTTCAATGGTCTCCTCTTCATGTTCTGCTACTACTGGAACATCGTCCACATCAATTTCGAGCGACTATTCGTCTACAGCTACTACTCCGACATCTTCAAGCTCTGTTTCTACTATCACCACCAGTAGCGATGGCATAATCTCGACCGACGCCCTCAGCACCGCTACATCTTCAACCGGTAACGAGTCCTCGGGTGTTGCTCCTACCACTACCAGTAGCGACAATCTGATTCCGACTGATTCTCTTAGCACCATTATATCCTCAGCTAGGACAGAGTCCTTAAGCGCTAAAGTCACATCCTCGACTTCTGCGGTCACAACCTCCTCCTCCACAACTTCAGCAACATGGACCGCGTCTACTGGAACGACTACAACGGAGGAGGATGGGTCCACCACATTGACTGGCAGCACTACCGACGGCGACTCAGTTGCAGCGAGCGTATCAGTTGACACAGATGACTCGAATAGTGCAGTGTCTGGTACAGTATCTGTATCCACTACCTCCACAACACGGAAGCGAGATACTCTTTCATGTACCTTGTACGTTTCACAGGACTCAGAGGTGATTTCCACCACGGTAGTTGAAGCTGGACACTCCGCTTCTTTTGTCGCCTGTCTTGCAGCCGAATCTTCAGATATTGTTGATATCTTGGTTGAATGTTCTGGTTCTGGCGGGACTGTTAAGGTTTCTGAGTTGACCGTGGACTCTGATGCGGCCGTGGAAGAGGCATGTGCGACATCTACATCTACTCCGAGCTTGGTTTCCTCCAAATCTATCCTTGCCGTGAACCCCAATCATACTGGGTCGACATCTATAATGAGTACTCCATTGCACACTCTGACAAAACCAAGTCACTCCACATCTATACCTTTCAATAGCTCTAAGCCAGGGTTTGGCTCTGGCCAAGTCACCACCTCCACTATTCTCGCCACCCGGACCAGCACCATCACCGCATGTCCTTCCACTGTTACCAACTGCCCAGCTCGTGACAGGACCACTTATCTTACCACCGAGACTGTTACTGTGGGAACCACTGTCTGCTCTATTACTGAAAGTGCCAAACTCATACATACTGGCTCCCCGTCGCGAAGTGAAGATCATAATAGCTCTGCTGAGCAAATGACCACTTCAACTGCTTTTATTATACGCACGTCGACAGTTGAGACTTGTCCATTTTCCGTAAAGGACTGCCCTGCGACCTCGAAGTCCACTTTTGTCACTACAGAGACACTTGTTGACTATACCACCATCTGCCCTGTGACTGCCGCCCAGGCCACTGAAACCCCGAGCTTTGTTGCTTCATTCACAACTGAAGTTGATTCTAGTGACTCTATTAGCTCTGGTTCTCCTACTGGTTCGAATTCAAGCTCTGTTTTAGAATGCTCTACCTCCACCATGGACACCACACACCTGACCACCAATACCATACCATCTTACACAAAGACATACTCATTGGCCGCTACCGAGTTGCTTGATAGTTCACCCACCGCCTCAGCTAGTTCTTCAACGCTGAAGGATGCTGTTGATACGTCTATGCTTCCTACTACGACCGATTTTGAAACCGCAATTGAATTGACCGGAATATTACATGTCGTGTCTGCTACTACTGCAGCGGGATCTATTGAGACTGCTAAAAGTAACTTCCGTTCTCTAGATTCTCTGCAGTCTACAATCAGGAGCGCCAAGTCCCCCCCACACAGCGTCAGTGATATAGCCAGTGCAGCTAAATTGACTGTGGGATTCGATCCATTGTCTACACAAGCCGCAGCTGCCTCTGGCCTTGCCACAAGTGTTGTGGTGGTATCTTCTGAGACCATAACTACCAAGGCGGTTTCCTCCAATACCAGTGAAACGACTGCTGCAAACATTTCCTCCTCATTCAATTTGTCGCTTACCACAGATGCCCCAGATGCTGAATCCTCTACCTTAACTTTGACTAGTTCCCCTGCTTACAATGGGGGTGTTTCTGTCTTCTCTCCCAACCTCATTTGGTTTATTGGCGTGGTGATTGCCTGCTTTATATAAGGACGAAATTGTTTAATATATTACTAGTATATAGTCAAATGTTATTATTTTAAGACGTTCTTTCAAGAAAGCATCACTTGCATGGAAATAAAAAAACCATTAAATACTCCAACCTCTGTCATATGTACGACCTACCCATATTAAAGATATACGAATACAAATTTGACACGAACATTGAAACCACCCATGATCCTAATTACTCTTCCCATCAATACCTCTTTTTCTCCTTAGCTCTTCAATATCTTGGCTTGATACTGTTAAAAACATTTTTTCAATAGCTAGGTAGAAGATCAGGAGGTTGAGGTAGTGCTCCAGGTCATCCTGTTGGAAAATTGGACTCCTTGAACTCTGGCTTGTACAAGTTCCATGATGAGTAAAATATTAGTAATTGTTCAAATTTTTGGCATAAATTTGATTAGTGATAGAGTTCTGCCCCTGAAAATTTTCTACCCACTCTCAGCATTTTTTCTACCCATGCTCAGCTGCCTAGGTGCTCAGGGGTGTGATTGTATTACACTGGTTTTTCATTTCCGGCGGACTGGGAAAGTGGGGCGCACCCATGATTAACTGTTACCCGAGCTATGATCCGGACATAACTTTGCATCGTCCACATACCGAGCTTACACTCACCTCGGGGCGAATCAGACGTCGAAGAATTGGGATGAGCGCCTGACACCAATTAACAATACAGTATAGGTTAGGCTAGCGATAATTTGATCAATTGATTGGCCATATATACGGTCTTAAAACTGGGACTCAGAACTTCTCAGTATGTGGTTGGAGGGTCTTCGGATCCATGCCCGGATCCGGGCTCGGAGCCGATGCAACAAACCGTCATATATGAAGGCGCAGTCGGTGCCATGGAGAAAGACATGATATTTTCGCTTCTAATATCCAACGAGTCAATCGTTTAATAGTAAAACCCTTTGAACTTTGTACTCAAGTTCCGAAGTTGGTATTTTACGAAAAATGCGGCTTCTTGTTGGTGCAAGTGGCCGGACAGGCAAACTAGTCCTCGAGGAGCTCCAACGCAATCGAGGTGTGTGTTTATGTATCCTCTAAAATCCAGTTGAGAGCAAATTTTTATCAATGGTTTCCTTCAATGTTTAGTTCCAATTGTGTATACACATTGATAGTACCTAGAAGGGATTGCAATACATTCTGGAACTACTATGCTTTAGAACGAGCCGTAACTCCCCATATCAAACAATGAAACCAAGATCAAAACCAAAATGAGCATACGGCTATCCCCAAACAGGAAAGCAAGACCGATGGCTAACTAACTAGTAGTTAGTTAGTTAACTAACCGAGTGTTTTTGCGCTAGGTCATAAAAGCTTGATAAGGCCGCTCCGGTTCGGTCCGATCCGCCAATCGTATTGCCGCAAATCTCTCCTGCAATGTACAGTACCAAGTAGAAAGGAGACAGCTCTTTGGCGATGTGTGGCGTCGCCGAAGCTGATCATTCAATATTTGCAAGGGTTTCGAGATGACTGGCCTTGCCAAATTCAAGCTTTCGGTGCCGAAAATTTTAGGGTGTT